GGTTTCGGGTGGGGGGGAGGAGAGGGGTGGGTGGGATGCGGCTGCATTGGAGGTGGATTCGGTGCAGGCGGCTGCGGACGACTATCTGAGCTCGCTCATTGCGATCGCTTGAAGGAGCTTAACTCTTACAAACATGCTTTACTACACACAATACAAGACTTGATTCAGATCACCTAGACGTGAGCGTTTTGTGAGTACAAGATTGGAAGAAATGAGGCAAAGGGGTGTTTTTGGTTTGGTGAGCGCGCTTTGGGGGATGAAGGTGTTTGTGGAGGGCTGGAGCTGGAAAAAAGGTTGAAAGTCTGTGCGTCTTGCATGCGAGAAGAAAATCCAACACCATCCTCTCTCCGCACCACCGTCTTTGCAACCATCCTCGACCATGACATCGTCAACGGTGCATCCCGTGCTAACGCTCATCAACCGATGCGATGCGCTCGCCGCGCAGTTCGATACGACATTCTCGCACTCCTGCACCTTGCTCACGAATCTCTCCAACGGTCAATCTTCTGCTACGCTGGATGAAACACTGATGGTGTTGAGAAAGACTCTGGATGAATGCGAGCAGGTGGTAGGGGCTATGTTGGGATGCATTTATGAGGATATTCCGCATCTGTTGGATATGATCGATAGTCAAGCTGAAGGTGGTGCAGAGGAGGACAAGGGGAGACATGGGATTGTGGGGAATTGGAATCCCAAGCAGGCGTTGGATGGCATTTCCCAGCTGTTCTATGTAAGTCGTAGCTGAAAAGACGTTCCCCAAGCCCCGCGCGCGAGAGAGAGAGGGTGACTGACATCGATTCTTTCCGACCCGAGACGAACAGTCCTACCAAGACCTCCTGACCACAAAACGCGAGCTCCTCGCCGACTTTACCTGCGAAGAAATCTCCCCCGCCGAATTCATCACCCAATGGACTTCCATCGACTCAACCCTCGCAAGTCAGCGCAAACAACAGGTCGACGACTTGGCCGATCTCCTAGCCGCCTTCTAGAAAAAAAACCCCCCTTCACCAAAATCACCGCCCCTTTAGTAAGACCGCTGCGTAGTCGGGTTTCCGGATGGGTGGAACGTGCAAGCAGGTCATGGTGAAGACCCGTATCAGCGGCAGGAAGAGAAAGCCCAGCTCAGCATAGCTCCAACAGCACTCAGCGCTCGATAAAAACCAACCTCAAGCTCTCTACCTCTCGAACCCAGCCACTCTCCTCATCTACAGTCAAGCATCGCGCTGCCATCTCTCCATCCTCTTCAACATTCTTCCACCTCGCACTCTCGCCACCTCAATCGCGGGAACACCATGCATTTTGAACAAAAAGAGAACACTACGCTTCACATGTACCCCCTGATCGCGTCCACCAACTCCATCCCGGCTTTTGCAAAGTCCACCGGCGCACTCCTGCTAATCGTATACCTCACCCTCGTAGTATCGTTGAACGTGTCCATCTTGGCCCTGCAGTTGAACACGTACATCCTGTTCGCCGCCTTGTGCAGCGCAGCGCTGAACTCGGACTCGCTCTGCTCCCTCAACCCGTGCAGCTCTCCCGCCGACATACCAATCAGCTTGCTGGCGTCCTCGTTGAAACCCGACAGCCAGATCTGACCCGTAGCGTCGGCCACATTGGTAGAGAGAATGTAGCGGTACTCGGGCGCCTCGTAGGAGCGATCGCACTTTTCGCAGCGCCAGTTGTTCTCGTGGTCCAGACTGACCTTCTTGTTGCATCCGTCCGAAGGGCATGCGGTGTAGTACAGGTTCTCCTGCTTGATGTAGACAACGGTGGCGCGCACGTTGAAGTAATCCGGCTTGTCCGACATGCCCAGATTCTCGTCCTTGACCTGAGCGATCGTACGGCGTTCGGCCATGTTGCCCCCAGCGCCGCCGGCAGCCATCGCTCCGCCACCCACACCAGCATTGGTGTACGCCTGGAACTGCGCGTGCGCTCCGTCGTTGTCGTACCAGCCACGCAGCACGTGCGACTCGGTGATGTCCGGGTTGATGAGCATGGTCGAGCTCGAAAACATGCTCAACGACCGACCGCCAAAGTCGCCCACCTTGACGCCCTTGAAGGCGATCACCGGCTTCTCGTCGACGCCGGCGTTGTTGGGGAAGGTCTCGGCGTTCTTGCCCCACAGCGTCAGCCGGACGCTCTTGTTGCCCTGGTCGACCAGCGTCAACTCTCGCTTCTGGACCGGTCGCTGCGACGCCTTGGAGACGATCTCGCTCAGCTCGCCGTAGCTGTCCAGGACACCGATCACGTCGCACGTCTGGTTGGGCTCGACGCCCTCGAGCTCGTTGATGCGTACAAACTCGTACTTGACCTCGGGAACGTCGGTGGCGTCGGTGCACTCCTCGATCTCGGTCGAGTTCTCAAACGTGATCTCGTACTCGTTCTGAAGGTTGCTGAACTGCTTCTTGGCAATGTTGACGCGAGCCTTGGAGATGAGGTAGACGTGGTTCTCCTGCAACAGAGGGTAGAAGCGGTCGACCGCATCGTTGAACCCGGTGGCTTTGATCTCGCCGCTGTCGTCGAGCAGGTTGACCGAGAAGAGCTTGCCTTCGCCGCGCTGGTTGGACCAGTGGCGGATGTCCGACTTGGACGTGACACGAGCCTTGATGGTCCAGCGGTTCTGGTACGGCGAGAGACCCTCGATCGGATAGATGGGCATGCCGGCGTGGACGCTGCTTCCGCCCGGTCGGCCTCCACCGGCACCTACCGGCTTGCCCATGGCCGAGGTGGCGGGTGTGGTCCTACCCGCAGAGTTGTTGCCGAGCGCGCTGTTGCCCAGAGCGTTGGCGCCGCCTTCCTGCTTGACACCGCCTTCGGTCTTGACCGCCTCGTCGACGTTGGTGGGGTTGCCTAGACGGTCAGCGGTGGGTTTGTGGACGACGTCGAGGTCGAGCAAGATGAGGATGCGTCGGTTCTGCACAGAGTTGCTGGCAAACTGCGTGATGCGCACGAGGCAGTGCTTCTCCAGCTCGCCCGATTCGACCATGGATCGCTTCTGCGAAGCAAGCATTGCCTGCGCATAGTGGACGCCGTCGGAAAGGATGATGCGGTACCGATCGCCAACGTTGGATGCGGAAGTGGCGCTAGCCTGGATCTTTTTGATGCTGAGGATCTGACAGACCGGGTTCTGCACCGAGGAGCTTGCAGGGTCCGCGGTCTGAATCATCTGGGCGATGGAGCCCTGCGAAAGGTCGTTGAGCGACATGATGATGCGACTGCTGATCGAGAAGATGATGCACTGATCAGAGACGTTGCGATGCGGGATTGCGGATCGGATTGATCTTTCGCAATGGCCTGGAGCTGATGTCGCCGGATAAGGGTGAGAATGACACGGGTATGAAATGGAGCAGGTATGCTATGGCCCTCGCGCCCGTGTTTGACGTCAGCGAAAGAGGTCTGCGTTGCGAGATCGTATTGACAGAGGACGTCAACGATGATGGTGATGAGGATTGAAGCGGGACGGTGAAGCTCCACCTGTTCTTCTCGATCCGAGCTCGATGGCTGAGTCGCGGATCGTCAGACACCTTTTGTTCCGCTGCTGCTGCGCATTCGCTGCCTGCCAGAAACAAAAAGGAGTGGCGCATCACTTTGGCTCATTTACGCGCGCGACGCGTTTTTTGCAGGCGCCTCTGAGTGGGGATCAGGGAGACCAACACTTTCGACTTTTCACTCGCGCGACATTTGCCATAATTTAGAGACCTGATATCACGGACTCGGCGTAACATCGTAAGCCTTCTGACCGACAACTTCTTCTTATCACGATTGCGATCCAAACTCCTAGTCGACGCCATCGTCCAAGCTTGACAGCCGCAGCTGATTGTGAGCTTGCGCTTGGGCTCGGGCTTCGTCTTGGGCTTGGGCTGGAGATTGAGCTTGACCGGATATTGTAGCACACCGATCGTAAAGACGGTGTGCATCGGGCCGACGCAGGCACGCAGTCAATCTAACTCTTTCTTAAGAGCAGCGCTGATTGCTACGGAGCGTCCGACCGACAGCAGTGACAAGGCGACAGGACCTCGACCAGTCAGCGAAACGGCTTGCCGCGGAATTTGACACTATCTCGCCGTGAACGCAACAAGCGACGTAGAGACTTTTTCCGTCGCGGGTGAGTGGCGCAGAAGCACTGCTGCGCATCACTCAGACAATGATAGGCACGACGAGTCAGGCGGTGAAGCGCAGCTGGAATGCACCGCTCCAAGCCCCATACACGAGTACGAGTGCAAGCTACAACGGACGATCAAAATGCCTTCTGACGACCGGACACACTGACTACCGGCTGGCTGCGTTGTCGATCATTTTGTGCTTTTATTTTTCGAACTTAAAAATGATGAAGAAAAAGAAAAGAAAATAAACTATCAAAAAATTTCAATAAAGAAATCAAAAACGAAAAAAAGGAAAGGAAGGATCGACGGATTGCCTCGATTTCTCTCGCTTAACTGACGGCTCGCCAGTTCCGCTTTTGACGTGGGCCTGAGCGCAGTATCCATTCATGCGTTTCGGCAGTATATTTGAACCTCCGCTGTACAATGTCACCACAGGATGCACTAGTGTCGGTGTCAACTTTGACGATTGCACCCCACTCTTCGAACCTTCTCTGTAGCAGGCCTCTCCATCATTGAAGCTGTCCAGCCAAGTCAAACTACAGACACAAGACAGCGAGACTTGACTAATTTCGTCCTACATTCTTTCGTATTGCAATTATTGTCGTTCCTTCCCAAAGAGAAATGAAACAAATGAGTCGCTGTGGATCGTCTACTGGAAAGCGAAGCCGTGGATGAACGAAGACTATCAGTGAGTCTCGGACAAGGAGATAAGGATAGTTTGCCAAAGCAAGAGTGAAGATGGTTGCACAGCATAGTGATGCGCCTGCCTATGCACTGCAGAAGTGTGAGGAATTGTGCCTAGCGGTAACTATTCGAGTGGCTGTCAGGAAAGGGACCCTGCATTCTAACCAACGAGTTGCGTCCTTCAGGGGACTGCTGAGACACGGGAACTTCAGATATTGCCTTGGACTGCGCTGTCGATGTCAGCCAGACTCCGACTTCCTCTTTCGAATTCTTCCGAGCCCGGTGAGTGAGTGATTGGCAAGGCCTCGACAAGGTCAAGCTGCAACCGAGCTGCGAGGCTTGATCGACGAACGGCCACGTTTTCGTCTCCGCACGTCAATACACAGCGTGGGAGCATCCTTCCGGAAAGGTCATGGTCAGGCAGACTGTCGTTCTACCTGCCGACCGAGCCCGAGATACGGTAGATTTGCCGATTGGATAGCCGTTTCTCTGTCTGTGAGATCATTTCTCGACATGCATGGCCATGTTGAAGGGATTGATTCGCGCTCGAGAACGGTGTCGAGCCCATCTCATCCTCAATGATCAAATCAAGTCGTGCACGATTTGCAAAAGCGACCTTTCGACCCAAGTTTCGCAGGATGTCCACTGCCAAGGACAGCGTACAAGAGAGGATTTATCGTCCGAGCCCATTCGGCCTGCTGCGATTCGGCCTGCCAAAAAAAGAACACGGTGGATGGCTCTAGAGCGCATCTCGTCACCCTCGCCTGATTTTCCGCAAAGGCAAGGTACCATTGCCTCGATTGTGCCCACTTTAGTCTTTCGCTGATAGTGTTCGGGAGATTCTGCTGTTGTCTTCTAGGCCTTATTGTCGGGACCCAAGCGAGCTCGCACACTGAGGTAACGCAGTCCACTGATGCTTCGTGTCAAAGAGGTGCTCGGAGATCGTGAATGAGCTTAAAGAGGAAATTTGAGCTGATCATCATGATCATCATGGAGACGGCTGGAGAAACGGTGACTCACGGACCGGACAAGCTTTCGGGTGGCATCCTTATCTCGTTCGAGAAGTGCAACAAATCACCGACTCGGCCTGTTCTTGATGCACGCTTCGGATTTTGATTATGTTTACGATCGGGGAGTAGGAGCTCAACAGATTGTCCAGCACGACTGCACTCTGTATCACATGGTGGGAAAGCTACCCGTGTGCATGGATACAGCGCATGGCAGGTGGTCTCGTAGCCACGTTGTCGGATGTCAGAGGACCCCTGATTGGCTGCATCCGTGACAGGTCGTGGCTTCCTCTGCGCTCAGTCCATCCGAGTATGCACAGTCTACTTGCAGAGGGAAGGATGGGGACGCAGACATGCGCATGCACGGGAGCAAGGTTCATCTCAGACCATGAGGAAGAAAGTCCTCAATCAAATCTAGGCCTGACCGGCCAAGCGATCATCAGAGGTGGCCGGATCGGTCGACAGAGGCGCAAATCCTAGGTCTGCGAAAGAATCGCGGAGTATCGCCGCGACATCCTCGGAGGCATGCGAAGCTACGTGTTCCTGTATTCATGTTGACGGGACACGACTCATCTGTCGGCGAAAGTCCAACAATTGACCGTCAGGCATGCAGCTACTAGACCGACGCCTGTCGCACTCGATCTGACTCGGACTAGCACATGATTCGAGACACTTTCGGACGAATAAGATCTTGTTGCCGCCTCCACTTTTCACCTTGATACACGCTGTCTTTGACATGCTCATGGCGCCCATCGACTATGCAGCAGCATCGGCGAACAACTCAGCACTAAGATCCGTCATATTCGACACATGCTGGGACGAGAAAGAGTTTTAGTCGATGTTGTCTTCCGCCGAGGAGGTTATCGAAAGAAGCATCCTCTCTAGGCGCTTCGCGACAATAAAGATTTAATTTACCGGCAAAATAGGGAGGAAACGAAAAGAGAATGCGAAATTGTTTCTGATTCTTTCCAATTTTGGTTTTTGGGCTGTGGCTTCCCTTGACCACGCTTGCCATTCGACTCTCCGACTGCCGAAGTGGCCGACCGACAGCTTTGCATGATGAAGCGCATATGTCATGTCCGGACAGCCGCCACTCACAGGGAGCAATTTGTCGATCATTGTCCTCGGCCTGATCGACATCGCATTCAGTGATGCACCTTCCCGCTTGCGGCCCGCAATTCAAACTGTCGATCCTTCGGTCAAAATCATAGGCGGCTCCTCTCGTTCAAGATTTCAATTTATAGATACTTTGCAGCGTTCTTGCGCAGATGGATGCAAGGCGATGTCGATCGGCCACTGTAAAACTCTACTCTTGCAGAACACGATTGCCCTCGTGCTTTGTCGATCTCATCTGCTCGGATTAATACTGCCCAGACCCTTACCATCTGGGTGCCTCGGGGTCCGTTGCAGGTCGGAGGGAAACGTGGAAGCTGTCAAAGATGTAAACGGAAGACAGCTCTCTCCTTTCACTGCACGAACGAGAGACAGGAGTTGACAGCGTCCAAACACGAGGCAAATCAGGTCGCGACGGAGGGGCCGAGTATGCATGTGTTTTGGTCTCCGTCCCTGAAGTCAGAGTTTTTCCATAACCTTTCTTGATGCGCTCGCACGCCAAACAGAAAGGGACAACCCGCCAAGCTTGTTGTCAACATCGATTGTTGAAACGGCGTCGCAACCAAGCACTGGACTGAAACTTTGTGTCTGCCCCTGGTCTGAGTCTCACTTACTGAAGGGCAAAGCTGGCTCCCCCTGCCGCCTCCTCTGCCTCGTGTGTCCGTCTCCCAAAGGCTTCTGTCGATGAGACCAGGTATAAGTAGATCCCACCTATCAGCTGATCGTTTCCTTGATCCCCCATCAAGCAGCCTCTCTCCTCTCTCGTCCCGGACTTCCTCGCCCCTTCTCCCTTCCCCCTCAGGTCCCTAGCCGTCTAGTCAAGTAGCTACCTCTACTATCCAACAAAATGCGTACCTCCATCCGTGCCGCTCTCCTCGTCTTCGCTGCCGCCCTCGTGGCTGTCCAGGTGGCCCAGCCCGTTTCAGCTCACCTTGTCGACCGTGAGGTGTTCGAGAACTCCACCCCCACCATCTACGACTACTCTCGTCGTGCTGAGGACCCCAACGCCACTGCCGTCCCCACCACCACCTCGTCGTCTGCCAACCCTTCGGCCACCGCCGGTACCGGATGCAAGGTCAACTCCGACTGCGCTACTGGTCTCTGTGACACTGGCAAGTGTGTTCCTCAGAAGGGCACCGGTCAGAACGACTCGTTCTGCACCAGCGATGCTCAGTGCAAGAGCTCTTCGTACTGCTACCGTGGCTCGTGCCAGGACATCAAGCAGGACGGTGCCAACTGCTACAAGGACTCTGGTTGCGCCAACGGCAACTGCGTAAACAAGAAGTGCATCGCCAACGCATCGCAGCCCCTCAAGGCCCAGTGCACCAAGTCGGATCAGTGCACTAACGGCGCCTTCTGCTCCAACGGCAAGTGCGAGACCATCAAGCCTGCCGGTGACTACTGCTACAAGAACCAGGGCTGCACTTCGAACATCTGCATCAACAACAAGTGCTCCTCCAAGGGTCTTGCCAACAACAACCAGTACTGCGCCAAGAACGCCGAATGCAAGTCCAACTTCTGCTGGAAGAGCGCTTGCCGTGCCAAGCGTGCCCGCAACGTGTCTTGCTCGGTCGACGACGCTTGCATCAGCAACAAGTGCCGCAAGAACAAGACTTGCGCCTAAATCTCTAGTTCGCGCTAGGACCTCTTCGAGCAGAGGATCCGTCAGGATCCCCGTCTCGACCCACTCTCCCCTCCTTCCCCCCTTTCGCATTCCATTTTCATATCCCTGTTCCGTCTCTTATAGTCCGGGAATAATACGTCATGGCCTCTGTTTTTCCCTCCTTTATCGAACGATGGTCTGGGCTTCGAGTGAGATTTCGAAGCAGCCTCTTGCAGGCGTAGGCTATTTTCCGCCTGCCTTGGACAGTTCAGGGGCTCCAGGATGGACATCGATAGACATTCAACGAGCACAGCATGCGTGTCCTATCTCACGAAGAAAGCAAATTCTGAAGATCTGAAGATCTGACCGATAAGCAATCAGTTTCAGCTCCTTTGACACGTTCAAGGTCCAGGCACACGAAAGCAGTGCAGGACTAAATTGTCAGAACGACCGGACGCAGGTTCAAGGAAACGTGTCTCTCAACACCGCACGGAATCAAAGAGATCCTGAGGGCAGTTCTTACTGGAGAGCCTTTCGGGCTGCGTCTAGCCACTGTTGACAATAGCGTCGATCGAAAACAGAGACAGGTCTCTTGAATGGCGCTGCAAGAGGTAAGGACAAGGAAGGCAATCGAGGCAAAAGGCAGCTCAAGAAGAAAAGGTACGTAGATGTCATGTCAAACTGCGCGAAGCGCGATGCGAATTTGAATTTTCATTCACCTTTTTTTCTACTTTCCTCAGCTGATCTACCTATGAAAATATCAAAGAAGAAATTATTAAATAAAAAATGAACCAAGATTCAGGAAGCTTTGCGCTAAGCTGCATGCAAGTCGGCGAGCCAAGTTGCGGAGTTTGACAGCTTTTTGATGCCTTTTGCGCGTGGTGTTATTTCTATTCTCAGTCTGGATGCGGCCAGTTGATCCATACAAACGCGATGTTTGGGCAAGGTTCGACCTCTCCGATTGTCACAATGGTCCCACGGATTGACCTCCTCTCATGCTGTATGCAAATCGGAGTTCTTAGCGTACCTTTGCGGTCTTTCTGGTCCGCAAAGAGGGTGCGCCACTTCCTCAATTACTTCAGTGCCCGAGGCCAGGGCCGAGTCGTCAACTCTCGTCCCCCGATCTAGGTCCCATCGGGGTGATAGAGGGTAGCAACCAGTCCCCCTCTCTACTTGGCAGTGATCTCCTCGTGATGGAATACGATCGTGCATCGAATCCAAGTGCGACGGACAATAGCCGGGACCGTGCAGATACAGCAGTAATTGCGAGAATGTGAGGCGAAGCAAGACACGGCATGGGAAACAAGTGACGAACGATACTCGATGACGACTGCTGCTACGAAAAAATCACAATGACTCTCCATCCCTCTTGTGTAGATCCTCCTCTTTCGATGATTCGGCTTGAAGCTTCGGGATGGGCGCGTAGAACTGCAGCACAGGTTGATGCGTCTTGAAAGCCTGGTGTGCAATCGTGATGGCTTGCTCCAACGTCCCCGGAATGGCGGTGCCTTTGAGCTTGTTAAGTGTGGCGCCGTACATGCAGTTGTCGGAGCCGGTCTGGTCCTCCTCGATGTTTTGGTATGGAGGGACGTTTCGAGCGTAAACGTTGGGAGTGTAGTAGGTCTCTTCCGTCTGACCTGGAACCATAAGACCGCCGTGGAACCAGAAAGGTTTTTCGCCGGCAACGTTGTCCTTGCCTTTGCCACCGACCTTTTGCTTCTTGCTCGACTTGTTCTGCGACGTCCATTGCGATTGAAAGATGTTGAGCGAGTGTCGTGACAGCTTTTCGGCAGCAGCGTGAGGTGAAAGGAACTGCACCGTACGAGGCGAGCAGAGCAAGGGAGAGTGGTCGTCCCATTCGCCGTCGAAGCGGCCGATGGCACCTGGCCAGGTGTTTTCGAACGCATAGGCGATGTCCGAAAGCTCGAATGCGAGCCAGAGACCTTCGTTCATCATCTTGGGATACGCGCCCCAAAACATGGCTCTCACCTGTTTGCGCCTCATCCACGCATTGAGGAATAGGGCGGAGAGCACACCTGGTCTCGATTTGTCAAGCACGACCACGTCCATGTCCATTCTCGAGCCGATGGCGTGCGAGTAGAATGCGCTGTCGGCTAGTTGCTTCGATGGCGTTCCCTGGTCAATTTGGCGTTTGAGGAAGGAGACGAGGTACTGAGAAGCTCTGTCGACGGGTTTGGCCTTGGAGCGGAAGAAAAGCGTGCCGGTGCTGGAGAAGGTGGGATGCGAAAAGAGCTGGCTCGGATCTTGCAGGAATACGACTTGCGGGTCGACGATGAGGATCTCTTGGAAGCTCGAAGCCAGCAACCCCAGCGATTGACGCTCCCACGTCTCCTTGAGACCGGGATAGTGGCCCGCGTCATCTTCGAGTTCGGCGGTGAAAAGTTGAAGCGTGTCAATGTCGTGCACCGTGACGCGTCCAAGAGATTTGAACGAATCAGCCAGAGCGGACGGCAGCTCGTCTTCAGTGTGGTGGTATACCTCGATAGGCAAGAGGCAGCCATGGAGCTCTCGCATCACTGCGATGGTCTGTAGAGCGGAAAGGGCGGTGTACCTCGAGACAGCCATGACGATGCCTCGTCGTTTGCCGCCCTTGGTCTCGTCCTCTACCTCAGCGGCTGAGAGGAAGCTTTTGACTTCCTGGGAGGAGAGTCTGCCGGACTTCTTGAGCTGCGCCTTGACGATCGACTCGACAGTCGGTGCTTCCAGTTCACTTTGCTTCTTGTCCACCTTGGCCGAGCGAACAGGGCGGACTTGCATCGCCTTTTCACGAATCTGCGCTGCACCTGGGGCAAACGACCAGAGCGGCTCTTCGATAGATTCGAGCCTTCCGATCTGCTTTGTGCGTAGCAGCTCTGCGTAGGCGTGAGCACGGAAACCCATCTCCTTGAAGCCGTACCTCTCGTCTACCTCGACTGGATGTGTGGTAATGTAATTGGTCCAGATGTCGTGCGCTGCCGAATCTAGCTCTTGAATATGCTTGCCGTACAAGGGTGAGAGCGAAGGACGCAGCGTTATCGCCAAACGCATCGACCAAAGGACGAAGACGAGCAAGCAGAAGGCCTTGACTCTGCCAGCAGTTATGCGCATTTTGAGGTTGGCGCTATTCGGTCCGAACATGGTGGAGAAGTTCGCCACCACCATGATGTCAGCGGAAGCTTGAGTGGCGGACTACAACCGACAGAATGGTGGAGGAGATGATGGAAGAAGGCTGTCCTAAGACGATGACCTCAACGTTTGAACGCCGAAGAGGATTGCGGTCGAAGGCCCACTCGCAGAGGGTCTTTTGTCAAGCAACACTCGATTGCGGTGTCGTTGCGAAGAGTTTGAGGAGCTAGCTTACAGTGTAGCGTCTCTACTTGATTTGACGAAAGTTCAGGGTCCAGCAGCATTCGGAAATGTAGGAACACGATCAGAAAAATAGCAAAATGAGAAGAAATAATATTTCAAGACACGGGAAAAGGTACATTGGCAGCTGGACAGAAAGGGTAGGAAACAAGAGAAATTGGGGGGGAAATAACAATAAATGGTCCGGCAGCGCGATCCGACTAAACACCGACGCAGCACGGCACGATTCGGCTGCATGTGAGAGATCTTGACGCCGAGGCTTAGGCTTGGTCTTCTCAGGCCTTGACTCTCTGGTGCTGCTGTCGACTTTCTCCCCCGTTCGCTGACTTCTGGCGTGCCTGCTGCTTTCTTCACTCTGAGGCTCTGCGGTAGATCGCTCGATCGTGGGGACCGCCGGCATTACACGGTAAGGGAAGAGGAACAAACACCACATGGCCGATGCGATCGTCTTTCCGTGAGCTCTCTGCTTGCCGTATCTTGACGCACCTTGCCTGTGTTGATCTGCGATAGTGACCAACAGCCACGACGACCAGCTTGGTGTTATTTTTGGTGGTATTTTTGCTTCTGCAGCCACGCATGACACGGGAACAAGACGCGATGGCAATCCATTATTCACGTGGCTCCAGATGCCTCGTGCCTGCAGCATCTGTCAAACCCTTTGCGTCAAGGATATGCCTGCTTCTTGCTGCGAGCAGTGGTCGTCAGCGACTCGTTGCTTGGCAAGCCGCTCAGGGGGCGCTATGACCTCTAGACATACTGCAGCTGCAACTCTCGGACGGCTACCGAGACGGGAAGCTGTGGCGTGCAACTTCCGAAGGACGAAATGAAAAAGATCGTTCTGCTGTCGCTTTTCTGTGGCTCGGAGATGAAATTCGATTCGTACTTCTGGTCGGCAACAGTGGACAGATGGTGGCAGCCTGCGGAAAATCACATTTTTCGAGGAAAAAGAGAATTATGTGTCAAAATTGCATCGAACCCGCCACGCACGCGAGCTGTAGCAAGCAGAAGGCTGTACCGATGCCGTTCCTTTTTTGGCGAGGACGCTGTCGGTCTATGCTGTGGTCATGCAACTCGGACATGCTCGCCTTGCTCAAAGACAGAGTGCTGTCCGGACGCCAGTCCCACATTCGGTCCGATCGTCGAGCTCCCATGCCTCTGCGGTTCAGCACAGTGCGATACAGTACCATTCGACGCACGTTGGACGAGATCTTTGCCTCTTGCTTGCGCTGGAGATCAGATGCATGAACGATCGCGAACAAGGTCGCGGAATTGTGAGACACTTTGTGTCTGACAGGATCCTCGCTTAGAGATCTTCTGTGTCCTCATTCAGCCCTGCCTGTCCACGACGTTCCCGGCGCTTCGCAATAGCATATCCTAGCTGAACGACCGGTTGACGCGCACCCTTCTTGTGTGTTGCAACTCCGAATCTCGCTACCATTGCCTGCCCCTCTTCCTGTACACCCTCGTCCCTGATCCTTTATTCCGTAGGGTTATTGACTTCCTGCACGCCCTCCATACGCCTTCCTCGCCCTCCATCTCATCGCAATCGCTACTCAGGCTTCCCTCATTACCAAACCCAATTCCCGAAGAGCCCACCGTCTTGCCTCGCTTACCACCGTCTTTCCATAATCTCTTCCTGCCGCACCACCAGCCGCGCTATCGGGCGTCATCAGAGCAGCAAGCAAGTCCTATACAAAGACCACACGCTCGTTTGACAGACGAGCTCGCAGCTTTCTGACATGGTCGAACAGTCGGTGCTCACCGCAAGACCGTCACGGCCAGAACGAACGGCTTCGACCACCTACGAGCTTCCATCAGACACATCCGACGCTGCGACGTCAGGTCGACAGGCGCAGCAAGTGAAAGAACGTGCTCCCACCACACCGACCACACCCACATTCATCCTATCGCCGACGAACATCTTTGGTGCCCTTGGCGGCGAAAAGGCTGGCGAGCCTATGCTCCTTGGCGGCTGGAGTCGGAGCAGATCTTTTCAAGCAAAGGGAGCAAAGCAGCGTCCTTCCCTCCACAACCCTTCCGCTGTGCTTTCGGACAACAGCAAGACCGACGTCGCTTCGCTATCCTCGCATGCGGACAATGGCGACAATGAAAAGGGCGCAACATCGTCAGCAAGAGCGTCACGATCGCGGGCTGGGCTGTTTGGACTCCCTTCGCTCCGATACATGCTCTACACACGCAAGGGGCGCAGGGACGTTGCCACCCACCTGCGCGCCTGGAGCTCTTACAAGAAGATTCTCGTGCTCGCACTGATGCTCGTCGTTTCCATCAGGTTGCTCTTGGCTCCCTCCGCGCCGCTCGAGCGAGGCGTCAACGGTCGCATCGCCTCGCACAAATCCACCGATGCCGTCTTCCTCAACCACTGGATCGACCACGTCGTTGACCATCCCGTACGCGCCAGAGATAAGGCCGGCTTCGCAGAGATGGGTCTGCGTACCGAGGTCTACTCACATCTGCTGCGTCACAAGAACGTGCCCAACTTTGACCGCATGGAACGCGCTCTCTGGCCGTTCGTGCCTGGTATCAACCAGCTCCGAAAGTGGTGGCAGGCTTCGGTGCAAGCCAAACCTCATCAGTACGCCGCTGCCTCTACCTCTGCCGCTCCTAGCACTCGAGAGAAGCTGTTTTCGCGTGGATTCGGCAGCGGACCGCTAATCCAGCACGGCTCGCGAGGCATCGTCATGTCGCTCGGCTACAAGGGCTCCGTGTTCGCTTCGCAGTTCATCTCGATCATCCGCGAAAAGCACCACAACGACATCCCCATCGAGCTGTACTACTACGGCGATTCGGATCTGCCTACCAAGTACCGCGATTACCTCACAAAGACCTACCGCAACGTCCGCTGCATCGACTTGGAATCGCTCGGCCTCTTTGACCCGGATCTGGTCAAACTCGAACGTCAAGGTTTCGCCATTAAGCCGTTCGCTCTGCTGGCTACCAACTTTACAGAGGTCATCCTCGCCGATGCAGATGCCATCCTGCTCGAGGATCCCGACCACTTCTTCGAAGAGCCTGGTTACCTTGACACGGGTACGCTCTTCTTCCACGATCGCGATCACCTCCGCAAGGGCGCGGACGACATCATCCAGAACTTCATGAACAATCAGCTCTCGCTCCGCGGGCCATCCCCTCGACTCGCGTCGAGCGAATTCTGGAAGAAGAAGGGCATCTTTGAGCAAGAGTCCGGCATCGTCGTGGTCGACAAGAGAAAGACAGACGTGTTTGCAGCTTTGCTCTTCACTGCGTGGCAGAACATGGGCGAGATCAGAGAGAAGACCACGTACCGCATCTGGTGGGGAGACAAGGAGACTTTCTGGCTGGCGTTTGAATTCGCCAACTTCCCGTACTACTTTGTGCCGAGATATGCGCAGGCTATCGGCACGACGAGGAGGGTGAGTCCGGCGGAAAAGCTCGAGCGCGCTGCCAAGGCCAAAGCCAAGGCGGAGAAGGCCAAAGCCAAGGAGGAAGCGGAAAAGGCGAAGAAGGGTGGTAAGGAGGCAGTCGCCGAGGCGCCGAAGGAGGTCAAAGCTGATGCGGAGAAAGCGGCGGTCAAAGGCGATGAAAAGAAGGCGGCTGCCGGTGCCGAGGTGGTTCACTTTGACGAAGCTGGCGATGCACTACCCGCAGCAGATCCTCAAGAAAATCCGTTCAAGGAAGGAATACTCCCCGGCGAGCCCGAGCCCGAACCTCTGCAACCACCCTCCTCGCACGACGACAACGCTCCCCTCCGCGTCGTTTCCTCGACAGACGAAGAAGAAGAAGAGTTCTGCTCCGAACACCCGCTCCACTTCCTCGGCGCCGACATCGAAGACAACAACGGCGACGGCGTCGCCGACGCCATGTCGCTCGGTCGTCCCGCCTGGTTCAACGGCGGAATCCTCGACACCAAGACCATCTCGGACGAGGTGTACATCAACCCCAACGCCTTCTCGCTCGACGGCGCGTGGGAGTTCCTCTTCGACGAAGAACAGTGGTGCATCCGAAACTACACCTTGGGCAACATCAGGCAGTTTGACTTGACCGATCGAATCGACGCGATCAAGAGCATCGCAAAGAACGCCGAGGTTAAATTCCATGCAAAGATCCCCAAGCTTCCGAAGAAGGTTAAGAAGGACAAGTAGGGAGGGGAAAACAGGATTCAGGCGCTGTAGATAGCTTTCTGGAAATTGCACTCGTGTCACGCTCACTTAAGTTACCAAACACAAAGATCGTCCGTTTGAAGTGAGTGATGTATGCGTCTTGCGTTAAGAGTATCTGCACGCTGTGGCACGACACTACACTTGAGGATCTGGCTTGGCTCTCAAGCCATCAGCCTCGGGGACGTCCGCATCGTCATCCGAATCCGCCCCTCTCGCCCTCTTGCCACTCCTCCCCTCCGCCTCTTCCTCCTCACCGTCGTCCTCCGCCCTTCTCTTCCTGAACAGCTTCGTGCCGGGCACATTCTCCGGATTCATACACTGCTTCTGCCTCGCATCGATCGCCTTGATCCTCTCCAGATCGTCCGCACCTTTCCCCTTCCCTGTATACCCACCGTTCTCCGTCTCCTCGATCATCTTCTGTATCTCATCCAGTACCGCCTCGAGTTCGTGCCTGCTCATACCCAGCGGTTGAGTCTCCAGCAACTCGTCTTCGAATTCGACCTCTCCCGATGGAATGCTCGCTGCAGCGGCCACCTGGTCTTCGGCAATTTTGGCACCTGCTTTGCCCTTCAACCTCCTCGCTAGGGCGATCTTCGCTTTTGCCGCTCTCGCTGTTTCCTGCTCCCTCACTTGGACCCTCCTCTTCTTCGCTTCTAGCCCGGCGTTTCTGGCCAGCTCCTCTTTCCAGTCCAACCAGCTGGTTACGACCTCCTTCCCCTTCGGTTCGACCATCCTCACGCACGCGAGTGCGATCTGCGAGGGGGTGTACACGAACTCTGCATCGGTCAGCCTAGACTTTCCCAGCTTTCCATGCGCTTCCGCTGCTAGCATGTGCACTTCTTCCCTCCCCACCTTGACCTTTTCCATCGCCTGTATATCCAATAGCAATCCGTACATGCTCCTATGCGCCCCCGTAACGCCGTACTCGAAATTCAAACTCTGCGAGACCAGAAACTCCAACTCGAGCACCACCTTTCTGTTCTCCTCCACCAACGCTCTATTCTCGTTCGCCTGTCTCCCAGCCAGCTTCCTCGCAAAGTCCGAGAGATTCAACGGATAGTTCTCGGCTTTGGAGGCGAGAAAGATGCACGTGATGACGATGTTCTTGGGGTGGAAGTCCATGACTGTGTTACGAAGGTAGAAGCGTTTGACAAAGGTCGTGGCTGTGGCCTCGACGAGTTCGGGTAGTCTGAGGGCGTGGACGATCTGGGACACTTTGACGAGGTAGTAGGTTATGAGGGAAAGCTCGTCCGAGACGGAGAGGAAGGGGATGGTTGAGGGAGAGGTGGAGGAGGATTCCTCCGCCCAGAGTGTCGAGAGGCGATCGCGTGCGGATGCATTGATGGCGGAGCGGATAGAGGAGAGTTTGGAGTGGGAGAAGCGCCAGTTGCGGCCTTGGGAGGTTTGGGCGTAGGATGACGAGGGGCCGAAGGGCGGTGGTAGGAGTGGGTTTGAGAGGAGCTCGACAGGTCGCATCGAGGAGGATGCGTAAGGTGGCCGAGCGGAGGCAGAGCTAGGCTCTGAGTTGACCGCTGCCATCTTGACGTGGGTGATGAGTCGACGGGGTTGCTTGAGGATGGTCGAAGATGGTGAGAAGACGATCTTGCGGGTTCGACAGATGGACTGAGCACCAAAAGTGAGAATGTGGAGCAGCCGGCGAGATTCGACCGATCTCGGACCATCTTCACTCGACAGATCGGCGATTGGATTCGGTGATTTCTGGGCCCTCTTTTTCGCACGTCTTTTTTTTGCTTGTCTAAATCAAGCCCGTCCTTCAAAGTCTGTCAACGCAGTCTGTACCCCTGTCACACAGCATGTATAGACCACCACCCTCTTCGCTCGACGCCGCACAGGATCGCCTCATCTATCGCTATCACTATTTCAGCTGATGTGGCATAGCTCAACATCTCGGCCTGTAAACGTCGATGTGAGAATAGGCCACCACCGGCGATGCTCACGAGGCAACGACTCGGACCCTGAATGATCGACGGTGCACCTCGCACCCATGCAAAGGCAAGTTCAGAAGGCCGCTCGCGAGTTTTCACAGATCCACCTGCGTTGCATGTGACACGGACGTGCGTGCTAGGCCAATCGCACGTGCATGCGGCGTTCAGTGGTCAGAGTTCCGTACCACTGCTTGCGGGACAAACACAGACGAGCCGATGAAAAGAAGAAAGGAAAAGTTCGTCAGAGAAATTTGACAGGGTTCGGTTGCCAAAAAGAAAAGCTTGGCGCCAGTGTGTACTGCTCGCCTCTCATACACATTCTTTCGTGATTGGCTCTAGTTGCGAATATTTGCGTAAGGAAAGAGGCGTCGGATCCGAGTGGTGACTGATGCGTGCTGTACAGTCGCGGGACTGAAGACGACAGCGCAGCTCGAATGTCCGCCGGTCGGGAAGGCATGCGAGCAAGGACCTGGATGGTACCGTCGACCATGTGTGACACATTCGGGAAAGGCAAGGTGGATAATCTTCTCGATTCGACACGACAGCAGGCAAGGATAGATGGCCGAAGTGGCCCGGTGGCTAGCACGGGCATGTTACAGTGACCAAGACCGGCATGCCGGGGCGCGCGTGCAGTCGCCTTGTCGATGCACTTCCAGTCCCGAAGCGAGTGCAGCGAAGTCAGAAGTGACACGGCGCGACCAAAGACAGACGCGTCTTTGGCTGTGGTGACAAGCTGCACCTGCCGAATTTTGCTGGCGCCAAAATTGTCTGCAGACAATGCAATCGCCGGGCTACAAAGTGCTGCATCGCAACGCGTGGTCCTTTGCCAGCTCTGCGTGAGCTTGCTGGTTTGCCCCCGTCTCGAGTGCTCAAAGCAAGATGCCGAATTTGCTCATGCCGCTGTTGGAGCTGAGACGCAAAAAAAAAAACACCGCTCGCGCCACGCGGTCCATCACGACAGTCCACGTCTGCAGCCCAAGCGTCCTTCGCTAGAGACTATCGACAACACGCTAGCGTCGCGGCGATATTGTATGGCGATCGATCCCGAAATGCCTTGCTCTTTGGATCGGAAGCAATGGGCGTGTTTACGAAAGCACACCTACAATGTCAGCGGTATACAGTCGCGAGAAATCCGGTGCCAAGCCTTTCTTATTGTTTGGCTCCGACGTAACTCGCCGACGGCTTGGATGTCGATCAAGAACAACCGAGGCTCACCTCGCCTGCGAACCATGGCCACGTCGAGGTGGCGCGTTGCGACGGGAGCGGCGGTTGAAATCGCGCATGTGCAAGCTTCAGACTCGGACCTTCCGTTGGGAAGCTAAGCTTAAAGCAAGCTTTGCGCCGAAGTCAAGAACGAATCAATTTGGGACGTGAGGAATTCAACCTGCACTCTCGCTTTGCACCCGCTGCACCATCGAACACACATGCGCCCGGCGTGACTCGGCTTGCGCCCAGCGATCGCGTGCTTTCATTCCATCGTTGCTAGTATTACCGAAGCTCGTTGCAAGCAACCACACACGTCCGGAGTGCAGGAGGCGTATAAGCTGCCAAAAGGGACACGGCATTGCGATGGTCTCTGTTGTTGGATCTCCGACAGGGTCCATTGGGGTCGACCGTGCGGACGCTCACGAGTCGTACGCTGCACAGCCTGGCATCATCGTTGCGACGATCAGGTCGATGTCTGCAAAGACATATTGGAGGAATGCGCAGATAGTGCAACCGATTGATTAGAGGGCCGGCCTCCCGCTACCATGCAGCAGTTAGCGGCATGAAGTCGGGAAGGGCGCCAAAGCCAGAAGAAGATTTGATCGTCGCCGAGCGCGCTTTTGACAGTTCGCCGAAGTGACACCAACACTTTACAAAAAACAAAAAACAAAAACAAGAACAAGAAAGTTGAGGCACTAGATCAGAGGCCAAATTGGAGGCACGCAGTAGAACACGCAGACGCGCGGCACGCAGCTAGCTGTCCTTGCGCTTCCTCTGCTTAGCTGGCACACGGCGGCAACACCGGCACGACCAGGCGCAGATGGTGAAACCCCTGTCTACATTGACCTACATACAGTATCCCCTCTCCCCTGTTGTCCATACAGCTGTTCCGTCCTGGCGGCGTCTGCAATTCCACGAGACAACACCGTACAAGACATCGTCGTCTTGGCAGGTAGTGTGCAGAGAGGAGGAAGGTGAGACGACATCGTAGCGTGCATCTACACAACAGCTGCTCTGGCATGTGAAGGAATTAGCGTCACTGTGTTGAGCGTTCGGGTGCGATTGCGTGCGGGCGTACTTGCGTACTGCGTGTGTGCGTGAGCGTGCTTGTCGGAAGGTGATGCGGTGGTGCAGTGTCGCCGACTGCCGCCCGCTGGCCTGTGGATTTTGCTCTCGTGAATCCCGCTCTGGTGTACCGATCTGCAGTCCAAGGCGTCTTCCGATGCTACTACTGCGCGTCGCAGCATGAGGTTCGGTCCCTCCGTTCCGTTTCCTGCCAAGGTGAGCGTGTACAAGTCATTGTAGTGCAGTGCACTGCTGAGTCTTTGCCTTCGAAACGAGCTGGAAGGTTCGGGGAGAATACCTTGTTGTCAGTCGCCTTCCGAGTTCTGTAGGCTGTCCCGACGCCAAAATAAAAAACCAAAAAGGAGAAAAGGAGAAACGAAAATACCAAAATTCGGCTGCCGTGTGCAATTGCAGTTGTGGTTCGCGTGTTCGGCTGGTCCGACTCGTTGCAGTGGTGCCGCTTGCTTTCCGCCTTTTGCTGTCGTGAAGCGCTTCGTTATTGTCTTGCCGTTTCCTGCCTGAGCTGTAGTGCCTCTCTCCCTCTCTCGGGCTGCCATGCTCAACGTCGTCCACACCATCAACGTCGACATCGACACCACCTTCCCATCACCATCAGCATACCCTGCTGCTCCCTTCTTTTCCTTGTCGCTACCATCTTCTTGCACTCGACGCTGCAATCTCGTCACCTGCCAATAACCACCCTCTCGGCTTCGTCGTCGGAGCCACATCTACGCTCTTTTCTCGCAACAATCTGCTACATCTGCTCTTCCGCAGCATCGACTGCCTCTCTTTGATTCTGAAACGCGCATCGCATCATAAGTTGCTTTCTCTTCTTTGCCAGAAACCTGCTTGGCATCTCGACTTCAGTCTATCGCTCCTTCTGCTGCAACGGAAACAGAAAGAGTCACCCCGCAACGCCTTTATCTTCGTTGGCTTCTGCCTGTCGATTTCAGCCACTAGCTTATGTACCGCTTCGAGTAGTCAATTCTTGGAGCTGATCTTCCCCGTCTCTCGAATTTGCACCGGCTGGATCCGTGCGACTCCCAACATCATTCGATCTGGGCCCCGAATTTGCATCACGACCAGCTCGCGATTCTCCGTTCAGCGGAGAGCTTTCCTCGCCCGAAGATAGATAAACAAAACCTGGATCGACACACTCCATCGCATGATCCACCCGTAAACGGTCCTACCTCCTCACTCCCTAACTCGACGTAATCACACCTCCGGCCTTGGCATCTCGCTTCATCCGGACTTCATCTGCAAGCGCCTGGTTCGCGCCTCAACCCCCCCACACCCTGGTGCTCCATCGGTTCTGCAACAATGGACGCACACACACTCAACGCATGGACGCGCTTCGCCCTCCAAAAGGGGGGCATCGGCTCATGCACCGCCCTCATCGACAATCCCGCCACCGAGCCAGAGGATCTCATGTTCATGGCCGGCGAGAAAATCATCGTCCTTCGCAGACTCGATGACGAAGCGCTCGACGGCGTTCCTCGTCCTACCAGCAGCACGAGCGCATCGCTCAACAAGAGGAAGAGCGACCTGCTCCCGGACTCGGACGCTTGGTTCCTCGGCTACTGCGAGGGCGTCGTAGGCCGCTTCAAGGGTGCCCACGTTCAGTTCCACGCACGACTCAAAAAGCCCGTCCTGATGCGACGCAGCGGCGCAGGCGGCATTCGCGACTCGAGCATGCGTCCCATGTCCAAGAGTGAGGCCGCCAAGATGCATCTTTCCCAGGTTCCAGCCGGCATTCCATTCACATCCGTCGATTCCGACGGCGAGGAGGACTCTGTCATCTTGTCGCCCGTCGATCGTCGTCCACAGGCCATGCCTCTGCCGACCATGCCATCGAACAAACCTTCTGCTTCATCTTCTTCGATTGCTGCAGCATCGTCGTCGTCATCAGCAGCTGCGCCCGCCATCAAGCAAGGCAGATTCGGTCTCACCACACCGCCACTCTCAGATGAAGGCCACCTTCGTAAGCAGTCCAATCCGCGTAGGCTCGCACCGGAAAATGATGAAGACTCCGACGACTCGACGTCGCTCCTTCCTTGGGCCAGACACAGTCGAGAAAGCAGCCTGGCATCGTCCTCGAGTCCTCGCAAGCCCACCGCTCCTCCTACACGCAATGACTCGCTCGCTCGACCCGCCGCGCCCGTCCGAACTTCATCCGCTTTTTCGCAGGACTACGCAGCCCACGCGCAAGCACCCCACACACTTCCCACCATCCACCACCTCCCGCCATCGCCCATCTCATCAAGCGAGTCGCCCGTGCATGCCGAGTCGAAAGCCGCGCTCCCTTCCTTCACCACCACGTCCAGCTCTCGCTCCAACTCTCGTTCGGGCAACACCTCGGCCGACACAACCGTCACGGCCAACAGCACCGTCGCCGACCTGGCATCGCGCACATCGTGCACGTCGTCCAACAGCACCACTTCGACCAACGACGACTCAGACGACGAGAACGGCGCAGGTGGTCGCCGCAGAGACTACACCTTCTCCATCTACGACGTTTACGGGCGCGATTCGGTTGCATTCCCCAACTTTGACTTTCGCCAGTACGGCAGCAAGTCTTCGCTCGCCAAGCTCGCCGCTTCCAGGTCCAGCGAGTCGCTCAACGTACCTGGCCAGCGTTCGTCGAGCGCCACCGACGAAAGGCTGCAGCTGCCGCCGTCGCCGCAGCAGCGCGGCCAGCATCTTCGTACACAGCAGCCGCTGTCCGGGGACGACGCATCGAGGACATCGCAACAGCAAGCACAATCGTCACAGCAGAGCGCTGCAGGTATGACTGCGAACGGCTATCCACGCCGACCGGGCCAGCTCAATGTGCCCGCGGCCAATGACGCGTCCATCCCGCTGGCGTTGCGCTCACCGTCCGGACGACGTCCCAGTGCGGCTCCCGACCCGAGGTATGCAGGACCCGCTGGTGTGCGTGGGCCAGTCAATGTGGCGTCCAGTCTGCGCCGTCAAGTCGAGACACCACCTGTCGCCACGGCGGCCGCAGTTGTTTCGCCTCTGGATGCTGCAGGCGCCGCTCTGGCTCCAAATGCTGCGCACCGTGGACCAGGCGCGTTCGATCCGCTCCGACGTCCATCGCAGACCACCGCAGTCCCAACTCGCATGCAGCCGAACACGCTGCCTCGCATCCACACCGGATCGACGCCCACGTCGACCGCCTCTGGCTCCGGCTCGTCGCCGCCGGTATCCGCTGGCGCCAACAACAGCCAGGATTCTGGCGCGATGCATCGACCTGGCTTTGCAGAGGCGCGTCAACGTCGCAGGTCCTTGTCGGTGGGGATGCAGAACAAGGTCGAGAACCTTGCATTGCACGAGGATGCGCACGCAAAAACGGCAGCGCCGTTGCCATCGCCTGGGCAGCCCAACGGACCTGGCTCGGCTGGCACAGCTCGACCCAACTTCCGCACCTCGGCCGGTTCTTCTCGCTCGCGCACCGGTCCGTCCACATCGCCCGGCCTTGGTCCCGTGCGGGCATCGTCGGACCGATTGTCGGAGCGCGAGAGGGTGCACTCTGGCCAAGGCTCGGGTCTGCTGCGGAAGAATCCATCGAATCCTACTCCCGGCCTTCATGGCGGCAGTGGGCTTCACGCTCTTGCTCCCATGGCAGCACCGAGGAGTGCCAGTCCGATGAGCCAGCTCAGCGCACCATCTCCTGTCATGGATGGTCCGCGACGTGGAAGCGCTGCCAGCGCCGGCGCGTACTCGACAGGTCCTCGCAGCCCGCAAGCACGCAGTCCGCTTGGTATGCCCATGGGTGCGCTGCCATCGTCAGCGCCCACGACGCCGGGCAGTGGTGGATCGCACCCCAACGGCATGTTCGGCTTCCCGGCTTCGCCTGGCTCTGTGACGAGCCCTGGCGGCATGGGCCAACGATTCGATGCAATGGGCTTTGTCGTCGCACCTGGCGTTGTGCCCTCGATGCCGCCGAGCGACGACCCGGAGCTGCGCGAAAAGTGGCTCGCGGTGCTCGCCGAGAACGACGTGTCGGCTGCGCTCAAGAGCAGGAAGGTCAAGAAGCTGGTGCGCACGGGCGTTCCCGCTTCGGTGCGACGCGAGGTGTGGCTCTTCCTGGCAAACGCTTCGGTGCGTCGTCGACCTGGACTTTTCGAACAGCTCTGCAAGACCTCGAACGGTCCCAAAGGCAAACGCGGCAAGGAGGAGGCGTACGACACGATCGAAAAGGATCTTCACCGCACCTTGCCCGACCACCGTCTGTTCATGGGCGAAAATGCGACTGGCCGAGCCGACCTGGAAGGCATCCTCAAGTCGTACGTCCACTTCAACCCCATGCTCGGCTACACGCAGGGCATGGGTCTGCTGGCTGCGTTTTCGCTCATCCAGATGCCAGCCGAGGACGCGTTCTGGCTGCTGTGTGCGGTGCTTCGAAACCCGCAGATGGAAGAGTACTACTCTGCAGGGATGAAGCAGCTGCACGTCGACAGCGTCGTGTTCGACAACCTGCTCAAGACCATGGATCCGGAACTGCACGCTCGATTCGATCAGGCGGGTTTGCAGTCGATCATGTTCACGCCCAACTGGTTCCTGCCGCTCTTCACACGCGTGCTACCCTGGACGACGCTGCTTCGGGTCTGGGACGTGTTCTTCTACGAAGGACCGACGTGGATGCTTCGCGTCGCGCTGGCGATCGTACGGATCCTTCGGGAGCAGCTGATGGATCAGCAAGCTTGCCCGACGGCGGGCGAGATGCTGCAGCTGCTTCTGCATCCGCCTGCGCACAACTTGACGGTGGAGAACGTGTTGAACTGCGCGTTCAGCGTCAAGCTCAAGGATGGAGAGATGAGGAAGTTGAGCAGGACGGCGAGCAAGCTGGTTCGTGAAAAGCAGTTTTTGAGCCAGCCTGCGGATGCGAGAGGAAGGGCGTCGGTGAGGAGGACGGTGAAGGGGGCAAGGAGTACGAGTGCTCCGGCCAAGAGGTGATTGCGGAACTTGGCTGCATACAGGCCTGCTCTAATCATTATAATTTCACAGACATTTCGTTCCGAGCTTCTTGGTCGTGCTGGCTGGCGTTGTTCGTGATGTGAACGATCGGCCGTCTTTCTGCAGGCAGGACGAGTCGACGTAGAGCTGAGTGGAATGTGTTTCGGTGGTGTGGGCAAGATCTGAAGTCGCGGTGGATCGTCCCTCTGAAATGGCCGGTGGGGGAAGACGCGGATTTTCTGTTTGGCCGTCGTGGAATAAGCATCAGGCTCAAGAAATAACGCATGGGCCCCCACTCAGGCTCCACTCGGACCTTTTTTTGAAACTTGTTTGGTTGACAGCAAACATAAAGTCGGCAGCACACTGCGAGGGTTGGAAAGCTCGTGATAAGCGAGAGTCGTACAAGAGTTCATTCTGGTGCACCCACGAGACCGGGCTTCGTGTCTGTACGTGCGTCGACCACCATCAACGGCCAGCACAAGTATTGCTTCGCACCTCTGAACTCATCGATACGTCGAGGATCGATCTGCTGATCCGGTGTATTTGGAATTCGTGCGCTCGCAATCCAGCGAAACGGCGGAACAGGCCGGATGCGATACCTTTGACAACGACCAGCGATACAGACATCGAAACCACCTACGAGAGGTGAAATCGTGCTACAGCGATGACTTCAAACTCTCGCTACACCTCGGTGCCTAGCGAGGCAGCCGAGGATGTCTCTGCATCATCTTCGAGCCGCACCACATCCAACAGCAGATCGGCGCAAAACAATTCCGGACTCGTCCAGCACTTCGCCCGAGCAGGTGTAGTCGGATCAACCGCATTTGTCCTCATCTGTCTGTTTCTCTCCATCGCAGGTCCCTACCCTTCACCGTCCTCCCACGTCGGCGGTTCGTTCAGCAAAGGTCTGTCTGCGGAACGTCGTCGAGATCGCACCATGAACGAGGCGACGTGCCGAGCCGAGTTCCCGCTGCTCTTCCCGCAGATCCAGCAGAACGTCGACGCATGGAAGGCCAAAGGAGGCATCTCGTACCACGATCTCGACGAAGCCACTCGGACCTCTGCGGGCAACTGGGGGATGGCGCGTGTCGTCATCCGAGATGGACAGCTGTTCCTGCGTCAGGTTCGCGAAGGGGGAGAATCTCGAATCTCTGCCCTCCTCCATCTGCTGCATACAGCGATCACCACAGATCCTTCTTCGACCTTCTCACAGAACGATCCTTATAACACTGGTGTGGAGCTCGTGCTGTCGGAAGCGGACAAGGACGCCTCATCCACGAGCTCCGCCATCTGGGTGCTGTCCAAACGCGTCTCCGAACCCGCTTCAACAGGGACCTGGTTGCTGCCCGACTTTGGATTCGTCGGATGGCCCGAAGCAGGCATCGCATCGTTCTCCGAATTCACCCACCTCGCCTCGCTTCAGGACACGCTCGTACCGTGGTCCGTGAAATCGGATCGCATCCTCTGGCGTGGTCTCGCCAACGGCTACGCGCCACGAGTCGATCTGCTCTCGCGCACCGATCCTTCCCGCGTCTCTGGCGCAGATACATGGGCAGATGTGCAACAAACTTCCTTCCATGACGTCGGTGAACAGTTCCATCCGATCATCCCGATGCACGAGCATTGCAGGTACAAGTACCTCGTGCAGACCGAAGGGAACAGCTATTCTGGTCGCGGCAAGTTCCTTTGGTCTTGTCGAAGTGTCACGGTGGCACACCCGATGGAATGGACGCAACACTTTCACCCTGCGCTCAACTCTGATCCGAAGAGCAGACAGCAGAACATGGTGGAGCTAAAAGGACCCCTGTTCGCGGGGTTGGAAGAGACAACCAAGCAGTTGCAGGCAAGCGCGCACATTTCGAGCGACAAGGATCTCCCGCGAAACTACACCACCGCAGATGGAGTGTTGGAATTGAACCCACCGCAGAGGATCGCGGAGAACGCGGTGGAGAGTCTGAGGCACAGGTATCTGACGGAGGCTGCGACGAATTGTTATCTGAGAGCGGCGTTGAGGGGGTATGCGGGGGTGTTGAAGAAGGACACTTGGCCGAGGGAGGAGAATGCTGGTGCGTGGGATGAGTCCGGTGCGGGGATCGTGCCGAAGGGGGGACCCGGCGGAGGGGTGGCCCCGGGCAGCGGCAAGGGGAAGGATTTGGTGAAAGTCGGAGTGAAGGGAGATATCGAGTATGGGATCTGGCGCCTGAGCGGTAGTCCCGATTGGCCGCCTGTGGCCCCCAAACCACAGTAGAAGCTAAACCGAGTTCTGAGGGCGATACCAGGAGGATACGTCCCACGGACATGTATAGACGATTCGCACAGGGATAGCATTGAACAATTGCAGCTTTTTATTCGCCTCTATCAGCATCGATCTGTGTCTCTACCTGCAAGTCTCCATTATCATCTCTTTCCAGAAACTCACTCCTGCACACCCTTAACGTTCTCCCTGATGAACTCGAGCATCCCCGCGAAGCTCTCCACCTTGCTCTTCCCACCCGCGCTCTCCAACACTTTCTCGTCCCTTACATCCGGGATCCTCGTCTCGTAGCTGTGACCGACACCTTGCGCCCAGTAGAACTTGTGCTTCTTGTCAGCTTGCATCAGCCTGTGGGCAAACGCCTTGGCCTCGGGCCCGAGCGGATCGTGTTCGCAAGCGATGATGTAGCAAGGCACCTCGAAGCTCTCCGTGCTTGCCTTTGCAGGGCTGACCCTTGGATCTTTCCCCATCTGCAGTTGAGTCGCTTCATCCCATCCGAGGTAGGCTCCGAAGAAGAAGTGCATGATCTGCGCGGACAGGGGAGACATCGGAATGCCCGGCAGCTCGCCCTCTTCGTTGGTCGGCTTTTCCGAGAGAGGGATGGATGAATCGGTCGGAGGGTAGAGCGTTACGCAAGCCTTGATGTGCGAGTACTCTTCCTCCGTCAGTCCCAGCGAAAGAGCAATGGAGCGCGAGGAGAGGCAAAGAGCAAAGTTCGCTCCGGCAGAATGACCCTTGACCACCAACTGACCATCGAACCATGGTTGGGCGATGACCCACTTGACCGCCGACACAGCATCGTGGATCCCTTCCGGAAACGGATGTTCCGGCGCCTTGACGTAATCGGCATCGACGACAGTCGCGGTCTTGAGCTCGTCGACGAGCCATCGGTTGACGTCGGCGTCGGCACCGAATCGGTCGACCACGAATCCGCTGCCGTGCCAGTTGAGAATGACCGGTCGCGGTGTCGTGTCAGGCAAGGAAGCGGGATTGTAGATGTCGACCTTGATGGATCGAGACGTGGTGTGGGAAGGGATGGTAAGGCTGCGATTGGGAACGGCTGTTTGAGGGTGGGTGATGCCGCCGGATCGGACAAGTTTGAGAGCGGAGGCCACTTCTTCGGGTGAAGGGTTGGTAGGGTTGCGGAGCAGTTGGAAGCCCGTGCTTGCGTTGACGGCTTTGGATGCGACGGACATTGTGTTGAGCGTTGCGGATATGTTTCCAGGGAGGAGTGGATGGGACTGTTGTGGTGGTGACGGTGGTGGAACTAGGTCAGGACAAAGTGAGGGGTGCAAAGAAGGGTCAAAGCGGCGCCCAATCTGTGACCACAAGCATCACACGGCGGCAATATTCAAACGGTGGCTCGCTGCTTCCGACTACAACATTGGACGGTCGGATCCACAAGAGGAAGCTGCTGTTGCGTTCGGCATTACGAAGAGTCCATGACCACGAGGATCAATACCCTCGGCGGTAGAAGGAGATAGTGAGCAACCGCTCAGCAACCGCTGCTTTGTACAACGTCGACAAATTGACCGATGGAGGCTGCCCTCAGCATCTCCGGTCCGGTTCCCTTGCCGAGTCCTTCGCTGTCGGTCCAGGATCGACGTGGGCGATGAAATTACATTTTGAAGCTATGTAATAGAAGATGTAACATTCTCTCCAGACCAACACCAAATTTCTCAGGCTGCAGGGACGCACGCGCCCTACACGGTTGATCCCTCCACTCAACGCGAGAGGCAGCAGTAGAGAGAGTGGCCGAGGCTGCAGTTGAACCCTGAATTGACTCACGACTGCGCATTCAACCTTCTTCCCTTCCATCCAGCTGCTCCCTCAGCACAGGCTCGTCGATGCCACCATGCCCAAGGCGTACTTTGTCAACAAGCGTGAGGCGGCGCGCGCCTTCAACTCGGACGATGACGATGACGACGATGACGAGCTCGAGCAGCTCGATCTCGATGCTACCTTCCAGAAGGACATGGTCCTCTTCTGCATCGACGCTGGTCCATCCATGCATCGCGTCGACCCCGCAACCAACACTTCGCCCCTCTACTCCGCCCTGAAGGCTGCGGCCTCACTCATGCAGAAGAAGCTCATCTCGTCGCCTCACGACCACGTCGGCGTGCTCATCTTCAACTGCGCCGACACGCTCTTCCGCTCCGCCAAGCCGGGAGAGTACTACAAGGGCAGCTACGAACTCCAGTCGCTGCGACAAGTCAACGTACCCGACACATACAACCTCAAAGCGCTGTTGCACGAAGCTGAGCACGATCCCAAGCACTTGCAGACGGTCCTGCCGCCTGCAGAGAAGCAGATGCGCATCGACTGGGCGCTTGCCAACGCTGGTGTGGCCATGGTAGCAGCTGCCAACGCGGGGAGCAAGAGAGTGTTCTGGATCACGGATAACGATGATCCGCATCCGATGAGCATCGATCGCAAAGCGACAAAGGCGAGGAGGGCGTGTCTCGACAAAATGAACGAATTCCGCAAGATCGGCGTTCGAATCGAACCGTTTTTCATCAACCCCAACAATGCCACCGCAGCATCGCAGTCTTCTTCGAGCCAGATGACGCGCGGATTCGAGATCAACAAGTTTTACGCCGACGTCTTTGCGCACTACGACGACGACCGTGATGAGGACGAGGACGAGGACGATGCCTACCCTCGACGACTGCCGCGAGGGTTCGGCAAGACAGCGGCCGAGCAGTTGAGGGGTCAGGAAATCAAGCGAACGCTGTGGGATTCAAGTGTACGATTTCAGGAGCTCGAAAACGACATCGCTACGCGCGAGACGCCCAAACGCGTCGTGTTCAACATCAGGTTCGAGCTCGCCGCCCTCGATCCAACACCAGAGTCGAACGGATCAGCAGCAGAGGAGGCGGAAGAGAGGCTGCCGCAGGCACGTACGCGCGGGCGCAAGTGGCAGATTGGCATCAAGGGGTACAGTCTCGTCTCGAGAACCACCAAAGGTAACCCCGTCAAAGTGATCGTAGATGACGACTGCGGCGAGCTCAAAGAGGTCGTGACGCACCAGCACTACATCGACGCCAACTCTGGAAAGCCACTGTCTAAGGAACAGGTCATCCCGGCTTTTCAATTCGGTCCATCATCGACCTTGCGAGGACAAGTCACGTTTACTCCTCAGGAACTGAAAAGCATCAAAACGTTCGGCATGTTGCCATGCCTCAAGCTGATCGGGTTTCGCGACAGGGATGACCTGCTTCGGTTTGAGTGGAACGTCAAGCACGCCTACTTTATCTACCCGTCAGATATTGAGTGGAAGGGCAGCCGGAAGACATTCACGGCTTTGCTCAACTCGATGCTCAGCAAGGGCAAGGTCGGATTGGGGCTGTTCATGCCGAGGCAGAATGTGGTGCCCGTCTTTGTGGCGATCGTTCCGCAGGAGGAGGAGGTGAGTGCGGATGGCCAGCAGATCGTCGCGCCTGGGATACACCTCATCACGTTGCCGTACGCAGACGATGTACGAGACGTACCTGCCAACCTCCTCCGCACCGAGGATGCCAAGGATGAGCAGGTCGATAAGGCAATCGCGTTCATCGAGCGCTATCAAAAGAAGCAACCGTTCAACCCGGATCACTATCCCAACCCGGCTCTCAACCACCACTACGCTGTCCTCATGGCCACCGCTTTTCAAGAACCCGTGCCCACCTCGCCAACCGACCTCACCGTCCCTCAGTACAGCACGATCAAGAAGCGTACAGCTCACCTCATCCAGGACTGGCACGAAGCGATCAACGAAGATCCCAGGCTGAGCATGAACGCCTCGATCAACAGCAACAAGCAGGCCAAGACGAGCACCAAGGTGAGGGAGACGACGTTCGAGGATGACAGCGAGATCCTGGATCTGTGGGAGAGGGGAAAGCTGAGCGCGTATACGGTGGCAGAATTGAAGTCGGTGTGCGACTTCTACAGGTTGGACAAGAAGGGGAAGAAGACGGAGCTCTTGGTGAGGATCGATGAGCATATCCGCAAGCAGAGGAAGGGGTGAGGGGTCGCGATTTATCTAAACCTAGTACGAAACGATATTGTATTTGCGTGTGTGAAAGGAGAGACCCCACTGGTGTGGTTTGTGCTAGAGCAACTGAGCAGGTGAGCAAGTACAGGACGGTGACTGTGGTAAAGCGCGGCCGAGGTTTTCCACGGTGATATTTGGTGGTGACGAGCGCGGTGCAGGGACCGAATGCTCGGATGCTGTGACAGATGCGCCAGAGCAAATGTGACAGCTGGCTGACAAGCACACGCGCGCAGAGAGGACGGCAGAGGTGTGTGGGGAAGGGCATGTGTGGCTCGCGTAATTTTTGTGAAGTCGGCAAGAACGCTTGCCGATTCCGGATGGAGCCTGTGTCCAACTTTTTCACGTTGAAGCTGCGCACATGCCATCGATCTTGGCATCTCTGCTGCCCATTCTTTTGTCTCTCACCATCATCTCGTCCTGCTCTCCTTCATTTTCAGCCACAAGAAACGTGTGTCGCAGTCAAAAGCACTTGATCAGCCACATAAGCCTGTACAACTGCAACAAATATGGGTAAAGAGGAAGACACATCTCGACCGGCGGTGGTGCTCCCACCGGCGGATCCATCCAAGGTCTTCCGTCCAGACATCTTCAAAGGCAAAGTCCTCTTCTGCACCGGCGGCGGTTCGGGCATCTGCTACGAGATGACCAAGACCATCATGTCATTCGGTGCCAACGCGTCCATCCTAGGACGCAAAGCGGATCGTCTCGCCCGAGCGTCCGAAGAACTCTCCTCTGCCACGGGTCAACAGTGTCTTCCCTGTCCAGCCGACGTTCGCGACCCGGAGCAGCTTCGGGAAGCCGCACGCAAGACGATCGAAAAGTTCGGACGCATTGACTTTGTCATCGCCGGATCCGCCGCAAACTGGCTCGCCAGCACAGAGCAGAACAACGAAAAGGGCTTCAAGACCGTCATCGACATCGACCTGATCGGATCGTACAACACGGTGAAATCTACTCTCGAAGAAGTGACGAAGAACAAGGGCAGCTACATCTTCATCAGTGCCACTCTGCACTACTTTGGTCTTCCGTACCAGGGACCTGCGAGTGCAGCGAAGGCAGGAGTGGACGCTCTCAGCCGCGTCCTGGCCGTGGAGATGGGTCCGTTGGGTGTAAGGAGCAATGTAATTGCCCCAGGACCTATTGGAGATACGGAGGGTATGGATAGGCTGGCTCCCAAGGGCGTGGGTGAGGCGATCGCCGAAGGCGTGCCGATGCAGAGGATGGGTAAGAAGAGCGACATCGCCGCAGCGGGCGTGTATCTGTTCAGTGAGGCGGCGAGCTTCGTCACAGGAACGCAGATGGTAGTGGACGGAGGAGCTTGGCATGTTCAGGGACCGATGCTGCCGTACCCGACGAGCAGTTTGGATCCCAAGAGCTTGAGCTCCATTGTTAGCGGATCTAGGCTGTAAGGATAGGATGAGGCTTGCTATTTAGTTGTGAATCGGTATGCTCAATTGACTCGCTCGTTATCATCGCGGTCGTGATCACTGTCTGTGTGAGAGGTTGAGCAGTACCGCAAGAGAGCTTTGAGAGACGAATCAGAAGCAGAACGTCTGGAAGAGTCTGCGAATACAGATCAAAGATGCAGCCGTCTCTGCACAGCATGCGCTTGATTCATCGTGCTTGCACGGCAGACGGGGAAAGACAAGTTACCGAGCCAGCTTTCCGGACGATGAGTGTTAGGTGGCCCGTTTCTCACAAGCTCAAAATCAGAAACTCCGCAAATAAAATCTCGAAAGCGGAAGAGATCTCACAGCCTAATGACGAAAATTAAAGAAAATTATAGTATTACACGTGACTCGGTCGGTTGTCCGTCTGGTAGCTCAGTCTCCGAAAATTGCTTTCGCCCCAGCCGTCAGCCTTTTGCGGTGAGGCGCATTCGCAACAGCCACACCTGACTGAGCCCGCACCCGAGAAAAATTCTCTCCGAATGTGAGGTCGTACAACTTGCGCCTCAGATCGTGAACTTCAGAGCCAGATAGTGGCTGAGCAACCGCAAAATTCACAGCTCGCTCAGCGACGCAACAGAAAAGTCGCAGCTTAGCCCACGAAGGCGCAACGACTCACCCAGAGCCGTTGTGGATTCGCACCTTTGCTTGACCTCCATCTTCTCACCATCAACACCCATAAGATCACCTTCAAGATGCCGTCCCAGAAGACTTTCCGTACCAAGGTCAAGCTCGCCAAGGCGCAGAAGCAGAACCGGTATGTATTCACAGCAACGACAATGCAGGAGAAAAAAGACAGCAGTAGTAGAGATGTGGTTCTCGACAAAAAGTGTCGATGAGGGATGGTAGTGAGAGATGTCGTGACGGTGGATCTCGATGACCGTGGATAACGATAGCGGTGGAAAGAGTGAGCGGCTCATGACGACGTCAAGCTGGTGTTGGGTTTGGCGGATGCATTTGCGAGGAAGGATATGGTAGTGCAGCATCGGACAATCAGCATATCAGAATCAAGACGTTGCAACCATCAGCATTCTCTGCATCAATCACCTCCGCCAACACGACTCATAAAATCCGCACGTAGAGCATCGATGCAGACAACGTCCTGCTCGCAGACATTTCAGCTATCAGCCAGGCATCCCATCATCCAACAAAGATGTCTCGCTTCAACACATCCGCGGACGACTTTGCGGAGACCTCACTTCGACACAGCACACATTGCGTCGCGGTCAGCATTCGCCTCTCGCGGCACCATATTCATCAGATGCCTAACGACATTCCGGCAGTCTGACAAGGTTGTGGCCAGAGACTGCTCGCACTCGTGCTTCTTGTCGTCTCCGCATCCTTCGCAGCCTGTCTCCAGCAAACCTCTACCCACCTTGTCGTTTTCGATAGCAGTCAAGTCAGCAGTGTGCAGCGAACAACAGCGGCATCGGAGCGGCCAATGCAGGAGCACGAATGTCCGCCATGACAGAACGATTTCTGTCGGCTCTCTCTGGACGCATTTTCCTGACGATCAGCGTACAGCGGCCGCCTGCCATGACCTGCAAGGCAACGCTTCGTTAGCTGCGTGCTTGTCGCCGTTGTCTTCTGCATCCTGGTGGTCGGATGCTGACGTCGTTAGCTGGCCGTCCGTTACACGTATGTTCCGCGCTGGTAGGCGTTCCGATCGTCCTTTGTTCGCCGCCGCACTGCGTAGATTGACCCAGCATCGCCTCGATCGCAAGTTTAGTTCGACCTCGCGGCGGCTCAGATACAGACAGCATCCAATGCCCAACTTTCGCTTTGCTTCCAATCTGTCGTCACTGCCAATGTCGTTCGAATCGCCAACAAAGCTTCGAGAACCCCCAGCAGAGTTCCTGGTTCCCCCAACCTGCCTTTCTTCAGTCACTACCGATCCATCCTGCCACCCTCGGACCTGTCAACCGCAATCTCTCCTTTCGACACTACTGCCAATTCTTCGCTACCACGGCTGCTTACTGCTGTCACTCTCACCTGCAAATTCGTCTCAAATCGTAACAACTCATACTGACTCGTTCCTCTCTCCTCGTCCCTCTTCAAATCCTGCAGACCCATTCCTAACTGGTTCCGCATGAAGGCCGACAACAAGATCCAGTACAACGCTAAGCGTCGTCACTGGCGCCGAACCAAGCTCAACATCTAAATCTCCCGCAGTCAGATGTTCCCCCTCGAGCTTTTTTCCGCATTTTTTTCCCACCTCATCGACAACTTTGCGCCCTTTCGAGAGAGAGGGCTTTGTACATCAACAAAACCTTGATCATCGTCCCAGCAAACCGAATTGCAGGGCGATGGTTTCAAGCACACACACACACACATACGTTCTGATGGTTCATACGTGGCTATCAAAAAAATCGAATCACTTTCTCAAAATCGCGTTGACGCGCAGACGCAGAGTGATGTGTGAGAGATTGAAGAGGGGTAGGGTTGACGTAGAGAGGATGGCGATGACGGCTTTGCGGGTTCTGAGACAGAGAGACGATGATGTGGGAGTGTGTTGCGTGTGAGGAGGTCCGATGGTGCGTGAGAGGGGGGGAGTGTTTGTGACGATCCAAGGTTCTTACCCCGTTGAGGTGTGGTGGCGGATGGGTGCACGGCTCAAACGCCAGGGGCATGGCAAGTGAAGTGCGTTCGTGGGCAGTGGCAGAAGGACCGCGGTCTGATACTGTGCGACGGCAAGCGACAGCTGTGTGGCGTGATGGTGTTTCGTGCTCGGTTCGAGGCATGAAGCACCAAACTCGCTCAATCGCAGACACAGCAGCGAACCAGCGATACAGACACAAAGTTAGGTCTGCTCCAGAACGTTTCAAGGTCAAGGTCACGGTTGAATTAAAGCGCCGAAAAGCATTGTCCATCGAATCATCTATAAGTTATATTAGAAAGCCATCCTAATCCCTCTGTAGCGCTCTTTTCCGCCGATTCTTCCTCCATCCATGAGTTCATCCCTCACCCGAGCTCGGGGTCATCTACCTGTCGGACAATAACCCATCCCACCTCTCCAGCACCCAAGCGTCGGTTCCACCTCTCTTGGTCCTCTCCCTCGCAGCGATCCTTACGTCACCCCTGTAGAAGCCTCTCTTGATGGCCTTGGCGTCGTCGTGCGGGGCGCTGAAACCGTGGGCTCTGTAGAGCGAGAGAGCGTGGATGTTGGAAGGATGCACCTCGAGATGCGTTCGGACCAAAAAGGTGCCTTTCGCCGGCGTAGCGTCACGCAGGGAGACGAGGCTTGGACCGGGTTGAAGGTTTTGCAGGAAGGATTCGTTGGCAGGAGTTGCGAGCGGCGATTCGTCCGTGAATGTGGGAGTGATCGGTTGAACCACGGGCAGTGGACCGGTTCTGCCGCGGGAACGTGATTTCAACGCCATGAATCTGGCTTTCACCATGCACTCCGCATGCAGGCTAGAGAGCAGCTTTGCTCCCAACCCTTGTCCTCTCTCCTCCGGCGCTGTAGCAAGCGTCAACAGATGCACCTCTACGATGCTACTCGCCTCCTCTTTCACAGAAGAGAAGAGCGAATCCTCACTTGCAGCACTAACAACACTCAGTTGCGCAGAAACCACTCCCAGGATCGTCTCCGTCTCCACCTCCCGAGATCGTGCAGGTGGAATCGACAGGACCCGTTTGACGACATCCGTCGGCTCGGTAGGCCCGGGAAGATCGTCGAGTGTGAACTTGTGGGTGGGCAGACCACGTTCGGCGAAAATGTCGGAGAACACTGAGGTGGCAGGGGTGTTGTTGATCCTACCGTGAGCGTCGCGCGGACTGATCATGCGGGTGTGAGGTGCGATGGGTGCGAGCGTCGAGTGCGAGAGTTGTTCAGCAGCTTGTTCCGTGGCAGTGGAGAAGACGGAAGACGTGGCTTGCGGGGACGAAGAGAGGCTGCTGCCGGCTTCACCTGACGAGGAATTGCCGTCGTCGCCGTCTTGCTCCGTTGCAGCGGCGGTTGCGAGATGCAACGACTTCAAGCCTTCGATCGGTGTACCAACGGCAGGTGAGGCGACGCCGGACGATCCGCCGGCGGCCGCGACACCAGGTGTGATGGGAGCATCAAGCTTACGAGTGCCAGACAGATCTGGTAGCGGCGTAGCCGGCTCAGGGATAGGTTTGGCAACAGCGACGAGACAGACGTGTCGATCGTCGACCAAAAGACGCAGCAGGAACGAGGCCGTTGAAGCGTACGTCTCACCGTGATCGGGCGACTGTTACCGAGCAGAATCAAGAGAGTAAGAGGGTAGAACGATCAGCAATCTGCTTCCTGCTGCTGCTTGACCGAGGATAAGATTCCCGATTCACAAGTCAGGAAAGCGTGATATGATCGATTGTTGATAAGGGGTCTCCGTAGGGCACATCGTCAAGACCAATGAGCACGTCAAGACTGAAGCACCGGAACTATCTAGATCACAATTGCCCGCGTCAACATGACGACAGGATAGGCACGCGGCAATCTCGCGCCCAGGCCCGGGTCTGGAAGCCTACTCGCCTCGTCGCGTCTGGTGCGGGGACATGAATGTGGGGAAGGCATCTTCTGACATGGACCGAGCAGGAACGCCGGTGCTAGGCACAGACTTGCGTAGCGGAGAAAGAATGCGATGATGCTGAGGATGGCGACCGGCAATCTGTCCAAGAGATTGCCGAAGCCTTGTTTTTTTCCTCTTTCCCGGTTTTGCGGGGAATCTGACCGATCCATCAGGTTTAGGACCTGATCATCACACGTCGAGCTCCAACCTTTCCGCCGAAGAGATTGCCGGACTACGAAAGTTGACCGATCCCGCAAGCGTATCGCCAAAGCAGAGAGCGACCTCGGACGTAAGTCCCGTTGGAAGCTGAAGCGCAGCAGAAAAAATACGCGGCGACTTGGGGAAAACAAGTCGAAAAACGTGGACCTGCTCAACTGCGCAGTGAGAAAAGATCTGATGCTGATAAGACGCGTGGCTGGACGCCGTCTGAAAAAAAAGTTCCTGCCGAGATTCCAACGAGGATGCAGCGAGGGCCCAGCCCAGATCAATGTGCAAAGGCTGAGTCCAACGTATGCGCTGTCACTGGTTTGCAGAGGGCCAACCTGGTGATTGACGAGCACAACCCATGCAGCAGATTTCTGCAGAGAGAGCAGAGACAGGACCAGACAAAGTTGACCGCTGTTGCCTTCCTGTTCGGCGTTTGACTTTCGCTTTTCCCACTGATTCGACCTCGACACCGTCCATTTCTTGCTGCCCAGAAGCGTGTAGTCGCCGACAATGCAGCAGAGCTAGGTGCTGGTCGAGAGCCAAATTCGCTGCCTTTGCCCATCGAAACGACTGAGCTTGAGCAACATGCAACCCAAAGTGTGAGAGAGAGAGAGAAAAAAAGTTGACAAAGGGGGACAGATGGGCACCTTCTCCTTCGGCTTCGGCTTTAGCGAGGTGTGTCATGTCATGCAGGGCCGAAAGCGAATGCTAGTCAACCCTTGCCTTTTATTTCCCGCCTATGCATCGACAACGCAAAGCGAGGAGCGTGCGCTTCGGCAAGATTAACCTTGTCGATGGGCAACCCACTTCCATGCTGGGCGCATCTGCCAAGCGAAAAACGCCGGTGATGCCGTGCTGAACAGCACGAAGGCTTGTCCCTCCCAGCCATTGTCTCGACACCTCGCCCGCCGTTTGCTGCAACATCATGGCTGCACAACGGCGCTGCTCGGAGATCTTCCCTGCCGGCAGATCTTCCCACCGATAAGGACTTTTTTGCGCTTGCCCCTTTTGGCCCCCTTTCATTTCTTCTCTTGATGACACTTCTGATGCGAAAAGAGTTTTCATAATTTGCTGTGCTTTTCATGCATGAAGGAAAGCGTTTGCGAGAAAGATGCATGGCCACGTCTGTGCTAATGGAATCATGATGCCGGAAGACTGATGCCAGGGGGCAGCTGGCTTGGCTGCTCAGGTCAATGCGCTGACATAGCCGCCGAACAGCGGTCGGCGTGCAGGCAGCACAGGCGAACAGCAGCACGACGACGGCAAGGCTGTGGAATCGCAGCAATTGTACGCCGTGATCGCAAGTGCGTCTGCCGTGGTGCTGTCGCGCCTCTGTGGGTGAGCCAATGTCACGGCACGAGGGCTGCCCTGAATGGTTGTCGTTTCGACTGGTGAAGAATATGCGCAGGATGATAGCGCGAGCGCCGCCAGGTGATTACTTACTCTGTCTGAATCGCCGTGAAAGGAGTGAAGGTCGCGAACTTGTTCCAGATCGCCGCGTCGAAGCGTGCGCACTTCGATACGTGCGTCCAAGGCCGCAGCTCTGGCGGCCGGGTCGATCGTCTTGGCGCTCGTCGGTGCCAGTGGTTGCGAGACAGCAGGCATCGAAACCTGGTCGGGATCGAGCACCTTGACGTCGTCCGAGCGGGCCGAGTAGGAGGCGGCCGGGTCGAATTGAAGCCCAAAGTCGAGATCATGCGGTGTTTCGCCTTCGACGAGGCTGACCGACGAAGCGTTCGAGACAGGACGGTGCGGCATGGCGGACGCAACATCGGCAGACGCACTGGCATGCTGGAATGGGTATAGTTGCCTGACCACCTCCGATGCGTGCGGAGCCAGGGAAGCCTCGTCGTCGTCTGTGAGCATGTCTTCGTCGTAGGGCACGTAGTTGGGCGTGCGTTCCTCGATCTCGAGGTTGCGTCGGACGCCTTCGAGGCGCGACGCAAGGTAGGCAGCGTCGGGGGCATGACTCATGAGCCTTTCATCCCGCAGCGCTTCCAGCTCTTGCTCGACTGCGTGAACCGTCTTGCCCTTCCAGCGGCGACCGCCGAACGACAGTCCATCGGTATCATCGTCGCTGCTGCTGTCGGCTGGGTCGGCTGCGCCGCCCCGGATGGTAGCCGTGTCTGATTGCATGGCGTACGCTGAACGGTTCTGATCGCCGACGCCTCGGTATGTGGAAAGCTGTGCCGACGGCCTGTTCTTGCCGTAAGCTGGCATGGGTGCGAACGAGGCGCGAACGTCGAATTCGGGGTCGTCCGAGCTGGCGCGCGACGAGTGATGGCTCGAGGAGCTTCCGGCTTCATCTTCGGACAGACCGGGGGAGCCTACTTGGAAAGTTGCGCGGCGCTTCTTGCGCTGCGGCAGCTTGACTTGCTGGCCGAGGTAGCCAAAGCCGTGTGTGGAAGCGACCGGCTTTTCGGAGCCTGCGCTTTCAGAGGAGCTGTGTGCTTGTGCTAGTGGCGCTGGACGGGTAGCGTCTGTGGTGGTCGTCGCAGGAGCAGGACGAGGTGGATCGACCTCGGGAGCCATGGCGAGCCAACCTGTAAAACGAGGCCGGGAAGGCCCCGCCATTTGCTCCTGAAACGTCGATCCTGCGTCGAACGACATGGCTGGCGGGTAGCTGAGGAGTGGGTGCGTGTCTGTGAACGTTTTGTAAGAGGCGATCCCGGGGCTATGAGAGGCCGTGTTGGTCACAAGCACTGGTGGTTGACGTAAATCAACGAGATGATGCTCACAACAAACCCATGTCGGAAGGTGCTATGGCGCTAGGTTTGAAGCGTATGGCAAGACGCGGATTGAGGATCGTATCAGGTCCGGGTGTGACTAGGCCAAAGACTGAACGCGAAGAAGCTTTGGATTGGCAAGAGCAAAGTGCTGCGAGGCTGTCAAGGGAGGATGCGATGCTGAATCGATCGATTGTGTTTGATTTATTGTAGCTGGTTGTCGTCCGATTGGGTTGCGGCTGTCGACAGAGGCAGATCGCAGGCTTGTCTTGGGGAACGTCTGAATCCTGTCGCGCACAATGCTTCGAGATGGAGATGTTGCGATGCTAGTGAGGTGTCGAGATGATGGCTAACAAGGGATCTGTGTTGAAGGAGGGATGATGATGGCTGCGCAAGGGGTGCGGAGGAGGTTCGAGAGGGGTGCAGCAACCAGGACCGGATGCTCCAAAGACGGACCGCTATCGGTGCAATCGAAAAGCGGAGTCGCGACCGAAATGCAAGTGTTGAAAGCTTGCAGCGTGTCAGCATCAGCCTAGATCTCAGCTGTGGAGCCTGTTTGTTTGTTTTTTGGCTGCTGGCGCGGCACAGGACCGGTCGGCAATTTTCGCAATCATGGATGGGCCGGCCCTTGATTGACACTCGGCAATTGGACTTTTTTTTCCGCCGCCTACGCCGCTCCCCATGCGTCCAAAAACGTGCGGATGTGCGTGATTTCACAACCAACAAAGAGAGATTTGCGGCAGCGAGCCACACACACTCGTCCTATTCAAGCTCGGGCGTAGCGATTGTGACTATCAGTCTACTGCACATCCGTGACCCTCCACTGTACTGTACAGTTGCACAATGTACTGTACATTAAGCTCAAAACGACACTCGCCCATGGCTGCGTGAATGCGATGCATTGATAGGGACCAGTTTTTCGGGTAGAGATCCGACACTTGACTGATCCTGTGATAGCCAACGCTGCCTTTAGCCGAGTGCAATTGTGCAGACGAGCGGACATGCCGGTCCAGTTCAGCTCCCGTCGAGCCCGGCCTGCGCAGCGCAGAGTGACAACCTCGCTTGATCGTTCTTTCAGCAGCTTTCCACTCGAGCTCGCTATCTGTCCCGCACAGTCTAACACACGACGACAACGAAACAAAAACAAAAAGAACTGCAGCACCTAGGATTCCCGCGTGGTCCCCCACCGCAGTACTGACTAGGCGGTAAGTTGCTTAACTTCGCAGATCGGACGGGATGCGGTGTTTTCAACTTCCTGTGGCCGCAGATGCTCACTAAAGGAACAGTACAATATATATACAGCAAACCTATCATCCATGATGAGGATACAGGCAATAGCGCGAGTGATCCTCACACCAGTGCAATCCGTGACACACCGCCGTTACATGCCGAGCCATGTCTTGACCCCGTGACGATCGATTCAGTAACTAGAAGTACAGCGGAGTGCAGTCATTCAGACATGTGGAATGTTTTGGGTTCCAAAAGAGATGGTGCAAACTTCCAAGATCGAACAGCGCGGTCGATCACAAGACATGACCGCCAAAGCTCTTGCTCACAGGCTGAGAACCACCGGCATCTATGGTGCTCTGACCCCATTTCGAAGAGTCTGATCCAGGCTGTGATCCCATCCCATCGTCGCCACCACCCGACCGGGACGACGCATCTGTCGAACTCGACTGGCTCTCGCTGTTGCATCCACCGGTATCGCTCTTGTGGTGGCGATTGAGCGCATCCAGACGCGCAAACGTCTTGCCACACTGCTCGCAAGTGTGCGGTTTGATGTTGAGATGCAGATTCTGGTGGCGTTTGCAGTCGTGCGAGCGTGCAAAGCTCTTGTCGCATCCTGGCCAGTCGCACTTGTACGGTCGTTCGTCGGCGTGCGATCGCAGGTGGCCTCGGAGGTTGTACTGCCGCGTGAACGTGGATCCACAGCCAGGGATGGGGCACGCAAACAACGCTTCCGATTTGCGGCGCGATGCCGATGCCACCTGCGTCGCCTGGCTAGTCACGACGGGCACTGGCGGCGCTAGTTGCGAGCTCGTCCCTGAAGCTACACTCGAAGCGGATGGCGAAGCTGCCGCGTTGCTGCTGTCCATGTTCAAGCCCGGCATGGGCCCAAAGCCATCGGTCGGGTACTGGACGAGGTTGCCAGCGGCATCGTAAACGAAGCCACCTGCCATCTGTGGGAGCGGTGAAGCCGATCCAGCGCTGCTGCTGGATGCATTCGAGCCGAACGAGTAGTGACGGTCGTGGCCGGTGCGATACGGGTGTACCCTCGCTGATCCTGAGATGCTGTGATGGTGGCTGCCGGCCGCCGAGCTAGTCGAAGACACGGAGCGTCCCGTTTGCGGAGGAGCCAGTCCTCCGTTGGGAGCTGTTATCTGCGAAAGGAAGTCCTCGTCGGCGCCTTGGTACATGCGACTACGCGAAAGGTCTTCGGAACGCGCCAACCTCCGATGCCCGGCAGGCGAGCTTTGGCGCGCGCTGTTGGACCGTCGCAGCTTGGTTGTGCCTGTGCCATCGTTGGCAGAAGCATCTTGAGATCCACTTCCAGGGAAGCGCCACTGTGCGTTGAATCCGTTGGGTCCCGCCTGGGGAAGTTGCGAAGAGTAGTCAAAGCCCTGCATGGTATTGCCCTGGCCGTTGAGCTGGAACATGGGTGGCATCGCTTGCTGTTGCTGTACGTGCTGTTGCTGCTGCTGCTGCTGTTGCTGCTGCTGGATGCTGGCAAGCAATGCACCATTGTCTGCAAATGCCTGCATCATGTCGAATTGCAGCTGCTCATTGTTGAGGAGCGAGGGATCCAAGGTACCTGGCTGCGGCAGGTCGATTGGTAGACCTGGGTTGCTGAGCATGGCGGGATCCGCCTTGAAGGTGGACCAGTCGAATTCCAAGCCATTGGGCTCTGGCTTGGCTGCGGCTTGGCTGGTCGCTGCGAATGACCAGTCGAACGCGGTACCAGCGCCGCCCTCTGCATTGTCGGGAACGACAGGTGAGCGCGGTCCGATGTCCGAGTTGGCGCGCTTGCGGAACGAGGCAAGCGTCGGAGATTCGGTCTTGCCCGTGGACTGGAAGCCCATGTCGACATCGAGCCGCAAGAACTGGCGGATCTTGTCGTAAGAATCTTGACGCTTGGCCTGACTCGACCACTGCCCGGGAGCGTGGACAGAAGGCGTGCGTTGCGGTTGACCGGCGAGCGCCGACATCATCTGCGTTGGTTCCGTAGAATAGCCGTCCGGGACGATGCGCCCGGTGGCAGAATGGGGACGAAACAGTCCTTGTCCGAAAGACGGTTGCGACAGCGTGGAGCCCACTTGCGCTCCGACGGTGGTACTGGAGGCATCTGTGTAGCTGGTCGGTTCGGTTGACAAGCTGTTGGAAGGATCGGAAGGTAGCCAGTTGGCAGAGGAAGCGGACTGGCTCGAGCCGTCGTTCACGTCGGCCGATATCGTCTGAGCTCGTTCGAGCAGCTGCTCGAGGACACTTTGAAACCCGCCACCGTGTCCATGCGGGCCTTCCGCTCTAGGAGTAGATGGTGAAGGCGCCATGACACTGATGCTAGGCATGTTGGCGTCACTGCTGGAAGCAAGTGTCGCGGCGATTGGGGTATAGTCCATCGAAGTATCTGAGACGGAAACGGTAGGGATGCCTAATGAGAGCTGCGGAGCTTTCGAGGGAGCTTGATGACCTGGTATTTGGCTCGGTACGGAAGAGTAGGCCGAAGGAGTCAAGCCGTCTGTGGACGGACCGGCGCCGGAATGTGAAAAGGCTGGAGAGCCGCCGTAGTCGGAAGCATCGTCGAAGGTGGGCGGATAGCGTTGATCTTCCTCGAGAGTGATCTGGCCAATCTGCCCGAGCGTCTGTGCGAGGGCGGGATCCGAGGACATGCCCTGGGTATAATGTGACGGGCTCGGTGCATCTGAGCTATGTGAGCCGATGCGGTGGTGAGATGCACTGCCGAGATGCGGGCTGGACTGCGGACTGGGATTGAGCGTGAAGTCGCGGAAGGTATTTGGTGCGCCGGACTGCGTGGCTGGTGCCGGAGAGACCGAGGGTGACGAATGAGAAAAGCTTGGTTGTGGGTTGAAGGATGGAGTTGCGCTCAACAAGTTGCTATGCGACGGAGCGCTGTAGCCGTCGGCCGAGGATGGATCGTAAAAGGCTCCATGTTGTTCGTTGTTCGGTTGCGCTTGAGCACCAGGGACGGCGTGGGCGTGACTTGGAGCACCAAGGCCGGTATCCTGCATGTCGACGCCAGTCTCGGGAACTGCGTCGTGACAACGAGCGCCTGCGACAAACGAATGGCGGCGTGCTGCTGTGGAGTGTTCGTGCTTCGAATCGTTGCGTGCCAAGAGGTCGAAAGGATTGAGCTCGGTGGAGAGGACCTTTTCGATGCGCTCGAGGTAGTGCAGGCGACGAGAAGCAGGATCCGACTTGCCAAGGCGTTCGAAGGGGTGCGCTCGATCAGCGAGGGTCTCGGTCGGAGAAACGAGAGCGTTGGACTTGCTGAGCTCGAGCGATGGGTCGGATGTATCGAGGTCGAAGTCGAAGAGCGTCGACGTGTCGGAGCCAGGTGTGAGTGGACTAGGCTGTTGCTCACGATGGAGAAAGAAGTAGGAGGTCTGGGCAGATGAAGACATGGAGGTCAGCTTGAAATTCTTGTCCGGGCCGCTCTCTTGAGGCGGCGAGCAACAAGAAGGAGGAGAGAGGAACTATGAAGTCGGGCGAAAGGTGAGATGGTGGTGACGGGTGACGGTGAGGGTGAAGACTTGCGTGTGGAGAGGAAGCCTGCAGGTAGGATATCGAACGACGGCTGCTGTGAAAGTCGATGTGTCGTAGAAGGTGCAGCACCGTCGAATTACGGGAGGCGGACGATGGAAGACGAGAAAGTCACAATGCGAGACTCGGATCGCTGGAGGTGGGGCAAGCGATGGATGAGGCTATGCTGGAGACGAAGAGAGGTTGGTATGTGAGGTGCTGAGTGTAGGCCGGCCGCGGGTCGATGCAAGGGTGCACGTTGTCGACGGATGCGTGCGTGACCGGAGGAGGGGTGGTCGCCGAACAGTCTACGATAAAGCGACCAACGCTAGCGTGGGAGCAGGGCGATGCTCGGCGTACTGCTGATGCGATTTGCTTGCAGCTGCTCGAGTCGGGACAGAAAGTATGGGCGGGGCGGGCGAATTGGGTGGGAGCGAGGAGCGGGCAAGGCGAGAAAGGTGACAACTTACAGTGGGACAGAGTCAGTGCAGCTGTGTGATAGCGTCCGAGGAGCGCCCCGAAAGAGAGGATCGACGGCGACGGCAATCTAGGCCGATGCAGAGTCGGATCGAGGGAGGGAATGCTTGTTGCGTGCAGAAGCGATGAGGGGAAGGATGTCAAAATGCAATGTGGCTGTGTAGGACCATGTGGCTCGCTGAGACCGAAAGCGACGCAGCTCGGATCGACAGTGCTGCAGAACCTAGCTCGTGGTGCTACAGTTGGGGTGAAAGTCTGATTCGCTGTTGATGATGCCTTGAAATGCTTGAGCCACCTTGTCGTGTTTGAAGAAGCTCAATGAGGACGATGGACGTTGTTTTGCAAGGTGCGAGTGTGCGGGTGAGTGAGTGTCAGTGTGTGTGTGCCTGGATAGAAGCAAACAATCACTCTCTCTCTCGCTGAAAAAGGCGCCGACACTCCACACACAAAAAGCCAAATAATTCCACAGCGACGCGGCTATCCTCGATTTCCATTCGGAATTGGCCTTGCTCTGATCTGCCTTGGCTCCTCTGCGACCTCCGACGACAGGCGAGACAGCAGTCGTGCAGCTCAAGTGACGCCAATCGCCTCGGACCTGCAGCACCCGACGACCCTCGCTCGACAATTGACCCTTGGACATGTACGCCCACGCTCGTCTTGAGATCACCCGCGCCTGTTCCGCTTGATGCTCTTGTCGGAAGAGAGTCGGTTCGGTCTCTCTTTCACATAACCAATCTTAGGCGTAGAGGCGATGAAGAGCGCCAACAACCTACACACGCCAACAGTGTTCGCTTCGATTCTGGCACCGATGTTCTGAATTCGATGGCAGGATTTTTCCGCTGCCGTACACTCTGTGGCGTAGCCTAGCCTCCGTGCGATGAGGGTGAGATTGAGCAGAATGACCAGTAACCAGGTACTGTGCTAGATCGCCGCAAATCAAGCCGCCGGTCAAAAGGCAGGCGGACTTCGTCATCTTACCCTTCGCCGATTCTACCGTAGTCAGGATGAAATCAGAGCAGGCAAATGAAATTCTGTCGCAAGTGTCCATCATCGTCATCGAAAAGGCAAACCGGAAATAGGGCACCGAAAAAGACCCAGACACGACCAGCAAGATTTTTAAGGCGCACATAAGTTCTCTCCTCGCAAGTGTCGTCGACGAGACGGACAGCACTGCCACAGACAGAGGATCGAGATCCACGGCTAAATAAGGGGCCGTTCCATGCAGCACCCTGCATCTTTGGCTTCTGTCTTCGCCTGTTATCTCGTCGAGACCAGCCCTCATCAAACTCGGAAAGCACCACGAGAGCGAAACGCCAAGCCCCGCGGTGTGCCGATTGCAGTGCAAAGGAACCTTGCCCGAACTGCCGCGGCATCCGCTGTCACCACATGGCGAAACGCTCCATCGTCGGTCTATCATTGCCCGATCTCAGCTTGTAGAGCGTCATCGAGGTACGTATGTCTACGAGTACGATGTAACAGATAAACCTGCGTCTCGACTTGCCCACGTTGACATTCGTTGCTGCTGACTACCTTTTTTGGGTACTGATACCGAAATCGTAGAAGCGCGAAGGATGCAACCCTATCGACTTCGAGACCGACCGGAGAAGCTAGCTCGACGAGAGCCATTAGTATTGTCCGTGTCTATCCGTCGATAGCAACAGCCGCGGTGCCGTTCAGTTGCGGACTTTCAGCGTTGTGGTATGTGTGAGCCTGTGACACCATGCACGCAAGCTGTGTCCACGCATGGGTGTCTGCTACGACTTGGTCGCTACTCGCCATGGTCACGTCCCCCACATCAGCAGCCTGGCCCCTTTGCTCTCAGCTTTCATTGTATCAACAGCAGACTGCAAAGAGCGCCCGTGCCTCAACCTTGTGTTCGGGTTCTGGATATCTTCTCTTTCGCACATTGTGTTGGCTGTCCCGCCGTGCACATATTGAGAGAACAAGGAACGGACCCTTTCTTGCTCAACACCGACGCGCAGATAAGTCAAGGTCGTTGAGCTTCGTGGTCTTATGCAACGATCGCGACAATCAGCCAGCGTCCTTGTATCTGATGCAATGCTTGCCGTCCTGCGTGAGATGCCGTCGATCCCGTCCAGTAATCGAGCGAGGATCTCAGGACGAAGGACAACAAAGGGCCACACGAGTAAAGTTGGTGTGGCCGCCATGTGCAGCCGCGATGCGCATTGACTTATCGAATCTTGACAAGGCGTGTCCTGAGCGTCCCGACAAGCGTCAAACGCACTGCGTCAGGAAAACGGTGAGAGAGCGCCATTGCCTCCCCTCACCTACGACGATCAGTCAGGTTGACCTGTCAAAGATTGAGACTTTTGAATCCCGTAGCCTGACGCAAAAGTCAAATCAAGTCGTCTGTCAAGTGACCATACTCCATGGACGCCCCTCTCTGAGAACTGAGCAACCCATTTCAAGTCAAAACCGATTTGGTTCTGAATTTCTTTCCACTTTCGAGAATGTTGCGCATTCGCCAGAGCAACACACCAGCCTGCCCGTTTCGCCCCAAGAATCTACTCGCGACGTAAAGAGCGTCAACTTGGGTCGCGCTTTCTGCACTGCTCCTCTACCTGGCAGCAAGACAACAGTGACGGCTCAGCCCCAAAGCTCGCAATCATCAACCTCACAAAAATCCACCACACTCGACGACGCCTCAGCCATCCTTTTAGGCAGCACTGCTGCGTTGACGGCTGAGATTTTTGAGCTTTTTGGACTCTTGTCACTTCGGCGCCTCCGGCCAACCAGAGCCTTATTCGTCGACACCATCCATTCCTCGCGTCTCGCTCCCTCTCTTCCTTACCTCCCTCCACCCGTCGTCCACACCGCTTTTCCGCTGCCACATCGCAGAGAAAGCTAGCTTCCATCGCCCTTCAGCAACCTCTGTCTGCTACTAAAGGCGTCGTCGTCTACAGCTTCGACCTCAACCAGGCACCTGCACCAGCAGCGGCGCGCTTTCACCTTCCGACTTTCACCCTTTTCCTCCACTCTCGGCTCGTCACTTTTCGCACACGCTCATCATGTCGGGTGCCCAGGAGATCGGCAGGAGCAAGAACTCCGACGCCGTTGCGCCTACACCTCAGAACACCCCCCTCAGCAACGCCCCTCTCACCCGCGAGGCTCTTTCGCGACCTACTGTCGGCACCATCGGCGAGGAGGATGAGAACGTCGACGTCGCTTCTGCTCTGCAGAGCAACCCTGCCCTCGCCGCCATGGTCCAGGACAAGCTCTCCAGCCTTGTCGGCCGATCATCCGGCTACGTCGAGTCGCTCCCCACCCACGTCCGCCGCCGTGTAGAGGGTCTCAAGGGTGTCCAGGTCGAGCACCACAAGATCGAGGCCGACTTCCAAAAGGAGATCCTCGAGCTCGAGAAGAAGTACGCTCAGCGATACAAGCCCCTCTACGAACGACGTGCCGCCATCATCCAGGGCAAGCAGGAGCCCACCGCCGACGAGGTCAAGGCTGGTGAGGCCGTCGACGCCGATGAGGACGACGAGGAGGAGGAGGCCGAGTCGCTCGCCGACGTCAAGGCGCCCGCTGAGGGTCCCAACGGCATCCCCGAGTTCTGGCTCACCGCGCTCAAGAACCACATTGCTCTTTCCGAGCTCATCACCGAGCGCGACGAGGAGGCCCTCCGTGCACTCGTCGACGTTCGCATGAGCTACCTCGTCGACCAGGCCGGCTTCAAGCTCGAGTTTGAGTTTGACAGCGCCAAGAACGACTACTTCACCAACCAGGTGCTCACCAAGTCCTACTACTACCAGGACGAGGTCGGCTTCTCTGGCGACCTGGTCTACGACCACGCCGAGGGCTGCAAGATCGACTGGAAGGAGGACAAGGACCTCACCCACAAGATCGAGACCAAGAAGCAGCGCAACAAGAACACCAACCAGACGCGAACCGTCAAGCGCTCCGTACCCGTCGAGTCCTTCTTCAACTTTTTCAATCCACCCAAGCCGCCCAAGAACGGCGAGGTTGAGGACGAGGATGCCGACCTGGACGAGCTGGACGAACGTCTCGAGCTCGACTACCAGATCGGCGAGGACTTGAAGGACAGGATCATCCCCCACGCCGTCGACTTTTTCACCGGCAAGGCGTTGCAGTACGAAGACATTGACGAGCTCGACGATGCCGACTTTGACGACGAGGACGACGATGAAGATGACGACGAGGACGATGACCAGCCGCGTCGATCGTCGCAGCTCGGCGCCTCGGTCGGTTCCCAGATGGCCGGTTCGCAAGACCCTCAGGAGTGCAAGCAGCAGTAAGCGCAGACCTCAAAGTGGTCCACTGCGTCATGCTTGCCTCCACCGTTTGAACTACGTCTCAATTTCCTCTTGACATGTGCTCTAGCGTTCAAATTTCATCACTTTGGTCCGGTTGGTTCTTTGAAAGAAACAAATAAGATGCGGGTTCTCAGATCCTCATTCGTCTTGCAATTGTGCGTGGTTGTGAGGGAACCGAATGAAGGACATTTCTCATGGTCAAGTCAGGCACATCAGACGCGCGGTCGGAAGAGGTTCGAGATGCGCAAGGGGGTATATTTCGTTCAAAGGCAGTTTGACACAGACCTGCTGGGTCAAGGTGGTGCGAGTGGATGGACAAAGGCTGTTGGCAAGAGCAGGAGCGGACGATCAAAAGTCGTCATCGCTGTCGTTGAGATCAGGTGCAACATCGCTCTTGCTCTCGCTCTTCGCCGACTGAGCGTGGAGGCTGCTGGGGACTGTTGGCACTGGTGGGGCGTCGTCAGTGTGAGCTTTCGTCGACAGATCGAAGGGCGACGGCTTGGACTGCGACCTCCGCCTGGGCAATGAGAGCGGACTGTGTGCCGAGGTCAACCCGAAATAGCCTTCGGCCGTCGAAGCTGAGCCGCCCGTAGTCCTCATCGAAGAGCCCGCCACATCGAGGCTCTGAACCGGTCCCGCATGATCTGCCGCCTCGCCGATAGGCGTGTCAAGACTGAGGCTCACCAATTCAGATTCGATCAACTCGGAGCTGAGCGACGCCGGCACACCAGGAATGTTGGAGTCAGCGTCACGTCTCCCGTCGGCTTTCCCCTGAATACCAGCAGCAAGACTGTCTGCTATTGGTGAGTTTCGAGACGGCGAGCCCGTGCGCAGTAGGGCAGGACCTGCAGAACTCGAAGCTGCAATAGTGCCGCCATCTGAAACCTCTTCCCAGCCAGACCCGACCTCCGAGTCGGAGAGGTTGACAGTAGAGAAGTTCTCATCCGCGCCTGGTCTGGCAGGACTGCGTGATGGTGAGGCTTGATGTTCGCGCGGAGAAGCAGTCGCATGAGATGCGATGAGATCCCGACTCTTTCTGTGTTCCGTGTTGAGCGCGGTGTCAAGGACTCGTCGTGCTGGTCGTGTGGTGGCGGCCGAAGACGTCGAAGCCTGACGACCATCTGGACGCGACGGTCTCGTCAAAGTGTGAGTCTCTGACTGAGGTGTGAGCAGGTCAAGAGATGGGAACGCGATGCCAGCGCTACCGACTGCATCCGCATTGGGCGCTCTGCTCGACGTCACGGACGGCCGACCCTGTCCGAGCCATGCAGCGGTCCTCTGTTGGCTCTCTCTGAAGAGGTTTTCGCTCGCTCCGCCATCCGCCCCATTTCGACGCAGAGAATTGTCTTGAGCGTCCGCTGGTGAGTACGCTTTCTTCAACGCACCGCTTCCACCTGTTTCCTCCGACGCATTGTTGTTCTCGTCACCGCCATCCTCGGTCCCGTCTCCTATTGAAGGTTCTGAAAAGCTCTCCATACTCGGATCGAAGTCGTCGTCGTCGACCCACTTCGGCGCAGATTCTGCAAAGGAGAAGATGGTCTTGGGCAGAGCCTTGATACGAGCGCACAGGTCGATGAGATCTTCTTCGTCTTTGACCAGGAAACCCAACAGCATGCTTGGATCTAGCGATTTTATGGGCATCCTACGCACCTTTTCGCAGTGGAAGGTGGAGGTCTGAGCTTCGGTGTAGGCCTGCGCCCACCACTCTTGCTCATCGTCCGAGTCTTCTTGTGCAAATCGACGAGCAATATCGTGGTGGCAAGGAACCGCGCTCGGGAACGAGCTTGGCGGGTAACGAAGCGGGACCGCGGGCCGGACGTTGTGCGGATCCAGGTAGAAGAGCGAGTTTCCCTGATGACCCATAAAGTAATACGAGGAGGACGGTCGACCACCAGCAATGCCGACGCTGTGCGGGAAGGAGAACGTGGCTTTGACAGATTCGTAGTAGATTGGATTAACGCTCTCCAAGCCGAGACGGATGCCCACCAAGATCAGCACAGGTCTGCGCCAGGAAAAGGCGTCTGCCTGACGACTTTTCGCAGAATGCTGCGAAGACTTGGAGGGAGTCGCTGCTCCCGCCACCGCCCTCACCTCGTCGAGGTAGAAGACACCGTCATGCGCGAGCTCGACCGCGATGCCAGCATCGCCAAATTCAGAGACGAGCTGCTTGATCGCACCAGCCGCTGTGGAAGGGCCAAACCACTCGCCTACTTCCTTTCCGAGCCGCTTGCCCTCTCGGGCCATCCGATGGATGCCGAAGGGACAAGCTGGGCTCGGATCGTCGAGGAACCAGCTGAGGATCTTGACGTACGTGGCATGACGAGCCCGCTTCTCTCGCCAGTCGTGCAAGCCTTGCGCCTCGGCAGAGGAATCGAGCGATTGACTGGCAAGCTGCTCCAAGAACTCGACCTGTCGCATCGGAGGTGTTTCTCGAAGCCAAGAACGGCCAAGATGAACGTTGATGAGGGCGTTGGCGAGGAGACTCTGGCCAGTACGCAACATGCATCCCCAGCCGGAGTCGGTGGTGAGACCGGCACGGCTGAAACCGGCTGCCTGAGCTGCTGCGGTGGCTCTGCTCCAGAGATTGGTGATGCCCATTCTTTCGCCCAAGGTGGACGAGGCATTGGCATACCCAGCTCCTAGGGTTGCACCGAGTCCCAGTGGACTGTTGACGTGGAATGCAGCCTCCTGAGCAGCATTGCTTTGGGCGGTCTTGCGACCGAGCCAGCCGCGTCCTGTGGAAGCTGGAGGACTGCTTGGCCCAACCGCCCCAGAAGACGAAGGCGCAGCCAATGGTGTGGACGTCGCAGATGCGTCCTGCACAGCAGAGAGCTGTGCTGCAGTCATGGCCTCAGCTGCAGAGGCAGCCTGATCCGAGATGGTGCCGTCGCGCGCGATAGGCGCAAATTGGTTGCGATACGTGCACCAGATCCTGGAAGCAAAGTCGGGCTGGAACGCAGAGTGTGCATCGACGGGAACGGTCGCCGAAGGCTGGTTGCCGATACCCGAGCTCGTATTGGACGACTTGGCGCGGACGCTGTTGCAAGTCGAGGTATTTCCAGCCATGGAGATGGAGCTGCCGACGCGGCTTTCGCTCCTGTCCGTCGGTATCGAAGCGCGATCGTAGAAACTCAGGGCCGTCTGCGAAGTTTGGATCAGGTCGAGCGCATTCTGGCGCGGAGAGGCGGTGGAAATGCTGGATGAAGGTGAACAAGCTCGAGGCATGGGCACATCAGACGCTTCTGGGTTCTGAGGGGCTGGCACTGACGGCGTCGTATGCGACGCAGACGTTGGGGACGAAACAGCCTTACTTGCCTGTCGAGGTGCGTGCCGTACGCCGAGCAGCCAGATCTCCTCGTCTTCCTTGTTTCCGACGTCGCTATCCATGAAAAATTTGAAGGCGCGGTCGAAGCCAACGCCGCCAGGAACCCAGCCAGCGGTGTTTGTACCACCAGCGGCGCTGTTGATGGCGGTGTTGGATGAGGTGCCGGCATCGTTATTCGAGGCAGAAGTGTTGGTTGTGCCGGACACGGAGCCAGCGGCGTTTCCGTCGTCGATCGTTGCGGCGGTGACCTTGGTGCCTGCTTTCGAGCTCACATTGGCCAGAGACAGAAGAAGAGCGCCTGCTTTCGAGCGCGTCGTAGCGGCAGCGGTAGGAGACGCAGATCGACCTGCATCAGTCTGGGATGGAGCCGCGAGGGTCTGCGCGTGACGATGGGGCGAAGCGCTGGAGGGAGCAAAGTCGATTGTGTCTGCTTCTCGCACGGGGGAGAGGGGCGCACCGCCTTCTGCTGAGGAAGGAGCACTGTCGCTGCCGACCATATTGTATAGCCATCCCGTGAGGCGCCTGGGCGTGCTGGCCACAGAATCCTGAAGGTCGCGAGCGGGCTGCAAATTGGTGTGGCCGGAGCTGTCTGCAGCCGAAGAGCGTGGGTTTGGCTCGGTTGAGGTAGCGGAGAGGCCCGAATGGATGCTGTCGATGCTTTTGCGCGAGCCGTTGCTCTGCAAGGCTTCACTCTGCGATACACGAGCGGCGTAGGCCTCGGAGCTGGTCCGCGAAGAGAGGGAGCGTGTTTTGCTCGCGTCCTGAGAGGCTGAATTCTCGCGCCTGCGCCGAATGCTTTTGAGTGAGTCGGAAAAGCGCCGAGAGGCGTGGGAGTCTGCTGATGCCAGGGAAGAAAGGTCGTCAGAGGATGAATCGTTGACGGCAGCGGCGGTAGCTTTGGACTGGTTGAGGTTGAGAAAGCTTCTACTGCCCATGCGCCGCAAAAGTCCGGGACCGGTGCTTGAAGCACTATGCGAGGAGTTCGGAGTGACGACGTTGCTACTGCTGCCGGTTGATGAGGTGCCATCCCTGCTGCCCAGCAGGCTCCTGATGCTGTTGCTGCGGCCAAAGAACTTGCGACGATTGATGCCGTTGGACGGGGCAGCCGCTGCCGAGGATTCGACTTGCTTCGAGGCCATCGGTAGATGGGTTCCGGGGTTGTCTTCACCGCGCATCGGCTGTGGAGGATGGAGGGCTGGATCCAAGGGCATGCTCGAAGTTGAGGCCGGACCAAAGTCATGGCATTGTGAAGTGGGCACCTCGGAGCTGTTTACAGTGGCTGATCGACCGCGCGTCTTGGTCTTGAGCGATTTGGTTGACTGTGATGATGAGCTCGTCGATGTTTGGGATGCAGAGGCATTGTTTTTCAGCATGACCGCAGCGCCGAGCGAGTTTACGCGAACGCGAATACCTCTCTTCGAGTTTGCTTGTCTTGTGGAAGGCGAGTCGTGTTGCAGCGTAGCCGGTTGCGCAGAGTGCGCTGGCGAGGCAGCCATTCCGATGCTACGCATCGGCAGGCCCGAATTGCTGGCACGCTGTTCAGCGGTATGGCTAGTGGTGTCAGCCATGACGATGCGACGCAACTTTGGGCCAGTGTCGAGCTATAAGACCCGACCGAGGGGGTTCGATCATGCGATCAGAAGGGTGGGAGACCCATCGAGACCAAATACCGATAGCAGCGAGAGTAAAGCGGAAGAAAACCGAGCCTGGAAGCGAGAGAGACAGAGCGCTGGTTGGGTGCGACGCGATGCCGATCAAGGTGAATCGACGATTCGACCGCGGTATGCTCGACACGAGGATCGAACGGCGAGAGCAAACCGCAAGAGGTTTTGTGTGGGAGCTTGATGAAATGAGAGCCGCCGAATCACTGTAACACGACGCCAACGAGGGTTAGGCTTTCGGTTCGACGCTGCGAGGTGAGAAGAGCGACGAGCATTCGATGGCTGCGATAGACGTGAAGCAACGGCTAAGCCGATGTGGTGTAGTGATGGCTGAGTGTCACTTTGTGTCCGTCCCCGGCCAATTATCGGATGAGTGTCCCGTTCGCAGCCTGCTGGGGGCAGTGTAAGCCTTGTGTGCGTATCTGCTGGACCCTGATTTCCTAGCTTTTCAGCTGCGTGACAGTTGTCTGCTTTGAGCCCCTCTGTCTGGTGACTGACCGCCAACCGGGTTAATTCAATTCAGGGTCTGAATGCACTTGACTCAGCCTCCAGCTCGCAACATTGCACACCATTCTACTTCTCACCATCCCGCCATCCTCCGAAACTGGATCGAGCATCGTCACGCTTGAGCGCCAGGAGCTGGGATCCGACAGACAAGGCTTCGTCTCACATCGCTCACATGCTCACCCACTGAAGCGATCGGCGCGGCAAGCCAAGATGCGCCAGTCGCCAGCTAGCTCTACTCCGCCTCCCACCATGTCAATATCAAGATGAACTTCTTCCGAGACAGAGACGCCAACAGCAATGTCTTTGACGATCCCAAAAACGATCCCACCGCTCCTTCACCCACCACATCACCGCGTAAGAAGCAAAAGTACGAGTCGCAACCTCCTTCAAGTACCGGATCTGCCGACGATGCGGCGCTCGCCAGCCTGCGAAAGCGTATGGCCGGCCCCTCGTCGGCCAAAGCAGGTCTCGCAAAGGACCAGGACGAGATCAACAGGATTATATACGAGGTGTCCAAAGGGAGCAAATTCTTTGAGAACGAGCGCAAGAAAGATGCACAGACTACAGAGCGCATCAATGCGTTGCTTGTACGTCGAGATCAAAAGCTGCTTCAGGTCCCGCGAGGAAGCGCCGAGTGGCTCGCGATCGAGCGCAAGATCGAGGATATGGCCACACGTCTTGAAAACAGCCGTGATCTTTCCAGAACCATCCTCCACACCGACATCGACATGTTCTACGCCGCTGTAGAGCTGGCACGCGATCCGTCGCTCAAAGGCAAGTGCTTCGGCGTGGGATCGGGTGTCCTCGTCACGGCATCTTACGAAGCTCGAAGGGGCTATGGCGTGCGATCCGGGATGGCCGTCTTTGTAGCAAAGGCGCTCTGTCCGCACCTCATCGTCGTCAAGAACGACATGCAGAGCTACGTCCAAGCCAGTCAAAAGGTCATGGCCGTCTTTGAGCAGTACGACGAAAACTTGGCAAAGGCTTCGCTCGACGAGGCCTACCTCGACATCACCGACTACGTCGAGCAGCACGGAGGCTCGATCGACCAGGTCGTACAACAGCTGCGAGAACAAGTCAGGAGCGAGACTCAGCTCACGGTCAGCGTCGGCATTGCACCCAACACCATGCTCGCCAAGATCTCGTCCGACCGCAACAAGCCCGACGGTCAGTTCCGTGTACAGCCAGACCGCAAAGCCATCGTCGACTTCATGCGTGACCTTCCCTGCCGCAAGATTCCCGGCATCGGTCGCGTCAACGAGCGGATTCTCGAGAGTCTTGGCGTCTCCACCTGCGGAGAGATATGGAACAAGCGTGTCGACCTCTGGCTTGCCTTCGATGGCAAGATCGAATGGCTCATCAAGGCTCATCTCGGAATCGGCAACACCATCGTCGAACCGAGCAAGCGCGAGGAACGCAAAAGCGTAGGCCGCGAGCACACTTTCAGCCCAACCGCTGACACCCAAGCCCTGCTCGATCTGCTCAAAGAGTCGGCTCAGCGTGTCGAGCAGGATCTCGAGCGGCTTGATTTCAAAGGCAAGACGGTGACTCTAGTGGCCAAGCGAGACAACTACCAGCGCTTTTCACGCGCTCGAACGTCAACGAGGCTCGTGCATCGGGCTGAAGAGCTCTACGACATTACGAGCTCTTTGCTGTTGCAAGAGATCGAACGTGAAGGTGCGCTCTCGCTCCGTCTGATCGGTGTCCGTGTCACTCAGCTCGTTGACCTTCGTGGTGCAGCTGCGGGCGAGGAGAGGCTGCGCAAGCTTTTCCAGAGCAAGCCAGTTGCCGAAGGCGAGGAAGGTGCCACGGCCAAGACGACGCTGCGAAGGACGGCTCGAGAACTGCGGGAAGAGGAAGAGCGTCAACTCGCGCTCGCCATCAAACAGTCCCTGGAAGGAAGCGCTGATCCCTTCACCGAAGTGCCAGACCTCAGCCAGGATGATGTGGCGGTCCGATCTCGGTCTCAGACTCCCATTGCGGCTCGAATGACACTGCAGAGCGATCGCAATTCTGACATGCCTACCGCCATCACGCCCCGCCAAGACCCGCCGTCAGAAGAAGAGGGAGCGGTCCAATGCCCTGTCTGCGACCGGACGGTGCACGGGTCAAACGACCGTCTCAACGCTCACATTGATGCTTGTCTCAATCAGTCGGCTCTCAATACGTCCCCTAGCGATCCTGCGGAAGCTGGACCGTCGCAACGAGGCGACCGTCCGGACGCGTCTGCGAAGAGGAAGCGCGGCCCGCTCGATTTGTTTGTTCGGCGAGGCAAGTAGTGTTTCCATCGAGCCTGATCATGCTGTCCTGCTGTATTTTGTTGCTCCTTCTGTATTTGTAGCGCTAGAAATGGATCACGTTCAACCATGCATGTTGTGACGTTCCTCGATGGATGTCCAGCAGAACATCGCGAGCAAGTGGGAGACCTGTGTCGTGCTTATTCACTTCACAGATATGAGTCGAGGCGAGAAGCTGCGACGGGTCGAGCTATGCAGAGGATGTGGGAGAACAGTCTTGTATTACTGCGTGTTTATATGTTTGGGTTCGCAAGGTGGTCGGAGATGGGTGGAACCGAACTAGTGGTGGTTGTTCTTGTGGTGGCCTGTTGTGTGCGATAGCGAGAAAGGAAGGAATTGGGTCAGTAAAGGATTGCACTGAGCAATATGATTGCTGCACCGAGCTTGTGTCGTATCGCTATTGATTCAGAAAGCCTGTTCCTACGAACTGCGCTCGTGGGCTATGGGTGATACTTACGCAAGTGTTGAGCGTAGTCGATCGAGTAACCGATCAAGAACAACGTGAAGAGGGTAGCCACGATCGGCTTACCCGAAGCGTTCTTGCCGTCAAAGTAACGGGCCTTGATTCCACCACCGCGCTTCTGAGGAGCTTCACCCTTGGGCAGGCTCTTGTAGAATCCTACGACCGATTCCATGCGGGCGGACGAACCTCCGGGACCAGATGCGGATTTGGGAGTTGCGATCTTAGGTGGGATGGGCAGGGTCGAGTTGAAACGTGCTCCTCGGAGGAACTGAGCCGAAGGGCCGGCTTGACGAAGTGCAGTGCGGGCGAACATTGTGTGTGCAAAGAGTGGTGTTGGTGGTGAGGTGAGATGAGAGGAGAAGGAGATGGTGAGAAAGGGTGGAGATGGAAATGTGACAGACGGCTTCCAGGCGTAAGACCTACGAAAGAGAGAGGCAGCGCGCCAGTGTGTGTGTGTGCGGTTCGAGATGGCTCCCAAATTGGCGACCGACCAAGAAACGGTTCCGAGAAAGTCTTCTCGCACAGAGATCTCACACACAAAACAGCACCCACCCGATTCAGCCAAGAATGTCCCCACTTGACTCCCTAAATTGTCCGCATCCCCTCACACGGAGAAATTTCGATCAAACGTCGCGCACGCTCCTCCTGAGCCTTTTTCTCCACTCAGTGTGCGAACGTCAGTCTAACACTCTCACATCCTTTTCCTCGTTCAAGTTCTTGTAGGTCGATGTTCCGCCAATCTCGACCTTCCGAGTTCCCGCTCAACAGAGATGCTTGCACAGTCTCATCACTGCGATACTGCCGTAGCGAACAAGGGATAATGAGAACAAAACGCATACGATCGATGCTTCGTTTACTTTTGGGTGGTGAGTGTGTGTGCGTGTGTGCAAAATACAACTCGTACTCACTTCCAGACAGAGTGAGAGCCGAGGACCGAAGCAGAAAGGGGGGAGGGGAAGGGAGTCGGGGGGAAACTAGAGAGGGCGAGAGGTCGGGTCTAAAAACGATGAAGGTGACCCTTTTAAATGGCAGATCTGGCTGGAGTTGCACATCTAGTAGAGCGACTTCTTCTGAGTGCGAGCGAGGTGCGAAGCAAACTCGACGTAAGGGGTCGCGGGGGGAGCAATCTCGCGCCACAGGTTGGGCGTAAGGAAGGCGTAGGTCTTGGAGACAGCCTCGAAGGTAGCCTTCAAGAAGTTACCCATGGTAGCGGTCTGACCGGACGACTGGGTGTAGCAGTCCTCGATACCGGCGAGCTGGAGCATGCGCTTGGAAGCAGGGGCGGCAACGATACCGGTACCACGGGGAGCGGGCACGAGACGGCACATGACCGAAGCAGTCTTACCCGAAACCTTCATGGGCACAGTGTGGGGCTCACCGAGAGCGTTACCCCAGTATCCACGTCGGACGGGGATGGTGGAGAGCTTGGCGACAATGATGGCACCACGGATGGCGGTGGCGACTTCCTTGGCGCACTTGACACCGAGACCAAGGTGGCCGTCAGAGTCACCGACGGCAACGAAAGCCTTGAAACGGGTACGCTGACCGGCACGGGTCTGCTTCTGAACGGGCATGATCTTCATCACCTCGTCCTTGAGCTTGGGGAGGAGAAGGTCGATGATCTGGAACTCCTTGATGGGGAGGGAGAAGAGGTAGATCTCCTCGATCGACTTGATCTTGCCGTCCTTGACGAGTCGGCCAACCGAGGTGACGGGGACCCACTCCTCCTTCTGCTCGTCGCGGCGACCGCCACGACGGGGGCCACGGCGGCCTCGTCCACCGCGGTCTCGTCCGAAACCGCCACGTCCACGGGGAGCAGCGTCAGCCATCTTGATTCTGTGTAGGGAGGGAACGACGAAAGGTCATCACGAGGTCAGTTTCAGGTGCAAGGTGCAAAAGCAAACGCCACAAGGCGGACGGAAAGCGCGATGATGGGTGCAGAAGTCGACAAAATCGGAGCCATGACTGAGCAGAAACCGATGCAGGGAGCTGTCCCCTTCACGAAGCAGCGCTTTCGTTCAGGCACCAGCCTGCGATGACCGTGTGCGTTGCCGCATGCTGAGCTATATGATGCTGCTGATGATGCTGTGACGGAGGACATTATGTGTTTCGTCTGTCCCACATAAGCCGGCGATATGATATGACGCTGTGCTGTCATGCTTTGTTGCTATGCAATGCCGTCTGCCGATTCTGCTGCTGATACCGCTGTCACTCCTGATGTTGCTGATCCTTTCGACGCTGCCATTCCATTCGGTACCTAATCATGTCGTCCCTGCTCTCTTGTTCCGAACCACCAATTCCTCGCAGCCTCTGCTGTATGGGACCTGACTGCTCTGCCGGACCTTCCATCTATTGCGCTTTCCGTCGTTTGTGCATGCTGAGCTGGATACAAACCTTGATGTGTATAAAGGTTGATGAAAAGGGGGTGATGGTTGATGGTTGGTGGAAGGGTCTGACGATGACGAGCAACGAGTTTGCCTGATTGGACTGGCACACTGTTGGAGCACCGCTCGAGACCCTCACCTCACCTTCCTCGAAAGATGCTTCGACGCCTGTCTCCTCACCGCGACATTTGTCCTCACAGAGTGCAGTGTGCTGCCTTCTCGGTCGAGAAGCCTTGAGGAGCGCTCAACCTTCGCAGCCAAAGGCTCAGAATCTCAACGCTTCTTCTTCGCGCGGTGTTGAGTGAATTCATTTGAATTTGAGAATGCTTCAAATCGGTATTCAGCAGGGCATGTCACGTGCTGTAAAAACAGAACTGTATCGGCTCGAATCGCCTTTGTTGTAAAATGTAGACGTAACATAGTATGATCAAAAAATCGCAACTATGGCAACGCTTCAAGCTCTCTTCGGACCACCGTCATATACGCACAATACTGGATGTTCGCACAGACTTCGACAATACACAACGTTACGATAGTCCTTGGATGCGATAATGATACAGATGGTGGGTCTCTCACATGACGACGTAGGTTCTTTACGAGCTGCTGGGCTGTGTGTAGCGTCGGGCGCTGATACGGTCGTGAGATGGAATTGATGCGGGATTTCGGTGCTTCACCTCATTTCCTTGTGCACGCTAAACTTCGCTGATGCGTCAGGAGCTGCGAGCATCTGGACAAATCGCAGCCACTTGAGAATTGCCGTCCTTGCCACTTCGAATCCACCGTTCTGCTCCTGTCGCGATGCGTCGCGATAGCCAAGCCATCTCGGGATCAGGAAGATCTCACGGTGTCGCTTTCCGCAGTCTGGGCAGATGCTGTCGACCCGCTTCCCCAACGCGCCCAGCTCAAGATGAACGAGCGCCTCCCATCGCCGGCTGAAATAAACGCCTTCCATCGTCGGACTGTCCATGCCGGGCATGAGCTGCTGGTCGTCGTGCGATGGATATATCGCTCGCAACAGCGGCTGTTTGGATCGGCACTGCGAGTTCCATTCGCCGATCCTGCGGAACACCTGCGTCGACCGACCCACCTTGAGACATACGTGCGTTGACGTGGACAAGGACATCAGCTCGTGTACGTAAAGATGTCCCTGCTCGCTGCCGTCCGTGTCGGTCAGGCTGCGCGACATGCAGTGCCGCAACAGCGCCTGGGTGTGATCATTGACTGTGTCGTCCAACCAATCGTGATACTTGACGTATACTTCCGTCCTGCTAGCGTCCGAATTAGGCGGCCTCGAATGATAGAAGCCCGGCCATTTCTTCGCCTCAGCAACATGCTGGAAGCAATACTTCTCTTCAACATCACTACTGTTTTGACCGTCCGCATCCGCGGCCCGGACTTTTCTGGTGCAGCGAGAGCCGTCCTTCTTAATGCCCCAACACTGTCCCTTGACCGGTGAATGCCTCGCGTCCGTCTGAGACCCTTTCGGTGTGAGAAAGCCGCCGCCGCTCTTCTGCAAGTCGACAGGCTCTCTCTGCCTTGAGCGTGGAGGAGTTTTCGGCTCAGAGGAAGGTACGGTAGGGTCGAAGCGATTCTCCTTTCCGTGAGTCGACGCGCTCGTGCTGAGACGCTCCTTGGATTGTGGAACCAGCTCGAAAGGGAAAGCCACCTTGTGTGCAGATAGGGAACCAACAGGGATAGAAGCCGGCCGCAGACTGGGAGGTGGCACGTGCTGCGGCACAAAGCTTGGAGGCCGAGGTGGAAGACGGCTTGTGTCTACATGTTGGTGGCTGAGCACGATCCTTGCTGGGCCGGGCCTTTGTTGGAGGTGCGGATGCGTTGGAGGTAGTGTGTACGACGAAGATCCTGCTCCATATTCGTAGGGAGGCGCGTTTGCGGCCTGCTGTGCTCGATCGTGAGCATGCCTGTAGAAAAGCTTCGGCGGAGGTGGCAGCGGTTTTGCTCGACTGCTCGATGGCGACGATGACGGCGAACCTTGCGATAGAGACGAAGATGGCGAGCGGATATGGAGTCGTTTCAAGGCTCTCTCCAGAAATGTAGTGGCGTACTCATCACGAGGAGATCCGAGGGCCGCCATGTGCGCGGACCGAGACCGGCAGCTCAGCTGCTCATCCGAGGGTTGCAGAGCTTTCGACTCCGCTTTGCTATGTCGCGGGCGGGAAACCGACGTGTCTTCGTTGCAGGAGAACAGGGAAAGAGGCGTTGGTGTGTCGGTGGAGAATGGTGTAGGACGTGATGAGATAGGGTGATACGGGCTTGTGGTGTTGTACGAACAGGCAGTGTTGGTCTTTCCGCACCACGTCCAAAGTTGACAGCTGAGCTGCATGAGCTGCTTGTTTCCGCAGGGTCCTGTTGTTTTAGCCACGCGTGAGAGGCTGTGTGGAGGAAGCGCGTTCGGTGATCGCCCGATCTGTGTATTTCGGTGTTTTGCAAAATCGATCTCGATCGACTGCGGCAAGTTCGCCCGAGCTTGCCAGACCAAAGCCTCGAGGAAATTCAGGCCTGCAGAGCGCGTTAAAACTTCAAGCAAGAAGAAAGAAGGCTCTCGAGACAGAGCGAGAGCGAGTGAGACGAGGTGCAGCTCGCTGGTCGCTATCGAGCTGCGACTCCATCTCATCCTTGCCTCTCTTCTCCTTACACGCAAAAGTTTCGAGGTTCCGTTTCCCTTCATCAACCCTTTTTCAAAATGTCCAAGGTCCCTGCTGCTCTCAACCCCACCGAGGAGGACATCTCGCTCCTCCTCGCCGCCCAGACCCACATCGGCACCAAGAATGCCGACAAGCAGATGGCTCCTTACATCTACAAGCGCCGTGCTGACGGTATCCACCTGCTCAACATCGGCAAGACCTGGGAGAAGATCGTCTTCGCCGCTCGTATCCTCGCCGCCATCGAGAACCCCGCCGACATCTGTGTGATCTCGGGCCGTCAGTACGGTCACCGTGCTGTGCTCAAGTTCGCTGCCCAGACCGGTGCCAGCGCCATCGCTGGCCGATTCACCCCCGGTTCGTTCACCAACTACATCACCCGCTCGTTCAAGGAGCCCCGTGTCATCGTCGTCACCGACCCCCGTGTCGACCACCAGGCCATCCGCGAGGCTTCGTACGTCAACATTCCCTGCATCTCGTTTGTCGACTCGGACTCGCCCTTGAAGTTCGTCGATGTTGCCATCCCCGGTAACGTCCGTGGCCGTCACTCTGTCGGTCTCCTCTGGTGGCTCCTCTGCCGCACCGTCCTTCGCATCAAGGGCGGTGACCTCTCGGTTATGCCCGACATGTTCTTCTACCGTGACCCTGAAGAGGTTGAGCGTGAGGCCCAGGAGGCCGCCGCTGCCGCCCAGGCCGCCAAGGAGACCGCCGAGCCCACCACCGAGGGTGCCGCTGACGTTCAGGCTGACGTTCCCCTCGCCGTCGCTGCCAACCTCGCCACCGAGACCGGCAACGTCGACTGGTCCGCCGAGGGCGCCCAGGACTGGGCTGCCGACGGTGCCGCCGAGCAGGCTCCTAGCACCTGGGAGTAAATTTGCCGATTGCGTTCCTTCCCGACCGGACCGCTTCCGCGCATACTAGTGGATCTCCCCATCGCCTGCTTCCCTAGAGTCTCATCTACCTCTCCGTCTCACCTATTTCTTTCCGAGATGATGTAGATGACAGAAGCACCGCGATGTCCACCTCCCCCTCTAACCATCCTCCAAAAAAGCCTCGAGAGCGCCAGACCCATTTCTTCGCTGGGTTTGCGCGTTACTTTGTAGCGTTGTCTTGCCTCTGATGTGTCGGCTCCTTCAAAGGGAGAATATCCTCTCAGATGATATGCACCAGAGACCAATAGTCCGCGAATCTCAAAAACCCTCCCATTCACACACCATCTCATCAAACGTACGTGGTCGAGTTGTGCTTGTGTGTGCATCGACATCCATGAAAGTGTATTAGCGTCTAGATGTGGTGTTGAGAGCAGGAGTCAGAATGACGACTCCAGTCGCACAATCATTCATTACACGCAAGACTGCGGAATCAGGTCCGGTAAGCATCGTCATCGCTGTGTGCTCCAAATCACACCTCAAACGGATCCGATCCCACTTCCCCCAGCCCCACCGCCACCGGCACCACCCATCGGCAGATCCACAAACAGCCCATCCAGCCCGTCCAACGGCAGACCCAGATCCGACAAGACACTGTCGAAGTTGGTCGAAGCGGCAAACGTCATCCCGCCTCCTCCTTGCTGCTGCTGTTGCTGTTGCTGCTGCTGTGGTACCTGCATCTGCGTCGTCCCTGGACTAGCACCAGGCAAGCTAAGCGAATTCGAGTGTCTGTGATGACCTTGACCCTGACCCTGATAACCACCCATCATTCCTCCAGGAGTCTGGTACGGCGTAGACGCATAATGATGCGGCACGGGGGATTGATAGTGGTCCTGCTGGTTCCAACTCCTTCCTCCAGCGGCTGCTGCTGCTGCGGTGGTAGCCGGTGACTTGATGGGCTGTTCTTGCAGTGAATCTGTAAAACCTTCTAGATCAGCTGAGGCCGTTCCTGTGCTTTCCTGCATCCAGACGGGTAATTGGATAGGTTGGTTGGCGTTGGCATTGTGCTCGAGCGGCGCGGCGAGGAAGCTGCTCCAAGGGATGCCGTCGACGGAGCTGCCGGGCAACTCGATACCGCTGATGCTGCCGCGATGCGAAAAGTTCTTGCTCGGTGACATGGTCCCCGAACCGTTGCCACCGAACAACCCTGCTGCTACAGAGGGACTCGAGATACCCGCAGTCAGCCATTTACCGCTGCTGATGAGATCTCCAAACCCTGGCGTCCTCGTTCCAGAACCACCCTGTCCCTCGCCAACCCCATTGTTGCTGTTCACCACCTCCGTCGCCTCGTCGTCGATCTGACCGCTCTGATACTCGTGCAACAGCTTGTACAACAGGCTGATGCCGGAATCGCTCGGACCACCACTTTTGATCTCGGCCGGAGTGATCGCGCCCGGTCTCGTCGCCTCGGCCCCCAACGCAGCGTACAATCCGATCGCCGGACTCAGATCCGCGATCTTCTTCCACGCCTGCGCCAACAAAATCCTGATCACCCTCGCATACTTGACCGCCGGTACCTCTGCCAACCTACTCGCCAGCCTCTCTGCATTGCTGAAAATCCCATACGTGTCGACCTGTCTCGGGAAGAGTCGAGCGATCTTGATGAGGAACACGCACGCGAACGCCGCCGTGACGTGCGTGTAGTGCGGAGCCCAACCGAGCATCTCTCGATACTCCTTGGCGTTTACCGAGATGGAGAGGCAGGTGTCGGCGGCACGGGTAGCTTGGATGATGAGTTCCTTCTGTTCGGGACCCATCTGGTCTGCGTCGGCTGCATCGCGGATGCCGCGCAGCGCGGTGCAGGTAAGATACAGCTCGGCAGAGGCGCATTGCAGGACGAGCGATTGCTGGAAGAACGACTCTTGCGTGTAGCCTCGCGTGTCAAAGTCGGCGGACCAGTATTGGTGCCATTCGTTGAGTTCTTCGGTGACTTTGCGCATCTTGGATAGCATGCGCGCGTCGACGGGTTGGTCGTAAGGTGCCATGGCGTCGTAGTGCGTCTCGCGGATGATGAGCAGCTCGAGCGTGCTGATGAATCGAGCGTCGGTTTTGACGGTGAGAGGGTAGTTGAGTTTCAAGAACGCCCGGCAGTTGCGAACGTAGTGCTTGGAGAGCATCGCCGGTCTACCCGCACCGTAGCTCGCCTGATGGTCGAACAGGAACAGGAAGAACCACAACCTCGAGCCTCGAGCGAGATCCTTGAGCTCGTCCAACTCCCTCTTGGCCGCAGCATCAGCATTGCCACTAGCAGCAGCGCTGGCAGCTACCGCATTGGCACCCGCTGCGTTTGCACCCACCTTGCCATCCACCGATTCACCCCCGACGGAATTGACATCCGTGGGGGAACCAGTGTAGTGGGACGAAGGGCTGTTGTGATAGAACGTCAGATGCTTCGGTGGCGGTGGAGGCTGCGGATGACGAATGTACCCCGAAGACGGAAGCGCCGACATGAGCTTCTGAAACGATCGATCCAAGCCGAGCTCCTGCGCCATACGGATCGACAACCCCAGCGGGAGCCACCCATTCTCGCTGTACGCGGCGAGCAACACCATCGCCTGTACAGCTGCCTTGCCCGCAACCGGACTGAACATGGTATCCTTCGCATTTCGCTTCGCCTGAGCCATGCACGTCTGGTACAGGCGACTGGCGCTCTTCCCGCCGCATTCGACTTTGGCGCCGATGGCGAGCATCACGTTGAAGAGAAAGTACGAGGTGGTTCGGACGTAGTGGTAGGCTTCTTCGGTGGTCATGGATTCGTCTTCGAGGTGGAAGATCGAGATGAACTTGGGCACGCCCTTTTGGAAGGTCTCGAAGAGACGGATGGCGTCTGTCTCGTTGACTAGTCCCAGGGTGACCAGGTCGCCGGGGGCGCTGGAAACAAGACCGGGTGCTTCCATCTTTCCGGACCGACTGCCACCGGAAGGCGAAGGCGCAGAAGCCGAGTTCGGCCCACCTCCACCGCTAGTGGCTCCCGCAACCGATGCACTCGCACCGCTCGCCTTGCTGTCCAGGCCACCAGCCGCCGCAACCGCCGAGTTGGGCGAATCCCCAAGCGTGTCCCGTCTTCTCTTCTTCCTCGGAGTCCTACCGCTCGCGTCTGACGACTCGCCATCGTGTACCATCCCGAACGCCGTTCGTTTGCCTCCCTCATCGACCAGCTGAAGCGATGGCGCTGCAATCGACTCACCCTGCTTCGTCCTTCCACCGGCCTCTTCCGTCTGCTTTTCGTCGCTCGAGTCGTTGGAAGTGTGTCCCTCGGACTCGGCCGCAGCAGCGGCAGCGTCGGCTAGACCTCGAAGCGCTTCGATGGGTGCGCTGAGCTGATCGTTGCTGATATCGGTCTCGCGAGAATCGACGTCGTCTCCAGGTGCGACGCCGTCGGAAGGGGTGAGGTTCTGATCCAGGCTGTGGGAGTGACTATTGGCTCGGTCAGACGAAGTCCAGCGACGACGGCTCGAATGACGAGCTTGGTGACTGGGTGCCGACGACGCAGGCGTCCAGCCGGACGTCGCTGCCACCGCTGCCGCCGCATCAGCTGGAGACGTCGAGGAGCCAACCAGACCAGGATGCTGCCACGACTGACCCTTTCGACCTCGATCTTCCTGATCGAATCCGACGCGGGAACCGCTCCTACGCCTGAGGCGTTCTGTTGTTGCTTGCGAGGAGGAAGAAGCAGCAGCGTTCACGCCACCAGTAGTATTCCACATGTTTTGATGGCTGAAAGCTTCGACTTCGTGCTGTTGCTGCTGATGTTGCGGCAGTTGTTGTGGTTGCTGCAGAAGATTCTGATCGGATTTTGTTGGGGGATGGCCGTAAGCTGTCTGAAAAGGAGGCTGCTGAAGCGGATATGCTGCAGCGCCATGCACCGGGATAGACTGTAGAGAGCTCGACCCGACGCCTGCTACACTATTGCTGCTACCGAAAGATCTGCCGGGAGGAGGATAAGGCGGACGCTGCGGATGAGACGTTGAGGTCGCCTCGGCTGGATACCTCTGGAACGTCTCGGCAGATGGCGAGATGACGGCTTGCTGCGAACCGCGATGATGCGGAGGTGGAGCATACGGATGGCGTTGTTGCAGCGGAATGTTATGCTGACGATGATGGTGGTACGGATCCGATCTCGAAGCTCTGGAAGAGCCAGGTGAAGACGAAGACGCATTCGATGCCTGTGGAGAATGGTGCGGTGGCAGAGGATGCGATGCCTGCGGTGGTGCAGTGATAGCACTGGTGTTGGCCTTGATGGAAGCGACAAGCTCAGATATCATGCTTTGCATCCCTGACATCTGACTCTCGAGCATCCTGATCCTGTCCGAGCTGGCACCAGCATCCAGTGCTGCCGACGCGGAAGACGCCGGATCTTTGGGCGGCTTCTCGAACACGCATTCGATGCCGACCTGCTTGCATCGACGACATGGTGGGTTCTCAGGACCGTCGCATCTCGCCTTTTGCTTGCGACAGGCGTTGCAGGCGCGATGCACTCGTGAGATGGTCTTGTAGATTTTGACCTCTTCCCTGGAGTTGGAGTCTGCGTCGGGTCTCGTGTCTGCGCGCGATGTGGACGGATCAGAGTCCGTTGAAGAGTCTCTTTTCGAGTGCTGAGAGGACGTCGCGTTGTTGGCCATGATGGATGGTTGGGTGAGAGAACTAGCCATATGGTGGTGTGAAGTGGACAGAGAGCCAAAGGCGGATGGCGCCGAATACGAGGTGTATGGGTGTTATGAGCTAGGAGAAGGCGAGGACGGAAGCGCTTCCGGGCATGCTGCGGAGACAGTGGTCAAATCGAAGGTAGTCGATGAAATGAGCGCGGCCACAAAGGGAGAGGATGCTGCGCGGAGGCCTTGCTCAGCCGAATTGTGTGATGCTCCCAGCTCGGGAGAGGATGGGAAATGAGAGCGTCGTCGAACGTCGCACTGCTGCTGCTGTTGTTCTTGTCGTCGCCGTGGCTTTCCGGTGACTGTTGGTGGAGGGACGCGCTTCGAGAGTTAGTGATGCTATTGACTGGAAAGGGATTCTGCAAGAAGGAAAGATCGGGTAGAGATCCGAGGCTGGTGATGATGACGTTGAAGGAGTTAAGGTGAAATGAAGAAAGATGCACCGGATCCTAGTGGTACAAGCCGGGATGTGACAGGAAGGGTCGAAGCCGAAGTTCTGCGTGCAACTTCGACGGAAGACGACAGTCCGGAAGAGCATGAAGCGTCAGTAGGCCGCTGCAATCCACTGGAGCCGGGGCTGATGGCAATTTAGACCCTCAAACATTCGTTCACGCGACACCTCGAATCCTCACTTTCTGCATACACAGTGTATCACCATGCCGCTGCAGCTCATCCCAGCCGAGACGCGGCACTGCCGACCATGCTGACCATGCGCAGCACATGAAAACGAAAAGCGTGTCTGACCAGCATCTGAGGGTGTACAACGCGGCCAAGGGAATCTTTCACAGAGCGTGGAAGGGAAGCGGGGAAGTCGAGTTGAGCATTTGGCAAGCCTTCCACCCGCGGGGAAGAGCAGCAAAGGACCCTCGCAAACACGGCAGTACGGTCCGGTGGCTCCGCTTTCCAAAACTAATAAGAGAGATTTCGGGTCACGCGATCCATGTCGCGATTCAACAACGTTGCTCGAATACAATCGTCCAATTTGTCTTGACCCGATGGTACTAAGATCGATCCAGAAGGAAACGTTGGCGTTGGCCAGAATCCGCGCGGAAAGCAATTTTGGATTTCTGTTCCTCTCTCTCTCTGTCTTTGGCACCCAAAACTATCATCCTAATCAGCCGCCGTGGTGCACTGAGCACATCTCTGAACGAGAGTTGTTCAAGAGTTGCTCTTGCTCGACCCTGAAGTTGTCCAAAATCACACTCTTTTACCAATCTCATCTTTCCACACCATCTCCTTCCTCTACCACTCTGACCTATCGCATAATCACCATGGCTACCCAATTCATCAACTGGATCAAGTCGCCAGCTGGCAGGCAATACTTCTTCGTACGTTTTCCCCCATTCTTACCTCCTTCTTCCAACACACACATGTCCCCGAACTTACACCTTCTTCTTCTTTTCTCGCAGTCGACACATTTCTGGGGACCAGTAGCCAACTGGGGACTTCCACTCGCAGCAATCGCCGATCTCAGCAAGGATGAAGAGATGATCTCGGGAACCATGTCCGGTGCACTCTGCGCCTACTCGACCGTCTTCATGAGATTCGCATGGAGGGTGCAACCCAGGAACTACCTTCTCTTCGCTTGTCATGCTACCAACGCTACTGCTCAAGCTGGTCAACTCCTTCGTTTCGCCGTAAGTACACATACCACGCTACGGTCAGGTTTCGAAAGTTGTTTAGAGGCTGATGAGTGTCAATCCGTCTTTCGTCTTTCGGAAAACAGAACTACCACCACTTTGGCGGAAAGGAAAAACGTGCCACCCTCCCAACATCCCAAGTTGCATCAGCATAATGCGTAAGGCTCCGTCCCATCTTCTCGAAAACACGTTCGGTAGAGCTACATAGCCTCTCCCTCCTGCAATTTCCTATCTGTACACTATTCCACCCTCATCTCAGCTCATTGCAAGCCATCTTACACGACTTCCACCTAAACACCAGCTTTTGGCTTTCACAGTCTCGCTGCTCGTCCGTCGTCCGTTCCACCCACTCTCACTCATCTCTACAGTTCCTTGACAAAGAGTCGACATCTCGCACACTCTGGTACACGACAGCTCTACCATTGACAATACGTCTGTCAATTGCAGTCTACAAATGCTCGACCTAGTCGCCCATCAAACAGATGCTCCTTCTACCTCCCAACCCTAACTAGCCCCACCCTCCGCCTTGGCAATGTACTCCACCAGCGACACGACATACTTCTCGGCAATCGCGCTAAAGTACCACTCGTGCTCTGCATTGTGCGCTGCCACCACGTTGTGCGCAATCTCGTGCGCAACGCTGAAGTACGTCGACACCAGTGGGTCCGCCAACTTGCCCTGCTTCACCAATTCGTCGTGCCACGCCAGATAGTATCGGAAATTGAGGTAGATCGCTCCCGCTCGGTTGAATGCGATCGCAGGGCCCGCCGTGTCGCAGAACACGTACATGCTTCTAGGATCCAACCCAAAGATGCTTCCGACAGGCTTGTAGATTCGGTTGATCAGACGCTCGAGCGCTGCAGCGTTGGCCTGCAGCATCGAAGCAGCGTCCAGCGTCGGATGCAGGAACACCTTCATCCCCGCCACCTCACCTGCCAGCTTGAGATCCGTCTCGACGCCTTGGTCGCAATACGAGTTGGCGGCTTCCTTGATCTGCGTCTGTCGCGCTTCGCTCTTGATCGTCGACGATGCGTCGGGTCGCGACGCGCGGATTGCCTTGAGCACATTGTTGTGGATCGAAGAAAGCGGCGTCACTTCGCTTGTCGGTGCGGTCGCCGCTGGCGTCATGCCTCCCGAGGACGACGAAGATGTAAGGGCACCCAGAGCACGATCCTCGGCTGATCGACCGGCTGCTGCCATGGGAGAGTCTGCCGGCCAGTCTGAGCCGTGACGTTGGATGGAGCTCGTTCCATCCGCCAGCGAACTGCGCTGCTTTGAGCCAGCCTGCAGGAACTTGTTGCGGAAGCCCGAGAAGAAGCCAGGTCCCGCATTGCCGCCTGCACCGTGAGGCGTCAGTGTGGACGTGGTATCGTTGGTCAGCTGTGAGACGGCAGACGACGCCTCTTTGTTTCTACGAGGATAGTTGCTGCTTAGCATGTCGTTGGTGGTGCGCTCAACATGCGCATCGCTATGGCTTCGCAGCGCCTGGTCCACGTAATGCGGATCGGCATCAGGAAACACGCTCAGCACCTGCTTTCGCCAGTCGGCCAGCTTGTCCTCGGTGGCCTTCTCTTCGGCAGCACGCTCCTGAGCCTTGAGTCGTTCTTCGCGCATCTGGGCCTCGGCAGCCTCCCGTTCCGCTTTACGCTGCGAGAGGATCTTGTCCACGTGGAATCCACGACGCTTCAGGTTGCGCAGCGACGTCGAGAGGAGCGTCATGTACAGCAGCACTTCCTGCAGCCTTTGCTTCGTGAGCAGATATTTGCTGATCGATGTGGCGACCTCGAAGAAGTCGACTTCCATCGATGACGAAAGATGCAGGACCAGCTTGGAGCCGCGCATCGATGCGGTGGCGGTGCACTTCTGCACGTTCTGCTCGTGCACTCTGTCGTAGCGTAGCGTCCGTACGAGGCGAAGACCCGCTCCGTCGATCTCTTCGACCTCGAGCGCCTGCTTGAGCCACTCCGCATCCTTGCGTATCTCGGACTTGGACGACTGTCGCTTTTCGAAGAGGAAGAGGGGCGTACGTTCGAGGACGATTGCTTTGATTTCGCGAGCACGCTGCGTGTCTCGAACGACTCGACCTTCGATCGAGTAGCGCTCCTCGACCAGCGCACTCAACCGAGGCGAGCCGAGTTTGCCGTACAGTCCTTCCTGCAACAGATCCTCGTGCGGTGCGTAGAAGAGCGACGAGGCAAAGAGCATGTGCGAGTTGGCATCGTCGACAATGACGACATCTGAGGGCTTCTTGAGCGCATACACGAGTGTACCTGCATCGTCCGCTTCTTCGTCCTGCTCGTCATCGTCTTGGTCCAACAGATGGCCGGTCTTTTGGCCACCTTCCGCCGCTTTGCTTTCGCTGATGCGCTTGGAACCGAGCAGGAAAGCGGAGCGTGCCATCTGGTTCCGCAACGGACTACGGATGCGGCTCCAGTTCGTCGCAATCTGGCGGAGGATGCCGAGATACGCGTCGGCGCTGCCGGCGAGCTGGTAGAAGCGCTGCGGCTCGGCTACAAGACGTTCCGCGACCTCCTCGATGCTTGGCTCGTTTCGCACACCACAGTTCTTGAGAAAGGCACCGGCTACCGAGCCGTAGTCGCAGTAGAAGAAGACGTCTCGGAATTGGACGTCCGAGGTCGAGCCGCCAAAGTAGCAATTCATGGGGGACACCACGAAGACTTCGATGGGCTGCGAAGCTGCCGAGTCGCCTGCAACACCGGCAGTGGCACCGCGCTTTGTGCGACGTACAGGGATGAACTCGGCGCCTCGCAGCTGTGCAAAGTCATTGAGACTGAATTCTGGGACGGTCGCCAGATACTCAAAGATCTTGCGAGCCTGTGCTTCGTCTTTTGTCGGCGTGTTGACGAGTTTGCCGATGAGCTGCGTCGCCGTGGGATTGGAGCGTAACCCGAGCTTGGGCAGGTCGGCCAGGTTGATCTCGGGGCCGGCGACGGGGAAGCCCATCACAGCAGCTTCTGCATTGGTAAAGACCTCGGTGGGTTTGCGAAGCACCATCTTGGGCTCGTTGGGTAGCCTTGCGGGCACGAACGCGTACTTTTCGGCGCGGAAGATGGTGTACTGATTAATGTAGTGAGCGTGGAATCTCTCGAGGAAAAAGGCGATGGCGCTGGATCGCAGAGCATCGTTGGTGGTGGTGGAAGCAAGCTCGAGCACAGTCTCCATGGGCGGATAGCGTCGCAGACCGAGATCAAACACGAAGCGGGCCTCTTCGGAAGAGGGCTTCCACGGCTTGTCGACCCAGTCTAGCACTGGCAGCTGGAGAGCCTTGAGCGCTTCAGTAGGCTCGTAAAGGTCGCTGGCGCGGTAGCGGATGATCCTGGGTTTGCCGTCTTCCTTGAGCGGTCCAACCTCTCCCTGCTTGGGAAAGATGGCGGTCTTCTTGAGCCGTTCCCTCTCGAGGTCGGAGAGCGTCTCCTTGTTGGAAGCAAGGTACGAGACAAGATCGACGTGGGACCAGCCACCGCCCGCTACGAGCCGATTGAAGATCATCTGTAGCTCCACATGGCGACGCACGCCGAGTGCGGCGAGCACCTTTTCGAGATTGCCCTTGACCTGTGCGGTAGGAAGCTCGACGATGGGCAGATCGGAAAACAAGGATACGTTGGCGAAGTAGGCGTCGTCGGGCTTCTGCATCTCAAGACGAGTAGGAATGCAGGTGGCATTTGCCAGAAGCAGCTGGATCTCGTCGTGCTGATTGGCAGGCAGTGCAAACCAGGTGCGCGACAGAGTGAGCAACACTTTTTCGGCGAAAGCCGGCGAGGTCTGCAAATCTGTCTCTTCGAGCGCCGTCGAGCCTGAATGTTTTGCTTGGACGCTGATCTGAACGAGGTTTTTGACCCAGACGGGCACCGTCAGTTCGGACCAGCCAAACACGCGGGAGAGCTCGTTGGTAGTAAATGACTTTGACACTTCGTACGCCAGGCAGGAATCTGGAAGAGGGACGTCGGTGGGAAGACGAGACGTGTTGAGGTAGAAGCGCACGGCGCTGAGTGGCTGTATCTTTTCGGGAACAGCATCGTCCTTGGGGTCGGCGATGGTGAGCATGGCGTTGTTGAGGAGCTTGGAGCGCAGGCTGATATCGTACGAGGGATGTGCGGCGACGCTGACCCACCACTTGAGACAGGCGACCATCTCGGGAGGAGTGAGGGGGCGCGACGAAAGCTCTTGGAAGACGTCGTCCATGGTGATATCTTGGACGAGGTTGCGAGAGCGGACTTCTCGGACAAAGTCGGGAGCCTCTTCGACGTGGTGCGGAGGGATGACGGCGAGGTCTTTGATGAAATCCGCAAGAAGGGCATTGGGGACGCGCACGGCGGCCGAATGTCTGATGCCGCGCGTCGACATGAGCGTAATGGTGTTCTGACGTGCCGATCCGAAAAAAGAGGTGAGGAAGAGCGACGAGACGCGGGAGGATGGCGAAGAGGCGCGGAAGGTGAAGAAGCGCATGAGATGGAGCGCACGATCCTTGAGCGCCTTTGCTGTAGGATCGTCGTCTTTGGGCGGACGCTTGTCGCCAAACGAATTTGTCCACAGTCGACCAATGTCGGTCAGCTCATTCTCGTAGACGGCACGAGCGACATAGCCTCCCATGGAGAGCAGCTCCGAGTTCCACTGAGCACAGTATCTGTCGACAAAGTCGAGCGACTCCCTCTCGACGGTGGGGATGAATCGTGCTGCAATGTGGCCGCTGAAGCCGGTGGTCTGATGAGTTCGGAAGCCGATGAAGGCGTGACCTTGGTCTTCGAGGCGGGGCATGAGACCGGAAAAGATCTGGCGTACGCCTGTGTCGAGTGCGGCGGTGGACGAAGTGATGGAGAGGGAAGTGTCGGGGTTGTCGTTGTCTTCGGGGAAGCTGGCATCGTACTCCTCCTTGCCTGTGAAGATGAGGTGGAAGGCGGTGACCTTGGGGGGAGGCTTCTTTGTGCTGCGCTCGATTTCTCTCGAGAAGGTCTTGTCGGCTGATACGCTTACGTTTGCGGTTGCGATACGCAGATGAATGGAGGCGGAGACCGAAGTGAGCGCGGCGGCAGTGGCGTCGAGCTTGCGTCTTTCTTGCTCGTGCGCTGCAGCCTCGACTTCTCTGCGTCGTTGGAGTTCACGCTCGCGCTCCTTGTCCTTTGCAGAGGAGGAGCCAAAGCCAAAGGCGCTCTGGAGCATGGAGGTGAGACCGCCACCGGCCGTCTTGCCGAGAGCAGATGCAAGAGACTGTTTGGGTCTGGGTTTGTCCTTTTCGGCAGCATCGATGACGAGTTGGAGTGCTTGGACGTCGATCTGCACGGCGGTCGACTCGAGATCTCGAACGCGCATGATCTTGGCTGGGCTGTACGCATTGAGATGGCCGGGCATGGACATGGACTTTGGCAAAGCGAGCTTCTTGTCGAGCTTGCAGAGGAGATGGTCGTCCCAGTAGAGTCCGATGGAGCGGATCTTGGTGGTAAAGGTGAGCGAGGTGGCCAAGAACTTGGCGAGGGCCATGGGATAATCGGGGAAGGGGGACGGTTCGCGAAGGGCCATGAAGAAGGTGGTCCATGGGTTGCCAGAGGGCGAAGTCTGACGGTCAGCGTTGTTGGCACGTTTGGTAAAGAGGGCGTCGCCTTTCCAGAAGAAGCCCATGAGCTCGTCACCGGATGAGACGATGGGCTCCTCGCAGATGCTGAAGAGCGAGTAGAAACCGACACCGAAGGCACCTATACGGTCGGGATCTGGGTTTCCTTCTGCGATCCTGCGTAGACGGGACCAGTCATCGTTGCCAAAGGGCTTGCCGTCGTTGCGAAAGACCCAGTTGCTGAGGGTAGCTTTGAAATCGGGCAGAAGGGTGGATGCGGATGTGGAGGCAACGTCGGATTGTGTGGATTGGGATCGCTGCGACTCGAAACGGAGCTCGCAGTGGGTGGCACCAGCGTCGTCTGCATTCTGAAGCAGTTCGCGAAAGACGGTGAATTCGGCGGCGTACCTGGCGAGGATCTTGTCGATGAGGGCGCGCTGGTTGACTGTGATGGCTTCCTCCTGACGAGCATCGTTCATGAGCGCCTTGCGGGCGAGCTCGCCTGCGGCGGTGGAAGCCATGTCGCTGCGCTACGAGGTATCGAGAGGAGCTCGTCGGAGCTCGTGATGATGGAGGGTGTGAATCGAAAAGCGGTGCACGAATCTGTGGTTCGATGGCTGAGCATTGAGCAGCACGAGCGGACAGAGGAACGAGGACCCTGCAGCAGCAGCATCTTGAATCTGAGTTTGAGCCAAAACCAACACTTTCAGCCGCGCCGCACTGACTGAGCCGGCGTGGCCTGCGTGGCTTGACCAGCTGAGCTCATCTCTGTCAGATCTCTTGGCGTCTTCTCATTGTGTTATAAAGACAAATCTTAACAAAAGCGATGCGAAAATTCCATCCGATCCTCGCGCGCCGAAATCATCCAAGCTCAGACCGCGGTGGCTGCCACAGGTGCAAAGCCGCCCGTCGGTGCTGTAGCGGCGGTCCCAAAAGTGTCACAACAACACAACGTCATTTTGGACAGCGCGTGTGCCTGTCTCTGTCTCTGCTAGACACCATTTTTGCTAATGGATAATAACAAAGAATAATGGCCCCTCACAAAGCTTGGACCTTGGGCATCGGAACGGGTCATCCGTCAGTCGTCGTTATAGCCATGCTGAGCCAGGCTCTCTCCTCGTCTCGAGTTTTGGCCGCACTAGCTGCAGCCGTCGTCAATTTGCAATTGATGGTTGTCCTGCAGAACGCATCTAGGAAACAAAAAAGTGGCGGTGCGGATCCATGCAAGTGTGTCGCACAGCAAGCACAGCGAGCACAGCTTGGGCGTGTGTTGGACCAACCTGACGCACATGCTCATTCGCTGTTGCTGGTTGTGTGGAGAGTTCCAAAACTTGAAACTTGTGCCACATGCTGGCTCAAAACCCCTTTCATCCTGTCGACACTTCCTTCCCCCCTTCATCATCTCGAGTCTCACAAACCTCTGTTCCGTCGTCCATTCTCTCGACTCGACAAGGCTCATCGCCGAATACACACAAGGCTCGCAGCCACCCTCGCTCGCCACCGACGTGTCGCCCTAACCCCATAGGAAGGCGTTGAAACTCTGATCCTAAGCTTTTCTTTTCCAGCACTGCAAACCAAGACGCACATTATGTCGTCGAGCACACAGAACAACGTTGCGGACAGCTCGTCGGCGCCAGTCTCGTCATCTGCAGAGCACCCTCCTGCCTTGTCCGACTCGACACCACATTCCGATACTCCTTACGCTGCCACTGCAACCGCTCCCAAATCCGCTCTCGCCACCGCCACTCCAAGAGCCTCCAACGCCAGCAGCAGCAACAACCTCTCACACCGCCCCAAGCGTGCCGTCATCGCCGACTCGGAACCCGACATGCTTGAAAAGGGTCATGCCCCCTCGTCCAACGAAGACTCCTCCGCCCTCTCACAGACTATCACTTCCTCCGATCCTGCTTCCTCCACCACCACTCGAAAACGTGGTGTCAACCGCGATCAGTCTTCCGTCGGCGAGGGTCTAGGTGGACCTTTTGCGGGCCCACCCCGCAGAGCCACCATGGATTCCAGGGCTACAACACGACGCTCCTTCAACGACCTCTTCACCCCAGAGCGTCGCCTCGGCAAACCTCCCGGCACCCTCGTCAGTCTCAAGAACCTCCTCTTTGGCTCGTATCTCAACCTTCTACTCGTCTTCATCCCCGTCTCTTGGGCCTTGTATTTCGCCCTCGATCAGAGCGTCATCAGGAACGGCATTCTCACCTTTGTCACCTCCTTCCTCGCCATCATGCCCCTCGCCACCATCCTCTCTCAGGCCACCGAAGAGCTCTCGCTTCGAGTGGGCGAGACCATCGGTGGTCTCATCAATGCTTCGCTCGGTAACGCTGTCGAACTCATCGTCGCCATCGTATCCCTTTTTCATTGCGAGCTCATCGTCACGCAGACCTCTCTGCTCGGATCTATCCTCTCGAATCTGCTGCTCGTGTTGGGAACGTGCTTCTTTGTCGGAGGTCTTCGCGTCAAGGAGCAGGTCTTCCTCGAGGCACCCACTCAGCTCAACACGTCGCTTCTCATGATGGCTGTCATTTCGCTTGTCATCCCGTCAGCGTTCCATGCCGTACTTGGCAGCATCCCTGACGATACGGAGCGCGGCGATATTCTCAAGTTTAGCAGAGGTGTCTCCGTCCTGCTTCTCCTGATCTACATCGGTTTCCTCTACTTTAGTCTGTTGTCGCATAAGGAGTTCTTCCAGGACGACAACGAAGACGAAGAGGAGCAGCCATCAATGAACATGACAGCCGTCATCATCACCCTCGTCTTCGTTACCGTCCTCATCGGCGTCACCTCCAACTGGCTCGTTGAGGCCATCAATGTCGTCGCCTCTACCGGTGCCATCACCCGGACTTGGATCGGACTTATCCTCCTACCTATCGCCAGTAACGCCACCGAACATCTGGCTGCGGTCATCTTTGCTTGGAAGAACAAGATCCAGATGGCCTCTTCCATTGCGATCGGCTCGTCCATCCAGATCGCTCTCTTTGTCATCCCGCTGCTCGTGCTCATCGCTTGGATGGGTGATCGTCCCCTGACGCTGCTGTTCGATCCTTTCGCCACAATCTTGCTGTTGTTGACGGTGCTGATCGTCAATTTCGCGATTGCGGACAACAGGTCGAATTACTTGGAGGGTTTCGTGCTCATCATGGTGTATTTGATCGTCGCCTTGACGGTGTGGTTTGTACCGGACGATTTGTCCGACTCGCTGTTCTCGGATGCGTATTGTCACAATCGTTAGGCAGGGCTGCAAGAGGTGTAAATATTCGTTCTTTCAATCGCATCAGTCGTTTCCGCACACACACACACACACACACACATACAAAGATTCGTTGCGATAATGACATTCTATGATTTGCACTAACACGTGAGTTGGGTACGTAGTTCCTGACCCAGTTGGACAAACTGATCCAGACTTTCTGGGTTGATGAGCGTGGCTCTATTGATGGCGTTCAGATCGGCTCCGTTGATGATCTTCTTTACGGGGACTTCGACTTTCTTGCCGTTGAGGGTTTTGGGTATGTCCGAGACGATGCGGATGAATTTGGGAACGTGTCTTGCGCTTCGTTTTGTACGGATGAGTGACGAGAGGGTTTTCTGCACTGCGTCGAAATCGATTCGGGCGGTGGGGGATGGGACGATGAACAGGCAGACCACTTCGTCGTCGCCAGAAGGGGTTTTGAGGGCGACGACGAGCGAATCGATGATGGTGGTGGAGAGCGGGTTTTCGGGCGATTCGAGGAGTTCGTAGATTTCGCTCGAGCCGAATCGGATGCCGCCAGGGTTGAGGATTCCGTCGGATCGTCCTAGCATCACCACTCCGCCGTGCGGGCTGATGCAGACGAAGTCTCCGTGGTACCACATTCCAGAAACTTGCGAATAGTACGATTCAAAGTACTTGGTTTCGGGTTGCTTCCAGAATCCCAACGGCTGAGCGGGGAAAGGAGATTTGCAGATCAGATCGCCAACCGTGTTCGACGTGGTGATCTCGCGTTGGCTGTCGGGATCGTAGACCGAGATGTTCATGCCGAGGTTTCTAGATTGGATTTCACCGGCGTAGACGGGGAGCGAGGTGTTGTGACCTGCGAACAGCGAGCAGAGGTCGGTTCCTCCGGTGATAGATCCAATGAGCACCGAACCGATCTTCTCCATGATGAATGGGTAGAGCTCGGCACGCAGTGGTGAACCAGTGCTCAGGATCTGCTGGACCTTGAGGTTGGGATGAGAGGTCTTCACGTCGTAGCCTGTCTTTTCCAGTGCACCAAGATAGGCGGCCGAAGTGCCAAAGGTGGTGACACCGTGCTTCTCTGCGAGATCCCATAGCACGGAGGTGGGTTTGAGCGGGCTTCCATCGTACAAGACGATGGTGCAGCCGGTGACGAGTCCTGCGACGAGAAAGTTCCACATCATCCATCCGGTGGTGGTGTGTTGGAAGAATACGTCTGTCGGAGTCAGACCCCCGTGGATGAAGTGCTCCTTTGATAGTTGCAAAAGCATCCCACCGGAGCGATGGGTGATGGCTTTTGGTTTGCCGGTAGTTCCCGACGAGAAGAGGATCCACAGAGGATGGTTGAAATCCAACTGTTCAAAGGGGATCGACTTCTCGCCAGCGTCGACTCCTTCGCTGAGGAAGTTGTTCCACGATACCCACCCTTCCCGATCCTCCGGCACCTTGTGACCTTTGACATACGGCACAACGATCACACCTTCCAACCTCTGCTCGTCCTCCTTCCGCCCCTCCTCCAACCCATCCACGACACTCTGCAGTTTAGACAGGTGATCGTGAACTTTACCATTGTACCTGACCGCATTCACACTGACCAAGATCTTGGGTCTCACCGTTCGCAACCTCTCCAGCACACCTTCCGGCCCAAAATCAGCTGCTGCACTGGTCCACACTGCTCCGATCGACGACGCTGCCAAGAAAGCGACCAGGTTCTCCGTGTTGTTGGCCGAGTAGCTCGCAACGCAATCGTTTGGCTTTACACCTCTCGCGCGCATAGCAGCAGCCACCTTGGCTGTCATGCGATACAGCTCCCCGTGGGTGACGCTGTATTCCTCCAGCTCTCCCGTAGTTGTATCCACTTCAGTAGACTGTATCACAGCGACCTTGTCGGCTAGGGGAGAGGAAGGAACACCGTGGCGAAGAAGGTTCTCGGCAAAGTTGAGCCGCGCACCAGGGAACCACTGCGGAGGAGGGTAAATCGGTGCATCGTCCTGGATCGCTATGGGAGCGGCAGTGGAAGAAACGACGTGGGTCGAGTCCCACACGGTGGTCCAAAAGTCGTTGAGGTTAGTGCAAGACCATTTCCACAATTCATCGTACGAGGAGAGGGAGAGGGAGAAGCGATCGTTGACGGATCTGCGGAAGCTTTCCATCGAGGTTGACGCAGGGTCGGCAGGCGACCAGATGAGTTTGCCTTGGATGGAGGCATCTGCCGTGGTGGCTGAGGTGCCGTTCTCCATGCTGGGCGGTGCGAGAGGGGTCCGGAGAGACGCGATGGGATGGTGTGACAGAGAGAGGGTAAGAGTTGGTTGAGCAGGAAGTTTCCCCAGTGCTGCGAGGAGTAAAAAAGTTGTGAGCCCCTCGGTTGAACAGCCGGAGAACCTCACTCGCGGTATGGATGAGCTTCGATGTCACTTTGTGCCGTTCTGTGTTCCAGGAACTAACCTTAGCCGGATCAACACCCACGCAACACGGGCCAACCAAGCTGCCAAGAATCCAACCTCGAAGATTTGCGGGGATTCCGCGCTGCCCTTCAAGTCCGGAATAACCGACAGAGAGGAAAAAGCCTATTGCAGAGACTGTATCGCGCGTTTCCCCAACCCCCCAACAACGGCAGACGCCGCGCCCCCACCCGACCGAAGCATACCCTCGCTCATCCCCCCACTTTGCCTCCGGATCACCTCTTCTTCTCACCCGCTCTTGCATCAACGACCACCCTGATACATTCGACCCGGGAAGATCCAAACGTCGTGCAAGTTGAGTTGGCTGAAGAAGATCATCACCTTCCCAGCCGCACTGTTTCTAATTCGCGTCTCTTCGTCCCTGCCTCCTCATCTGCTCATTCTCATCTCACATCATGCACACATCACACGATCAAAGTCTTGAACGGAAACCATGTATATGTAGAAATTTGCAATAGGGCAGCTAATTACAGCTTAGGACCGGCGGCAGCGACCTCGGCAGAGACGTCGTTGGCGTACTTTTCAAAGTTGGTGCTGAACATCTCGGCGAGCTTGTTGAGCTCGGCCTTGAAGCCTGCGACGTCTGGCCAGCTGGTGGCGGGGTTCAAGAGCGTCTCGGGCACACCCTCGACCGCCTCGGGGATCTGCAGGTTGAACGTGCCAAAGTTCTGGAACTTGGCCTTGGCCAACGAGCCGTCGTGGATGGCGTCGATGATCTTACGCGTGTACTTGAGAGGGCAACGCTGACCGACACCGAACTTGCCTCCGGCCCAACCGGTGTTGACGAGCCAAACATCCGCCTTGTGCTTCTCCATGCGCTCGGCAAGCATCTTGGCGTAGACACGGGGGTGCAGAACGATGAAGGGCTGTCCGTAGCAGGTCGAGAAGGTGGGCGAGGGCTCCTGGATACCATCCTCGGTACCGGGGGTCTTGGAGGTGTATCCAGAGATAAAGTGGTACTGAGCCTGGTTGGCGTCGAGCTTCGAGACGGGAGGAAGCACACCGTAGGCATCGCACGTCAAGAAGATGATGTTCTTGGGTGGCGAGTTGGCCATGCAAGGGATCTTGGCGTTGGGGATAAACTCGATAGGGTACGAGCAGCGCGTGTTCTCGGTGATGACAACATCGTCGTAGTCGACCTCGCGCGTGTTCTTGTCGTATACGACGTTCTCGAGCACGGCACCGAAGCGGATGGCGTTGTAAATCTCGGGCTCCTTGGACGCAGAAAGACCAATGCACTTGGCGTAGCAACCGCCTTCAATGTTGAAGACACCCTCGTCGGACCACACGTGCTCGTCGTCACCGATGAGCGCACGCTTGGGGTCGGCAGAGAGCGTGGTCTTGCCGGTACCCGAAAGACCGAAGAAGAGCGAGACATCGCCGTCGGGACCCTCGTTGGCGGAAGAGTGGAGCGAGAGCTGGTTGAACTTGACGGGCATGAGGTAGTGCATGACGGAGAAGATACCCTTCTTCATCTCACCGGCGTACTCGGTACCGAGGATGACCATCTCGTGACGCTTGAAGTTGACCTCGACCGAGGTGGAAGAAGTCATACCGGCGGTGAAACGGTTGGCAGGGAACTGACCGGCGTTGTAGATGATGAAGTCGGGCTCGCCAAAGTGCTCGAGCTCTTCGGGGGTGGGACGGATGAGCATGTTGTGCATGAAGAGGGCGTGGTAGGCACGACTGCAAATGATTCGGACCTTGATGCGGTACTTGGGGTCCCAGCCTGCGAAGCCGTCAAAGACGTAAATGTCGTCGCGGGTGTTGAGGTAGTCGATGGCACGCTCACGGTTGATCTCGAAGGTGTGCTCGTCCATCTTGATGTTGACGGGACCCCACCAGACGTGGTCCTTGGAGGTCTCTTCGAAGACGATACGCTTGTCCTTGGGCGAACGACCGGTCTTCTTGCCCGAGTAGTTGATCAAGGCACCGGCGGACGAGATGACGGCACCCTCCTTCTTGATGGCGTCCTCGTAGAGCTGGGCGACGGAAGCGTTGCGCTTGAGATGGACACGGTCCATGTCGAAACCGGCATCCGAGAAGAGCTTGAGGTCGGAGCCCAGGAGCGTGTAGTGCGGGTTGTTGGTGGGCAACTCATCGTGGTGGTTTCCTGGCGAAGTCATTTTGAACTAGTGTCGACGAAGGCGCGTTGGGAAACGAAGGGAATGGGTTTGGTGTTTGGATATGGAAGACGAGGCTATCGTTCGGAAGCGGGTCCAAGGTTGAAAAGGAGCAAGGAAGAACCAGTTCACAGATGGAGGAACGAGGAAGGTGGTGGAGGAAGGAGTGAGGGGAGGTCAAGCGGAAAAGGGAGTGGACAGCGTCGGTCGTTTGGCAGTTGATCGGCAGCACACGGAAACACCCGCAGAGAGGGTAGTGGAGGCGGTGGGACAGAGGGGCGAGAGACAAGAAAAGGCGGGGTGAAAAGTCAGTGTCTAATGATCATGTGAAATGAAGATGCGTTATTGGCCCGGAAGAGACAGAGAGACAAGTGTCACAATGCTGATGCATGCATGGACCGAGGCAGGCCAGCACAGTGTGTCGATGTAGATTGTGAACCCCGTGACACTTTTTGCCTGCTGCAGCAGCCACAAACGCAGGTTATTCGCCGGGTCCACCTTCTGTCGCCCGCTGATTCGCTTTGGTCCAAGCCCCGAACAGCAAGCGTACGACACTGCAGTAGACTGTCAAAGATGTCGAAACGACAATCATGGTGACAGCCAACAGCGCCGGGGACAAAGGAGCGACGGACGGCAGGTACGGGAGGATGAGCAGCGAGGCGTGAAAGGGGCGGCGGGGCCAAATCGATGATGATGACGAGCGGGGCTTGGCTAGACTAGACACTACCAGAGCGGGACTGGGAGCTGAAACAGAGGCAGGACAACCGCAGAGTGGAGCCAGGGCAGAGCTGAAGCCAACCACAGAACCGGCAAGACGGCAATAAGCCAATTCCCGATCTTCGGACTGCATCCGGCTACCGACACGAACGTCTGGCTGGATTCTGCTTCCCCTTCGTCCGCCTGTCACACCGTGTTCGTGTCGATCAGATATGACTGCGATGACGATGACGAGCACCAGCCGAAGCACGACGACGAGCGACTCGTGACTGGGCTCGAAGAAGCAGCATCTGACTCAAGACAACTAACGATGGGCAGGGGAGGGCAGAGGCAGTAGAGAAAATGTCGACCTTGGCCTGTGAATGCGGCGGGGCAGATCGGAAATGACCGCCGAATTCACTCGAAATTGGAAATTAAGGGAAAATGATTTATTATAAAACCAGTTCTTCCCTTGAGTTCCAGTCTCGAAGGCGAATGGATCGACTGCCATTTCCAACCACAGACAAATGGCGATACGAATAGCTGGGGAGAGTGGAGATGAGTGAGCAGCGACAGAAGCCGCTCCCCCGCATTTTCCTCTACAGCTGCGGATCTTTCCGTTCGCTCTGCCGTGCCTGTTGTCCGACCTCGTGCATACGCAAGCCGCCAACGCCGAGCTGTCAACTCAGCCCCTCTATGCTCACGATGTCGATGTCGAGCGTCGAAGAACGTGGCAGACAGCATCGTTGACGAGAACGATGCGACGTTGCTGCGAAGCCTACTAGCGACGGCAGCTCCACAACCCGACCGAAACCATGGAACACAATGAAACGCAGAGACCGTTGACCAAGCTGAACACTTACCAGACGACGAGATGCGTTGCGATTGCTAGTCCGAAACAGACGAATTCGAAGAAGAGTGGTGGTGTGTGAGATGCAGCGGGAAGCACTGAAGACCAGACCAAGCTGTTTCGAGATGCACAAGAGGTATGGGAGGGATGTTGGGAACAAGGTTGGAAGAAGCAATCCCACTTATACGGTCGTATATATGCATTCGCAACACTTGTGTCTTTCAGTGGAGGACAAGCAACATTCGGGAAGGTACAGCTGGATCGGAGCAGACACCGGAGCATCACGGGCCAGCTCTGATTCACGATGGTCTGACGTCGCTACTCAGGCACTGCCAGCGGAGGGGACCAAAGCGACAGCCGGGCGGGATCGTGAATTGTATTGTGACAGCGACCATCGTCTGTACATGTGGAAGGCTGCAATCCGGCAGCAGACGGCACTCCACAGGAGGCTCCTGCATTTGCTGTGTACTCGACAGCATCTCATCGATGCTACTTGCAGATCACATTGAACACCAACACACTGACATACAGCCGCAACTCTGCAACATCATCGAGAAGGAATTGGCGCCGATCTTGGCGCCGATGCTAAGGGCTAAATGATCTTGTGTGGCCGTGGGTCCAGGGGTTGACGCACTAACCTTTGTGGTCTCAGGGTTTCGTGCCGCGTTTTCGGGTACTTTTTTCAGATCGCGCCCTGCAAGCGGGATACGAGTTGTAGCTCGTTCGGGCGATTGCGGACCCGGAGACACCCGAAGCCCACATTCGCTCCACGCTCTCTCAAATTGCTCTCCCCAGGTCGTGCTGCCAGCTTCGTTTCGCCGCTCAAAACGAGCCGGGGCTGCATGACATACACCGAGCGCACTTGCGTTCCTGCAAGCTACCAGCTAGGCTCATCGTACACAGACACCGTAGAAGATACGGCCGTTGGAAGGAAGAAAAGCTCATTCGAACAGCTTCAAACGCAAATGACTACGATGTGTCTGCATGAGCATTTCAGCCAACGGGTCAATCATGAGGGCGGTGGTGACCTCGTATTCCGATCGAGCATTGCATCGGATACCATCGAGCCGCTCAGAGGCGCAACGAGCTCGGAAAGCTTGGAGAGTCGGGTTCACCAAGGGGCCAAGCAAAGGCGTTGCCAATCGAATGACGTCTATTGCACACGCGCTAAATCTGGTGTTGAAACCGTGCCTTGCTGCGAACCCTGGGCACTGCACAGTCGAGCGACGAACTTACCGAAGTGCAGTCGGTGTCGCAAGATGAGACCCACCTATTCGATCCGGTTAATCCGCCTGCTATCCCTTGTGAGATTCTCAAGTCTGACATTTGTTTAGAAACAAAGCTTATACAAAGATGACTAAGGAAGTCAGATCCGTCTGCCCGCTTTGGCCAGCTCCAGCTCAGCATCAAGGGTGCTGGAACCCCGCACCGTCACTTCTTCTCGTCACCAACTGCGACGCTCCTCTTCCCCCTCGTAACGACTCGCTCCCCCTGTCTTCGGTGCAGCGATCAATCGGACATTATGGTTGACGTCACAAAGCAGCCATTGGCGGTACGTGCACTGACATCACACACATCGAGCTATTCAGCGCACGTCTTGGTCTCGAATTCCAAGCATCGATGACTGACAAAGTATTCCTTTTCGTATCTTCACAACGCTTCTCATTGCGATTGCACGCTCGCAACTCGACATCTGTTCGTTACAACAGGCACTGCACGCATCAGCGCCATCCTTCAAGCCTCTCATCCCAACGTCATTGCTACCGTACCTTGCATTCGTCCTCCTCTCATCCGTCTTTCTTGCAGCATTCTATTTCACAACGTGAGTTCATCTTTCTAGCGTGGATGACGTGAACACACTTTTATCCAGATTCAGCGAAGGGATCGTATGCTGACTTTGGGCCTGAGCTTTGATCGCCGCTTCCTTGGTGTGACGATGCTGCGCTATTATAGGTTGCCAAAACGAAGCGTCACAGCCAAAGAGATCATCGTCGGCGTAGTGGCAAGTCTGCAGGCAGGCTTTGGCGTCGTGGCTCTGTTCAATGCTGTTGGCGTGTATGTATGATCGTATGCCTGGACCTTCTAGATGGCCAATATATCCCTTGATTCCGCTGCTTTAGCCAGATCGATATTTTGGCCAGATGTGTGATGTGCAGTTTTGAGGCCACGATTCCGGCTGTGGATTTTTGAGCCACAAAATTGAGTTCTAACCGCTGTCTGTGGAACGCGACTCGGCTGCCACTTGTGGATGCATGTGTTGGTTCGGGGTCGGCCATCACATCCATCCTCCGGCTCCTATCGACTCTTCGACACTGCCCGAGCACAAGCCGTTTCTCGACAGTCCTTGCTCATCTCATCCCTGTTCTGTCATCATCGCCTTGCAGATCTCCTCTGACCGCATCGAGGGGAGAAGCCCACACCGGTGACCACACCCAGGACAAGCTCAAACTCATCGTTGGCCTGCACTGCAGCGTCCCCACCAACCCGCATCGGCGCCACTCATCGGCGTCTCCGACCTTCTGAACAGTCACCAACCTTTGTGTGGGCTTGCTCTCCGTCGGGTAACATACCGAAAGCAACGCCACGCATACCCTTTTTGCGCTCTCCGCGTCCGCTCGTTTCATTTGGTATTCTAGCCGCAGCGGGTAGAGCCTCAGTGTGTGGCGGGAATGCCGGCCGTTCGCACAGTACCACGCGATGTGTTGATACGCGTTCCAAAGGTGGAACCGTACTCGAACAGTTACGTTTCTCCTGCAGCGAGAGCCAAGGAGGAAGCAAAGAAGATCGCTGCTGCTGCTGTACCTGTGACAAGTGCTGATGGATCAGTGACCGTCGACGCGAGTGCACCTGTCGCCGCAACTGCAGATTCGACCAACCCGCTAGCAGCTCCCACTGCTGCAACCACAGCAGACGCTGCTTCATCTACAGCTGAAACAACGACCAACACCGCCGACGCAGATGGTCAAGATCGAAATCAACGAGGCAACTCACCCACACTACCATTCCTCTCGCTCGAACGACCAGAAGAACAAACCGTCGATCTGTCCAAAGCAGCCACCTCGTCCGCGGGTTGGAACAGCCTGCTCGTATGGGCACGTCGTCAGAGAGGTGCTCAGTGGGACGCATCCACCGCGCTCTGGCAAGTCGACAAGTACAGCAGAGAGTACTACAGCTTTTGTCAGGATCCAGCCACCACAGATCGATCCAAACAGCCCGGTGGCGACGACGGCGGTGTAACGGAACAGAAGGACAGCAAGCCACTGCCGGGGTCGGATGCCGTGGCAGCAGCAGAGGTGGAGGACGATGATGATAAAGGTCCCACTGCGAGAAGTTCCTCGCGTGGCAAGGTGCAGGAGAGCGCAGCTGGCGGTGGGGCAGTTTCAACACCGGTCTCTTCTGGCCGCTCGATCAGGTTGCTCAGACGGTGACGTTTCGGTAATGTGTGCCTGGCGATCATGACGTATGAACTCGGTGGATTGGCACGCTTTTTGTATTGTATGCATGACGGAACTCTTTGGATCTCACTCTGCACTCTGAGCCGATTCAGGGCATCACGGAAGGCTGTGTGGTAGTGTTTCCTTTTCAGGGCGAAGTGATGTCCCAACTGATGCATACCAAGGGATGGGCGGGCGCTGAGTCTAGAAGTACATTTTGAAGGCCGTGTGTGACATTCACAGCGGAGAGAGAGAGACAGGTCTCTGCTGTCTGTCTACGCGAGGAGATGCGGCTTCCTTCGCTGTGTCCAAAACTCGAGCTGTCTCCAAAAGTGGCTGACCGCCTGCTTATCGGTGTGCCGCTTTGTACGATCCACCTGCACCTCGACGACGTTCCAATCGCGAATGTTCGGGTTCTGCGGCTCGTTATGCCACCGCACGTAGACGCCCATGACGTTTTTGAACAGCTCTCTGGGCTCGTTCCACCTGTATGTTTTGAACTGCCACGCTTGGCCTGTTGTGAAGACGGCGATGACGCGGTTCCACGGGTCGGCACCTGGTGCGGAGGCACTCGATCCGCCGAGACGCGTCACTGCTTCTGCGCTGTCGACGACGAGAATTCGACGACCAATGCCGACACCGGAGGCGGCTCCTTGACCCGCGTTGCCTCCGCGACTGGTGATGGATACGACGAGGTCGGCTACACCACGAGCTCTCTGACGCGCCTCTTCCGGCGGTACAAAGATTCCTTCTTCCAAGAATTGCTTGATGTTGAACATGTTGAGTAGACTGGTGGGCGAGCTGGATAGGACGACGATGGGATCCTGAGCACGCTGTTTGCGCACTTGACCGCTGGCAGAGACGCCTGGACGAGCCGCTGATTGCGCGCTACCCGGTGGTGGTGCTCGGCCTGCTGCTTTTCTCGCTGCTTCTACCTTGGCCGAAAAGGCGCGACGGAAGCTTTCAAAGTCGGCCACTTTGGATCCTGCCACGCGAGAGACAGCCGCTCCGCCCGCCAAGCCCGCCACGTTGCCGCGAAGAGCATCGTTCCTTGTCCGCAACACGACCTCGTACTGAGATTTGACACGCTTGACGTACTCGACGTCTTTGAGATCGACCTTGTAGGGACGTTTTACGCCCTGCGCGTCTGAAGATGTGGGTGCTTCGTTGCTGGCAGAGACGAGAGCGGATGTACCGGTGGCCGCTGATGCTGCTGCGGAAAGATCGGATAGTTTCAATACACCTGCCCAATCATCGCGTTTGCCGAGCAGGTAGTCGAGAATAGCAGCTCTGTCTAGTGTCGGAAAGGATGCGACTTTAGCGGTAGCTGCTTGGGCGAGGTAGGCACCTGGACGTTCGTCGCGTGCCTGAAGCGCAAGGATGACCGCTTCGACGCTGTAGAAGAAGGACGGTTCCGTGTCAGGATGTGGTGGATTGTTGGAAGAAAGGCGAGCTGCCAATTCGTCTCTGGAGCGAGCAAGTCGCGTTGTTACTGCTTTGCTGAACGATGCATCGCCGATCCTGACTGTAGACGCTTGGAGGATGGATGCGACTGGTGCGGACTGGTCATCGAAGAGCTGTATGGAAGCCAAAGGATCCGGCTGGTCGGCTGCCTGTGAGATGGTGTTTCGGATGAGGTCAAGCGCGTCCAGTGCGTTGGACGTAGACGCAGCCATGGCTGGTGTAGGCGTCACCCCGAGGTGTCGATACCTCGCCGGTGCTTGGTGGTATGTCTCTTGCGAGAGAAGGTGCAAGCAAGTCGAGTGTCAATGACAGTTGGTTGGTGCGCGGAAGAACGAGTGTTGAACGAGCATGTCTTCTTGGTCCACGGCAACCAGCTCGTTGCACCAGCTGCGCTCATTCGGATCCGACTCCCGATGTGTGCGAGTGTGACCCGATCTGATTTTCAAGAAGAAATTCCGGCAAAATGCAAATTTTGGAGAGAAAAAAATCCGGGCGTTGTGCAGTCAAAGGACCCTTTTCAGCTCAGATAACTTCGGTTGGACAACTTGCTCTTCTCGCCATCACCTGCATCAATCTCATCCTGGTCGAGGCTACCAACATCTGTACCATACCTCGAAAGCCCCTGACCCGGACTCGAAGCGATCACAATCGTAATTGATCCGCAATCTTTGAGGACAAGGTACACAATGGCTCGCGGAGGTAACCGAGGAGGAGGACGTGGTGGAGGAGGCGGCCGTGGTCGTGGCCGTGGCGGAGGACGAGGTCGCGGAGGAGGAGGAGGCGGTCGCGGCGGTGGACGTGGCGGTCACAATGGTCAGGGACCGAGGCAGTCCTACTTCCCTAGCGATCAGAAGAACGCCCGTCTGGAGGCCTACTATATCGACCAGGGCATCCTCGACCCCTCCGAATGGGCGACATTCATGGACTACCTCCGCACCCCTCTGCCCACCACCTTCCGCCTCACTGCTGGCAAAGAGACGACGCCACAGCTACTCAAGGCTCTCAAGGACATCTACATTCCTTTCCTCTCCAACGTCACTTTTGACGGCGAAAAGGTGGAGCCACCCAAGACCCTGCCCTGGTATCCCCATGGCCTTGGATGGCACCTCAACACCAAGAAGAACGTCATTCGCAAGTCGCCCGAGTTCAAGCGTTTCCACCAGTTCCTCGTCCACGAGACCGACGTTGGATCCATTAGCCGTCAGGAGGCCGTCTCGATGCTTCCGCCTCTCTTCCTTGACGTGCAACCTCACCACCTCGTCCTCGACATGTGCGCTGCTCCCGGTTCCAAGACCGCACAGCTGATCGAGTCGCTCCACTCTCCCTTTACATCGGCTCCTAGCGCCTTTATCCCTATGCCCACCGGTCTCGTCATTGCTAACGACTCTGACACCAAGCGCGCTCACATGCTCGTCCACCAATCGCAGCGACTTCCCTCACCCAACCTGTTGGTCACCAACCTCGACGCTTCCAACTACCAGTCCATTCAGGTCCCTTACAAGTCAGCAGACGCGGACGCACAAGTCGTTCAGACTGCCATGAAGTACGATCGCATCCTTGCCGACGTGCCCTGCTCTGGCGACGGCACCATCCGCAAGAATGTCCCCATCTGGAAGGAGTGGACGCCCAACAACGCTGTCGGCCTCCACGCTCTTCAGCTCAAGATTCTCATGCGCGGTCTCAATCAGCTTCGCGAGGGCGGTCGTCTTGTCTACTCGACCTGCTCCATGAACCCCATCGAGAACGAGGCTGTTGTCGCAGAAGCTCTGCGACGCTTCGAAGGCAAGGTGCGCATCGTCGACTGCAGCTCTCGATTGCCCGAGCTCGTGCGACGAAAGGGTCTCACAACATGGAGGGCCGCTCCCGGGCGAGGTGCCCATCTGTTCGGCAAGTCCAAGTACGCAAAGGAGAAGGCTGCCAAGGCCGCTGCTGTCGACGCCGCGGATGCTGCCGCCGCCGACGGCGAAGCCGAGCTCGTCGATGCCGACATGAAGGATGCAGAGGGCGAAGCCGACGAGGCGGTCGCAGCTGACGCTGCCGCTGAAGATGGCGCCACAGAACAGGAACAGGCAACGGAAGCAACTCAGCCCGAAATCGGATCCGCCGAATACCGTGACCGTCTGCCCGAGATCGCGTGGATCAACGACTGGGACCAGCTCAACGAGCTCGATGCCGATCTCGCCTCGCGCACTCCCAAGTCGCTCTGGCCCCAAGGCGATGAGGAGGCGCTCGGCACACAGCACTGCATGCGTCTCTATCCTCATCTGCAAGACACGGGTGGATTCTTCGTCGCCTTGCTCGAAAAGGTGGGCAATCCGGACGACGAGGGTATGGCAGCTGGCATGATCCGTGCCATGGAACACCTCGACGCTCAGCGACCCGATGGCGAGTCGCTCACCAACACTGTCAAGCGGGAGCTCTCGCCTGAAACCGAGGCTAATGGTGATGGGCCTGCTGCAAAGAAGTTGAAGGAGGACGATGGATCCGCCGCTGTAGTTGCTGCCACCGAGCCTGAGCCAATCCAGGTCGATGAGGCAGCCGAGGGCACCAACGTCAAAGAGGACAAGCACGCGGCTGACCGCGCACGAAAAGCCGCTCAGCAGAAAGCCGTCTCGGAAGGTCACGGCATCCCCGGCGGTCTGCCGTACAAGGAAGATCCATTCGCCTACATCCCACCCACCAACGACCAGGTGCAGGCATGTAAAAAGTTCTTCGACCTCAAAGACACTTTCCCCCTTCGCAACCTTCTGGTGCGAAACGAAGACCACCAACCTCTTCGATCGGTCTACCTCACCTCCACCACCGCCCGTGCCGTCATCACTGGCGGCGGCCCCGGTCGCGGCAACCACCCTCACATGAACCCCATCTCGCTCCGCCTCATCAACTGCGGCATCAAGAGCCTGGGTCGACAAGACGCCGGCCGCGACGGCACGCTCGAGTGCAAGTGGCGCATCATTTCGGACGCAATCCTCTCCATTCGTCCTCTCATCGAGGAGCGAACGGTTCTCAAAGCTCAACTCAAAGATCTGGCTTTCCTGATCGCTCACCACTATCCCATTCTCGACAACGTGCCTGGTGAATTCGGCGAACTGCTCAAGAGCAAGAAGATTGGAAGCTATGTGGTTGATGTGCTGCCATCGGAGCATGAGGGTAGGAAGCTGGAGTACAAGATGAGCTTCCCTATTTGGAGGGCGGTCAACAGTGTCAACCTGATGCTGGATAAGCAGGAGAAGAGGTAAGTTTTTGCGTTGCAAGCAAGTTTCTTTCCCGCATTCCGAACTTTTGGCACTGACCATTCATTTTTTTTCTCTTTCCATTTTTCCTCTTTCCTTCTTCTTATCTGCAGCGCTTTGTCGTTCCGAATCTTTGACACGGATCTATCGAGCGCCGACGGTGGACGACAATTCTCTTCTCAACCATCGAAAAAGTCCAAGACCGCAACGACCAAGGACACTGAGATGCAACTCTCGGACGCAGAAGACGCTGCACGAGCCGCCTCCATGTCCACCACCACCCCCGTCGCTCCTCCCGCAGTCCAGCTGGCCGACTACCAATCGTCCTACATCCAACTCGCGCTCGACTCGTCCATTCTCAAATTCGACGGACCCTACACGCTCAAATCCGGTCGGCTCTCGCCGTACTTTTTCAACGCGGGTCTGTTCAACACCGGATCCAAGGTGGTCAAGGTCGCCGAATGCTACGCACGACGAATCGTGGAATCGGGTGTGCAGTTCGATGTGCTCTTCGGACCTGCTTACAAAGGTATCCCCCTGGCCGCGGCAACGGCGATGGCGTTGCAGCTGAACCACGGCATTGACGTTGGATTCTGCTTCAACCGCAAAGAAGCCAAGACGCACGGTGAAGGAGGATCGCTGGTAGGAGCAGAGTTGAAAGGGCGGGTCTTGATTCTGGACGATGTCATCACAGCGGGTACAGCGATCAACGAAGCCATGGACATCATCGCCTCGCAGAAGGAAGCCAAACTCGCAGGTGTCGTCATCGCCCTCGATCGACAGGAGAAATCCGCCAAGGACGGCGTGCCCGGAGAAACCTCGGCCATCCAGGAGGTGGAAAAGAGATACGCAACCAGCGTCTTCTCCGTAGTCACGCTCGATCAGATCATCGAGTTCATGCAGAGAGAGGGCGACAAGTACGCCGAGAAGATCGGAAAGATGAACGAGTACAGGATCGAGTACGGCACCAGCGAGGTGGCCAAGGCTCAGGCCCAGGCTGCTGCTAAGAAGTAGTGGAACAGGAGAAGAGGGTTGGGTTTGGTCTTCGAATTCTAAGGATTCAAAAAGAGTGATCGTGCCGATGGAAAGCGTGGCAGTGTGATAGGACAAGTCAATCGAGTGTGTGAAATGGTTGAGCGTGCTTTGCGATTCATCGGCTTGTTAGACTTGCTTGTGCAAGTTGAATACAGCCGAATAATTGAGTCATAAGCGCAGAGCCTCTTGGAAATTGAAAAAATGGATTCAGAGTGTGTTGGGATTGATATTTGTTGCTGCGTAGCGCTGTTTCAACTTTTTGTCGCTTTCGGTTTGACTTCTTCCTCTTCCACCATCTCGCATACCCTTCTCTCCTCGCGATCGCACTCTTGGTACGAGCAACGTTGCATGTTCAAGGCATTCGCTCGATCCTCCGCCCTCGCTCTCAGATCCGTGCCTTCGTCTTCGTTTCAGCTTCCACGCACTTCACCGATTGCCTTTTCATCCGCCTTCTCGAACCGTATTTCCGTCAACCCATCACGCAGCATGTCCTCTACCGACGCCGCCAACCAGCCTGAGGCTGTCAACCTCGTCAAAGATGAGGTCACCGGCGAGATGATCTCCAAGTCCGAGCTCAAGCGCCGACTTAAGCTGCGCGAGAAGGAGGCCAAAAAGGCCGCCAAGGCTGCCGAAGCGCCTGCTCAGCCTGCCGGTGGTGCTGCCGCCGCCGCCAGATCCGCCGCCGCTTCCGAAGAGGAGCTCAACCCCAACCAATACTACGAGCGTCGTTTCCGCACCATCGCAGCCCTCCGTGAATCCAAGAACCCAGACCCTTACCCGCACAAGTTCCACGTCTCGATCTCGCTCTCCGAGTTCATCTCCAAGTACGAGGGCAAGGTCGAAGCCGGCCAGCACCTCGACAACGAAGAAGTCAGCATCGCCGGTCGTCTTCACAACATGCGTGCCGCCGGTCAGAAGCTGCGATTCTACGACTTGCACGGCGAAGGTGTCAAGGTGCAGGTCACCGCTCAGCTCCAGGACCACACCGACGGCGACTTTTTCGCCATTCACGACCTCCTTCGTCGTGGCGATGTCGTCGGTGTCACGGGTATTCCCGGCAAGACCAAGAAGGGCGAGCTCTCCATCTTCCCTCGCTCCATCAAGCTCCTCTCGCCCAGTCTCAAGATGCTTCCCAAGGCTTCGCAGGGCGAAAAGGGCGGCTTCACCGACACCGAGCAGCGTCACCGCAAGCGATACCTCGACCTGATCATGAACAACCACGTCCGCGACATCTTTGTCAAGCGCGCCAAGATCATCAACTACGTTCGACGCTTCCTCGACAACCTTGGTTTCCTCGAGGTCGAGACTCCCATGATGAACCAGATCGCTGGTGGTGCTACCGCCAAGCCTTTCGTCACCTACCACAACGACCTCAAGCTCGACCTGTTCATGCGCATCGCTCCCGAGCTCTTCCTCAAGGAGCTCGTCGTCGGTGGACTGGACCGTGTCTACGAGATTGGCCGTGTCTTCCGTAACGAGTCGATCGACCAGACGCACAACCCCGAGTTCTCCATCTGCGAGTTCTACATGGCCTACGCCGACATGTACGACCTGATGGACATCACCGAGTCGATGATCTCCGGTCTGGTCAAGGCGGTGACCGGATCGTACAAGATCAAGTACCACCCCGATGGCAAGGATGTCGAGGGAGGCCGCGAGTACGAGATCGACTTCTCGACGCCTTGGAAGCGATTCGACATGATCAAGGAGCTCGAAAAGGCCACCAACACCACCTTCCCACCCGCGGATCAGCTGCACACCGAAGAGACGCGCAAGTGGCTCTCGGATCTCGCCGCCAAGCACAACGTCGACTGCTCCGAGCCCCGCACCTCCTCTCGACTCATCGACAAGATGACGGGCGAGTTCATCGAGACGCAGTGCATCAACCCTTCGTTCATCGTCGGACACCCGCAGGTCATGTCTCCTCTCGCCAAGCGTCACCGCGACATTCCCGGTCTCTGCGAGCGATTCGAAGTGTTTGTTGCTACCAAGGAGATCTGCAACGCCTACACCGAGTTGAACGACCCTTGGGTTCAGAGGGCCAACTTTGAAGAGCAGAGCCGACAGAAGGACCAGGGTGATGACGAGGCGCAGGGGATCGACCATGTGTTCATCGATGCGCTCGAGCACGGTCTGCCTCCTACCGGTGGTTGGGGTCTGGGTATCGACAGGTTGGTCATGTTCTTGACCGACTCCAACTCGATCAAGGAGGTGCTCGCTTTCCCGGCAAACAAGCCGCTGCCGTCGGACAACAAGGCTCAGCCTGTTCCGGCGCTCGAGGAGGAGTCGGCGGCTGTGGAGCCTACGTCCGAGGCCAAGGTGTAAGAGACGACAAGTTGTGATTTCGCTGCTACCATACATGTGAGGTGGATGCTTCGAGAGCAATCAAAAGAATATCGACTTCTTATTAATAGAATAGGAACCTATGGTTCTGCAAAAGTGACGCTAGGCGGCAGGATCGCCGATGGGATCCCAACTGAACGTAGTCGAACAAGGATAGGAGCGAAAAGCTGTCAGCATGTGATCTCCGACAGATTTCTGGATGTTTGGTCGATGATACTTACTCGGTGACGAGGTATTCGTCGAGACTGAGAAGCTGATCCATATCGGGCTGGTCGAGTTGGAAGTTGAAGACGTCTGCGTTTTCTTTGATGCGGTCCCTGGAAACGGATTTGGGGATGGTGATGTAGCCTCTCTGAAGCGAGAAGCGAATGAGGACCTGAGCAGGAGTTGCGCTGTGCTTTTTGGCGATCTGGAGGATGACCGGATGACCGAACCTCTCTGCCCTGACGAGCGGACCCCAACACTCCATCTCGATGCCGTTGGATCGACAGAACTCCACGAGCTGCAACCTAGCCATGAAAGGGTGAAGATCGCACTGGTTGATCGTAGGTCTGTGCTTAGGATTGGAGTCGAGTAGCTCTTGGATGTGTCGTTGTGCGTAGTTGCTGACACCGACGCCCTTGATGAGACCTTGGTCTTTGGCTTCTTGGATGGCCTTCCAGCTTTCGAGCCTCTTTGCCTTTCCGCCGTAGGGACTGTGGATGAGGTAGAGATCGATGTATCCCAGACCGCACTTTTGAAGCGATTGAGAGATGCTTCGTTTGGCAGCGTCGTAGCCGTTGTTGGATTGGAGTTTGGTGCAGTAGAAGATGTCGGAACGTTTGATCGGACAGGAAGGGGTCTCGAGGAAACGGTTGATGGCCGAGCCGACGGCTTGCTCATTGTAGTACCATTCGGCGCTGTTTCATTCACACGACAAAGGATCTATCAGTCGCACGGTCCTCTTTCACTACGGAAGGTGGAAGCGGAAAGCTCACCAGTCAAAGTGACGATATCCAGCTTCGAGCGCCCAAGCGACAGCGCGGGAAGCTTCGTTGTCAGTCATTTCGTAAACGCCCAAGCCCAGACGAGGGATGAGGTTGCCATCCGACAACTTGGCTCTGGATTCGAGGCTCAGCGTTGTAGCTGACATTGTGATGTGTCGACGCAAGGCTGTATGAAGCATGCGTCGGTGTGGTAGAGGAGAGGTAGGGAATCTTCGGGGGGATTCGAGACAGTGTTGTATCAATCATGCTCAGTCAGTATACTCCGCCTCCACTTTGGCACGCACGCCAAACAAATGCTGCCGATGATCGCCGATATTTCGCCGAGACCCTACTAACTGTTACAACTCCGGCTGTAACGCACAGCATCTCGAAGAAATCATGATGAGCATCTGACGGCGGCTCGAGAAGAAAATCGCTATAGACTGATGTGGGGGGTAGCACAGCCTGTTTCCGCGGCACCCGCTGCTCCGGCGCCCGCTACTGAAGAGCGCTTGCACCGACCAGCTCGCAGATCGAATCAAGAAAAGCTCCGGGACTGCAACACCCGTCCTACCATGGCACAAGCCGATCAGAAAGCCGAACTGTCGGATCTCGTGTATCGCGACGAGAGAGACAGACAATGCAAAGTGGTTCACGCCTCCAAGCGCCGGCGGCTGCAAAGGCGGCATGGCCCCTCAATAGGTCGAATCGCGCGTTCGCTTTTCTATTGTTAAGTTTAGTATCAGGCCGGCGTATCGCGCATTCCGCTCCCGGTGCGTATCATCCAAAAATAAGCTTTCACTGTGCCAAAGTGCCGAAAATAGTCGGACCAGCCGAAACGTGGGCGTATTCTTGCAGTGGCGGCGCGGAAACGGAAAAGTAAGCTGCGAGCGGGCTTCGGCTATCAACCAGACGACGGAGTCTTCCTGCAAGCTCCTATTCCACATCCAGCAGCGTCATTTGTCCCACCTTGTCTCAAAGCTACTCTTTGCCACACTCTTCAGTATATCTGCTCGACGGGTCGCTGGTTCAAGCTCTACCGGCCTCCATCTCACCCATCCTTCAAAGCGTACACTAACTTCACAACCCCTCACAAGCACAATCACATTCGTCAAAGGCCCTGAACCACGTCATGGCCGCTCGAACACCCGCTCGAGAGGCAGCTGCTGCCAAGATGGCCTCCGTCTCTTCACCACACCAGAAGCGATCCACCGTCGCTGCTGCCGACGAAAGCCTCGCCATCTCGGCGCTCAAGATGCTGGCTACATTCGACAACGCCAAGAATGCCATCTTTGCCCTCGTCGTCTACCGCTATTCGACACGCATCCTCCGACACCTTCGCGCCTACGGTGTCTCGGAAACCCTCTACCAGCTCTACCGTCTCGTCTCTGCCAAAGCTTTCGCACTTCTACTCAAGACCCCCGCAGCCAAGCGCAAAGTCAAACGCGAGCTCGACACGGCCATGGCCGAGGTGGAAGCCAAGATCGTACCGCGACCATCGCATCTCGAGACCAACCACCAACTGCCACAGCTCGGCAAGGAAAACGAATGGATCAGGGCCGAGCTCGCAAAGTTGCAGATCATGGAGGCCGGCGTAGACAGCAAGATCGTAGAGGCAGATTGGCAGCAACGCGATGGTCAGATGGTCTGGAAGGGAGGTAAGGTGTCGGGTGCAGTCTACCACGGCGGCGATGATCTCAGCGAGCTGTTGGCGGATACCATCAAGCAGTTCCTGGTCAGCAATCCTCTGCATCCCGATGTTTTCCCAGGTGTTAGAAAGATGGAGGCAGAGATCGTCAGCATGGTGTTGAAGATGTATAACGCTCCTTCCGGTGCAGTGGGGGCAACATCGAGCGGTGGTACAGAGTCGATTCTGCTTTCCTGCTTGGCCATGCGAGAATGGGCCAGGGCGACCAAGGGAATCAAGGAGCCAGAGTTGGTAGTCAGCGTGTCTGCTCATGCTGCTTTCGACAAGGCTGGTCAATACTTTGGCATCAAGGTGCACCACATCCCTGTCGATCCTGTGACGAGGAAGGTGCAAGTAGGACGTGTTGCAAGAGCCATCAACCCCAACACCATCGGTCTCGTCGGATCTGCACCCAACTTCCCCGACGGAATCATCGATGACATTCCCAATCTCGCCAAGCTGGCGAAACGACACAAGATTCTGCTTCACGTCGACTGCTGCCTCGGCTCGTTCCTCGTGCCTTTCCTCGACAAGGCTGGCTTCGAGACTGAACCGTTCGATTTCCGCATCGACGGCGTCACGTCGATCAGTTGCGACACGCACAAGTACGGGTTCGGTCCCAAAGGTCTCTCTACCATCCTCTACCGCTCCGCCGAGCTGCGTCGATTCCAGTACTACGTCAAGACCGACTGGCCTGGCGGAGTGTACGCCACACCCACGCTGTCCGGTTCTCGACCTGGCTCGCTCATCGCTGGAACGTGGGCGGCACTCATGAAGCTCGGCGAATCCGGTTACACGCAGTCCTGCCGTGACATTGTCGGCGCGGCTAAGGAGATTACGACTCGAATCGAACGCGAGATCCCCGAGTTGAGAGTGCTCGGTCGTCCGCTCGTCTCGGTCATCGCCTTCGCCAGCGCCGCAGAGGGAAGCGTCAGCATCTACGACGTAGGCGATCACATGTCCAGCAAGGGCTGGCACATGAACGGTCTCTCCGGCGACGTACCTGCCATCCACATCGCCGTTACGCGGTTGACGATCCCCGTGGTGAACGAGTTCATCGCCGATCTCAAGGAGGCCGTCAAACACGCGAGGAGCAGCTTCAAGGGTCAAAAGGGTAGCATGGCTACGCTGTACGGGTTGGGTAGCGGTGTCAGCGCCACGGCAATTGTGGGTGAGTTGGCTACGAGGTTTGTGGATACCCTGTATCTCGTGTGATATGTGTCTGGTGGTATGGATTTCCGATGCGCAGTGCTCCTTTCCCTCGTGGTGTGTGTTTGCGAGTGGCGAACGACAAGATAGGTGAAGAGTCGAAGGTTCTCAGTCGTCAATCAGCTGCCGTGCCTTCTGCAGTGTCATCGGAACCTCCGATATGACTCCATGCCAACGCACTCCCTGCTTCTCCCCCCTCCGTCTTCTACGCACAGACATTCACACTTCGCAGCCACCTTAGATAGAAATGGAAAAATTGCCTCTCTTCTGACAATGCCTATGTGTTGGTGTGTATCAAAGAATGTGAAGAACAAAGAAACGAAAAATGCAAAATGCTGGGATGATGATTTAACCGTATACCGCCGCCGCTTCCGTCAAAGCAATCCGCAGTCTCTCAAGTTGACCTGGATGATGATGTCGTTGACCGCGGACATGACGAACTTGATCTGGCTCGTGTCCGTGGCGCAGGTGAAATGCGTGTAGATGGTCTTTGCGTCGCTCTGGTTCAAGCTGACGAATCGGTTGACGATGTACTCGCAAGCTGAGTTGTAGTCGGCACCACCGGTGTAGTCGCTAAAGTAATCCGCCATGGGAGAGACGGGCAGTTTCTGCTTGAAGAGATCGATCTTGTTGAGGAAGAGGATGATCGAGGTTTTGACGAACCAGCGCGAGTTGCAGATGCTGTCGAAGAGTGTGAGGGCCTCCTGCATGCGGTTGACGTTTTCGTCTTCGTAGAGCAGCTGATCGTACTCGGAGATGGCGACGAGGAAGATGATGGCGGTGACGTTTTCGAAGCAGTGGATCCACTTTTTGCGTTCGGAACGCTGACCTCCGACGTCGAAGAGCTTGTAGTTGAGCTCGCCGATCTTGAAGTGCGTCTCGGTGATGCCGGTGGTCTTGACACGCGATCGCAGCACGTCTTGGTCGGTAGGCATAAAGTTGGGTTCGGCCATGCGTTGGATCGAGTCAAAGTAGTACTTTGCCGAGTCGTTCAGCTGGTACTCGCGACTTCGTGCGAAACACGCCTGGACGCCTGCGTCTTGCCAAAGGCCGTGGATGGCGTCGGCGACCTGCTTGGGCAGCACGGTGGATTCGATGCTGGGCGAGAGACCGAGGATGATCTCTGCGCGTGGTGCGTTGGAAGCGTCTGCGAGTGGAATGTCGAGACGCTCCATGGCGTCGAGCATGACGCGCATGGACTGGACTGTGTTGGAAAAGATGATCTCTTTGTAGGATTCGCGCTCGTCTGAAGAGTAGGAGCCGTGGTTGATGAGCTTCATCTGTTTGAGGATGGTGGACTTGCCCGACTCGCCGGCACCGAGAAGGAGCATCTTGATCTCGTTCTTCTGCGCCATGCGGTCCTTTTTGAGCTGCGCCTCGATGGCATCGTTGCGCGCCTGCCCCTCCTTGTCTACTTTGGAAGCTCCACAACCCATTTTGAATGCAACTGTACTCGCGGGTGGGTATCAAGGTGTGTGCTAGGAGAAAGGATCGCGATCAGATGCGATGTGAAGGGTTGTTCGTGACGAGACTTGGTCTGACCGGAGGAGGTTACGGAGTGGTTGACGCAGACAACAAGGAGTGCGCGCTTGGTTCGAGAGAAGAGAGTGATAACGATGATCCGGATCGATTCGAAATGATGATGGCTGCGCAGGCGTGCTTCGAAGGGAATGGCAGAGGGACCGGAAGCGAACGGTGACGGATGCAAACGGCAGATGGGAGGATGACGAGGGAAGATTGGTATAAAGGCGGGACGAACGCCAAACGTGTATGGGTCGATGCTAGGGAAGTGATGGAGATGAAGGTGGTGAGAGGAAGGGGCGATGGTCGCGGCAGCCACAAAGGAGGATTGGGAGCAACCGACGACGGCAATGGAGAAATTGCGATTCTTTCCAACAGAGGCGCACACCACACAGTCGCAGGGGCCGAAGGAGCCGAGGCGGAAGGACAAGGGCGGGGAAGCAGAGAGACTAGGCTTCGCGGCGCATTGAACGAAGCAAAAGCTCGCTTTCTCCTTGACATCTCTCTAAATTAGGCTGTTGCCTCGACGGCGCTGGAAAGGAAAAGAGAGAGGCTTGAGCGCACAAAGGGCATGGACGGAGCCCGTGTTGCATGGCGGCGGCGTACAAAAAAAAGTCGAAGAAAAAGGGCGGATGTGCAGCAACGCGATCAAGGCGAAACGCCCAAGACGAGAACGATGAGAAGAACGCGCTCTGCTGCAGACGATGGATCCACAAGAAGCACACAAAGGGGTCCTCTGACTGAGACCTTTTAGCACCACAGCCCTCGTCTAGCGCTTGCACACGTCGGACACACCCACACACGCTCGCTCGAGACTTGATCGTCGCTGTGGTGACAGCATACAGCACCTCAACCTTGATCGGCATTCATCTCTCGCGGTCCATGCCATGTATGCATCATTTCACCCTTGCTCACAAGCTCTTGGTTGTGTCAATTCTAGGATCATAGTGGACGGAAGGTGGCTCGTTCGTCGTGGTGCAAATGGTCCATTTCAACTTTTTAAGGTTTCGCTTTGGGTCGCGACTCTTTCCCCTTTTCTGATTGTTCCACCGGCAGACAATCATTTACGCACAGTACGCGTTTCGAACTGTGCCCAGGTGCCGCTCTTCTCCCCGTCTTCCCGCTGTGTTTCCTTCCAATTTGCCAGAGGCGAGCGTCGCGTTGCTCGTTTCTGGTGGGAAAGCGTGAACGGGCAAAATGGCATTTATCAAAGTATTAATGATTTATAATAATTGAGTGAGTTCGCAGCTGCACCAAGGTCGAGCCTTGCTTGAAGCATGTGTCTCACTCACGCTGCAACTGTGGCTGAAACCATCATGGTCGGTCAACGACAATGATCAACGAGATCCATGGAATCCGACCTCTTCGATCACACCTTGAACTCGACTGTTCGCATAGTGTCAACAATCACCGAATGAGTGGCTTGTGGGCCATCTTTCCACGGCCCCTTTCTGCGGGCTGACGAGGCTAGAACGACATCGCAGTAGCCCATTCGAGTGTGTTAGCTTGAACGCCCTCTGCAGGCAAATGGATCTCGAGGATCCCTCAGTGTGGGCGGTCGTAAGAACATGTCTATGCAGAGCATTCCGTTGCAGTAGCCGCTGCTGCTCCTGCCTTATCGGAGCTACTCTCTCTTTGCAGCGGCACTGCAAGGCCGGCAAGCCCCGACTTCTTTTTGCCAGTAACGGTGTTAGATTTTCCCAATATCTCATACAAAGGCAAGATAACGAGTCAGAGCAGATCGCGATAACGGCCGGAATGTAGATCTGCGCGAGCCACACGCAGGAGAGAACGGTACACTGGCACGCGATCGGGCACATTCCTGATTTTGCACCCTCTCAAGCTCGAGCCAAATCTCAAATTTCGCAGCTCAGTGTGCAACAAACAGCGCACTGCTCAGCAAAAAGGACCAAAGAAAAAAGTTCTTCTTCTTCTTCATCCTTCATCCTTATCATCATCACACCCTCGGACCTTGGACCTCGATACATCCCGCACTTGCCAACTCTCGTACAAGCGGCATCTGCTGCCACATACCCAGTCCCGTTTCCTTTAATCCGCAAGCATGCCGCCCAAGGTCGATGTCAACGATCCAGAAAACGTACGGCTTCTCAAGCTCTTCGAGTCGCTCAACCTGAGCGGCAACAGAGCCATCGAGACGCTCACAAATCCAAAGCACGTAGCCGCACTCGAAAACGTCATCGTAGACAACCACCTTACCGACAAGTCCATCGACCCCAAGGCATCAGCGCTCATCATCTCTGCCTCCACCGCCAAAGACGCTTCCAACAAGAACAGCAGAGACTATGTCGTATCACGCATCCTCGACGGCAGCCTCACTTCATCAGATCAAGTAAACGCAGCATACAAATATCTCGATACCGTCGATGGCGAGCCAGACAAGCAAGCCTTTGACAAAGAATGCGGTGTTGGTAAGTAGGCGCCCCAACCCCGACAGCAGCTTCCCCTACAGGATGAGATACAAAAACCAAAACGCATGTATTAGAGCCGGAAGGGGGACTTGTCTCCCGCATGGCATGCAGTTTTCTATTCGATCTGACCCTTTGCTGCTGCGTTATAGCTAGATGCTCCGTCCAGGAATGCCCGTACTGACGGTCTCCTGTCTCGCTCCTTTGCATCTTGCTTATGATCCCACAGGCGTCGTCGTGACCCCAGAGCAGTCTCGCAAGGCCGTAGACGAATACATTGCATCGCACAGATCCGAACTCGACCCTGTCGAAGGCTGGCCAAAGCTCGGTTCGATCCTCGCAGGCGTCAAAGCAACGCCAGAAATGCGATGGGCAAGCGCCGTCGACCTCAAGAACTCGGTAGATGCTGCACTCCTCGCCACATACGGTCCCAAGAAGGCGCCACCACCCAAGGAAAAGAAGAAGGCCGCGGCTTCCACCTCTGCTGATGCCAAGAAGGAAGCGACAGCACCCGCCGGCCCCGTCGACCCAGATGCCATGTTCAAGGAAGGCTTCCTCGCAAACCTCCACAAGCCTGGCGAAAACCCTCAGATCAAGCCAGAGCTCAAACAGCAGCACCTCGCTGCTACCAAGGGCTTGGTCATGACTCGTTTCCCACCAGAGCCCAACGGTTTCCTCCACATCGGCCACAGCAAGGCCATCGCCGTCAACTTTGGCTACGCCCGCTTCAACGGTGGTCTCTGCTACCTCCGATACGACGACACAAACCCAGAAGCAGAAGAAGAGCAGTACTTCACCAGCATCCTCGAGACCGTTCGATGGCTTGGCTTCGAGCCTTTCAAGGTCACCTACTCGAGCGACTACTTCCAACAGCTTTACGATCTCGCCGTCGAACTCATCAAGCGCGGCAAAGCCTATGTCGACCACTCGACACCAGAAGAGATCAAGGAGCAGCGAGGTGGTCCGGAACGCGGTCCACGCAAGCCTTCGCGCTTCCGCGATCGACCCGTCCAAGAGTCTCTGCAGGACTTTGAGGACATGAAGAACGGCAAGTATGCTCCGGGCAAAGTTACGCTGCGTATGAAGCAAGATATCGAGAACGGCAACCCGCAGATGTGGGATTTGATCGCCTACCGCGTGCTCGAGGCTGCGCATCACCGCACGGGCAAGCAGTGGTGCATCTACCCCACCTACGACTTCACCCACTGTCTCGTCGATAGCTTCGAAAACATCAGCCATTCGCTCTGCACGACCGAGTTCATCCTCTCGCGCGAGTCTTACGATTGGCTCTGCGATGCACTCGAGGTGTACAAGCCACGCCAGTCCGAGTACGGCCGTCTTGCGCTCCAGGGCACCGTCATGTCTAAGCGCAAGATTCTCAAGCTCGTCAAGGAACGCTACATCGAGGACTGGGACGATCCGCGCATGTTTACGCTCATCGCCTTGAGGCGCAGAGGTGTGCCTCCCGGCGCCATCCTCTCGTTCGTCAGCGCTCTCGGTGTCACGACGGCCAAGTCGACCATCCAGATCAGCCGATTCGACCAGGCTGTACGACAGTACCTCGAGTTCTCGACGCCGCGTCTCATGATGGTGCTCAACCCGCTCAAGGTAACCATCGAGAACCTGCCCGAGGATCACTACCAAGAGCTCGAGAAGCCGCTGCATCCCAAAGCGCCCGAGATGGGGATCAACAAGATCCCCTTCACGCGCACCGTCTACATCGACTCGTCCGACTTTCGCGCCGAGGACAGCAAGGACTACTTCCGATTGGCACCCGGCAAGACCGTCGGCTTGCTGCAGGTTCCCTTCCCCATCACGTGCAAGTCGTTCAAGACCAACGAACAGGGCGAGCCTGTTGAAGTCATCGCCACCTACGGCGATGCCAGCACGGCCAAGCCCAAGACGTACATCCAGTGGGTGGCAGAGCACGCACCTTCCAAGAGTCCCGTCAAGGTGGACGAGACGCGCATCTTCCACCAGCTGTTCACCTCGGATGACCCTGCGGCCGAGGAGAACTTCCTGGACCACGTCAATCAAGATTCGCTCGAGATCGTGCGTGGAGCCATGGTCGAGGTCGGCTTCTGGCATGTGGCGAGGCAGAGCGTAGAGCAGGCGAGAAAGGATGCTGCCGAGCGCACCGAGAAGGCGGAAGCGGATGCGAAGAAGGCGAGGAGCCAGACCGAGACGCATGCGACAGAGTCGGCGGGTGCGGGCGCACCGAGCAGGAGCGCGGATCAGTTGGTGGGCAAGGAGCTGATCAGGTTCCAGGGTATGCGTACCGCCTACTTTGCGTTGGATCGTCTGAGCGGCGATTTGGGTCTATTTGGCGATAAGCAGGAGGGCGGAAAGATTGTGCTCAACAGGATCGTAAGTTTGAAGGAGGATGCAAAGAAGGATGATAAGAAGGTGGCGGTGGCGTCTTCGGCGGGCAAGAAGGCTAAGTGAGGTGCTCGTAGTGGTGAAATTGTTCGATGATATCTCTTGTCGACAGGCGTAGCATCATCGCCGTCAGAAGCTGGTCTGTCTACGCCTCAGGCCCCGCATGACGACGGAGAGCGGGTATCAACGAGCTTGAGTTTGTGTGTCCTAGCCACGAGCATAACTCAGCATTGTACATCCCGCACCCTTTCCGCACATTCCCGCATGAGGTTGCAATGCGGCGTTCCGCAGAGGTCTTTCTTGTCCGTCCGCAAGTGCACTGAACAGCTACCTGACGAAGCATATATAGACCGCTCTTTTCCTCTCGTCGTCTCCCCTTCCTCCCTTCCATCCATCATCGTCCTTCGCACTTTTTGCTCCATCCTCTCTGTCGTCCTCACACCAGACGTCTTGAATTTCAGCGCTGTCTTCACCATGCGCTACCACGACATCAGCAAAACCAACTACGGCGGCCCGTTCAACTACAAGGCCTTCTTCAAAGTCCCGATGGACGACGTTGATTTCTTCTTGGCCGGCCTGTTCGACTTCCGCTTCAAGCACAACTATCACAGGCTCCTGACCGAGACGTACTCAGATGTCAACTCTATCGGCACCTACGTCGTCGACTTCACGATCAACGACTGGCGTGATTCCGACTTTGTGCGCGAGGTCAGCCAGCTCAAGTTCTCGTACGATGCGTTGAGCACGACATTCGCGAGACCCGTAAGGTCGAAGCGCCCGAGGACGGCGTCGCTCTTCTTCGACTTGGATAAGTCACTAAAGGAGCACCATCACCTGCGGCGGGAAATGTCATGACGAGAAGTCTCTGAACCGTTCGCTGTGCTCCACTCTGAACATCGGTCTCCCTGATCCGGCCTGAAAGCGTCGTCCTCCTTGCTCCTCTTCCAAGACGTCGTCCTTCCTGCTCCGTTCGCCCATTGTCCCGCCTCCCTGCTCCTCTTCCCAGACGTCGTTCCTCCTGCTCCGTCCTGTAAGCGTCGTCAATAAGAAGTTTTCTTTGTGTTCAGAGATGCTATGTACGCCTGTGAGAAGTGTCCAGTAGGACTGCCTGCCGCAATGAGCCTTCGACTACCTCAGAGCGCCTCTTCGACGAACGTGAAATGTATTTGACGTCTTTGAAAATGCTGCGGAACAGTCTTTCCGCACTTGAGCCTGTCTGAAGTTTCCGCTTGTCTCGACATCCGCTCGAAAGGAACTCCTAGCACGAAGTTGCAATACGCGTTCCGCAGATCTCTGTCCTGTACTTCCGCACATCACGTCCTTGACCGTATTGCTGCGGACCAGTCTTTCCGCACTTGAGCTTGTCTGAAGTTTCCGCTCGTCTCGACACCCGCTCGGAAAAAAAAAGAGTCCTACGGGGATTGAACCCGCGACCTGCAGAATAAACGACTGTTAAGACGTAGCTTCAGAATTTCTACCGAAGTCTGCCGCTCTACTGCTGAGCTAAAGACCCCTTCGTCTGTGCCAATTCACTCTATTGTACATATCAAACGTCATTGTCTTGAAGAATTATCCATGACAATGAACCGGTAGAAGGCAGAGTTGAGGAAACGCAAATAATGCGCGACTGCACCGTTCCCGACACAGACAGAAGACTTGGGTGGACACACTGACATCGGTTGACGAAGAGAACGAAGACCAGACCGAGGCATGCTTGTCACATAACGATGATGGAGTGTTTGGCAGCGAAACAGAGGGTGGACCGAGACCTTTTCTTTGTGACTGTGGAGGACTTTGTTGGTCGTTCATCCCCCGTAGACTGTGTCCTTTCCTCGCTCCAACAAAGTAGCATCGGTGATATTCGGCAAGATGGAAGGCGCATGCCTCGAGGCCCTGCTCAGTGCCGTCGCAGCTCACCACAGTGTCAATGCCTACATCGCACGTATGAGAGCCTTTCGCATCGAGAGCGCTCGATATCTGCGATGATGTTTTTTTGTTTGTGAGGCTCGACGGCGCTCGACGAGACCAATTTGCAGACCTCGCCTGCTTTGGCCGGAAAGGTGCCGCTCACCCTGCCGCGCACCTAATTTGCACTACCTGCCAACCAGCACGATGAGGTCCAGCAGCTCCTGGCAGATGTCACCTGCATTCCTACTCGCCTTCAGATGCAGGAGCGCAACGACGCCTACTTTGCCAACGTATCCCTGTTTTCCGATCTGCCCATCGTCGAGCTTCCTAGCGCTCAGGTCAAGGGTAATCTCGAAAAGGTGCTCGCTGCACTGTCCCCACAAAGCGAAGCTCCGTAAGCACAAGGTGTTAGCGGTGTCCACCTTAACGGGACCAGGCCAGACTTGCGACACGCATGAACGGCAGAGTTTGATCAAGTTTTCCCCGCACCTTGCCGTGGAGATGCAGCGAGGCACCTCTTGGGGCTCCGCCGATGCCAACAGTCCGTGGTGCGGGGTGTTGCGGGGTGCAGTACTGTTCGAGACCATGGGACGGATTCGAGATCGTTTCCGAGACTTTCCGAAATGCAGCAGCGCCCACGGTGCCGTGTTGCTCACTCCGAAGGCTCTGATGCAGGCAAGGGCCAGGGTCGGTCGCGACGTTGATCGCGACGAATCGATTCCTGCCGAACCAGTTGTTCGGATCATTCCGAACGGGTCATACCGAGCTCCGACGAAAAGCAAGCGAGGACTTGGCAAACCCGCACACGAACGGATACAGGCACAGGCAGAGGCGTGGGAAGAAGCCATGCTCGAGACCAATTTCAAATGAGCGGAGAGGGCTGTTGAGCATTCCCTTCGGACGAAATCCTCCGAACAGACAGCGGCACTGGACTTGAAACTCAGGCTAGACCTGCCGCGGAAACATACGTGCAGCAATGCGGACTGACGGTCAACAAATTGAGTTGGGTGCCACGGCATTCCGTCAGAGAGAAGCAAGTCACTTCGACGGATATAGAATCAGTTAGGCAGCGGACGGTGAATTAGGTGGCCGGGTGGGGGAATTAATTGGGCCGCACCGTGCCTGTGGCTGAGCCTGATTCATTCGCTTGGCCGAGCGACTGCATGTGCAAGGCAAGTTTTGCAACTGTACGACGGCAATGCGCGCAGACGAAAAGTCAAAATTGAACAGAACCAGGGCGGAGCGGAGAGAAGCGCTGGAAAGACGAGCTGCGGGGGGAGGAGGATCACACATCAGGAAGCCGTCTCGCTTGTCAAATTCAATTATTTCATTGGTCGGTTGCAGCAACCGCCACGAGAGATCAGACTGCCTCCCACATGCAGCCCCGCCTTGCCGAAGTGACTCGCCGGTCGTTCTCGAACAGTTGGGGGGCATCGAGTCGTGTCTGACTGCGAGAACACGCCGCGACAAGGGCAATGCTAGCGACATGAGCATGTTGTGCCTTCACTTGTCCTGTGTGGGGTCCTACTGGACTTTTGTCAAGTTGGTCGGGAGTGTCGTTCGGTCGTGCTATTCGACCCGTCTGCCGTGCAGTAGCGCAGCGGCACACGAATCGGCGGGACGGACTACGGATTTGCGGCGGAAAGAAAAATAATTCCCAGTCGGGGTTTTCCAGTTGAACCTGCGGAGCGGCGGTTCACTAGTCACAAACACGGCAATGTGGCACGAAGCGTTCCTCGCACCTAGACAGCGTGGCGGTTTTGGCTCTCTGCAAAATTCAGGCTGGGCGGAATGGCAGCCATCATTTCTCGGATCGACCGACTATACAGTCCGAAAGGCTCGTCATGTGCAGGCGTGCGGCATCCGAGCTCTGTCGCCCCCAAGCAAAGGGCGCGGCATATCCTGACTGATGATCTTATCCCACCCCATCAATCAGCGCGAGACAGTATTGATGCGCGACGCCTTTCTCGAAGCTTGATTGGCTCGGCCTTTTGTCCCACCTCGCTTCTCCGCACCAGCTGACGTTCGGCCGCTGTGCCTCCCCCTTTTTCGATCTTGTTGTGCTTTTGCTCTTGTCTTGCCTGGCTTTGTGGCGCCTGCGGACCCTGTGAGCGAGCCAGAGGGCGAACGAGTGGGAGTACAAAATTTGTGGGACCGTAGTACAGGCACAGGCACAGTGGGCCATGTGACGCGACCTGCCCGTCCCTCGACGCTGCCCCTTAGTCCTCACCAGGTATAAAGGCCTATACCATCAACGCTCATCTCCACACCCCATTGTTCTTCCCCGCAACCTCCTTCACCCCAACAGGCTCAAAGACTCGACTCGTACCGGTGACGTTCCATTGCAAAGACGCGGTGGAGTTTGGAGCGAAACGAAAAATCATCCCCCTCCCCCTCCTCATCGTTCAACATGATCGACCCAACTCACGGCCTCTTCAAGCTGCCCACCAAGGAGCAGCGTAGGATCGAGCGTAATGGAGCACCGCTCAACCCTATCAAGCTCGCCCTGATGCTCACTCCACTTCAGGGTCTCATGTTCTTCTCCGGCTGGCTCGCCTGGACCGTCGATGCCTGGGACTTTTTCGCCGTCTCGCTCTCCGTCACGGCTCTCTCCAACCAGTTCCATCGTCCCACCCGCGACATTACCACCGCCATCACCCTCACACTGCTCTTCCGTTCCGTGGGAGCCGCGATCTTCGGCGTTTTGTCCGACAGGTACGGACGAAAATACCCCTTGGTCATCAACCTCCTCATCATCGCCGCTCTTTCTCTGGGATCTGGTTTCGTCCAGACATACCAACAGTTCCTCGCTGTTAGATCCCTCTTTGGGCTTGGAATGGGGGGAATTTGGGGCATGGCGACGGCCACGGCCTTGGAGAACATGCCTGCCGCTCCCAGAGGTCTGTTTTCGGGTATCTTGCAACAAGGTTATGCTGTAGGATACCTTTTGGCGGCTTCGGTCAATCTGACGTGGATTCAGAGGTCGCACAACTGGCGCATCCTCTTCTTCCTCGGCGCAGGACTCTCCGCTGTAGCCGCTGCGGTTCGACTGCTGCTTCCCGAGTCGGAACTGTTCCTGCGTCAAAAGGCTCAGCGCGAGGTTTCGGGTGCCGTCGGACAGAGCAAGGCCAAGGTGTTCCTGACCGAGCTCAAGGAGATGCTCAAGACGCACTGGCTTCGATGCATCTACGGCATCCTGCTCATGACCGGATTCAACTTCCTCTCGCACTCGAGTCAGGATCTTTACCCTACCATCTTGCAACAGTCGAAACTTCTCACGGCGAAACAAGCTTCGAAGGCGACCATCATCTCAAACTGCGGTGCCATCACTGGTGGTTTCCTCGCCGGCTACCTCTCGCAATACCTCGGACGACGATTGACCATCATCCTATTCGTCGTCATCACGGGAGCGTTGATTCCTGCTTGGATCCTGCCCCACAGCTTCAGCGCGCTGTCTGCCGGCGCCTTCTTCTTGCAATTTGGTGTCCAGGGTGCATGGGGTGTTGTGCCCATCTACCTGTCCGAGATTGCTCCTCCCGCATTCCGTGCTACGTACGCCGGGTTGGCATACCAGCTCGGTAACGCTGCTTCGTCTGCTTCGTCCCAGATCGAGACTGTCGGTGGAGACCATCTGAAGGAGCGCAACCCCAAATGGCACCCTGGATCTCCTTCCACCGTGGAGGAGTTCATCCCTGCCTACGCCAAGGTCTCGGCCATCTTGCTCGGCACTGTCTGCGCATACCTGCTGATCGTCGTCACATTCGGTTGGGAGTTCAGGGGTGCAGAGTTTGAAAAGGCTCTGCCGGCAACGATCCCTGGTGCGGGTGAACAGGATGGTGCTCAGATGGAGAAGGAGGCCAAGCGCGATGTGAGGGACGCTTACGACGAGGACAGCATCGAGCACGTTGGCGACCGCCGTGACAACGCTTCGGACGACGGAAAGAAGTTCTAAAACTCGGGATTCGAGAGTTCTCATGATTGGGTCTCATGTGTATGTACTAGTACGACTCTGTATGCGCTGTTGCGATTGATGCAATACTTTTGATTGCTCAGCATAAATTATCTGTGTAACAACTGAAGATGCTCGGTTGCATACTGAGCGACGAGGATGAGCTTGTGAAAGAAGATCACGGAGCTCATGTGACCGAATTGTCGGGAGAGCGAGCGAGGGAGCGATGATCGCGACATGCAAGGGCTTGGCGAGGGTTCGAAAGTGCGGGGAAATCGAACCAGTGCCTTGGCTTGTGATACAACGACCACTTGTCGGGATCGCGTCCAACTTTGCGGAAGATCGCGCAGGTCTGCTCATGTCTCACTGTAAATGACGTGCGGGCGAAAGTGTCCCCAAAACAAGGCTGTCTCGTTTTGAGCCGATGCGCAGTACTCGGAGATGTGCATTCGAAGGCGGTCAGCATCGGGCTCAAGACATGAAGCATTTCGCGGTAGCAACCGGTAGAGGGCATGGAACCACACAAGCATCGTCGAGATTCCAGGATCGCAATCAGGCACCAAAATGGTGCAACGAGTACAGTCGCAAACGATCGATACGATTCGGTGTTATGTTGATGGTAGCAGCGATTCGCAAGCCTCGAATGCTATGGGAGAGAATTCTGATAGGCTGCTGCAGCATCAGAATGCGCGATAAGTGGGAAATGCACGGCTTGCATATACAAGATCGAGATCGTGTCGAGCTGCTACAGGGGTACTGACTTTGTCCAACGGATAGCCTGCCAGAACCGCACTCAGAGTGGGTGAGCAAAGGGGCTTCTCATGTTTCCGCGTGCACTCTGGACGGACGGGACGTCAAGCACCTCTCCTGCTGTCAGTCTCACGAACTTTAGCAGGCCATCAGTCGCGTGACAGAACGGAACCGATATCCAACACAGCGGATGCGAATCGCTTGCGAGCTTAACCTGACAAGCTTGGACCGGCATCCCTGAACAAACTTGCCAGATCTGTCCCGGCCAGTCGCAATCGCAACGGTTCCAGTCAAGTCAGACACCGGCCAGATAGAGTTGATGAATGCCAAAAAGTGCTCGACCGGGAAATCCGACACATCGGCGACGGCAGTTCGGGCAGCTCCGAAAATGAGGTGGCCTGCAGTAGATGGCTTGCTGATTGTATGCGAAATGCATGTGTGCAGCCTCGCTTTGCTTTTTTAGATTACAAGGCGGAGTCAGCTCCAATCCAGGCTCGTGCTGGGTCGGTGTGCCTGGCAAAACTGCAAGCGAATGAATGTTAAGCTCGCGCAAGGCGGCTACTGGCTGCACGCAATTCCACGCTCAGACTTGGCTGCGTGAGAAGTGACTCTTCTGACTCCTCCACGCCGCTTCGGCATAGCCATTCTGGCTGCACTGCACCTCATTCAGCAGCAGCAGCAACGTCGCTCGTTTGCTCTGCATTCACTCTTGCTGCTGTTTCCATCCCTCGTTTTCCTCGTCTCCACCACCATCGCCCTTCCATCGTTCGCATCAAAGCTCCGGCTCAAAGACTAGGATGTCTTCCCAGTAAGCGTCTCCGTCCGACGCTCTCTCCTCGGACAAAGCTACTCTGCAGCACCACTTGCTCGTCTCCAACGCATACCAACCCCGCTTTCTCGCATCTGCCCGCCTTGTCGCATACTTTCGTTCTCAATGTCGGCCGTCTTCGGTCAAGGTTGCCGATACTCTGATTATCAAGACACCAGTCAACTCGTCCCACTCTCTACCTTCCATCCCATCTCGACTTCTACCCTTCGTCCGTAGTGTTTTCCAGCCAAAGAACATCTCTGGTCGCCTCCGCTAGTCATCTGTAAAGCCACAGCTTCTCCGCTCGGGAAACTCGGCGCCATGCCGCCTCCTTCCTTCTCCCATCAGACTGCTGTGGTCTTGCCCCGAGCTATCCAGTCGTGGCTCAAGGACATCATACAAAAGATCCGTTCGACCCTTTTGGCGACCGACGAGGCCAAACGGCACTCCATCCTCAGCAGCATCGAGTCAGCCGTCGCGGAACAGGCTCAGACCCTACAGACCGCAGCCCAAGCCGACGAAGCGAACCATCCGCCCGCAGCAGGCCCGTCTCCTTCCGCTCAGATCCGGTCACAGATCTCGGTGCGTATCAACGATGCCATTCAGACTCTGCTCCAATCCGAGCTCGAGACGCAGCAGCACGACAAGCTCCCGGCTTTGGTCGACGTGCTCTTCGTTACCATGCCCTTGCTTGGACCCATGTCCATCGTGATGGAATGGTGGGATCTCGTTCTCTGTCCTCTGCTCAAGAATGCTTCCGTACAGAACATCACCGCCAACCGCGCTCGCGAGCTCGTAGTCCGTGCCATGGTCGCTGCTCCGACCACTGCCTACGAGGACGAGCCTTCTCCCGTCCCAGTCTGGCCTGCTGCTCCGCCCGCCGAGCCCTCTGCCGAATCGCCAGCATCTGGCACAAGTCCACGTCGGGCCCGCGCCGCACCGTATCCCATGTCAGCCGCCGCCCCAATAGCCTTGTCCTCGTCTTCCTCGCCTTCTCGGCAGCAGCCACGCAGCTCCTCTGCCAACGCGGCTTCTGTTCCCGGCAGTCGCTCCGCATCCATAGGATCACGTCAGGACACCTTTCGTCGCTTCACCCAACGCATCCTCGACCTCTACCTCGCCGAGGCAGCACAGCAAAGTCATCCCATCGCTGCAGACGACGCAGGCTATAGGGATCAGAGGCGCTCGAGCGCTCCGGACGCCTACAAGCCTGGCACCACAGGCCATGAGCACGGCGTCGCGAGAGATCTCAGTCAAAGCCTGCTCATTCGCGACCCTGGCGCAATCGTCTGGAAGGGCAACCTCGAATCCATCCTTCTCGTCTATAGCAACGAAAGACCCAAGGAATTTTTCCACCACATCGCCGAGTCGTTCAACGATCCAGCTGCTCGTGTTCCGCTCCTCTTCCTGCTCTCCACCTTCTTGCGCCTATATCCCATCCACGCCTACCACATCACTTCGACGGCGCTCCCACGCATGCTCATCCTCTCGCTTCAGCTCGACACCTCGACCACCTGCGTCTCCATCGGCGTCACTGCCTTCATCATGCTCATTCCCCACATTCCCAATTGGATCGCCAACGGGGGTGCGGGTGGACTACCCACACTCCTCAGCATCTTTGCGCGCATCGTCGACTGGAGACGTCTGGGTCACGGCTGGGAGAGCCGCGTCGGTGACGATCCCGAGTTGCAAGAAATCCGCCGAGAGAAGGACGAAGAATTCACCGAGATCGATCGTCTGAGCAAGCGCCTCAACATCAAGCCCTCTTTGCGGTGGAACCGCCTCGAATCGTCGTTCGACACCACCATGTCGACGCCACCCAACGCGGAGCATCTGTTCACCTTCGTCTACGGTCTTTTCCCGTGCAACGTCATTCGCTTCTTGCGTTCGCCCATCGATTATCTGCGCAAAGCATCGTTTGAGAGCCCCTTCGAAGGGCCTTGGGAGGACATGATAGACGAGGTCGCCGTTCAGAGTCGCTCGGATCCCATCCTCCGTCGACACACCATCCATCCCGCCATCATCACCATGGACGCAGAGACCGAGTTGACCGACAAGCAGCGCTGGTTGGATCACGATTCGGCCGACATCAACGCCGAATGTCTCGGCCTGTTTTTGGGCAAGTGGCACGACGTCAACTCTTCGCACATTGTGCAGGCCGAGCGACAGCGAGGTGGCTCTTTCGGCCACTATGAGGGCCACGACGACGAGACCGCTTCCGTGTTTTCATCCGAAGCCAGGCTTGGTGGCTTCGACATGGGACGACGACGCAGCGCTGCAGCTCTGTTGCATCCTTCTTCGCCTGGCGGATCGGCGTCCCGACAGTTTCAGAGACTGCCTCATTCGGTCAATCCCGACGACATCTTGCTCACGTACGCATCGCTGCGATCGGGAGCACCGCTCATGCCCTCTACGACGGCAGCTGAGGCTGCGAGCATCAGCGCATCCACACCGTTGGGCTTTGGGTCCACGACGCAGCCCATGGGGGCTGCTGCGCAACGACTAGATGAGGCGACGGCACCGGTACATGGAAGAGCAGCAGGCGGTATGACGGCGAGTGGCACGCTGTCGAGGTTGCTTCCGGCTGCTAGCGCTGCAGCGGCGGCGACGCCTGCCATTGTGACGGCGATGGGCAGCTCTAGTGCTTCGCACGTGCCATCATCCATGCCGGCGTCTCCGGCCACGCATGCTTCGCTTGCTCGCGTACGCTCGCGTTCCGGCTCGCTGTCGTCGTTGCAGTCCAATCACAACTCGACGAGCCCTGCAACGCCGCTCTCGCCCACGTCGACCGGAAGGCATCCTTTGGCATCGAGCCACCTGCCCCTCGATCCAACGTCGACGCCTCAACCAGCATCCAGCGAACGAGCTTTCCGGGCGATCCCGTCGTATGACACGACCATGTCCACCGCGGCCGCTAGCAGTCTTGGCAGCGATGCATCCAACATGTCGTTCCTTCAACGTGAGAACCTGTTGCTCCGCAACGAACTCAACTTCGAGCTCTACCTCAAAGAGCAGCATCTGCGACATATTGGACGACTCCACCGTGAAAAGGTGACGGACACGGCGCTCGAAGCGGAACGACAGAACCTCTATCATACCGTGCGTACGCTTCGCTCGTCGAACGCGGCGCAGCATTCGGAATTGGAAAGGTGCCGTGCGGAAGCGTCTGCCACCAAGACACGCCACGTTCAGTGGGAGGCGGATCTGAACAACAAACTGAAAGCGTATCGAGAGGAACGCAAAGCTTGGACTTCGGAAGCCAGGCAGCTCAAAGCGCAAGCCGAGGAGAACGCAGCTCAGATTGTGAGTCTGACACGACAGCTGGAGGAATCGGGTTCAGCGCTGTTCGAGTTGCAGACGAAACACGAGAGCGACCAGCCCAAGCTGGCCAAGTTGGAGCAGTACGAGAAGAAGATCGCACAATTGACAGAGTGCTTAGCGTACTGGGATGCCGACGTGTTGAAGTACGAGAGGCAGAGGGGCGAGATGGAGAAGCTGCTGGGAAGGTGGGATGAGATGGTGTATCTGGTCGAGGCTACGGAGAAGAGTTTGGGCGAGCTGGAGGCCAAGTGTGAGATGTTGGAGGGCGAGAAGGAGAGGTTGACGGAGGAGTTGAAAGCAGAGGTGGAGAGGGGCAAGGCGCTCAAAGGGGACAAGAAGCGGCTGGTAGAGGAGGGAGTGGAGCGGCTGAAGAGCGTGGAGGAGGAGAGAGAGGTCGTGAGACGGGAGAAGGAAGAATTGAGAGGGAGGTGCGAGACGTTGGAGGCGGAGCTGCTCGAGTTGAAGGCCAAGTTGGAGCAAGTGATGGTCGGACGAAGCAATGCGGATCAAACGAATGGAATGCATGGAAGCGCAGACGGTCCACTGGGCAGCGAGACGCTCGGCGTGGACAATGCAGACGAGGATAGAGATGTACCTCCCCTCGCCCAAGAAAAGTGATCGTTCACACCCGTAGCTGTCTCCCCATTAACTCATTCACCACAAAATGACAGCCAATTACTCGGTGCTTTGACTTCTCATTGCGCTTGACACATCACGGCAAAGACAATGCTCGGATCCTCTCTTTTCACGGGGCGACCTCCTCGCGATGCCAGGCAAAGTACTCCTTGGAACTCCCAAGCCGCTTGATCAGCTGTTCGACCTGCTTGCGTCTCTCGTCCTGCGTATCCTTGAGCGTCTGTTTGGCTTTGCGGATGCTGTACATGCTCTCGGCTGCCGCTTCGGAGGGATGGTCGCCACGCGCTGCCCTTTCGCGCTGCTGGATCGAGACGTTTTCCTGGTACTCGACGTGCTCGAGCCGGAAGCGGAGGTAGTCGATCAGGGTTTTGATGGTGGAGGGATCGTTGGCGCCCATGCAGATGCTGGAGGGGGGCAGGCCGAGGTTGAGATGCTTTTCGTCCGTGGTGTCGGGAAGTTCGGGTTTAGTGTCGTCGCCGGTGGTGGTGGTGGATGCATCGAGCGAAGTGAGCCCGCTATCGTCTCCATCTTCCCCTACTCCATCGTCGCCAGCTGCATCTCCCTTACTAGTATCCCCTTGATCCTCCTCCTTCGCCTCCTCCTTCTTCCGATTCGGATCGCTCGGGAACGCAGGCCCCATGACCACCAAACACCACGCATACCTCCCCTCGGTATACTTCGGCATCCTCTCCTGATACTCTCGCAAATGCCAATACTCGCGGCCATCCACATCCACTCCCAACGGTCCCGTCCGCAGAGCATGCGTGTCCACCGCCAGCTCCGAGGTCACCCTCGCATCCTGCCTGCGCCACGCGTGGTCCTGCTCGAGCTGCGCCTTCTCCGCCTTCCACTTCTGATACTCGGGCGAGACGATGCTCGGCGCGCGCCGGTTGAGCTCGGCGAGCTCGTCGACCATCTCCTTCTCCATATCGAGGTTGGCCGCTCGGTGCTCGCGATCCATGGCGGCGATGTTGTCGGCGGCGAGCTTGAGTTCTTCGGCTACGCTGTCGGCCATGACGGCGGCATCGATGAGCGCAGAGAGGATGGACACCTTGGTTTCGAGATCGGGGGCTTCGGTCGGCTTGTCTTCGTCCTCGGCGCGGGTGTCTTGTTTGTCGTCAGCGTCGATGTCGTTGCCGTCGCGCTTATGGTGGACGTCGTTGTCGTTGTCGGAGGTGGCCTCGTCATCCGAGCTTTCACCGGCGACGAGCCTGCGCCTCTTTTTGTGAGCGCGACCGTTGGTCTGGCGATGCTCGTCGTCCGACGCTTCGCTGACAGTGCCACCGTCACTGCTGGCCCCGTCTCCATTGGACGCGCGACGTTTTCGAGCAGCCGCCTCGGCCTGACGCTTTCCCTGATCTTCCTCTTGTTTGTGCTTCTCTGCTGCAGCTTCCTCTTCCTTCTGCTGCTCCTGTTGCAGCTTGATCGCCTGCTGCCGTCCTGTGAGCCTGACCTCTGGCGCAGATTCCTTCTCGGCAGCTTTGCGTGCGCGTCCAGATCGACGGCTGCGCGAGGTGTCGTCCGGATCGTCCATACTCTCGTCGTCGCTGGGGTCGTCGTAGACGTAGATGGATTTTTTGGTGGTGGCACGTCGACGCTTGCTAGGCAAGACTTCCGCATCCTCGACGTCGCCGAACTCGTCCTCCTCCCAGCTATCGAGCAGCGAGAGCTGGCGCGCAGTCTCATACTGGTTAGTCTCTTTTGCTCTGCGTGCTCGCGTGAGACGCGTGGCGGGTGGCGGTGAGGGCGAACGTTCTGCAGCTGCTGCCTCGACCTCGACGGGTACGTCGTGCTCGACAAAGGCGAGCGGAGCGCGTTCGAGACCAAGGATGTGGAGCAACTCGACGGCAGCTGACCACGGCTCGCCGCGTTGCAGGCTCTTGCCGTGGGTGCGGAAGGAGGTGATGGCTCGGACAAAGGGCTTATTGGGCTGGCCCTTTTCGATGTTGCTCATGCCAGCGACGGTTTTGAGAAGGCAGGCGAGCATGTCCTGCGCCATCAAGTGCGTCCAGTGCTCGAACCGGTCGAGTTGCGAGAGGACGGTCCTGTTGAGGCCAAACTTGTCGAAGCGAATCATGCTTTCGTAGATCCACATGCGTGCGCGCATGTTGTCGTGGGGCAGTTTGGTGGGGATGAGTTCGAAGACGGGAGGCGCGACTTGGGCGGGTGGCTTGAGAGGTTTGAGGACGGGTGCGCGGACGACGGAGGTAGAAAGCAGGCTGGCGACTGTCTTTTTGGGTTTGCTGCCGGGAGGAGGCGGCGTCGAGATGTCATCATCTTCGACAACTTCGGTTGCGTTGGCCGATTTGGCCTTTGACTTTGCTTTGCCGTCCTGTTTGTGTGACGCTGCCACGGCTTCGGCGAGGGTGCGATCTTTGGGCTTCGATTTCGCCTTTGCTGTAGCGGTGGAAGTTGGCTTTGGCGTGTCACCGTTTGGCTTGACCTTGGTCTGAGTTGACTTGGCTTGGCCGGCATCGTCGGTGGGGGGATCCTTTGGCTTCTTGCTTCCGAAGGGTCTGCCAAGAGGCTCGAGGCCGGCCGCTTTACGACAGACGGAGCAGACACATTTGCCGCGGCACTTGGGGCATTTCCAGGCGTACTTTGTCTCGGTTGGCGGGCAGTGCTCTGCGGGGTTAATCATCATGCGGTTGGATTTGACGATGGTCTCTGGATCCTGATCGTAGAAGCGCTTGAGGGAAGAGAAGCAGAAGCGGCCTTGGCATCGCTTTCCAGGAGCTCGCATGAAGGTGCACTCGAGGAGGGCGCCTTTGCAGTTCTGGTGGTGTTGGTGGCAAAGCTTGAGTGGCCCGTCGGGGTCGTTGACATGTGTTCGTGATCGGACGACATCGCTAAGGGGTGCAGAGCGCGACTGTGCTTGTTTGGGATCGGCAACATCTGCGCCATCTTGTTTGCGCTTTCCTTTGGCTTTGGCGGACTCCTGTTGGGCGTTGGAGGTAGAGGGTGGGGTGGGTTCCGACTTTCTCGCCTTTGGTTTGGTAGAGCCGTTGGAGGATGGTTTGGCGACGTTTGAAGAGGATGCGGATCGTTTGAGGGCAGAGTTGACAGAGGATTTGGAAGACGACAATGCTGCTCCTTTTGATTTTGGCTTGGACGAGGAGGAAGTGGAGAGATCAGGGGCATCGGAAAGTTCAGAGAGCGAGTCGTCGCCGTCGTCGTCGTCGCCGCCGCCGCCAGTGAGGTCTACGAAGACGGATGGCTTGGGTGGAGCAGCCATATTGTCGACGGGAGCGGAAAGGGGTCGGATGGGGGATGCTGAATGGAGGGAGAGGGAGGGAGGAAAGCGAAAGTCACCTGGAAAGTTGAGTCGGAATCAGAGCGAGCTGAGTTGTGTGACGAGCGCGCAGCGGGACACAAGCGGAAGTTTGAGTTGACAAGGGATCTGTCAGCTTGCTCGCCTCGTCATGTTGTATATACTGTAATTTACTCGCACGGTCTCGGCTTGTCCGGCCAAAAGCAAATCGAGGCGGCTGTATATGTCTCTGTTGGCATCGATCGAATCAGAGACCGGGCCACACGCCGAGTTCAGCTCAACTGCGTGAGCCCAGCAGGGCCGGTCAGACCGACAACGGAGCTTCCGAAGGGCAAATTGTTGCTTGAATGCTGTTCGGTGCTTGGTCTTGCAGTGGATCGTCATTTGTGATACAGCTGTCTCACGACTGCGAATTCCGATTCAGGGTCTTTCTTCTCCCATTCAAGTCTTGGACAGCGCTCGCTGCTTCATAGACGGCACAGCCGACCAAGCAAGAGCCCTAACGCGGCGACGCTTTATTGGGAAGTGCGGTCTGTGCCGATGTGAATTGTCCACATGTCGAGTCGATGCATCCCTCCTTCACCCGACACTCAGGTTCAGATCAGTGTTGAGACTGTGGTCGTGACAGAGCTTGGAGCTTATCCGAACACCGCTGCTGCTCTCGATGCTGCACTCTACGCGGACAGTGTCTCTTTTCTTCCAACAACGCGTCGCGTGAATGTTTGGATGCAGAAGCAACACCTCGAACTAATTCGCAATGCATGTTTTTCAGAATCTGACATTGCTGCTCCAATCAATTTACGCGTTTGCAAGTTTGACAGGCTGAGCTGCAGCCGAGTGTTGGACAAAGGGACCCTTGATCATGGCACTGACACTTGCACACCCTCTTCTCCTCATCATTCGCTCGATCTGCTACCGTCCTACCTGTTTGCCAAGCATGCCGCGCAAGAGGAAAGGTCCCAAACGGGAGCAAAGCGAAGGCGACCACACTCCGGCACCACCGCCGCAATCCACCGCCGCAGCTACTTCAACAGCCAACACGGCATCTACGCACCAATCCACCATGGACCGCCAACAAACCGCCGAGCTCGCCGTCAATACCGCTCACAAGCGCGCACGCTACCTTACGGAAGCCGAAGAGGATCGTCTAGGAAAGCTCGTGCATCTCGAGCGCTGGATCGAAAGCGTCGGCTACGGCAGAGGCGCGGCCTTCTGTGTCTGCGGCCACCTCGTCAAGGCAGACCCTCCAACCGGCTCCACTTCTGCCAACACCTTCTCCATCGAGCTCAGCTGCATTCAGCCTAACGATCCCTCCTCTCGCTCGCTCCTCCACGTCACCTTCCACGACGAGCTAGCGACCAAGGTATCCGAGCCTCTCCTCCTCCTACATCGCCTCGGTCCTCCAGCTGTCGTCTACCTCTCTGGCTTTGCAGCAGACCTTTCATACGCATCAGAAGCACCGCATCGAGTCTCCTTTGCTAACCAGAAAGCCGTCCTCAAGATGTCTCCTCAGCCTCCCTCGTCTGACCCGACTGCCCCTACCTCGGCTATCTGGATCGAGCATCTCGCCACTCCTCCAACAGCCTCCGTCAACAACACATCCTCAGCAACAGCATTACCAGCCGTGATCAATCCACATGCTCAACAGCCCTCTCCGCTTCCGCAGCAAGGTTCAGCCACGCATCCCCAGCCTTCGCCTCCGAGCCAGCTCAGCGATTGGTTCTCGACCCCTGCTCCCACCACCAACGCCGGCGCTCACCCCAACGCAGTCGCAACCGCCAGCGCAGCCACACTCGTCTCCTTACCGCCGCCACCACCCCAGCCAATGCAGCCGTCCAAAGCTTTCGCGTCGGCTCCAGCGATCAAATGCGAAGCACAGCCAGCAGCCTCGACCTCACGCGCTACATCACGCCAAGCCTCGACCGCCCCACCACAGCAGCAACGTCGCAACGCGCCCAATGTCAAGCCACGCCGGATGGGCAACTGCCTCTACACGCCCATGTCCATGGTCCGCGACGGCGAGCGAGCTAGCATCATTGGCGTCGTCATGTCAGCAGGCGATCCTCGCCGCTCTACCAGTGGTACACGCGATCTTAGCATCAAGATCACCATCGCCGATGCTTCCTGCATCTCCGGCACCGGCTACGCAAAGGAGCTGGCACGATCCATGACCGTCATGCTCTTTGCACAGCAGGCAGAACGCATCCCGCACAACATTGCGCCAGGTCACATCATTGCCGTCCGCAGCGTCCAGATACAGATGTTCTCCAACAAGCCCCAAGCCGTCGGCAAGTCGGCTGCCCAGTGGAGCTGGGCCACCTACGATCCCGTTTCCGGCGACGTTCGTGCTTCGTCCAACTTTCCCCTCGCATCTCACACTCCTCCCGAGTGCAGCGCAGACGAGATGGAGCATTTCCGCGACATGGCCAATTGGTTTTCCGAGCTCCAAGGCGTCGACGCCAACATTGTCACCAGATCCTCTCGCCCTACCCTCAAGCTCCGAGACGTCGGCGAGAATACCTTCTTCGATACCGTCGTCGAGGTTCTCAAAGTCTACACTCACACGCTTGCGCCTGATCTCTACGTCACCGACTATACGAATCACTCGCTCTTCTTTCGCGGCAACGACAAGTATCTGCGCGTCGAAAGCACCATCCCTTACCCGGACGACACCGATGGCTGGGGCCACGTCTTCCAGATCAGCTTGTGGGATAGTCATGCCACCATCGCCGAAGGCCTGCAGACCGGAGACATTATTCGCATTCAGAATGTACGTCCCAAACTCAACCCTCGTGGACTGCTCACCGGCGGTCTGGGCAGCAGCACCGACAGCGGCATCAAGATCCGCACGCTCAAGCCCACCGACGAAGCACGTATCGATCTCGAACAGCGACGTGCACGATTCATGGAGACGCTCATGACCGCAGAGGAGGAGGCGTTTGCCGACCGGGCTGAGCGCGAATACAGCCAATCTTCGCAGCCAGCGCACGTGAATGGGCGACAAGCGCAGCACGACGAGCAGGGAACAGACGAGGTACACGAAGGGGTCGCTGGCCCTTCACCGCCTGTACCCATTCCAACTTTAGCAGCACAGAGCGGCGCGGCCTCGCTGGCCGAAACTGGCATCGCGAACGACCCAGCTGCAGGGCCGAACGCATCAGCAGCACCTTTCGAGTCTGCGTCGACAGCAACGAACCCCGTCGGCCCTGCAGCGCGAGTCGGAGTAGCCGCCGCCACGGAAGCAAGCCCCGTGTCGTCGACGCAGCCACCGTTCCCCACTCCTGCTCAGCGTCAAATCCGTGCTGTGCAGCAAGCGACGCCGTCCAGATCGATAGACAGAGCAACCTCGACACCGCTCGGCGCAAGCGTCAACGGCAACGGCAATCGTCCACAGGACGAGCTCTCGCTCATCGAGACTCCCGATCTCAAGCCGGGTCTCCTCATGGGACCGCCCGGTGCTGCAACTCTAGAAGAGCGTCGACCGCTTCTCCGATGCAACGCACCCGCATCCATCCCGCTAACCGCGCTCGCCTCACTTCCCACCACCTCCCTCTGTCCCGGCATGTTCAAAGTGAAGGCGCGCATCATCTCCACCAATCCCGCCAAAGTGGAGCAGTGGGGTCGCGTCGAGTGCAACGCCTGCAAACGCGTTCTGCCCTTGGACCAACGCTTCTGCGTCAAGTGTGGAGACGAGGAGGGCGAGTCGCTGTCGCACTGCTTCCGCTTCGCGCTTATGCTCGAAGAGGTGGACTCCGAGTTGGTCGCTCGCAAGCAGCAGCAGCAGGGTGACAGTGGCGAGGCGGGTGTGAAGAGGACAGCGATACCCATGCTGTTCCACGGACGATCTGCCGAGGTGTTGCTGCCGTGTGTCGATCCAAAGGCGCTGTACAACGGCGAACGGTCGAGCATCAAGACGCTGAGACGCTTTCACAACCGTCTGCTCAGGCCGGTCGATTATGGGTTGGAGGCGGAACAGGTGCTTGCCGTGTACAGCTATCCGTCCAACGAGGCGGGTAGGACGGTGCGCAGGTTTGCGGCTCTCAAGGAGTTGAACTGTTTGCACAGTCCGCGCGATCTTTTGTAGTGTTTCCAGGCGATAGGTGTCACACAGACGAGAGATTTGAACGAAGAGGTGGAGGGGTGTGAAAAAGTGTGGATTGCGTTTGTGGATGAGGTTAGGCCAAGCCAGCAGCTTTTCGTACTTCGTCAGCAAAACCTGGTGCGGACTCGTCGTGTGGAGCAGCTGTTTCTCCCAATTCCCATCGATGCATATCGATCACCTCGACTGCATGGTCTCCCTCGCTGGTGAGACTGTTGTGCTTTGCCCAGGAGGAAAGGACCTGTCGAACGGGTTGAGCGTTGCTTTCCTCCTCCGGTGCTGCTGCGGGAAGAAGCATCATGAACGGTTGTCTGTACAGTGCGCTACTAACATCACCCTCCTCTGTCGCAGAAGCAGGGTTGTCGATGGACTTTGTTTCGAGACCAGCGACCTGTCTAGCGAGACTTCGAGTGAGAGCTCTGATTCCAGGCTGGATCGAACCGCCCTCCAGCAGGTCTGGTAGGGTAGGGCTGGCGAATCGCGTCATGATGAGGGAAGCGATTTTGCCGCTGGTGAGGAGGTAGTCCGGTTTAGCGGTGTCTTTGGGGGTGGAGAATCCGGCCGATCCACCATGCGCGAAGGCGCTGGCCAGTTCGACGATCGATCCACCTCTCGCCGTACCGCTCTCCGATCGTCTCGCAGCGTCAGCAGCAGGGATGCTCGGGGGTACGATAGCTGCAGCTCTAGCGATCGAAATCTTTTCCCCAAGTCGGGAGACGACATCGATGATCTCTGAACCCACCGTCTTCGGTGCCACACTCGACCCGACCGCTTGCGGGTTGCTCGACAACAGCGGGAATGCCAACAACTTCTCCACCGGCACCTCCACCAACCCCTTCCCCGCACTTTCTTCTGCCGCAAGTCCAGGGAACAACGCCACCGTATGAACGACATCCTTGACAAGTTGAGCGAAAACCTCATTCTTGGCCACGAAATCCGTCTCGCAGTTCACCTCTACAATGGCCCCCGCTGCGGCACTCGTCGCTCCGATCCCCGCGCTTTTCGCTTCCGCTTTCAGCTGACCCTTGAGTTCGACCGAGCTAGGTAGGCCGTCGGACAGGATGGTTACTGCGATAAGACCTTCGCGAGCGGAACGGGAGGCTACTTTGTCGGCCTTCTTGGCTCCGGTGGACTTGCGATCCGCTTCCAACCATTCGAGCGCGAGAGGAATCGAGTCGAGATCGGGTGTGGCTGGCGAGCGGGACGCGAGCAGCGCTTCTTTGGCTTTGAGCATCGACGTTCCGGGCACGAGCTTACGCAGCTCGGCGATGGCTTTGATCGAAGGTTTTGCGGGGGTGAGCAGCGGGGAGGAGGTGGAGAGGCATCGTGTGAGGGAGGACGCGGAGGACAGGGAGATGCGACTCGTGCGCAGGGTGCGCAGAGCGGCGGTCGACGTCGACAGCATCCTTGTGGGTTGGCGAGAGGATGACGAGGTTGGAGAGGGAGAGGAGTGGGGGGAGTAGCAATGTCTGCAGTTGTTGGTTGATCGTGTCAGGAAGAAGAATCGTTGGAAGAAAGTGATATCACCCGATGCACCCGATCGTGAGGGGAATGAGCCCGATGTGGGAGCGGTGGTGGCTTGGCTTGCTGTCAAGACCCTGAAATCCGGTCCAATGCACGGCCCGAGTCGCGTTGCACCTCGTACACGCTTGACCCCTTGCCTTGACTGACGACCATCATCACTGTCGCCCTAGCATCGCAGATTGCGATTCGCCGATCAAAACGACGAGGTGGAAGACGAACGTCGAATCTTGGATTGCTGGCAACCAAATGAATCTTGCACGATGGACTCACCATGATACCGCCGCCTCAAACGATCTGGTCACGACAGTCACTTCCACGCTAAAGCAGACCTGCAGAGCTTTCATACCACGTCGCCATCATCTGAACACACGAGCAGGCCGCGATAGACTCGATCTGCCTGTCGCCTCTTCGCAACAATGGACTCGATACCAGGCGATCGATATATTGGCGAGTATGCCAGGTGGCTGCGCATCCACGAGTCCAAGCTCGGCGATGCTGCGGCTTCGGCCGCGGCAGCCAAGAGGAACGCAGCAGCCAAGTCAGACCCATCTGTGTCTTCGCTCTCCTCAACATTCTGGAACGTAGTCAGCCTCGGTACCGCCGGCGTCTCCTCCACCGCACCCGCACCAGCCGCTCGACCCATGCTGCTGCGCCAAAACCCGCACAACCTCTTCTACCTGCTGATCCGCTTCGAAGAGCTCTCGCTCCCCGTCGGCTCCCTCGACACGTCCATCCCCTCCTCCGCCCGCCCCACCTCCTACTTCTCCTTCGTCTCCGCCACCCCTTCCTCCAAGCGCATCGACGACACCATGTCCATCAGCTCGATGCGCAGCCGGATCAGCGTCGTCTCCTCCTCCCTTAACTCGTCGCTCTCCTGGTTTTCCGCTTCCAAACCAGACCCAACCCAAGACCTCAAGTACATCTACTCATGCTTCACAAAGATCCCCAGTTTGAGGCTAGGTCCTGTGCCGCCGAGGAGGTTGGTGCAGGATTTCGAGGACTGTCCGGGTCAGTCGGCGGTTCCGTTGGATGTGTTTCGGAATCTGCAGATGCTGGAGTTGGACGAGGTGGATCCGAGGACGTTGATGGGGTGGGATAGGGTGTGTGTGGGGTTGAGGGGGCTGACGTGTAGGAGGAGTGGGGTGGAGGATCTGACGGGGTTGGTGGTGGGGTTGGTGGCGGGGGATGCGAGGAGGAGGAGGGGTGAAAAGGTGGGTGCGAAATCGAGCGGGATGGATTTGTCCGCTTCAACCACGACTGCTACCGATACAGATACCGAAGACAATCTTCCGGGCAGTGCAGAAGCAGCATTAACATCGATCCCCGATCCGATCCCTACCTTACCCCCCGACCTGCCTTCTTTCGCCTGGCATTCTCTTCGCTACCTCAACCTTTCCTCCAACGCGCTCACCTCAATCCCTATCCTCCCCCTCCTCCCGCTCACCTCCTTGACGCATCTCGACCTCTCCTCCAACCTGCTCAACTCCATCCCCCCGAGTCTCTCCCACCTCCCCTCCCTCACCTCTCTCAACATCTCGGACAACCTCATCGACTCCGTCCTGGGCATCTACCACTCCATCCCACACATCACCGTTCTCAACCTCTCGCACAACCGACTCGAATCGCTCTGCGGCGTAGAGCGCCTTTTCGCACTTCAGAGGATCGATCTTCGCCACAACTCGATTTACGAAGCAGGGGAGGTGGGGAGACTGGCGGTGTTGAAAGGGTTGCAGGAGGTGTGGGTCGGGAGTGGGAATGCGTTGGTGGAGGAGTATGTGGATTGGAGGGTCGAGTGTTTTGTCGAGTTTGCGAGGGAGGGCAGGGAAAAGGCGGTGAAATTGGATGGGGAGGGGTTGGGGTGGTGGGAGGCGCAGAGGGTGAGCGAGAGGTTGCCAGCGGTGAGCGGGAAGGAGGGAGAAGGAGGAGGGAGGATGAGGGGGGAGGAGATGGAAGCACAGCTGGCCAAGGATGTTGCGACGACCAGCGGGGTGGTGAGGAACGTGAGGCGAGCGCAGAGCAGGGTGATGGAGACGGCGAGGGGGAGGGGAAGTGATCTGTTGGGGGTGGAAGGTGCAGGGTCAACGTCTAGATCACGGTCCGGGTCACGCAGTCGAACGAGCGGTGGTCAGGCAGCCACGAGCGGAGCCGCAAGGAGGAGGAACCAGCGTGTGGTCGAACTAGAGTCTTCGCCGCAAAAGCCATCCAGTTCGACGCGACAGAGGACGCTGACCGAGTCGGATCGCATCAAGCAAGCGGCCTTGGCTAGGGATGGCGGTGCAGCTGTCGATGCTGAACCAGAGCACATCGGAGGCAAGAGTGACGCGGTGTCATCCTCAAAGACGCTGGGAAAGGGGAAAGCTGTCGACGTTGGTGTCCAAGAGGAACCAGCCAACAGCGCAGTCGAGCCACATCACTCGGCAGCATTAGCAGCACACTCTACTCTTCTCTTCGCCCTGCCTCCAGGATCCACTCCCTCAGAACCCTCGTCCTCGACGAAACAGCGATCCCTCAGGAAGCATCGCAATCCAGCCGACAGTCGAACCGCATCCGACCTCTTCGCCAGCTCCACCTCTCCCGCAGCACAGGACACGAGATCCCACGTAACGAGCATTCCGCACAACCCCGACGGTGTTGAGTCGAAGAGTTCGTTTGCAGCAGAAGCGAACGGGAACAGCGGGAAAGCAAAGTCGGATGCGTTGAGGCGCAGGATTGAGGCGTTGAAGAGCGAGGTCGGGGATGATTGGTTGCGGTTGCTGGCGAGAGGCGAGGGGGACGAGAGGAGGGTTTCGGTGGTGCGAACTGAGGCGGATCAGGAGGGAGATGCTGCAGAGAAGGACGCGCAGTAATCGATTGGTGTGTCACTGGAAAGGCTCAAGCTGGTCGACGCAGAGAAAGCACACATACCCTAGACAACGACTGTTCTTCTTGGCACACCTCGGAGCTAATCTGATAAACCCTTTGACGTTCCGGTTGAAGCGCTGGGGGACACCTTCTTTCCGGACGAGAACATCTGCATTTGCAACTCCGAGATGATCTGATAAAAAAAGTTTTCACAGTATCTGATTTCTCTTGTGTGGATGCCAAGAGAAAAAAAAGATTTGACGAGACGCTTAGCGAGAAGTGCCAGCCGAATACGCCGGCATTTTTCTTCTTGCTTCTTGCCAATTAATGCACGAAAAGACGTCACTTTTTCTCCTTCGCAACAGCGAGGTTTGGCCTGTCGATGGGTTATTCGGTTCGTGGCCGAAGTTGGATGTCGCGCTGCTTCCTGCGATGCGAGCAATGCTGCACTTTGCAGTGCACGCACGGCTCGTCTCGTCGAGAAACATTGTGATCTGATAAAATTTTTCCCTCATCTTCAGGCTGCTCCGCCCCCATTTTTAGCCGAGTTGGCGGTCCGAGCTAACTGCAAACCAAGGTTTCGTAGCGTGCAATGTGCATACTCTGCTTTCGGTAGGCAAGCTGCCGAATCGTGCGCACATAGAGCACATTGCAGTCGACGTGGGAACTAATCAGATTGTCGCATCACAAAAGAGCGGCGTGTTTCGGAAGTGCTTTCCCCTCGAGTCTTGTTCGGATTGGCTGTCCGTTGGTAGAGCTGCCTCCTTGTTGATGGGATGGTCGTAAGAGATGTTTCTTTGACTTTGCACCTCTACCATCCTTTGTATCGACCTGCTACGAGTGATCGTATGATTGCTGCTGATAGAAGTTTTGCAACAGCGGCTTCTACGTTTCGATACTACGAGTTGGTCGTAGACACTTTCCTTCGACCGACGACTTGTGTTGCAGCAGCCACGGAAGACGTTCGCTTCAGCAACAGATCTCAGCATCGAAATCCACTCCTTCTCCGTGAAGGTTCCCTCGGCGTCGGTAATATTGCGCAACAGACGCGCTCAAGCAATCACATCTTTTACTGGAAGGCCAGTGCAAGATTTGCTTCATCTCGACTGGTAAGTGTTTTGACGATCAACACATCATCTGTTATATACAGGACACGACCATAGCTTCGTTTTACTGCTTGCAGCAGCGAGACAGGATCTGGCCAGGCCACGTCGTTCGACGAGGAGCTGGACAGTAGAAGCCAAGAACGGACCGCTACCAACAGCTTCGCTTCGCTTGACGGCCAACAGGTTTGCGTCTTCCTCGGGTCAGAGGACGGGATGACTGACACTGAGCCCTTCTCCTCCATCTCTTCGGCACCAACAGCCGACACAAGACGCTGAAGAACGTCACGTTGGCTTCAACAATCGGACAAACGACTTCCAATAGCGTCGCAGGCCTGTCCTCAATCGCCGATTCTTAGTCCCCATACACCCGATCGATTGACCCGCTTGCATAGCCGAGAGCGAATTTCTTAGATTTTCGCGTCGAAACGAGGGATTTGCGGCTTTTGCTAAGCGCGCATAAACGATGACGTCCAACGCTCGTTTGACAGTTACACCACAACATGCCAGCTCCGGCGGCGGCGACGGCGACGCCACCAGCAGCGGCGATCCGAATCCACCAGCTTCACAGCCTAACGATTCGGCCCGAGCCACCCCTCGCCCTACGGCGGCAAGCGATGCTTCACTGCAGCTCGATGCTCGCAATGACGAGGCATTCCTGCAAACACAAACACGCACGTCCGGAGCTCCGGCAGATCCTACTTCCGCTGCTGTCGTTGCACGAGATTACGCCGACCAACAACGGCCAGATCAAGGACCCTGCATGAATCATGGTCTCGCCGACGGCCTTTCCCTTAACGACCAGTCGATCTCTACAGAAACAGATGCCGCCCAAGAAGCGCACGTTTCTTCTCCTTCACTTCCCAACTCCGCTGCACGCTCTTCCTTACGTCAAGACGACCTTGCGGTATCCTCGGCTGTTGCACTTCCATCTGACGCGCCGACAGAATCGTCCTCGGCGCATGACTCCCTTCCCAGTCGCTCCGAACGTCCTTCTTCACCATCGCACTCCCAAAAGCAGCAGGCTGCACACCCACCCGTCTCCGAAGATCCTCAAAACCGAAACGGTGGTAGCGACTTCATTCCCGTAGACGACTCTTCTGATATAGACGCTTCCTCAGACCGAGACCCACTAGACTCCCCACATCGCAACAGCGGCCAAGAAGATCCTTCCTCCCTCTCGGCCAGCTTCCTCTCCCAGCTCGACAACGATCCACGCACGCCCACGGCACGCTACTCCTTCGACGACCACCAAGACTACTTTCATCGTCTCGAGTGGGAAGCGCTCCAACAGAAGGAGCGCAGATCACCATCCCCGTCCGCTGGATCATCCGTCGACATGGCTTCTCGTAGCAGCAGCAACCGGCAAGGTGCGGCGGATGCTTCCGCACCCGAGACGGCGGCAGTGGCGACCACTTCCTCCTCCTCGTCTTCGCTCAACCGCACCTCGACATCCTCCGCCGAGACTGTGCACGGCGATCAGAATCCCTCTCGACCCGGCATCGCACCACTGGCTAGCGCCGCACAGCCCAAGAAGAGCGTCACAACCAGGAAGCGCTCCAACTCGGCCGACGATAGCACTGCAACCTACGGCAGCTTTGGCAACGGTCGCTTCATGGTTCGTCCGCGCCATGCCCACCCCGGCCCACCTCCACCCGCCAAGATGATGCTCAACATGCGCAGCCCTCAGCCTTGGGACAAGCACAATGCTCAGCGACCGGGCTCTTCTAGTGGACGTCCGCGCTCCAACAGTCGATCCGACGACCCTGTCGGCTGGGCGCAAAGGGCAACCTTCAGCGCCTTTGCCGATGGCGGAATCCCCGGTACCAGCTTTCCTCATCCCGGTGTTCTGGCTCCCGCTGGAACGCAGCTCGCTGGTGAGTCCAGGACGTCTGCCGATGGCGACTTTGTGAATACCGTCCAGCCGTGGGATTCGCCTCGTGCGCCTAGACGCTCGTTGACCGTGACAGCAGGCTCAGATGTTTTATCAAGATCGAGACACGCCCAAACGGCTGCACCTGCTGCTGTGGTACCAGTGCCACTCACAGGAGGCAGACCACGCCTCTCGACAAGTCAGTCGGTCGATGCTGCCGATCTGCCAAGCACTGCTGCGCAAGTTCAGGGTCTAGCAGCAGACAACGCAGACGTTCAATCACGACGACGCACGTCATACGACGACGGCGATGGCCAAGACGCCAACACCATTCCAGAGGATGCCGATGACGACGACGATGATCAACAGGGAAAAGGCAAGGAGTCTAAGCCGAAAAGACCCCTGAAAGAGCGCGCCAGGTCCGCCGTCTCCAACATCCGTCTCTCCTCCAACTACTTTGCACTCTACAAAGCCGCCGACCGCACCGATATCACGCTCCTCGTCGTAGGCATCATCGCTGCCATCGGCTCTGGTGTTCCTCTGCCACTCATCGGTATCCTGTTCGGACAGCTCATTGACGGTTTCAATTCCACCGGATGTAACACTGGCAGCGGCCGTCCCTCGAATCCTGGCGCCTTCATCTCCTCGGTCGACGACAAGGTGGAAAAGATCGCCATCATCGCCGCCGTCAACTTCTTCCTCATCTGGACCTACACCACCTGCTGGTCCAACCTCGGCGAGCGTCTCGTCCGCAAGATGCGTCAGCGCTACCTTCGCTCCGTGCTTCGTCAAGACATGGCCTTCTTCGACAAGCTCCAGCCCGGCGAGGTGGGCACGCGTCTCTCGGCCGACCTTTTGACCATCCAGAACGGCACCAGCGAAAAGATGGGCATCCTCATCTCAAGTCTCTCCTACTTTGTCACGAGTTACATCGTGGCCTTCATCAAACTGCCCAAGCTCGCTGGGCAGCTCGTGTCCTTGTTGCCGGCGTTTGCGATCGTCAGCGTGCTGGGCTCCAAGTTTGTGGCCAAGGCGCAGAAGAACACGTCGACGCATCTGTCACATGCTTCCAGCTTGGCTGCCGAAGCGTTGAACAATCTGCCCGTGGTGCAGGCGTTCGGATCGCAGCCGAGGTTGTCCAACATCTATCAGAGCCATCTGGAACTGGCAAGGAAGCAAGGTACGCTCAAGGCGCTTGCCGCTGCTTGCGTGTTGGGCAGCTTGTTCTTTGTCGGCTACTCGGCGAATGCGTTGGCTTTCTTTTCCGGTTCCAACCTCATCGCAGCATCGGGAAATCCAAGCACGGTGGGATCGGTGTACACTGTCATCTTTTTGCTGCTGGATGCGTCGTTCATCGTCGGTCAGATCGCACCTTATCTGCAGACTTTCTCGGCAGCCAGCGGTGCAGGAGAGGCGCTGCGCGAGACGATCGACAAGAGCTCGTCCATCGACGGTACCGACACCAAGAAGGGCATCACGCCTCGGCCAGGTGACGTCAAAGACATCGCCATCGAAATTTCGGATGTCGAGTTCACCTATCCGGCTCGACCGGACGAAAAGGCGCTCGATGGGCTCAGCATTTCTGTCCCAGCTGGCCACCGTGTCGCCCTCGTCGGTCTTTCAGGGTCCGGCAAATCGACGGTAGCATCTTTGCTGCAGCGCTTCTACGATCCCACCGCTGGCCGGGTGACGCTCAACGGCACTGATTTGCGCGACTACAACGTCCGTTGGCTGCGATCTCAGATCGGCGTCGTAGGGCAGGAACCCGTGCTGTTCGATTGTTCCATCATGCAGTCCATCGCCCACGGTCTGGTCGGCTCCCCCGCTCACTCTCATCTCCATTCCACCGTGCTCGCCTACTCCCAGGTCGGCCAGGAGAAAACCGGCACCGATCTGCATCAAGTGCTCACAACACAGGAACAGCTCGAACAGCTCGAAGAGATCAAATCGCTCTGCATTCGAGCTGCCAAGCTCGCCGGCGCTCATTCCTTCATCGAACGCCTCCCGCAGGGCTACGACAGCCAAGTCGGCGAGTCGGGTGGCAAGCTGAGTGGTGGTCAGAAGCAACGCATCTCCATCGCTAGGGCGATCGTCAAACAGCCCAAGTTGCTGATCTTGGACGAAGCGACCGCGGCGTTGGACTCGCATTCGGAGCATGCGGTGTCCAAGGCGCTGGACAGCATCTCGGAAGGTGTCACAACCATCGCGATCGCGCATAGGCTGGCGACGATTCGTAACTACGATCAGATCGTGGTCATGGGCGCAGGCAAGGTGTTGGAGAAGGGGACGCACAAGCAGCTGCTTGCGCAGAGAGGCTATTACTACAAGTTGGCGGCTGCGCAGGATACTGGTGCTTCGAAAGCGGATGACCAAGACGCTGGTGACGACGCCTCGACTAGCGGTGACGAGACGGACGAGGAGACCGAGGAGCATGACGCTTCGCAGCAGCAGCAGCAGCAGCAAGAGCAAAATCGAGGCCGAAGAAGGATGGACAATGTAGCGGAAGGAGACGAGACGGAGGATGCAGCTGGCGGCGACTCTGCGTCGCCTTCGCGTGGCTCGAACCAGTCGACGTTGGCGCGTCGCAGCAGCGTAGGCGCTTCTCCCGGCAAAGGTCGCGCCGATCTGGCGGAAGACGGCAACGACGACGACGATGACCAGAACCAAACCGAAAAGCAAGCTACCGAAGCACAGCTGGAACAAGCCGCTCGTCGCTACCCTCCTCGCGTGATCCTCAAACGCATCCTCTGGATCCTTCGCCGCGAATGGCCCTACATCCTCGTAGGTCTGTTCACTAGCGCTATTATGGGCGGCTCCTATTCCGGCGAAGCTGTGCTGTTCGGACACGTCATCGAAGCTCTCAACCCGCAATGCCGGGGCGCAGACGGCGTCCGTGCATCGGGTCGGCAGTTTGGTCTCTACTTTTTCATCCTCGCGCTGATCCAGTTCTTCGCCTACTCGATCAACGGTCTCGTATGGGGCCTCGTCGCCGAGCGTCTCCTGTTCCGTCTGCGTCGCGTCTCCTTCGATACCATGATGGATCAGCGTCTCACGTGGTACGAGGCGCAGGACAAGAACCCGGCCAGCATGATCGCTTCGCTCTCGAACGACGCCAACAACCTCGGCGGTGTCACGGGAACGGTGATCGGCACCATCTTTTGCATCCTCGTCAACCTCATTGCCGGTATCTCGGTGTCGCTCGCCATCGCCTGGCGTATCGCGATCGTCATTCTGGCTCTCGTGCCCATCATCCTGGCCGCCGGATACCAACGTCTCAAGGTGCTCGCTGATTTCCAGAAGCGTCACGAGACAGCCTACATCAAGTCGAACTCGCTCGCCATCGAGGCTGTGCAGTGCATCAAGACGGTCGCCAGCTTGGGGAGGGAGGAGGATGTGATGCTCAAGTTCGAACGCTCGCTCGAAAAGCCGTACCGGGAGAGCATGCGACACTTTTTGTTCGGGAATGTGTTCTTGGCGCTGGCGTTGAGCATCAGCTACTTTATCTACGCATTCGCGTACTGGTGGGGCAGTCAGAACATCGCCGAGGGGAGGTACTCGCAGACGGCGTTCTTCATCGTGCTCCCGGCGCTGCTGTTTTCGGCGCAGGCGAGTGGACAGCTTTTGGCGTTCGCACCGGATTTCAGCAAGGCGCACGTGTCGGCGGCCAACTTTTTCCGCTTGATGGATCAGCGGCCGAGGCAGGTCGAGAGGAAGAGGCAGATCGAGAGGGAGAGGGCGGAGGCCAAGTCGAACAGGAAGGCGCGCAAGGCGGTGCCGAACAAGGAGGAGGATGTGGAAGAAGGTGTCGATGCTGCGGAGGCGGATGCGGTGGAGAAGAAGGGTCCTTCGACGATCCAGTTCGACAACGTGTCGTTTACGTATCCGACACGAGACGATCCTGCGCTCAAGAATGTCTCGCTGACGATCCCTGGTGGATGTTTCGCCGCGTTCGTCGGACAGTCGGGTTCGGGCAAGACGACAGCCATGTCGCTCATCGAAAACTTCTACACTCCCAACTCGGGCACCGTCACCGTCGACGGTCTGCGAACCGATCGTACTTCCGATCAGATCTTGCGCAGGGACATCGCCATCGTCCCACAAGAACCGGTCATCTTCTACGGCACCGTTCGCTTCAACGTTCTCCTCGGACTCCGTCCCGATCTCCACCCTCCATCCCCTCCCTCTGCGTCGCCACGCAAACGACGAAACCGTCACCTCACACCGCTCGAAGAGGAAGCGGCAGCCGAAGACGACTCCCTCCTCGCACCCTACACCCCGGACACGTCCTGGTCTGACATCGACGACGAGATCATCGTCTCCGCCTGCAAAGCCGCTGGAATCCACGAGACCATCCTGCGCTTCAAGAATGGGTACGACACGCTCATCTCGTCGAGCCAGCTGAGCGGTGGTCAGAAGCAACGTCTGTCGATCGCCCGTGCGCTGATCCGAAAACCGCGCCTGCTGCTGCTGGATGAGAGCACGAGCGCGCTGGATAGCGAGAGCGAACAGGCGTTCCAACAGACGCTGGCGAAGATTAGGGAGGACGGAGAGTGTACGATTCTCGCCATCGCGCATAGGATGAGGACCATCAAGGATGCCGATGTCATCTTCTTGTTCGAAGGGGGTGAGGTGGAGGCCAAGGGTGGGTATAAGGAGTTGATGGGCAGGAGTGATAAGTTCAAGGCTATGGTGAGCTATCAGAGTCTGAACTAGGGGGGTGTGCGGGATATAGATTGCTGCGTCTCTCTTTCGATCTGCCTTGGTGCAAGAAATGACAAAATCAAAGTTCAATCACTGTTCGACAGGAAAGCTGTTCTGGAAGTGCGTGGTGTTTTGTTCAATGTAAAGGTAGAATTTGCAACATTGTCTTTGCTAATCCGAGCCCAGATACCTCCTCAACACGGGGTTATTCGTCTCCTCGTGGTACTGATAGCCAAGATCGTGCAAGAACCTCTCCAACGCAAGCGCGTCCTGCTCGGGAGCCTGTATACCGAGCAGGATCTTGCCCATATCCGCGCCGTGGTTTCGGTAGTGGAAGAGGCTGACGTTCCAGCCGCTCTGCATGCCTACGAGGAACTTGCGCAGCGCACCGGGTCGTTCGGGGAACTCGAAGCGGAAGATGCGTTCGTTGGGGACGCGCGTCTTGCCGCCGACGAGGTAGCGCAAGTGGGACTTGGACACTTCGTCTCCGGACAAGTCGATGGGCGTCATTCCGTCGGCGGTGAGGGCGGAGAGGATGGAGGAGAGTTCGCTGCTGGACGACTGGGTGGATGCTGCGAGCGGTTGCGAGTCGGAGAGCGATGCGGTCGAGGAGGACAGCGCTTCCGCTGCACCGGTTGTGGCTGGGGTGATGTTCTCCGGAACAGGTACCGCTCCCGTCGACTGACTTTCTCCCACTGGACTCGCCTTGGCACCATCCAACATGAACGACAGCAAAATCTGCGCCCTCTCCCGATCCCCATACCGATAGCTGAACTCGGTCACCATCCTCGGATTGATATGGTTGTGCAGCTTCAAAAACGCACCCGGTTCCTCCGGGATCTCCACACTCAACAGCGCCTCCCTGTTCTCGCCCAACTCGGCTCTCTCTGCGACGAACCGCAGACGACCGAAGTTCATGTTGGCACCGGAGACGAGCGCGACGAATTTTTTCCCAGAGCCTTGCAGGTTGTGCTGGGCGATGTAGCGTTTCATGCCGGCGACGGCGAGGGCACCGGAGGGTTCGGGGATGGAACGGGTGTCTTCGAAGGTGTCCTTGATGGCGGCGCAGAGCTCGTCGTTGGTGACGCGGACGACGCCGTCGACGGTGTCGCGGCAGATGCGGAAGCACTCTTCGCCGACGATGCGCACGGCGGTGCCGTCGGCGAACAGTCCGACTTCGTTTAGGAGAACGCGGTGGCCCGCCTCGAGGGATTGGGCGAGGGCGTCGGCGTCGAACGTCTCGACTCCGATCACCTTGACGTGCGGCGGTGCGATGCGTTTGACGTACGCTGCAACTCCAGCCAACAACCCACCCCCGCCGACACAGCAGAACACAGCGTCGACCTGGGACATGTCCGTCTGCCTGCAGATCTCCACCCCGATCGTACCCTGCCCCGCAATGACCCTCGGATGATCGAATGGAGGGATGATCGTCAACCCGTACGCCTTCGACAACCTCGTGCACTCCGCTTTCGCCTCATCGAAATCCTGTCCGAACAACACCACTTTGGCTCCCATCCTCTTGACGTTCTTGGTCTTGATCTCCGGCGTCCCCTTTGGCATGACGATCGTACAGGGGATCTTGAGATGCGCACCTGCCATCGCCACCCCCTGCGCATGGTTGCCCGCCGAGCACGCGATGACACCCTTCCACTTTTGCTCGTCGTCCAGCTGCTGCATCATGTTGAACGCACCGCGCAGCTTGAACGAGAACACGGGCTGCAGGTCCTCGCGCTTGAGCAGGACGGAGCAGCCAAGTTTGGAGGAGAGGTTGGTTGCGGGTTGGAGGGGAGTTTGGTGGACGAGCGAGTAGATATCGGCGGAGAGGATGAGACGGAGGTAGTCCGGGGTGTTGTCTGGTTGCATGAGGTGGGGTGGGAGGTCGGTGTAGAGGTGGGACGGCGGGGAGGAGTCCGAGGTTGGGGTCGGGGGTACGGTAGGGGAGACATCGTTCTCGGTGAGCGCGCGGCCGGAGGGGAATGGCCCCGAGAGGTAGGCCGCTGCTGAAGAGGCAGTGGTGGCCGCCATCTTGTTGTTCCGTAAAGAGATGAGATGGTGGTTGATGGTCGTGAGGGGTCGTACAAGAAGATGATCGTGGATTGGTGACTCGCAAGCGTCAGAGTGCATGAAATTGGCGGGAATTGAGCGACTTCTTCTTGCTTACCTAATCATCTCAAATCCAACTGCGACTCGCGCCTCCACAGAAAAGTGTCAAAACCCTAATCTTAAAACTTCTTCCAAAAAGATTTGTTTGATAGCCGAAACAGTGTTCTCCTCGTACAACATCGTTTCTTTCCCCTTCGCAAACTAGCCCAGCATGGGTCGACAGCAACGGAAAGAAGATCGCCAGGCACGCAAGAAGACCAAGATCTCCGCCACCCAATCTCATGCCAAGAATGCCTCTGGAGCTTCCAACGCCGTCGGAAAGCAAACCAGCAATGCCGGCTTCGTCTTTCAAAAGAATCAGTTCGCTAGCCTGATCAACAAGGGCAAAGCGAGGCTGATGCAACAGATCCAGCAGCAGCAGGTAGCTGCTCAGCGTAAAGCGGGGCTTGCAGTTGGGATGGAGGTGGACCAAGGTGCGGAAGCGAGCGCGACGGCAGCCGCCAGGTTGAAGCACGAGATTGCGGATGCGGCCGCCACGTCGAACGCACACACTGCCGAAGCAGATGGTGTCGACGATGTTGATGAAGAGGACGCATTTCTTTCGACAAGCGGTATACAACTGGATCCAACCTTGACAGGTCGGCGGGACAGCTCGCTCAAAGCGTACATGCGCGAACTCCGCAAAGTCATCGACAACGCCGACGTCCTCCTCGAAGTGCTCGACGCACGCGATCCGCTCGGCTGCCGCTCCTTCTCCACCGAACAGCTCCTCCTCCGCTCCAACAAGAAGATCGTCCTCATCCTCAACAAGATCGACCTCGTCCCCAAATCCAACGTCGAAGCGTGGCTGAAATACCTTCGACACGACTTCCCCACCTTGGCGTTCAAAGCTTCCACCCAGTCTCAGCGCAACAATCTCGCGCAGGGTGCCCTCTCCGTCCACTCTTCCGGCTCGGGAGAATCTATCAGCGGTGGCTCCGAAGCCATCGGAGCAGGTGCACTGCTCCAACTCATCAAGAACTACTCTCGTTCGCTCAACCTCAAGACCTCTCTGTCGGTCGGAGTGTTTGGCGCACCCAACGTGGGCAAATCCTCCCTGATCAACTCGCTCAAACGTTCGCGCGTCTGTTCCGTCGCCTCCACCCCAGGTCACACCAAAGTGCTGCAAAGCATCATGCTCGATAAGTCGATCCGACTCATCGATTGCCCCGGAATCGTCTTTTCCGATCCAGACCACTCTTCCTCTAGTCCGGAAGAAACGTTGATTCGACGTCAATCCGCTCTCCTCCGCAACGTGGTGAAGGTCGAACTGGTCGAGGATCCGATCACGCCGGTGGAAGCGATCCTCGCGAGGGTGCCGCGGGAAGAGGTGCTGGAGATCTACGGGCTGGACTGGTTCGAGGAAGGCGATGCGCAGGATTTCCTGATGAGGGTGGCGGTGGGTCGGGGGAGGATGAGAGGTGGAGGCAAGTTGGATCTGGAAGGCATGGCGAGGAGTGTCTTGCACGATTGGAATTCCGGTAGGATCAAGTACTTTACCAACCCGCCAAAACTGCATCGATCCGCGGTGTTGACCGAACCGAAGATTCCCGGAGAGGGAGTGGAAGAAGAAGGGGGAGCGTTGGAGTCGAGTTCCAAGATCGTATCTGGTTTCAGCGAGGCGTTCGATCTGGCTGGGTTGTTGGGCGAAGCGGATGCGGAGGTTTTCGGTGCGGGAACAGGTGTTGGGAAAGATCTGCCTTCCGCTCCCGCGCCTAGGTTCGCTGAGGAAGTCTCGGATGAGATTCAGGACGATCACGAACCACCCATCACTTCCCCGACCATCGTTGAAGAACCAGAACCAGCCGACACGTCTCGACGATCAACGCTGGGGAAACGATCGCGTCTCTCCTCCTCCGACGAATCCGACGATGAATCAGACGACGAGTTCTCCCGCCATTCTCACCTCGACACCATCGACGACGACATCGAACCTGTCCCTTCGACCGAACCGCAGTCCGAGTGGAAAGACAAACTGCACTCCAAAGCAACCTCGACGTCCAAACGAACGGCGGAACTGTCGCTCGCCTTCTCGCAGCAAGAGTTGGCGTCCATGGCGCCGCTCACCGGTGCAGCCAGACGCAAGCTCAAGAAGCTGAAGAAGAAGGAGGCGCGTGCGGGAGCGGGGCTGGTGAGGGAGTTGGAAGGGCAAAAGTTGGGTGAAGGAGGGGACGAGGAGGGTGCCGGAAAGGGAGTGGGGAAGGGGATGCAAGGGATGTTCGGGAATGTGGCAGTGAAAAGGCAAGGAGAGGTAGTCAAGAGGAAAGGCACGGGGAGCATGTTTGATGTGTTGTTGGAGGGGCAGGATATGGAATCGGAGGAGGAGCAGGAGGAGGAAAAGGACGTGGTGAACGGCGCTGCTGGGGAGGATTATGAAGAGGAGCTGTAACAGCCTATATTTCGCTCTTTCCTGCAGTTAAATGACATCTGCATCTTCGCTTGTGTGATTGCATCTGATATAGCACCGTGAGAAACACCACATGAATGTCTTGCTGAGAAGGAACGAGGGTCTTCATGGAAGTACGTTGGCAGCAATGATGGTCGAGAGGTGTGCTTAGTCCGAATTCCGATCCCACGCGCCAAAAAAAAAAGTTGGCTCAATTTGACGTTTCTTCTTGCGGTTCACATTCGTACAACACCGTCATCCCTACACCATCCCTCCCTATCCACCCTCTTCCACTTCGACACGATGCGGCCGTCAATACCTCGATCGATAGCGTCAACATCGCGCTCCATCCTCTCCTCCCATCCTCCTACTCCCCTTCGTCCACTGTCTTTACCTCGGCACCTTTCTTCTTCGTCTGCCTCCACTTCGACCAACCTCATCTCCGAACTGGAATCCCGCAACCTCGTCTCGCACATCACCTCGCGCGCTCTCCTTCCGCATCTCTCCGCTGCACCACGCACCGTGTACTCTGGCGTCGACCCTTCCGCAGACTCGCTCCACGTGGGGAACTTGCTGCCTCTCTTGACGCTCGTCCACTTTGCGCGGTTCCACCACAACCCGATCGTTCTCGTCGGCGGAGCGACCGGTTCCATCGGCGACCCTTCCGGTCGGAGTTCCGAACGTAATGCGCTCGACGCTTCTACCCTTCAGCGAAATGTAGCTGCGATTGGGCAACAGATTCGGGACTTTTTCTCCCGCGCCAAAGACTTTCTCGCCGAGTCAGGAAGCGAGTTCGACGCGAGCGTGACCATGATGAACAACTACGAATGGATGTCCCGCTTCACCCTGCTCGACTTCCTCTCCACCGTCGGCCGCCACTCTCGTATGACTTCGATGTTGTCTCGGGACTCGGTCGCGTCGCGACTCTCTCCCGGTGCAGCGGGTATGTCGTACACCGAGTTCAGCTATCAACTCCTCCAAGCGTACGATTTCTCCTTCCTCCACACCCACCACTCGTGCACCGTCCAAATCGGCGGTTCCGACCAACTGGGCAACATCACCGCTGGAATCGATCTCATCCGTCGAACCTCCCCGACATCACTCGAGACTCCGGCGTACGGGATGACACTGCCGCTGCTAACGACGAGTTCGGGGGAAAAGTTCGGCAAGAGTGCAGGGAATGCAGTCTGGTTGAGTAAGGGAAAGACGTCGGATTGGAAGTTCTACCAGTTCTTTTTGCGCTCCAGCGATGCTGAAGTGGAACGATACTTGAAGTGTCTAACGCTTCTACCGGTAGGAGAGGTGGAGAGGCTGATGCAGGAACATGAAGGGCGGAAGAAGGAGAGGAAAGCGCAAACCGCACTAGCCGACCACATGACGCGATTGATCAGGGGTAAAGATGCTGTACGCAGATGCAGGTTGATCGCGGAGGTGCTGTTTTCCCACACAAAAATCGACGGGGATGCAAGGGATACGCTGGCACAGCTCAACCTCGACGACATCGATGAAGACGACGTCGTAGCGAGGTTGAACAGGGACGATGTGGTAGGGGTGGACGTCACGAGGGTCGTAGTGAAGGCTGGGTTGGTCAAGAGTAGAGGTGAGGCAAAGAGGTTGGCTGCCAGTGGAGGGTTGTACGTCAACAACAGGCAGGTAGCGGAAGGAAGTGCGGTGGGGCAGGAGGAGTTGGTGCCGGGGAAGGATGGGCGAGGAGGGTTGTGTTTGGTCAGGGCGGGGAAGGCGGGGGTCAAGGTGGTGTTCGTTGAGCAGACGTGAAAAAGGAATGACAGCAATACGGTCAAAGTTCATGCAAGAAAGGATTGTGTTCGCTGCGTGGATTGGGTGATTTGAATGCGAATGGAATGCTGAAAGAGTCTAGTCCGATCCATCGTCCGAGGTCATTTCGACATCTCCCTCGACCTCACTTCCCAGCTGCTCTCCAAACGTCCTTCCCTCTCCATCCTCCTCCTCCACCTCCTCCTCCTCTTCTCCATCATCAAACCCTAGCAACGTATCCATAGCCTCGACGCTGTACTCCAACATACTGCTCTCGATCATCACCCTATCCGCCCTCTGCCAGTGTCTCTCCGTATACGGCAACAGCCCCTCGACCAGGGTACCCAGATCGACGTTTTTCTCCTTCTCCATCCTCCTGCGTCTCGCGCGTTCCTTCTCGGGGAGCGTGTCGACGATCCCGAGCTCCTCGTTCTCGAGACGTTCGGCGAGGGCAGCTCGGTGAGTCTTGGAGGAGGAATCGAACATGGAGATGAGCGAGGAGGCGGTGTGGGTCGAGAGGATGGCGTGAAGCAGGGTTTGGGCGATGGGCGAGGTTCGGGTGGAGGTGTTCCAGTCGCGGATGTAGATGAGCAGCTGGATGAGGAGCGGTGCGGGGAGCGTGGAGAGGATGGTGTCGACCGAGGAGAGGCCGGTGATCGAGTTGACGTCCGCCGCGTTGGCCGAAGTGTGCGAGGCTGGAGCTGTTTTCGAAACACCGCGGTTGCGACGGGTGGTTCGAATTCCAGCTGCTTCCAACGCCCTGTCATCCCCTCGCTCGAACCCTTCAAACCCATCCTCCTCCTCGTCATCATCGCTATCTCCCCCCGCCAACACACTCGCCAACAACCCGGTTTTCCTGCTCACCTCCTCATCCGGTCTGCTGTTGCTCACATGCGTAAACAAGCCCAACAACCTCCTCGGCTGACCCATCTGCAACGCCAACCCGATCGCACTCCTCCAATCCTTCTCGACCAACATGTTGCCAAACTCCTGCTCCATCCGCACCTCGTCCTCCCTCTCCTGCCTCTTTTCCTGCTTCTCCTCCTCCGTCCTATCCTCCCACACCTTGATCGATCCATCCGCGGCCGCGCTGATCATCCTCTCTTCTCCTCTCGAAACGACGAAGCTCCAAATCTTGTCGTCGTGTGCATCGATGGTCGTCTGACACTCTTCCTCCTTGACGTTCCAGATTTTCACCAGACCGTCTCCGGCGCACGAGGCGAGCTGCATCCCCGCGGAAAGGAATGCAAGCTTGAGCACGCTGTTCGTATGGCCCTCGAAGAGTTTCACTGTCGAGAAGGTCTTGAGCGACCAGAGACGGATCGACTTGTCACCGGAGGAGGTGGCGAGCGCCAGATCGACCGGTGAGAATCGACAGGCCCAGATGCCTCGTTTGTGTCCCTTGAGCGTGGCGAGCGGCGAGAGCCGCGCCGTTGCAGTGGAGGTTTTGGAGGTGCGGGATTGGAAGGAGAGGTTGAATAGTTTGGCGGTGCGGTCTTGGGATCCGGTGGCGAGCATGGCGTTGTTGGGGGAGACGTCGAGGCAGTTGATGTCCTTTTCGTGGACACGTTGCGTGAGGAGGGATTTGAGGTGCAGGGGTTGGGTGATACGGGTGGTGGATTGGGGGGAGAGGAGGGTGGTGAGCGGGGAGAGGTCCCAGATCTTGACGGTGCGGTCTTGGGAGGCGGAGACGATGAAGGGCGCGTAGGGCGAGCCGGGAGCGGAGGGACGACGAGCAAATGCGATCGCTCCGACGGACTCGGCGTGCCCTTCACAAATCCCGACGCACACCCACTCGCCATCCCCCTCTTCATCCACCTCCCCGCCGTTGGAACGCGAAACCTTGGTTCCAGCATCATCTGCTCCCCCCTCCTGCGTCACGGAGCCCAACCTGGAACTGGGAACGTACGCCCAAATCCTCACACTCTTATCCTTCGCACCGGACGCCAACAACCTCAGATCCGGACTCCTGTCCAAACACAGCACGATATCCGTATGTCCCGCCAGCAGTTCCACCGACGTCTCCTCCTCCTCTCCTAGAGTGTACACCCTCAACGACCTGCTGTTGGTCGCCACTGCCAGATGCGTCTCCTCCACCTCCGCTCCCACCTCGCTCGCCGAGAGCATGGCCAGATCGACGATCTCATCGTTGAACCCGATCAACTGCCTCACTTTCTTCAGCTGTGTAGCGTGCGAGGATCCGACGGATCGGACGACGATGTTCTGATCGGCATGCACCGAAACCAGGTTGACACCGGTAGGGGTGGAGGTGAGGTGCACGGCGGTGATGGCACGCGTTTCTTCGTCTTCGGCGTCGAGGTGGTCGACGGTGCGGCTAGAAGAGGAGGCGAGTGCGCGTTGGATGCGCGTTTGTCTGGCGAGGTGAGCGAGGTTTTCGTTGAAAGATTTTGGTTGGACGGCGATGATGCTGGAGGTGGCGAGGGACCAGAGACGGAGGGAGCCGGAGGAGCCGCCGGTGTAGAACACGGGGTCGGGGAAGGTCGAAGCGGGAAGAAAACCGACGGATTCGATTCCTTCGTTTGCGGAAAGCGTTTCGGATTGCTTCCAACCAGCTGCAGATGCCACAACACCCGATTTGACGCCAGGTAGACGCCAGATGACCAAGGTGCGATCGCGAGAACCAGTGACGACGTTGGCGCCGTCCGGGGTGACTGCGATTCCTCTCACGACCGAATCGTGACCCGCGAGTGTTGCGATGGGTTTATTGGTTTCAGCCGGGTTGTTGAGATCCCACGCTCTGACTTTGCCATCCACGGAGCCTGTGAGCAGCTGAATGACCCTTCCATTCCCTTCTCCCTTCTTCTTGTCCTTCTTCTTCCCCGCTCCTGCACTTGCAGGTGTGGTCTGGGGAGGCATGTTCCAAGCCAACGCACTCACCACCCCTGCATTCCCTTTGAACGCATGCGTCACAAACCCGCCCTCCAAATCCCACACCTTGGCAACACCGTCACTCCCGCCCGTCGCCAACAAGGTCCCCGTCGGATCCACCGCCATGAGGTTCACCTGACTCGCATGACTCTTGGCCACACTCCGCACGAGCTTACACTCGGGCAGCGAGTACACGTTGAGCGCCAGCGATCTGCTCGCGACGACGAGATGCGATCCAGAAGGCGTCACCGTCAGAGCGGTGATCTCCTCGGTATCGGGCGAAAACTGTTGCACCACCGTGCCGGTGGACACCTGGACGACGCATACCGAGTCGTTGAGCGTGGAGTAGACGAATGTGCCGGAGGGATGGAGAGCGACGGATCCGCCGGTGTAGAAGGGCGGGAGGGAACGGGTTTGTTTGAAGGACGTTTTGAGTCGGGGCTGGGAAGGGGTTGAGGTTGAGGTTGAGGAGGTGGAGGCGGACTGTTGTTGGGCTGCTAGGAGCTGTGCGACCTGGTCTGGGGTGAGGACCTGAGCGTCTGCCATGGTTGCGGTTGCTGCAGCTCGATGATGTATGTGAGCTGAGCGAGTAAAGTGTTGATGGTGATGAGGAGGAGGAGAAAGATGAAGAGGAGGACAAGCTGTCAGTGGCACAAACTGACGAAATTGCTTTTACTCGTGTCAAAAATGTCACAAACAAGAAGAAAAATCAGAAATTCCCAAAACGACTTTTTCTTTTAATTTTTCTAGACAGCGACGCCCGAATTCCGACTCTCCCTCCAACCAACCGGCCGAATGGAGAGTGATTGCTCCACAATCTCTGCTTTCCAAGGTCACACGACCAATTCTCTTTCCATCCTCACCCTTCACCACCATCAATCCCCTCGTCAACACACCATGCGCAGTCCCTCCCTCACCGCGACAGGGCTTCTCGCTCTCGCCCTCGCGATACCGACAACAGTCGCCGTACAAGCACCCTTCAACCTGCAATACGATCCACTCGCATTCGCATCCACCTCGTCCGTCGATCCAGTCCACTTTGCCGGTCAGAAGGTTATCCGATTCAGCACTGAAAACGATGCACAGCACAAGAAGCTGCTCGAACAGGCACATGCGTTAGCGCTCGATGTATGGGGCGCTAAACTGGGTGCTGCATGTGGAGCGGACTCGCAATCAGCGTTTGGATGCGTGGATATCAGGATGGCGAGTGGGACGGCTGATGAGGATCCATTCCGTGCATTGGCGAGTGCAGACGAGATCATGGCCCAACTCATGCAGCCTTTCCAGGAGAATCTGAGGAGCAAGACATTGATCGAAGATCTGGATCAGCTTCTGCAAGAACAGTCCCGTAGCGCAGAGGCGAGCATCCAGTCGGGCGGCAAGGCGCGAGATTGGCACAAACAGTACCACAACTTGGAAGAGATCGAGGCGTACATGAGCATGCTCGAGAACAGCTATCCTGGGCACGTTCGAGTCGAAGAGATTGGCAAGACGCACGAGGGAAGGTCGATCCTGGCATTGAAACTCGGCCAAGGGTTGCCAACTCAACCACCCCCTTCACCACCGCAAGATCCGCAACCTCAACCCCCACCTCCCCCTTCCAACATCACCTCTCTCGCACCCAAGACGGGCATCCTCATCACCGCCGGCCAACACGCACGTGAATGGATCTCCACCTCCACCTCTCTTTTCTTCGCCTCTGATCTGCTCCACGCTGCTCTCGGCCCTCCCGCCAACGTAACTACGATGAAGAAGAAAAAGTCTCGCAAGGGACGAAAGAAGAACACCTGGACTCGCTCCTCCGCACTCGCCGTACTCAAAACCTTCACCATCACCATCATTCCCGTTTCCAACCCAGACGGGTACACCTACTCCTGGACGAAAAACCGGATGTGGAGGAAGAATCGGCAGCCGAACAAGTTTCCCTCGGGACTCTTCTGCAAAGGTGTGGATCTCAACCGAAACTATGGGTTTGCCTTTGCTTCTTCTGCTTTGGCAAGTCCATGTTCGGAGATGTACCCTGGAACCACTCCCTTCAGTTCCGCCGAAACGACTGCTATCGGTCGTTATCTCCAGGCTGAGGAGAACAACGTTCGCGCATACTTTGATCTTCACTCGTACGGTCAACTCATGATGTATCCCTTCAGCTACGATTGTTCCCAACCCGTAGCTGACGAAGAGGACCTTCTCGAGTTGGCATTGGGAGCAGTATCGGCGGTGAAGAAGGTTCATGGAAGACAGTTTAGTGCAGGTAAAGTTTGTGCGGTTTACGCAGAGGGTGGTGGAAACAGCATCGATTGGAGTTACGCTAGTAGCGAACCCGTACCTGGAACAGAGGCAGAAAAGCGAAGGGTGAAATGGAGCTTCAGTGTAGAGTTGAGAGACGGTGGTACCTATGGGTTTCTCTTGCCACCAAAACAGATCATACCCGCAGGTGAGGAGGTCAGCGCTGGTCTCAGGTATATGTTGGACTTTATCGGAAAGAAGGAACACTAAAACCCACCCCCAGCTCTTGTTCGGTGATTGTTACCATCACTTTTTGACGTGTATAATTCGAAAGCTGTACATTTGCTGGAGAGGCAAGCGATTCATTGTGCAGCGAATGTGACGGTTGTGCACTCAACGTCCGACGGCGATTTTCACTCCGAGCATGCTAATCGCACTCTTCCACGGACACATCGTTGATTCGCACCTCTCACCTTACCGCTGTGATCATTCATCACCATCTCAATCTATATACGAACCCAATCTTTTTCATTCGTCGCCAAGGTGTTACCCTACACATCACGCCTCCGTATTGAAGAACGTAAAGCTCGGCTGTCCAGGCTCGGCGACCTCCAGCAGCTTTGCATCCACCCCGTCCAGCCCCTCCACCGTCTCCCTCTCCTCCTCAATGCAATACACGTGGATCTCCTTGAAACCCATCGTCTTTTTAAAGTACCCGCTCGCCGCCTTCAGCGTCGCCACCTCGTCGAACGGAAGCAGCCTGTTGAACGCGCTCTCCGCACCGAAATCGCCGATGCGCTTCTTGAACGTGACGATAAAGTTCATCACCTTCTTGTCCTTGAGCATTCCGTCCTTGGCGAGCTGTTCGCGGATCGCCTTGTCGTCGAACGAGCCCGTCGAGGCGTCGTAGTGCTCCTGCACCACCGAGACGCACTTGTCCTGCCACGAGGGGAAGTGCTTGGCTACAAACATACGGCATTCCTTGGGCGCACGCTCGTTGTACTTGACCGCTGGAGCGGTGGCGTTCTTGCCCTTGGCCTTCTTGGTGAGCAGGATCTCGGCGTCACGAACCGTCTTGACCGTACCCGAAACGTACGCCAGCGCCTCGGTGATCGAGTGATCCACCGGCGCCGATGCCTCCGGCCACCTCGCCGTCTGAATGGAACTCTGCTCGCCCAAAAAGTTGCGCCACACGTGCTCGGCAAAGTGGGGCGCGATCGGCGTAATCAGCAGCGCCTGCGTCCTGATCCACCTCAGCACCAAATCCACATGCATCCCCACATCCGACGTCGCCTCGCGGTACAGATCGCGCGCCGTCTGCAGCTCGTAGAACCCAAACTTGGTGGCGTCCTTGTACAGCGACTTTTCGTACGCCTCGTTGGTCAGCTGGATCAGGTTGTTGATCTGGTTCTCGAACGACTTGTCCCAGAACGTGTCCTTGGCGCCCGATCGAAGTTTGTCCTTGTTGGCCACCACTTCGGCACACCACTCGATGAGCGTGTGCAGACGCAGGATGTTGGCGTTGGCCGTCTTCTCCTCGAAATTGGCGTCCTCGATGCCGTCACCGGCGTCGGCGAGCGAGAGACGCGTGGCGTCGGCTCCGAACTTTTCGACCGACTGGCGCAGACTCAGCGAGTTGCCCGTCGACTTGGACATCTTCTTGCCGTTTAGCATGAGGTGGCCGTTGGCGCGGATGGCGCGCGGCCAGTGGTGCTCGGGGAACAGCGCCGAGTGTACGTAGACGCAGAACGTGAGATGGTTGGGGATCAGATCCTTGCCCGACGAACGCAGATCCATGGGGTAGAAGTAGCGGAACTCGCGTCGCAGCACCTCGGCCTTCTCCTTGGGGATGGTGGTGTCGGTGGGGTAAGCGGCGTCTCCGAGAATGTAGTCCCAGATGTCGTCGGTGAGCTCTTCGGCCTTGATGCCGATCGGACCGACCTTGCTGCCGTCAGCGACGCCTCCCTGCAGGTGATGTGCGATGGTGTAGTAGGACATGTAGATGGTGGAATCGCTGAGCGACTCTACCAGGTACTGAGGGTCCCACGGCAGCTTCGAGCCGAGACCGTAGGAACGAGCGCAGGCCCACTGCTTGAGCCAGTCGATTGTACCCTCGAACGCGTTCCTCACCTCAGATCCGAACGTGTTCATCTGTGCAATGAGCTTGCTGGCCTGGGCCTTCCACGACTCCTCGCCGTAGTCCATGTACCACTGGTCGCAAAGCGCCACAACGCACTCGTCGGCACTTCGGCTGATGACCTTGCCCTCGGGCTCGGCGTAGGCGAATGCGAGCTTGGCCTTGATCATCTCGTCGCGCACCTTGTTCTTGGCGTCCTGCACCGGCTCGCCCTTGTACGAACCGACGAGCATGGTTCCGTTGTAGAAGCCTTCCTTATAGGCGAGCTCCTTGGCTTCAGCGAGCTGGTTCTTGTCCTTGGCGCTCTGGATCTTGAGCTGCTTGACGAGCGTCTCGGCGGTCATGTCGCCGTAGGCGGGGGTGCGGATGACGGGGATGGGATCCAAGCCGGCCCACTGCGGGTCGATCTTGTAGTACTCGGCCTTCTTGCGCAGATCCATGAGCGTGGCGTAGTCGTCGGGCGAGTCCGAGGGGACCGAGGTGACGACACCGGTACCCTTGGTGGCGAGCACCGTCTCCATGGGCAGCACGTAGACTTCCGGGTAGAGACCAAAGGGAGCCTTGATCTTGGTGCCGACGAGCTGCGAGCCTTTGACGGTGGCGAGCGAGTTGACCTGTCCGCGCTCCTTGGTGATGCCCTGGAAAGCCATGTTGCGAGCGGCGCGCTCGGTGCAGATGTAGACGTCGGTGTCGTTGATCTGGAAGGCGCCGTAGTCGATCGAGGGTCCAACGTAGCAGTTGGTCTGGCCGTACATGGTCTCTGGACGGAGCGTGGCGGCGACAAAGTAGACGTTCTTGCCCTGCAGCTTGGCGTCGAGCTCCGGTGCAGCGAGCGCACCCCACTGTACGAGCTCCATCTTGAGACCAGTGTATTCTTGTGGGCCTACACCTTCACCGTCCGATCGGTCGTGGTCCATGCACGGCTGGCCGTCCTTGGGCGAGTAGATGGTGTAACGTTCGCCGAACTTGATCTTGTCCATGGCGTGGAGCTTGTTCATCTGCCATCGGACGAAGCTGTCGTAGTACGGGTTGACGTCGGTGGTGATGAAATTACGTCGCCAGTCGATTCTAGAGCCGAATGCGGTGCAGTCGGCTTTGGCGATGGGAGGGAAGTAGCTGAGCCAGTAGTTGGCATCGGCGAACTTTTTGATCTCGTCCTTGGGCACACCCGAGTTGAGCATGATCTGGAACTGATACTTGAGACCTGTGTCCTTTCCCGCCAGCTTGCCCTTGGTCGCCTTTGCGACGTTGGTCTTGGTGGCGCTCGATGTGTTGGCGGTGGGCGCTGGTGGTTCGGGTGCTTCCTCCTGCTCTGCCTCGTCTGCTGGGTCCTTGTATCCAGAAAAATCTTCACCGAACAGCTCGATCTCGCGAACGAGCTTATCGGCAGCCGCACGGATGGGCATACCTGTCACGTGGAAGGCCCAAGGGAACAGAGCACGCTTGCCCTGCATGCGCTCGTAACCGGCAGCGAACTCGACCTTGGAGAGCGTGAATGCGTGACCGAGGTGGAGCGAGCCGTTCATGTAGGCATATGGGATGGTGGCGAACCACTTGGGGTACTTGGCGCGCACCTCCTCGGGCGTCAGGTCAATGAGACCGTCATCCTGAGTGGGCGCGTTGACGTCAAAGACATGCTGCTGCGCCCAAAAGTCCTGCGACTCCTTTTCGAGCTTTTGGAGGAAATCACGTTTCGAGGTGTTTTCGAGCTGGATGGGACCGGCCGCGTCCTTGGCAGCATCCTTGGGTGGCATGGTGGCGGTGCTGCGAGTGGCGATGGCGGTGCTGAAGGATCTGTTCGCCGCGAGAGAGGGTGTGAAGGTTGGAGGGCGGACGAGGGAACGTGGGATGGGCCCTGTGCGCGGCTTCAGGGCCAAGGATCGGAACAGGCGAAGGGGCGTCGTCGTCGTTGTCGTCTTAGCCGCAGATCCGACTTTGACTTTAGAGAGGCGTGGGAATGTGTCGGCGGGTTTGCGATGCCGGATAGGTGACGATATTGATGATGGGGAAGGAACGGATCTTCCGATTTGACGAAACATACACCTTCTGCGCAGCTTTGTAGCGGTGTGTAGCGGTGACTCTGAAAAAGTTGCAAATTGCGCTCAGCCTTCCTGTCTGCCTGCTCTGAAAGAGAGGCCCGTAGAAGAAGAAATGCAGTCCGCTCTCAGACATCCAACTCGCTCGCACGATACAAACTCTAAAATCCCAGCTTTGTGTCGGTCCGAGTGTTCTTGAACCCTGAATGTAGTTGTGCACCGCAGGCAGCGGCTGGCTTGGCTGGCTTGTGCCTTTGTGGAGAGGCTTCCGAAACGTGACAGCTGTAGTCTAGATGATCACCTCTTCCTTGATCTCTCCCTCGACCGATCGGAACTCGCCGCTCATCGAGCATCACTGACCCTTGGTCATATCAGCGATCGGAGGCGAGCCGCGCGCGGCTGTAGTCGGAAGGAATGCTGCAATGCTCGCATTGATCCGACTCTACTAGACCAATGTCGCCGACACGGCAAATGCGCTCGGTCCATATCTAACGACAGGCATGGCGTCTTTACAATCCTCTATGCTGCGCGGAGGAGCCGGCGGTAGCGGCGCAGCAGGCCGAGGTCTGCCCTCGTCGACGTCGAAGCGATCAAAGCAGGATGAGGCACGCCTCCCCGAAGCCTACCAGCAGGAAAAGCCGCCATGGAGGCCACCACTCCACCCAGCATCCAGCGATCGCGGTGTTCCGGACCTCTTCCCCACCAAACCTGGCCAGCCCGAGGACGACATGTCGCAGATATCGGTGCGCAAAGGTTTCGCTCCCCGCTCTCACGTTCAAAACGAGTCGTTTTCGGCACACGACGCCATCTACGCTCGACTCGCTGCCCCTGACGCCATCCGCACCCTCTCGAGTTGGATGGACGAGGTCGTGCAGCGTCGTCGCCAACTCGATCGTGCCAGCGTCGCTCCGAGTCAGTACAAGCCGCCTTCTCGTGTCACGCTCAACGATACCAAGCTCGCCAATTACGTCAAAGACCTTGCCGATCCTAGCGTACCTCTCACACGTCTTTCGAGGAGCGTCCCTCACGGCTTTCGTGGCGAGAAGCTCTTCGAGATGCTCTGGGCAGGTGGTGCTCTACCTTCGAGCGGTGCGGCTGCTGCTGCTGCTGCTGCCACCAGCAACTACTTTCACTCACGCACGCCAGCCGCATCCTCTGCCTCGACGCCTTCCGCCAACGCTTCCGTCGCTGCCACCCCAGCTCCGAGAAAGAGCGTCGACATCTCGCGCGCTGTCTGGTTCATCCGCGCACTGGGCGCTGCAGAGCTTTCGTCGCTCCGCAACAAGTCCGCTGCGACCATCATCCCCGAGATCACATCGAATCTGTGCACATGGATGGCAAAGCAAATCGCCGAGCTTAATCTCGTTCAGACCGCCGAATCCTCCTCCACCGCCGCTCCTTCCCCCGCTCCCACGTCTCCCTCGACGCATCTTCCTCGCACGCCTGGTGCTGCTCCTATGCCTCTGTCGCGCTCCGTGGCAGCTGCACACCTCGCTCGCACCCCGTCCAACCTACACCTGGCCTCGTCTCCGTCTTCGGCGCCCGCCAAAGAGGTCTGTGCCGTCTTGCAGAACGAGGTCGACGAAGAGCGATGGGTGGCAAAGTGGTCCTACAGCCTGTCGCTAGCTCGTCATTTGCACGCTCAAAGCCTGCTGGACCGCTCCACGCTCGTCAGGTGGATCGTCGATGCGTTTGCCGCTTCCAATCTCGTCCAGCTTCCCTTCCTCCTCGAGCTCGTTCAGGAGGTGCTCGTCCTCATCCTCCGGCGTCGGTGCTTTGCCAAACCTTTCCTCACGGCGTTGCTCGTGCAGATATCCAATGTGGACGCGCGTCTGAATCTAGTGGCCGGTGGTGGTCTGCGAACCAAGCTCGTGCTACTTTTCCGCATCGTCTGCGAGAACAGCCCCGACTCGCTCATCAGTGCTCGTCTCTGGTCGGAACATGCGATCACACTCACCCAGCTGCTTAATGAGACCAACTCTGATGCGCAGGTCCCAGCTCCTCCTCACCACGTGCTCGAATTCGTCGAGCAGGCCGTCAGACCACGCGTCGACCGGCTTCTGCTTCGTTCTCAGACCTCTGGTCCCGAAAACTTACTTTCGCTCCCGCTGCAGCAACATGTCGATGTCCAGGCCCTCGACTCGTTCGATATTCGGACCATCGACCGCGTCTTCCTGCTCAATGTGAGCGGCTCCCATCGTCACGCAAGGCACGATCGCGACGATGCCGTCTGGGTCCCCAGAATCGAAACTATCCTCACATGGGCCTGCACCGACCGTCGCTCGGGCGTCGTGCGCCAGTATCTCGCGGCAACGCTCATCGAAAAGATCCGATTCGGCGTGTCGTGGGAGGAGTCGAGCGAAGAGTCCGACCAAGTTTCGCTGCCTGCCTTCGACCTCGATGACCACTCCAAAAAGACGCGCAAGATCAACGTAGAACCTATGCTGATCAAGTGGCTCGGCGACGTCGAGACCTCCCTCAATCAGAAGGCGGGGGAGGCTTCAGACCCGGCGCGCAGCACCTTACTAGCTACCGTCGATGTCTCTGCCATTGTCGTCCTCGTCGGCGAGCTCGCTCGCAGGGGCGTCTTCTCCTACACAAAGTACCTGCAGAGGTTGATTGCTCGCGGCATGACCACCGCACCGTCATCGGGCTCCACAGAGCATGCGATTTCAACCGGTGATGGCGCACCTGCACCTGCTGCAACGTCACGCGATTCTCTGCATCTGCGCCTTTTGCGATCCTTGCCGCTCTACGATCAACCGGCTTCTGTCTACCAGCAGCGAAAGCAGGCCATTTACGGTGACCGCACAAAAGAGACGTACGAGGATGCAGCTCAACGTCGAGCCCTGCGTCAGCTTCAATCTTTCTTGCCTTTCGCCTTTGCGCAAGACGCGGACGCCGTGGAAGGATCGCACATCGTCGCACCGCCGCCCGAAGCGAGCCCGAGCGATCTGGAGAAGGACTTGTCGCGTCTATGGTCAGCTTCGCGTTTTGTCCGCTGCAGACTTCTGCGGAACGAGTTACTCCCTGCGGTCACGGCACGCGTCGAAAGCCTCAATGGCGAACAGCTCTCGCAGGTCTCGGCCGTGCTCGTCGCCGCCGACGATTTCGAAGGGTTGGCCCAGCTCCTTGCTTCTTTGTTGCTGCGTCCGCTCTCGGACAGCATCGCCCGCGCTGCCTTCAACATGGTCATTGAGCACAGCCTCGTCTGGAGATCCATGGACATCTTGGGCACACTCAAACAGCTCGTGCGTCAGCAGCTCAACCATTCAAGTTCGGTCAGAAACGACCGTCAGGCGGTCATGGCCTCAACAACGCTGCTCCGCCTTCGAACTCTGATCGAACGCCTTCCACCTCGCGTGAGCGCACCTGCCCTCGAGACGAATCCGGAGCACGACGCCATGCAACAGCACGTGCAAGCGCTCCGGCCCAATGTCGACGCCTTGCTCGACCGCTTCGCCAAACTCACAAGGTCGAGCTCCGAGTCGAGTGGGAACAGCGCCTCTGCGTCCTCGCCCGTCGACGGTTCAGACATGCTCACACCTTTCCGCAGCCTCTTCGTGCAGGCGGATGCGACGTGCGACGAAATGATCGAACGGGCCATCGTGGAGAGCGTCCTGGCCTGCGGCGACGTTTCCATCGTACCAGCAGCTGTACGATTGATCGACCAGCTCTACCTCGAAGCCTCGCTTGAGATCGATGAACGGCACGCCCGATGGCTTTCGCATCTGGTAGTCAGCATCGAACAAGGCACACACAGCGACGCATGTATCAGGGCGTTGCTCCATCTATTGACTCGGTTGATCGCGCACGGCACGCTCAATTTGCAGCTCGCCATGGACGCTTTCCTGCTTCCTTACACGACGTACGCAGTGAGAAGGCTGACGGATCCAGCTACGCGTGGCGCAGATGCGACGCTGCACCTCGGCGCCGCCGTCAGCAGCCTCGGCGACATGTTTGCCAGCCTTTTGGGGGAAATGGCGCATGCAACCTCGTACGAAGATTCGCGTGCATTTGGCGCTCAAACCACACTGCTTTTTGCCCGAGACAACCTGCCTTCGCTTCTACGCCTTGCCACCTGCTTAATCTGTGCGTCGGACGAGCCGTCCGCCCTGGCTTCGGCTGACAAGACGCAGATCGAATCCTTCTGGAGGGCTCTGCTGCGGTCGGAGCCGATGCACATCGCCTTCCGCCAGGATCCAAGACTTTGCTTATTGACCGTCAAGGACACGTGCAAGTCCATGTGGGGCTGCAACCCATCGCGCGTTATTGATCTGGCCATAGCCTGTCTCGATCCGACCAGTCTTTTGCTGCGTGATGTCGCTACCATCGACGCCGCCTCTGTCAAGAGCCGACTGGACGCTTGGTACACTGCCGTGGTCGCCAACGAGCTCGTCGAGATCTTTGAGCGCCTGCAGCTCGTCGAATCCAGTTTCCAATCCAGAGCCGATAGCAAGACCAAGGCGTTGGCTTCGGGCATCTTTGACGATCTATTCGTGCGGTTGCCAGACATTGGGGCGCAGCTGGTGCGCGATTGCCACTCGAGCGGGCTCGTCTCGCGCTTTACCGACATTGGCATCAAGCTGTTGTCGGACAGAGTCAAAGCGGCCGGCGCGAGTGAAACGAAACCACAGCAGCAGCTCGACAGTGCGCTCGATGGTGACGCACCAGCGTCAGTCGACGATGGCGTAGAAGCATCCTCCGCAGACGAGCGAGAAGTCGAATCGACTCTGCGCTCTGTCTTGCGGATGTGCGAACAGCAAGACGGCTTTGTCTTCAATGCCACTGATGCTGATTCGTGCGGACAGCTCTTGCTTCACGTTATCGCCTCGCTCGAAGCCGCACTCGGTCAAATCGCCACTCGCCCCGATGACGATGCACCGCGACTGTCTGCGCTGCTGCAGGACGGCATGAGCTTCCCGCTGCTGCATTTGGTGTTGAGGTTCGGCTGCCTCTGGAGCGGCGCGATGAGAACCGTGGCGCTGCGACTCGTCAAAGTGCTGTTCGAGCTTTTGCGCCGAGCTGGCGAGAAGGCTCAGTGCGGGGGAACGTTCGCGCTCCTGCTCGACTCTTTGAACTTTGTACTCGACGAACTACCACCGCAGCTGCTCGGAGCGTGTCTGCCCGAGCTCGAGATGCAGTTGCAGACGACGGAGCTGGCTACGCACGAAAGGACCGAAAAGCTGCGGCAACTGTCTTGTCGTTTGGACGATGCAAGTACGGCTGGAGGATGGTTTGTAGCGCCGAGCGCTGGAGCGGCGGTGAAGAAGGGCTGGTTCACGCCCGGTGGCTTGAATCCGTGGGAGTGTGCAGAGTACCTCGACGCGCCGCCGGCAGCCGCTGCGAGTGGTGGCGCTGCGGGGAACGCTGTTCGCACCGGTCCCATCCAGTCTCGGGGCGCAGCCGCCGCTCAATCGCCAGCAGCAGCCGATGGGGACACATCCACGACGCTGCCGGGCGCGCGAACCGGTTGGATCTCGAAGCTCTCGCTCAACACAGCCATTCCCTCGTACATGCTGGGATTGCGCGTCACACGCGATCTGGTGCCACACTACGCATCGCCCGCTTCGCCCGGTGCTGCTTCGATCGGAAGCAACGATGCGTCCTCCAGTCAGCCCTCGTCCACATCGACGACGGCGGCTGCGAGCACGGGCAATGCTGCCGCGGCTGTTTCCAGCTCGACTGCTACCACGGCTGCTAGCGCAGCAGTGATGGATGGCGAAGACGCGCTAGCGACGCTGCCGATCTTTGTCGAGTCGGAGAGGACGTATGGAGAGCGTACGGCGGGCGAGCCTGTTTTCTCGCGCGATCTGAGGCGCGGGTTGCTGGTGCGCGCGCGTCTTCCGAGGATCGTCGCGAATGAGCGGGAGCAAGTCGAGGCGGCGCCAGCGACGGAGGAGAGCGAAGCGATACAAGTGATTGATTTGACATGGGACGATGACGAGATGCCGCTGCATGAGCCGCAGTCCCAGAACGGGGGATCGGGGATGAGCAGGAAACGACGCTTGTCGAAGCGCGATGCGTGAAACGAAGTCGCTCATGTACGGTTAGGGTGTGAATGGCGAGATGTTACGGTTCTGTCGGTGAAAGTGAAGACGTGCGGACAGTGACATTTGAGCGACGTGACAGGTTGGCGGTCGGGAGAGCGTTCCAGGCTGCGAACAAGAGAGTCCTCACGACACTCCGGCGGGTGCTTGAGGGTGTGAGACCAGAGGATTATTCGCGAGTGTTGGTGACAGACGTGAAGGATCCTGTGTTTCGCAGGCATTGCTAGGGGTCTCGGGTGGGGGTTCACTTCTCACGAGCGAAGAGGTTAGCATAGAAAGTGGTCGGGGGAACAGACTGTGTGACACACATTACACGATGCACGAGCGAAGCGTGAGTTGAGAATAGTACATGTGATTCTTGCATTCTTTCTGCATGTTGTTCGACTGAATACCCTGTCACTTGGATCGATCAAGCATTAGGCGTGCGTTGGTGTTGCTCGAAAATCAGATGTGAGATGGGACGGGTAGTTTCGATCATGCAAACTGTATCATCGCAGCAGGAAGGAAATAGAGAGCAATGTTGTTTGTCAGTAAAAACACCTCTTCTTCCCTTTTCCCCCGCGGTCTTCGGTGTTCGGTAACTTACGTTGCTCAAATAGCTCTCTGCAACGATCCTAGCTCTCGCATTGATACTCAGCTTCATCTCGCTGATTTCCTTATCCACCTCTTCCATGAACTCTATCACGAAATCCACCAACTTATGCTTCAGTAGCGTCTCGGTATTTCCATTGGTAATCAAAAAGCTGATATCATATCCTTTGACGGGTTTTCTTCGGAGAATCACGAAAGATTCGGCTCTTTGCATGAGGAATCTCGAGAATTTGTGGGCGAGAATGCGTTCGATTTCATCGGCCTGTTTGATTTTCAGGGAGATACGGATCGAGTTGACGGAAGGCTCGATGAGGACTTTTTCGTTTTCGTTGCGCGAGATGGTGAGGGGTGTGAGGAGAACTTCGAGGGAAGAAGAGGCTTCGATCTCGGCGTAGTTGTGTCGTTCAACGCGTTGAGAGGCGAAGTTGGTGAGGGTTAGAGCGGCGGTTAGGGTTGAACGGACGCACGAGAGGTATGGTCGGAGTGTGTTCGACTGTGTTAGGCGGTAGCAGAGAAGAAAAGGCAGATAAGAAGGTTGTGAGGGGAGGCAACAGGGGAAGGGGGTTGAGGTGAAGACTTACCATGGTGGAAGTATGCTGCAAAAAGGAATCGATCAGGCGGTCGAAAGAGGAGGTGGATGCGAAAAAGAAACACAGCAGCGTTACCTCACTGCGCAACTACTCTCTGGTTCCAGAGATGATCGCTACCGGATGCAACCGTCGTAGTTCGCGGATTCTTAGCAGCAAAGGATAGGGCTGGACGCGTATCAAGGACCGGTGATGATGGATGGTGAAGGAGGATGACGGATGAAAGCGCCGTTTGTGTGTGGAGTTGGATGTGGGCTGGCTTGTGCTCGACGTTCTCAAGCTGTGCTGTTAATTGCATTTATCGCACGAGACGTGTCTCCGCACACTCCCGTCCGCGGAGTTGGAAATCTCTTTCGTATCAGGCTCGAGCCAAAATGTGATGGACACCGTGTCCGCTTTCGATAGCGACACTGGACCGGATCGTACCGCATGCATCAGACTTACACCATGAGACTGTGCAATGTCGACGACACAGTCAGTCTCCAGTAGCCGCATTGCAGTCGTCGTTTACGAATCGCCAAGGCAGCAATCTCAGCATCACAAGCCAATCACGGCAACAGCGGAATACATGCAGAATAATCAAGCACCAAAAATAGAGGCCAAAAAAATCACTACTCACATACACTGCGCTCACGAAGAACTTGCAAGAATAGGCAAGCTGGATTGCGATGCGGTCAAACCAACGAGTGCCACCAACAACCTCGTCCTTTAGCATTAGACAGGGAGTCGGCTAACGTGCGGATCTAGAAATGTACATAAGGCGCGGAGGAGGAAAAGTTTTTTATCGAATTGCAATGTATCAAGCCTTGGAGATCTCGACAGTGTTGGTGGCACCGAGAGCCTTCTTGAGCTCACCGTAGATACCGAACTGACCGGCGGTGATGGAACCAACCATGACCAGACGGGTGGTCAGACCACCGAACAGACCACGCACACCGAGCTCACCGGCCATCTTGGTGATGCGTCCAGCGACCGTCTCACCGGGCAGCGCCTTCTGCTTGTTGATCTTGGAGAGGAGCGTGTCGGCGGGCTGCGAGATGGTGGCAGCGGCGAAACCGGCGATCAAACCAGATCCGAGGTTGAGGAAGGTAGCCTCACTACCGCTGAGCTCCGACTTGGGCTTGCCGTACGCCTGGATGGCCTTCTCGAGCACAACCTCCATGGTGGCGAACTTGGCCATGTTGTAAGGGATCTGCTTGAACAGGATGGGACCGAAACCGGCGTAGAAGCCACCGAGACCCTCCTCACGGGCGATCTTGAGGAAGGCGGGTGCGAGACCGTTGGCGAAAGTGGGCTGCGACACGAGACGGATACGCGTGGCCTCGAGAGGGCAGAGGGCGATGTCGGCGAAGAACTCGGCAATGGCGGAAGCACCGAGGTAGATGGCCATGCGGTTCTTGACGGCCGTGTCGTTGTCCATCTGCGAGACGAGGATCTTCTTGAAGAGCTCGTAACCCCCGAACTTGAAACCACCCTGGAGGAAGTAACCGAGAACGGTGGGGCCGAGACCGGTGAGGAGGGCACCAGCACCTTCCTTGGCGACGACCTGGCGGAAACCGCCGATCATGCCCTTGTTGTAGACGGTGGGCTCGAGTTGGATACGCGTCTTGACGACATCGATGGGAGTGACGGCACCGTGGGTGATGGAGCTGTATGCGGTCGAAAAATGAGAGAATGAATGTCAGTGATGCGTTCCAATGTGAACAATAGCATCGAGAGGGCGGCGGATCTTCCTTCGAATGGTAACTGCATCGAGGGAGGTTTCGCATTGCCTCTCGGTCGATATTCCTGCGATCGGTTGTGATCCGAACGAGTTATAGTTCGGAGACCATGATCTAATTTTCCAACTATTCGAGCCATCTGTGCCAAATCTGACTCTCGTTTAAATGCTCCCTGAGACGGAGCAACAGAGCGGGTCTCTGCGGGAGATCCACTTGGCTCCTGATGCACAATCCGCTTCCACTGCGTCGCCTTATCTAGCGTTGCAATCCTCCGACCGTCCTCCAGTACTTGCTTTGCAGCACCAACCAGAAGCTGATCCGCCGCTGCGCCTTCTCGAGAACAGCATAGAAACTCACCAGCAAAGAGCACCGGCGAGGAAGAACCTCGAGTAGAGGTCGACACCCTGAGGACCGGGCTTGACGGCCTCGGCGACCGAGTGGATGGGGTAGGTACCCTTGGTGAAACGTTCGGTGAAGGTAGCCATTTTTGAAGATATACTGTCTTTCTAGATCCGAACGATGGAAAGAGAAAAGAAGCGGAATGGAGAGGAGGGGTGGTGGTGGTGGTGGTGGTAGTTGGCGGTGATGGTGTCGGATCGAAAGGCGAGAGAAAGGATGTTTCCGTGCGCGCCAATCGCGAATCTCGTTGGTCGGATCGATGACGCCTTGTGCAACACTCTTTTTCTTTCTCTCTTTCTTTCGCTGTCCCCACGCTGTGCCGCTGTCGATCCGGTCGGAAGCTTTCTGTCACTTTTTTCTTTTGTCCACGCCGTTGTTCCTGTGTGCGGTACGCTGGCGTCGGTATTTCTCGTAGCTCCCTATCTGAAATATCAAGAAAGCCGATCAAGCCAAGCAGCCAGCAGCGAGCAGGTCCGAGGAGAAAAAAAGTTCGAAACTTCTCGAGAGGCGTCGCCTATTTGAAATCGCCCAGGTTGCCCAGCAATTCGAGCATTTTGTATTCGCCGACCAGAGTTGAAACCCGATTCTTCTTGGTGCACCAAGAAAAAGCGTGTCTGTTCCGAATCGCGCCGTAGCGATCAAGCCAGCGGAAAGCCCGTGCTCCGACCACTCTGCTGCATCACTGGCTCTCTTTCTGCAGCGTCGGCGACCATCATCACCGCGGAACGTGGACATCTTGTCGTAGCCTCGCACGGCGTCCAGCTTACACTTTTCACCGCACCTCGCAAGGACTCGTTGATCATCTCCGCGACCGGACCGGACCGCTCTGAACATCAACACGAGGATCTTCGCTGCTCTGGATTTACAAGATCAAAGAAACAAGGGTTGATCAGCGAACAGGTATCTGCACTGACGATCCAGAGCATAGGAGGACAGATCCGGGATTGTGTCGCGAAAGGTTAAGCAGGAGAAGCTGTGTTGAACGAGATTCGCCCCTCTGACGATAGACCGACGACGTTGTCTGAAATCCGATCGTCTCGATCCTTGAGCCAATCTTTACAATCGGCGATTTGCCAGGAATTCACGCCAAAATGTGAGAGATACGGATGTAACAGTGATACAGGCACCGCCCAGGAACCCGCCCGTTTTGTGGCTTCCACTTCGGCAAGAGGATCGGCAGAAAAGGATCGGCAGCGCGCTTGCAGCGCTAGCCTCCATCCGTAAAACGAGCGCCGCGCGAACGCCCCTCTGTCGGCGGGACTCAACGGCGTCGACGATGGCGCCCGGCTTTGGCGCCGCATTCTGAGGCTTGCCGGTGTTCCTCATCGGCTCGCCCTCTCGCTTCGTGTATCCGACAACAATAAGCTTGCGCATTCAGCCCGTTCGTTTGTCTCCCTCACACTAGCACTGCATTGTCCCAAGCTGCCCGCCTGTCTCGCAATACTTTTACAGCGCCTCCCGCGCAGCTCGAAACAGTTGGCGCTGCGTCTCTCGCCATTTCTTCCTCTGTTCTGCCATTGTGAGCTGAGCAGCCGGTTCTGCCGTGTCGGCTAGGTGTGTCTCATCGGCGACAATGAATTGCATTGGCGTCGAGAGCGCACGGTCGAGTGATGACACAAAAAGAGTTGTCTGCATCGAGCGTAGCGTGGATCGATGCTCATGTGACACTTGACCCTGGCGCACATCTGGCCTGGCTCTACACTCAAGAGACGACCCGAAACGCTGGACTTCGGTGCTTGTTTCAAGCATCCACTAGATCCCGTGGGTGAGGTTTGTTGTGTTGAAGCCGGGCGATGGCCAGGACCATGTGCTTGTCGGTGCGCTGACCTTTCCACCACAGCTTTGGTGCTCGCCGAGGAGCGTAAGCGCTGTTCCACGCATCGATCCAGTCAACCAAGAAGCTTTGAGGTGACAGTGCTTACCGTGTGGTTTCAGTATGACTTGGTCTCAGCCGCCTGATTCATCACGGCGCCGAATACAGGACTGTTGCCGCGCCCGCAAAGTCTGCACTGTCGTGCCGTAGCTGGTCCAGGATACACGCCATGCACGTTTGCCGTCCGGTACGACGAGCTTTAGCAGATCACGCAACCAGATCGAGGCCCAGCTAACCCTTTGAAGAACGCGGGCGAACGGCGAACCCTACGATCGATGCAGGCTAAGCGTTGGCCGTGCAGGGCGTCCTCGGCACGACGGACGTCCAGCCAATTGCTTACTTAGGGTCTCGCAAAGGGTGCCAAGATCCGAGTTTCTCGCCTAACTTTATTTCTGCCTGCGGGCCATCCTCGCTACTGTCTCTGAGGGCCCAAGAAAAGGAAATTGAACCCACAGCCGAACCTAAGCTCAGCCTCTGGACCTTGTGTACCGCGACCGTGTGGGTGAGATGCAGAAACTTTGCTTTCCTATTCGATGCGAATGCGGCGACCGCAGCCGAAGGAAGATCTGCTGCGTACTCCTTACTTGGGGTTCCTGATCTGCAAGGGGCAACAGGTCCCCCGACGGTCGAAAGATCGGTAGCAGACGCCATGACCCCAACGTGGTGTTCCCATCCGATCGCTCAAACCCCATGAATCGGTCCAGACTTGCAAGATCGAAACACGGAGAACCGGAGAGACAGGAGTCAGCATGGCGGAGTTGAGCGGTTGTGATTATCGTACACCACAAGTGAAGGTGACGTAGCAGGGGGCGAGCGAATTAGAGGCGCGGAGTGCCAATGTGAGCAAGACGACAAGCAAAGGCTGTGTTTGTCGGGCTTGTCGGGCTGTCGTCAACAACATGTGAACGTCTGAGACTGCTTGCAGTGTCCTTTTGGTGTCGAACCAGTGAGCTCCGACGGAGCGGAAAAAGCATAAGGGGTTCTAAAAGAGCGGGTCAATCCACTTTACTGCCAAAGCGGTGGATCGACGGCAGCTTGAGGAGCGCGCCAGGATGCAGGCAGCTGGGTTTGAAAAACTTTCGACTCCGCTCCCCACTAAGGCGCGTGGAGAGCTGTCAGGATCCAATGAGCGGGGCTGAAAATCAGAGACAAAGCGCAAACGTTATTGTCCAACGCTCTGCTGGCTCTGCTGGCTCTGCAGGGGTCCGCAGGGTCTGCAACACAGCTCGACTGAGCCGTGTGAGTTTCGGATGAAAGTGCCGATACCAAACCTCAGGCTGCACTGCGGCTCTGAGTTTGCTTTGTATGGACGCTGAGCTGGACGAAAGACGCTTGAAAGCTGCTCTGAGCATTCTGCGAGCGTGATTTTGTGTGCTTACCAAGTAACTGCCTCGGATCAGCCTTACAACCCTGACCTGATCACATCGACGCCTTCGGACAGTTTGCCGAAGCATCACAGCTGCAAGGACAGCATAGAATAGGGCAGATTTCCGCCAGAGCTGAGAACTCATCAGGAGCAGGAGCAGCGTCGGTGAAGGACGAGGCGATGGAAGAAGCCACAGTGGCGCATAGCGCCAATCGTGGCGGGGGATCGACCGTGGATCCGCTTGACACAGACACTGGACCTGCGTGGAAATCTGATTGGCAGAGGATCTTCCGTTGTCGGTAAATCACGCGCTGCGGCTTTCGGCACTAGTTCACTTGGCATTACACTGTAAGTACCTTTCAATTTGTGCATCTTTTCGAGCTACGCGAGACATTTGCCGCCCGCGTTGCTCTTCTTCGCGCCGTTGCCGGTCTTTGGTTCATACGCTGTCAAAGGTAAAACGCGGGGAGGCTGAGACTGGATGCTCGCTGCCGAGATTTTGGGTTCAAGCATGTCGCTATACATCCCAAAAATCCACTAACCCCCTGCTTTGCATGGGCGTTCTCGTGGCGCAGCTGAGCCTCCATCGCGCCGTCGCCCCCTAAGACCATATGCAAAAGCTGATCCCGCCCGTCCAATTCTGCCAAATCTCTGCCCGCTTCGACGCGAGAGCTGCTACCACAGTGCATATCCGCTTCGCTTGCATCGTACCGTTCACCTCTTCTTCGCAAACAGCCTGGCCCTAGACCTTGGTCTCAGCTTTACCCCGTTACCACCCCCTTCTCCGCTTGTTGCGGGCTTTCAATACTGTGACCGCACCGTGATGCCTTCCTGCGGACCACCGCCTCCTTCGACTTCGGCTCCCGTTTCGTTCTCACGTTCACGCACTCCCTTGCTTGCCGCACCCAACATCACCATCGCGTCCTCCTCTCCTCCTTCAGGCACCACCTCGGCCGTGCGAAACTCGTCATCTTCCGGGTTTCGTACTTTCATTAGCTGTTCAACACAGTGTTTCTTGTTCGTTCCTGCGCCTCTTGATGCGAGACATCCTTCTCAGTAGAAGCTTCAACCAGCTACATCTTCCACTCCAGTTGTCTTTCGTCCCTGGCTACTGTACCCCGGCTCCACACTGTCGCGATCCTTTTCCCCGTCACGATAGCGGCTTTGGTTTGAAACATGCATCTCTTGCGTCCTTACCTTTGCTCCGCCCAGCTACTGATGCTCACTTCAGGGACTGCCGCAAAACAAGCGAGCGGCTTCGGCGCCTCCACAGCATCGATCGTTCTTTCGAAGCCATTCGTACAGCCGACGTCATTAGAGCCTCAGCGCCCAATGTCTCTACTTGCCTCGTCTAGCATGCTCGCTTACCAGCATGTTCGGCTCCCAAACTTTGGCGCCATCCCCCTAGCGAACTGCCGCACGTCGATCCTCCGTTCAGGACCTCGACTCAAACAAGCGGATTTGTAGCCCAGAGAGTCCACAAGCTGTCCTGCGACAGTCTCAACCAGAAACACTGGCGAGGATTCTCTGTCCAGCGTCCCAGCGGATGTCCAGAGGATCCTCCTCGAGAACCTGTCCTTGTATCGCATTTGTGGACCAGCGAATCAGGCTCTCGCCCATTCCTTCCGCCGTTTTTCCCTTGGTCGCCCAGACGTAAGTGTTCCAGCCTTTCTTCTTCATTGCAGGTCAAACCTCTGTGCCGAATGCTTTCTTTGGAACGATATAAGGAGCTTCATCGCAGCTACTCCCGCCCCCCCTTTCCCTCATCAAACTCTCCTCCTCATCCGTCCACACCTTCGAGAAGGTCCCTTCACGTCGGCCCGAAGCCCGTCGAATTCGCACTCCTTTCCTACAACTCCTTCTTCCTCCATCTTTCTTCGCTTGGCTCGACGTCAACGCATACAGTAATCGGATATGAAGATCAAGCTTTCTTCCTCGGCACTCGTGCTGGCTTCTCTCTCCCTCGTCTACGCTGGTGACGACACCTGCGCACCGCCCGCTGCCGCAAATGCTACCCAGCCTGCTCCCGTTCCTCAGTCCTTCCCCGTCCCCACATACTCCCAGGCCCCGCTAGCCGGCTGCTACTGCACTTGCACCTCGGGTTGGAACCCAGCCAACGGCCCTTGGGGTGGTGCTGGTGCCGGCTGGGGTTCCGGTTCCGGTTCAGGCTCCGGCTCCGGCTCGGGTCACGGCTCTGGATCTGGTAGCGCTTCCGGCTCTGGTACCGGCAAAGGCACCGGCTCTGGCTCTGGCTCTGGCTCTGGCTCTGGATCTGGATCTGGATCTGGATCTGGCTCTGGCTCTGGCTCTGGCTCTGGATCTGGCTCTGGCTCTGGAGGCTCTGGCTCTGGAGGCTCTGGATCAGGCAGCTCCAATGGAGGCGGATCTAACGGTGGTGGATCTAACGGTGGCGGATCTCACAACGGCGGCGGATCTAACGGCGGCGGATCCAACGGCGGTGGATCTAACGGTGGAGGCTCCAACGGCGGTGGATCTAACGGCGGTGGATCTAACGGCGGTGGATCTAACGGTGGCGGCTCCAATGGCGGCGGCTCGAACGGTGGCGGCTCGAACGGCGGAGGCTCGAACGGCGGTGGATCCAATGGAGGCGGTTCTACCGGCGGCGGCAATGGTGGCGGTAACGGCAATGGCAACTCTGGCATTGGCAACGGCATCGGAGACGGCAACGGCAACATTGGCGGCAACAACGGTAACAACAACGGTAACAACAACTCCGGTATCGGCAACGGTGGCCTCAATGGCAACGGCAACATTGGTTCCAACAATGGAAACAACAACGGAAACAACAACTCCGGCAGTGGCAACGGCGTCGGCAACGGCAACCTCAACCCTGGAAGCAACAACGGCAACGGCAATGGGAACAACAACTCGGGTAGCGGCAACGGCATTGGCAACGGAAACCTCAACCCTGGAAACAACAATGGCAACCAGAACGGAAACAACAACTCCGGATCGCTCAATGGCGGCCTGAACGGCAATGGCAACATTGGCAACAACAACGGCAACCAGAATGGAAACAACAACGCTGGTACCGGCAACGGTCTCCTCAACGGCAACTTGAACCCTGGCTCGAACAACGGCGACAAGAACGGCAACTCCAACTCTGGCTTGTTGAACGGTGTCGGCAATGGTAATGCCAACCTCGGATCCGGCAACGGCAACGAGAATGGTAACAAGAACCCTGGCTCAGGAAACGGAGTTGCTTCCGGTAACCTCAACGCTGGCAGCGACAACGGCAACAAGAACGGCAACGAGAACACTGGACTGTTGAACGGTGTCGCCGACGGCAATGCCAACCTCGGATCTGGCAACGGCAACGACAACGGCAACAAGAACCCCGGCTCAGCCAATGGCGTCGCTGACGGTAACCTCAACGCTGGCAAGGACAACGGTTCCAAGAACGGCAATGAAAACACCGGAGCTGCCAACGGTGTCGCCACCGGAAACGGCAACCTCGGCTCGGACAATGGATCCAACAACGGCAACAAGAACAGCGGCCTTCTCAACGGTGCTGCCGACGGAAACCTCAACCCCGGCTCTGGCAACGGCGACAACGTCGGCAACTCGAACACGGGTGCAGCCAACGGTGTCGCCACAGGTAATGGCAACCTGGGCAAGGACAACGGTGTCGACAGCGGCAACAACAACAGCGGCCTCGGCAACGGCGTCGCTGGCGGAAACCTCAACGCCGGATCCGGAAACGGTTCCAAGAACGGCAACTCCAACTCTGGTCTCCTCAACGGAGTTGGTGATGGAAACCTCAACCTTGCCAAGGATGCTGGTAGCAACAACGGCAACAACAACGCCGGCGCTGCCAACGGTATCCTCGACGGCAACGCCAACGTTGGCGGAGGCAAGATCGGCAGCAACAACGGCAACGGTAACACTGGCTCGGGCAATGGTTCCGGTTCCGGAAATGGAAACCTTTCCCTCGGTGACAACACTGTCGGATCCAACAACGGAAACGGTGGTACGGGAAGTGGACAGGGTACCGGCAACGGAAACCTGAACATCATCCTCGGTCAAGGCAACAAGGTCGGTTCCGGTGACCAGGGCAGTGGCAACGGCAACGGCAACATCATCATCGGCAACGATCAGAGCGTCGGTAGCGATAAGTCCGGAAACGGTCAGGGCAACGGTAACATCATCATCGGAACCGGTCTCGGTGTTGATCTCGGACTTCCTCAGACCGGCGACAACTTCCACATCAAGTTCAGGAGGTCTCGTCCCATCGGTGGTGGAAAGCTCTGGGGTGGTAACACCGTCAACGTGATCGCCTAGACGCTTGATCTCGACACAACCTGATGTAATAGGCAAAGACAGAGGAGAGAGAGGCTACGGGCCAAACCTTAGCATAGGAAACATTGGCATCCGACCTCTCTTACTTCTCGTCTTCATGCTCGAACACTCTCTTTTCTCTTCTTCGATTCTTTGTACACTACCTCTCATTTTTTCACAACATCACACTCGCTCAAACTTTCTTTGTCTCTTAGCGTCACGTAATCACACTCTCTTTTGTTCCTGCTCGGCTCAGAAAACGACGTGCTTTGGTGGTCAGAATGGAAGATTTGCGCTTGAACAATTGGACTTGGACTCAACAATCTTTTTTTTGTAAACGGGGAACGTGTATGCTACTGAGGAAAAAAGCTCGTCTGAAGCGAGCAAAGAAAACTCTATTCGTCTCGTGCATTTCTTCTAGATCAACGACTGGGCCTCGAGCAAGAGGATGATCGAGTGGGTGATCTCTGCGACGCTCTGGGTGCTGGCATCCACCACGAGGTCAGCATCGGTGGGTTCCTCGTAGACGTCGTCCACACCAGTGAAGCCCTTGATCTGACCTGCCCTAGCCTTGGCGTAGTTGCCCTTTCGGTCGGTAGCCTCGCAGAACTCCAACGGAGTAGCCACGTGGATGAGGAAGAAGTTTCCAGCACCGCCGGTCTTGGTGATGGTGTCGCGGGCGACGGCGCGCGACTTCTCGTACGGTGCGATGGGAGCAGCGATGACGGCGGCGCCGGCGCGGGTGAGTTCAGCGGCGACGAACGAGATTCGCTGGATGTTCTTCTGACGATCTTCGGGCGAGAATCCGAGTTCGGACGAGAGCTCGGAGCGCACAGTTTCGCCGAGGAGCAGCGAGACGGATCGTCCACCCTGTTCGTTCAGCTTGACCTGGAGCGCACGGGCGATCTGGTCCTTGCCAGAGTTGTGCAGACCGGTGAGGAAGAGCGTGAAGCCTTGCTTGGCTTTGGGCGGGTAGGACTCGCGGAGCGTCTTGACGACGGATTCGTACGAGAACCAGTCCGGGATGGCAGCGCCGGTGCGAAGGCGTCGTCGAAGCTCGGTGCCGGAGATATCCATGGTCTGGGTGCCGGCGGCAACCTCGTCAACAGGTTGGTATTCGTCGGTGGAGGGGATGTAGGTCATCTGTTGGAAGGGAACCATTTCGATGCCGAGCTCTTCGGTGTACTTGGTGACGAGGGTCTGGGCGTCGTAGGGACCGTAGAAGTCTTTGCCGGAGGAGTCCTTACCGGGACCGGCGTGGTCGCGACCGACGATGAAGTGGGTGACACCAAAGTTCTTGCGGATGATGGCGTGCCAGAGAGCTTCGCGGGGACCGCCCATTCGCATGGCGAGCGGCAGCAGGGCAAGCGTAGCCATGCCGTTGGGGTAACGGGGCATGAGCGACTGGTAGACACGTACGCGGGTGTAGTGGTCGACGTCACCGGGCTTGGTCATACCGACGACGGGGTGGATGAGCACGTTGGCCTGGCGCTGACGAGCAGCTCGGACGGTGAGCTCACGGTGAGCACGGTGCATGGGGTTACGCGTCTGGAACGCGACCACCTTTCGCCACGCGATCTTGGCAAAGTGCTGACGGAGCTCAGCGGGGGTGTATCGGAGGGCGACGTAGTCGTAGTAAGCGGGCTTGGAGATGGCCTGGACGTCACCGCCGACGTAGAAGTCCTTGACCGACTTGTGGAGGTAGGTGATGGCAGGGTGAGCGAGGTCGTCCGAGCCAAACACGGACTTGGCCTCGCGAACCTTGTCGACGGCGTAGACATCGGTGACGGTGATGATGGCGATAGGGTTGTCGTCGCGAGGATCGCGGAGGGCGATGCGGACACCCTGCTGGATCTTGAGCGCATCGACCTGCTGCTGGTCCACATCGAGCGTGATGGGCATGGGGAAAAGGTTGCCGTCGGTCAGACGCAAGTTGTCGAGACAACCGTTGTAGTCAGCCTGGTTCATGAAGCCCTGGAGCGGGGAGAAACCACCGTTGATGATGAGTTCGAGATCGCAAAGCTGACGCTCGGTGAGCACGATCTCGGGAAGCGTGTCGGCCTCCTGGCGAAGCTGAGCGGCGATGGGAGCATCGCGAACGAGCAAGTCCTTGAGGACGCCACCGTGAGGAGCGTTGGCCATTGTGAAGATATGCGTGGGAAAGGGAAAGGGACGGAAAAGCCGAAGCAGCGGGAGGAAGGGATGAGATGATGGTGGGAACGGAACGAGAAGACTCGGAAGTCGAGCAAGAAGAAATGTCAAAATTGGGCAACTGCATTCACGCAGCCGAGACGATGTTCCGAGAGGCGGTCAGCGTGTTGCTGCAAGCCCAGATCAACGGAGCATGCGGCAATTGTCGGTGACGCCTGGCTATCTGCTCAGATCACACACAGCACCTCTTGTGTTCCACAATGCCCCGCCTCATCCTTCAGACTCTCCTTCACATCGGCATCTGACCCGTCCGGCACGCTTTGAAGAAAGTGCAAATCACGAAACCTAGAGAACAGGACCGCAAGCTTGGCACCGGATGACGCCCAAAGGCTGAAAGTGGTGCATTTCTTCTTGGCGTTATGGCGACAGATGCCCAAAGCCGTGCAAAAGCGTCAATGAGCGGGCGGCAGAGATTTGCCTCGGCTGCCTTTGTGTTTCGGATCAAATCACACACGCTCCGCGATCAAGACAGACGCAGAGGAAGAAATCTAATCGAGAACAGATGTGGAGCCAAAGAGTCACAGTGGCACATGCTGGGACGACCGGGAAGATCGTTGAGAAGAAATCAAACAAACAAAAATCTGCGCCTGTGCACGGTTTCTGCTCGACTGTCTCGTCTTGCGCCGCCTAAACGCCGCTCCAAGCCATTTCAGCAAAATGGGGAAAACTTCGCATCCGTTCCGCTCTTGAGCATCGTCTGAAATGTCTCTTTGACTCGGTCGCGTGGCAGCAATGAACGAACCTGTATGGCATTCGACGACCATGGCAGCACCTTTGCGGAGGTGTTGCTCGCCTTGACTGTAGCCATAGCGACTGGTGCGTTGCTGAACAGTACACCGTTGCATGCGGGAGCGATGTGGGCCCACAGCGTCGCTACCACAGGACCCTGTCGAGGCGTCCATCCAGCCTTCACTAGCTCAGGGCTTTGCTGCTGTGGTAAATCCATGACTCAACCGTGCAGCCCGGGACGCCTGTCAAATTTCGCGAAGACGCACCTGGACAAGCAAATGGCGTGCTCATGGCTCGAGAATATATTGCCGCGGCAGGATCTCGGTTTTTCGTGCGAGGAATAGGAAATTCTCAACCACTGTCACGAATTCTCGATGTAACATGATGTGACAAATCAGAATTGATTGCATCTTGGCATCGGTCTGTTACTACCGATCCGATCTCAAATGGCCGTATCCTCATAGGACTTGTCGTGATCATGCTTGCAGAGACGAATCCTTACAAAGGATGCTACTCATGATCAGCTGCAAGCATCTTCGACGAGACTATACGAAGCACATTGCTGTTGAGGTTAGTCAGAGCATTGCTTTTGAGGTTAGTCAGAGATGCGGTTACCAATGAATCTGAATTGCTGAATGTTGTGTATGATGGTCGAGCAGGCTTTCAGTGGTCGCGGCCGGTCTGTTTACGGGCGTCCTCCTTGAGCTTCTCGATGTTGGAAGGATGTGTGATGGTGTCGATTGCCAGGTAGACTGCAAACGCGCCGAGGCCCAGTCCGAAGCCAGGGAAGATGTTGCGTGCGAAGAAGCGGTGCGAGAAGACGGGGTGCTTGCGCCATGCCTCGCGCTTGGCCCATGGATCACGGTAGAGTTGTGGCATAGTTGCAGATATATGAGATGGCGGGTGGTAAGGAGGAGCGGTCTGGCGATTTGAAAAGGTTCGAGACGGTGCGATGGTGCAGCGAGTTGGGGTCGTAAAGGAGAAGAGTGGGAGCGGATCCGAACAGGACGGTTGGTCAGCTCTGCTTTCTCTCGAGACTGTGCTTTCAGGTCGTGTAAGACGGCGCGATCAAAGCCGAGATTGTCGCTTCCTCGTGTGTCGTTCGATTCTCGTCGCAGTACATGTGCAACTTTCCGATGTCGCGGTCTGCGCTGCTTCGTTCTTGCTTGGCCTACGTTCAAGCCGCTTGATGTCGAATCTAAATAGGCCTGGAGAGGAGCTCTTACCTTTTGTATTATTCCTCGAGAGCGTCGCGATTATCCTCGCAGAGACGAGACGGGATGAAGAGGATCGGCACCGGTTATATCGAAAGATGCTTGACGGAGAGTACAAGAAGTGTGGAGCAATGTAGCTCGAATCGTGAACTTGACGGACGCTCGAGGCTGAGCGCGGACCCGAAATTTGTTAATTTTTCGTGCGGGATAATCCTCACCAAACGCGTTTCGAAGAGCTCTGTCGGCGAGACGCTTTCGGCGTGCACCTCTTTTGACCCAATTCGTCGTCTCTTTAAGGATTGCTGGTCTCTGAGGCGAAATGGACCAAGCTTGTCCAGCGACGTACGTCTGCACACAGCATTCAATGAAGAAATCAAGCCCTCACGACACAGTCGCAGTCAGCCATCTTATCATCACTTACCCTCAAAGTCAATCAAAGTGAGCTCGAGTGAAAGGCTGTTGCTCCCTGGTGGAGGTATGAAACCGAAGCCAGTCGTCAACTGGAATGAGATGGGGTCGTTCGACGACCACCACAAGTGAAATCGGCCGCCGAGACAGACCAACCAACGCGTTGAGTGCGAGTCGAACGGTATCAATGTTGGTGGTTGACCGCGCCCCAGTCTCATTCATTTAGAGCATGCGGACTACGTGTGAAGCAACCGAGACTGCTGAGCGACATCCGCTCGACTTTCTCATCCACGCGTCACACGGACGCACACTGAGAAAAAAAAGGACACGTCCGCTAGCAGACGGGAAGAAAGTCGAAAAAGAAGGTTGTGCACCGCAGACTCTCTGGCTGCACGATCCACTTGAACACGATCTGACCGAGGGAAAAAGGTTGTTTCTGCAAGCAACACTTCCAAAAGCGACCTCTTGACTTCACTTTTTCTTTTCATCTCGACGTGCTGTCACAGCTGCTTAGCATCGGCTTCGATCCGCTCAAACGACTCAGCATTCATTCTCCTGACTCTCGCATCCCTCTGCTCTTCTTCCTTCTCTACTATCCTGTCGGCATCGGTCGCGCCGCCTTCACCTCCGGCTCAGTCTCACGATCTTTCTCTTCTCCAGATAGTCCGCAACACGCAATCCGCCAGAGACTCTAGACAAGCTTCGATCGCTTCCCTTGCGTCTACACAGTTTCATATTGATCCACACCTCCTGTTTCTGCGGCATTGCTGGTCAGCCCGCTAGCTCTTCGAGCCTACTCCGTCATTCCATTCTACAGCTGCGGCTCGCTTCCGGCAACGCGAGTTCATTCTCAACGCTGAACCGCTCCGACTTCAGGTCCTGTACAAGCTGTTCTTCGCGCACTTCTCCTTTCGTCACTCTTGTCACTCCGCGTCCAGTCCCTGAGCTGCGGTACGAGGACTTTTCAGTTGCCACGATCGCCAACCACTCCACCGATCGAGTCGCATCCCGCTCCCCTGCATTCCATTTGCGGATCTCGTCCCGAACGGCTCCGCATCAACTCGCTCCAATTTCGCCGTCCTAAATCATCGACACGATGTCGGGCATTCAAGTCAAGAATGAGCCTATGCCCGCCTCTTTGGCGTCTGGCTCCACAAACGGTCACGCCAAACGCCCCGCCAAGCCCAGCATTTTCAGCGACAGCGACGCAAGCTCCGACGACGATGACAAGCCTCTCGCAAAGAGGCCCAAAGTAGAAGACAGCGATCTCTCGAGCGACAGTGATGCCCCTCTTACCGCAGTCACATCCCAGAATGGCGTCAAGAAGCGTAGCGGCAGCAGCCAGGACGACGACGAAGATTCCTCGGACTCCGATTCGGATGCACCACTCACCGCCGTCGTGAAGAAGAACAACGACAGTGACGACAATGATGACGACGACGAGGAAGAGGACGACGATGAGGATGGCGATGGCAACGGCGACGACGACGATGACGATGATGATGATGACGATAAACCGTTGAGTCGGACATCCAAGGCGAATCGAAAGCCTCCTAAGACAATGTCCATCACCGGCTCGGGCGAAAAGAAGTGGGACGTGCTCGTCCACAAGGGTCCTCGGTTCCCTGATCCATATCAGCCGTTGCCCAGGGACGTCAAACTCAAGTACGACGGAAGGCCTGTCGATCTGCCGTGGCAGACTGAAGAGGTCGCCATGTTTTATGCCGTCAAGCTCGAAACTCAGCATGCACAGAACGCCATCTTCAACCGCAACTTCTTCGACGACTTCAAGGCGGATCTCAAAAAGTATCCGCCTAGAGACGGCACGCAGATCAAGTCGTTCGACAAGCTCGACTTTCGCGATATGTACAACTACTGGCGCAGTCTCAGGGACGCCGAGCTCGAACGAAAGAAGGCTTTGGCTCCCTCGGCACGCAAGCGCGAGATCGAAGAGCGCAAGGTCGAGGAATCCAAGTGGAAGATCTGCCTCGTCGATGGCGTCGAGCAGCGCGTCGGCAACTTCAACGTAGAGCCGCCTGGTCTCTTCCTAGGACGCGGCGCCCATCCCAAAGCGGGCAAGGTCAAGCGACGCATCCATCCCGGCGACATCACCATCAACCACAGCGCAAAACACCCAGCTCCTCACCCTCCCGCAGGCATGGGCGACTGGGCCGAAGTGGTTGAGAAGAAGGACGTCACCTGGCTCGCCTACTGGAAGGAGAACATCAACGGACAATTCAAGTACGTCTTCCTCGACGCCACCTCCAACTTCAAGACCAACTCGGATCGCGAAAAGTTCGAAAAGGCGCGAAAGCTCGACACGGTGGTCAAACAGATCCGACGTGACGTCAACAAGAACCTCAAGTCCAAGGTGCGCCACGAGCGACAGATCGCCACCATCGTCTGGCTCATCGACAACTTTTCGCTCCGTGCCGGTAACGAGAAGGGCGAAGACGAGGCCGAGACGTACGGTGTCTGTTCACTGCGCTGCGAGCACGCCCAGATCAAGATGCCAGACACCATCCACCTCGAATTTCTCGGAAAGGACTCGATGAAGTTCGAGGAAGATCTCAAGATCACCAACCCGGACGTCTTCAAGAACATCGCCATGTTCCTCAAGACCAACGGCATGAAGGACGCGTCGGGTAACTTTGTACGCAAGAAGCCCTCGGATCCCATCTTCTGCGCGCCCGAGAGCGGCTCCGGAGGCGGCAAGATGCAGCCGCTCCAGCCCGGCTCGGTCAACCAGTTCTTGTCAAAGTACATGAAGGGCTTGAGTGCCAAGGTCTTCCGTACCTACAATGCCTCGGTCACGTTCCAAGGTTTGCTCGAGCAGACCGAAGAGTGGCTCAAGTCGCGATCCAACAAAGCCGAGCGCGAGATCAACCAGACCAATCTGCGCCTGGCCTACAACGAAGCCAATCGACAGGTGGCCATCCTGTGCAACCATCAAAAGACGGTCAATCCCATGTTGCTCAACCGCAACCTCGAGCGCACTCAGGACAAGATCTTCCAGATCCGATACGAGATCATGAAGGAGCAGCAAAAGATCCTCACGTTCCACAAGATCGGCGAGCTCAAGAAGGAATACAAGCCGAAAGAGTTCCCGTTCATGAAGCAATTCGACAAGATCATGCAAAAGCAAGAGCTAGATGCGGAAAAGGTCAAGCAGTACGAGGAGCAGATGATCACGGACAAGAAGTCCAAGCTCGAGTCGACATTCAAGCGTCAGCAGTCCGAGCTGCAGTATCAGTTGGAGCAGAAGGGTCTCACCGGCGACGATGGATCGCCGAAAAAGGGCAAGAAGGCCAAGAACGTCGAGGAGGAGGTGCGATCGTCGATCAAGGGGTACAAGGACAAGAAGCAGGTGGACGAGGAGCTCAAGTCGCTCAACGAGACGGCCAAGCGACTGGAGAAGGAACGCAAGAGCAACAAGTCGCATGCGACCAGCTGCAACTTTGCCAGCTCGGCCAAGAAGATCCTTAGCAAGTATGAGATGATCAAGAAGCAGGAGGCGGAGCTGGTCAACAAGAACAACACGTCGGATGTGGCGCTGGGCACGTCCAAGCTCAACTACATCGACCCGCGTATCACGCTCGCCTGGCTGAAGGAGTGGGACGACCGTCTCATCGATCTCGGACAGGGCAAGGGCGCACCGAAGAAGAAGGTCAAGAAGGAGGAGGAGGAGGAGGACGTCAAGTCCAAGAAGGGCAAGGGCGCAGCTGGCAAGAAAGGAGCGGCAAAGACGGGTCTCGCCAACTCGACGGGCGACAGCGAAAAGATGGAGTTGGGATTGCAGGTGATGAACATCGGCCAGTTCTTCGCCAATTCGCTGCAGAAGAAGTTCAAGTGGGCGGCTTCGGGCGACGACGGGCGCGACATCTCGGCCAAGTGGGTGTTTGTCAAGGACGCCCAATCCAAGATGCGCAAGCTCGACTCTGCCGAACGCAAGGGCCAGAACGGCGGCTCGTTTGCGGCCATGACGGACGCGGCGGATTCAAAGGAAGCTGCGCCCACAGCCAATGGAACTCTGAAGAAGCAGACGGCTGCGGATCGGAAGATGAGCAAGCCTCTGAAGGCGGTGGACAAGGCGGAAGAGAGCGACGACGATCTGAGCAGCGATAGCGACAGCAGCGACGACGACGACAAGCCGCTCGCCGCTGTTAGGTGATCCGTCGCCGACACCTCTGGCATCCCAACACACAATGTATTCTTAGATCTCTAGCATTTTAACAACCTCTAATAAGTTATTCCATCCCCAATACATGGCAGCGAGTGTCGTCGTGCTCACCGAGTGTAGCGGTAACGCGAGTGTGTGAGAAAGTAGGTGAAGCAAGCCACGCGTTTTGAAAGAGAGAGGGAAAAGTGACAGATGCAGTCACGAGTAAGTGAAAGAGCAACACACCTCTGCGGAGAGCCTCATGCTCATGCACAACAACACAGCTCGTGTGCTTCTGGAAAATGCAAAATGTGGAGAGAGCTGACCGGGAAGGAGGCCCGAGCGGTTGCGCTGGCGGCTAAATTTGGCTGTGCTGAGCCCCTGAACTGCCATGTTGACCGTGACATCGAGCGGATGGTCCCTTCCTTTCTTCACGACTGAGCCTCCATCGGAGCACACCGACACCGCAAAGATGGGTATGTATCGACTGTTGTAGTTGAGTGGATTCGGCACACACAAAAACTCACACACACACACGCTTTGCCTTAACTTGGATAGCCACGATCAACAACCTCGACATTGCTGCTGCCAATGCCGCTGGCGGAGGAGCGGCCGACCATCCCAAGAGCCCGATTTCGGACGAATACCGCGCACGCCTGGAACGAAGCCTGGGCCATCGTCCCGATCGTCACGAGCTGGAGGAGAAGAACATTCTTAAGCCTGGCAACCTGGCACCGTCGCTGCAAGCCGCTCGCGACGAACTGGAAAAGTCGCAACGCGCCGACAAGCTCGAAGGTCGACTCGAGCGTCGTCCCGAACGTGAGGATCTGGTATCGCGCGGCATCCTCAAGGACCAATCGGTTGCACCTTCGCTCCAGGCAAAGCGAGATGAGCTGCAGAAGAGCCAGTTGACCGACAAGCTGGAAGGAAGGCTCGAGAGGAGACCCGAGAAGGAGGATCTGGTGAATCGAGGTATCCTCAAAGATCAGTCGGTAGCTCCGGCTCTTCAGGGTAAGAAGGAGGAGCTGGAGAGAGCTCGTCTGGGCAACCAGCTGCAGAAGGATCTCGAATCGAGGCCTAATGCAGATTCACTCCGACAGAAGGGCATCCTTCCGCACCAGGAGGAGCAGTAGCTGCCGCAGCTTTCTTCCACTGTCTCGCAGTAGTTCCATTGGGGCACACACACACTCTCTCTCTCCCTCCGTTGGTTTCGTCCAGATTCGTACTTCTTCTCCATCTCTGTGTGTGGCCTGAGTCTTGTCATGTAGCATCGTGGATGAAGGTTATTTTTGGTCATGGATGTTAGTGTTCTCAGCTAACATTCTCAGACGAGTTATTCGGATCGTCCGTCCGGAAAAGACCGTGAAAGTGAAGCGAAGATGGCGCCTGTCGCGCGATATTTCTTCGTCAAGTCAATTTGAGCTCAGCTTGCTAGAAATGTTCGGCTCAGGCCGACAGCCTCGGTTCTGAACCCACAAAATGCTGAGGCGCTCCGGCTTTGTGGCAATCTTGCTCCGACTCGCCTTGCCGAATATCCGCTTGTGGCTTCTGCCTTTGACTCGATCCACACCACTTATCTGTACCACCACCACCACCATCCATTCGCACACCTCGACACCTAAGTGAAGTGCACTTCCGACATTGCTTGACGTCGGCGCGCGTGTCGTGGCCAACCATGTCCATGTCCGACCTTATCTCGGGCGGTGCTGGCTGCGGCCCGTCCAATCCGTTGCAAAACATCGGCAAACGTTTTGGTCAGGATCGCGGTGCGCAGCAAGACACTTTTGCCTCGAACCCATACGCTCAGCAACAAGGCCCCTCGTTTCGTTCACATGGTCCGGTGGCCTCCTCGTCGCAGGAGCAGCCTGCCTTCTTCAACTCTCCGTCCCAGCAAGCACCTCTGGCTCAGCAGAGCAACCTCCACGATGCTTTTGACGTCTCGCAGCTGCGTGGCAACCTCCCGAGCGGATCGCGCATGCCCGTGCAGAGTCAGCACCACCGACCGGGACCTGCGCCTAGCATGGCTGATCTCGAAGCCAGCTTTCGTCCCGCTTTCTCCAGGAACACCACCGCACAGGCTCCCCGTGCCTCTGCTCAGTCTGGTTGGGCCACCGACTTTCTCAGCGCTGAGTCCTCGCAATCTAGCGTCCGGTCGCAGCCCACCCAACAGATGCACATGGAACCACACTCAACCCACGCAGTCCACCCCAATGTCATTCCCATGGGCATGCGTATGGGTATGATGTCCATGCCTCACACCGCGCCCAGCATGCATTTCTCGCCAAGCCACATGCAGGATCACGCACCGCAACAGCAACAGCAGCACCAGATCAACTCGACAGCAGCACCACAGCTCGACAATGCAAAGTGGGCAGAGGCTTTCACCGCTTTCGAGGCCTCATCAAAGCCCGATCAACCGGCACCAGTAGCCATGACCGACGCAAGACCCACCGAGAAGGTCGACTACGCTGATCCGCAAGAGCGAGATGAACTTGCACGGACCGCGGGTAGGCTCGTTTCGTCTGTCGAGCACGATCAGAGCTCAAAGTTCCGCCAGAGCAACTTCCTCGATCTCATGCGCAAGATACGTGACAAGCAGGCGGGCATCCAGGGCGACAATATCGTCGAGAATGCCGACGCCGCCGCCTCTACGCTCGATAAGGGCAAATCTCGAGCGCACGATTTCAGCACATCCTCGAGCGTCCAGCAGTCGCAGCCGCAATCGCAGCAGGAAGCGTACTCGTGGGCGAATCAGATGGCAGCCAACGGTGGACTGTCGCATTTGTCGCCCAGCGTGCAGGAGGCTCTGGCCAAGAACAACGTCCAGCAATCCGACCTGCCCCAGCATCTCCGCAACGAGCAGCACATTCAAAACCAACAGGCGCTCAACGATATGTGGGCGGAGGAAGATGCACGCAGCCAGTCCATCGAACGCCAGGCTATGAGCGAGAGTGCTCAGGCCTTTGTCGGTGACGGCGGCGATGTCACCGCCAGGATGCGTGAGGATGATGCTGACGCCCAAGAGTTCGAGCGATACCAACGCCTAGGTGCCAACATTCCGCACGCCAGCACCTTCAACAGACGGTGGGAGGAGGACATGAATCGACCGCTCGACCAGATGGACGACGACGAGGTCGATTTCGTCGGCCGTAGATGGGAGGGCACAAAGGGCAGAGGGTATCCAGGTGCGCAGACGGCCGAATGGGACAAGTTGCAGAGCGATTGGGATAATTTCGAGGTCACCTCTGCCGGTATACGACCTGTCACGCTGCCACAACGCTCCGAAGCCACCGCGACATCCATGCAACCCGCACCGGCTTACCGCTTCCTGAGCGACAACCCGTACATCGCCTCGACGCGCCATCACGCTGCCCACGCTGGCGGCTTGCCGGCGGGTCTCGAGTCGGTGCTCGAGAAGGAAGCGGCGGTGCAGCAGAACCCGCAGGACGCTTCGGCATGGTTCGACCTCGGTGTCAAGCAGCAGGAGAATGAGCGAGAGGTGCAAGCCATCGCAGCGCTGCGTAAGGCGCTCGACCTCGATGCAAATCTCAGGGACGCGTGGCTGGCGCTCGCTGTCAGCTACACCAACGAAAACGACCGTACCGCGGCCTACGAGGCCATTGAGAAGTGGATTGACAGCAACGACAAGTACGCCCAGGTGGTCCAACGCACCAAGGCCGAGCTTGCCGCCGCCAACGCGGCCGACCAGCGTGCTCGCAGCGATAGCGTTTCGTCGCACAGCACATCGGCGTCGGTGGTGGAGAAGCACTCGCGCCTCACGAACCTGCTCATCGCCATGGTGCGCAGCGGAGGCGAGAGCGGCGAGATCGATGCCGATGTTCAGGTGGCCCTCGGTGTCATCTTCAACTCGAGCGAAGATTACGATAAGGCAGTGGATTGTTTCTCCACCGCGCTATCCGTTCGACCTCAAGACTGGTTGCTGTACAACCGACTGGGAGCTACGCTGTCCAACTCCGGACGTAGTGCCGAAGCGATCCAGTACTACCACCACGCGTTGAACCTTCAGCCCGAATTCGTGAGGTGTCATTTCAATTTGAGCATCTCGTGTCTCAACCTCAAGATGTACCAGGACGCAGCGGAGCACATTTATACGGCGTTGACGTTGCAGCAGGCGGAAGCGGAGACACTGGGCGTAGCGGCGGAGAAGGGCACGGCGACAAGTGGGAGCTTGTGGGAGACGTTCAGGGTGGCACTGGAGTTGCTGAATAGGAGCGATCTGGCGAGCAAGTGCGCCAGGAGGGATATTAATGCTTTTGATCTGAGCGATTTTGTCGCTCCCGTGGCTGGAGGTGGGTTGGTGGGTGGCGTGGGTGAGGTTCCGTTTGATTACTGATGCGCCGGAGTGCAATGTAGAATCGACGTTGCAAACAACATTGCTTGTCAATGACCATACTTCTGAGGTATAGCGCAACCCTGTAGTGCAATTTGCCATGTTGTTTGCATTCAAGTTTATATCGCACAATGGGACGTAATTTGGTGAAGGTGGTACCGGACGGATGAGCTTGTCAAGCGAATCTCGACATGTGCTCGTGCATGGCGATCCATCTGGAGCTGTTCTGACTTCGGCGTTGATCGGACCAATGTCGAAACCGGTCAAAGGCGGCGAAATATCCGGAAGAGTGAGCTCGGGACCAGAAAGGTATTTTTCGTGAATGTTTGCGGCGGAGCTCCAAATTCCATCGAGTATGCCATCATCGCGTGTGTGTTGTTAAGAGCAAGCTCCGTGTTTTCCCCCGCGCTGGCAGGGATGGGCAAAGGTCGAATTGCTGCAAGCGAGGGTTTTCGACGAATTTTATTGGACGAGGATCGAAGCGAGGGGGAAGCGATGCATGCGCATGTGCAGTGTTCGAATCGCCGTCTCGTTTCTTGAGCCGAGAGCCGCTCTGACCGCCGCTACAGTGACCGTGGCGGCGGGGGGAGTGAACCCCACGATGGCAGATCTCTGCCTGCATTTGCATTTTTCTTTCTTTTTCTCCGCACAAATCGACTCCGCAAAAAAATATTCCGCACAAGTCACAGATTGCACAGCGAGAGAGTGTTTTCCAATACAAACAACCGGTGACTTCATCGTCCGGTTTGTGATACCTGTCGACTTCGCTAGCCCTAGTTGTAATCTCGCTTGTGAATAAGTCTGCGCGTGACGCACCCTTGGAGATGCAACTGTCGTTCGCTCGAACTTCTTTGCAGACTTGCGCTAGCGTGTGTGCGTGTGAGCCACGAGTGAGGAGGCCACGAGGAGGTTCCCCACTCGATTCCTTCATAAGCTCAACCCCACACTCGTTCCGTCCCACCTTCATTTCACCACCATCACCAGCTTGAACCTTCAACTCCAACAAAATGCCGGGTCTGGCATCTCGCACTAACACGATGGGCCTTCGCGGGCGAAGCCTGCGATGGGCCATCACCACCACCTCTGTTATAGGCTTCAGTTTGTTCGGATTTGACCAAGGTTTGATGAGCGGAATCATCACTGGCACCAAGTTCAACGAAGAGTTCCCACCGACCGCTGGCAGTTCGCACCGTGCTACGGTCATTCAAGGTGCGGTCGTCAGCTGCTACGAGCTCGGCTGCTTCTTTGGTGCCATTTTCACTCTCCTCCGTGGCGAAAAAATTGGACGACGACCTCTGATGCTCGTTGGAGCCGTGCTGATGATCATTGGGACAATCATCTCCATCACGCCTTTCAAGGGCCACTGGGCACTCGGACAGTTCGTCGTCGGTCGAGTAATCTCGGGACTCGGAAATGGGATGAACACCGCCACCATCCCCGTCTGGCAATCCGAGATGTCCAAGCCTAAGAACCGTGGTCTCCTCGTCAACCTAGAGGGAACTTTCATTGCAGTAGGCACGCTCGTAGCCTACTGGCTTGATTTCGGCATGTCGTACGTCAACAGCAGCGTCCAATGGCGTTTTCCCATCGCCTTTCAGATCGTCTTTGCTCTCATGGTCTTTATTGGCGCGTTCAACTTGCCCGAGTCTCCACGATGGCTTATTGCTCAGGGCCGTTCGGACGAAGCCAAGCAGGTTCTGTTCGCACTCGAAGGCGACGCAGCTAGCAAGGAAGAGGTCGAGACCGAGGCGAGGATCATTCGAGATACCATCCAGAAGACCGGTGGTCAGGGCGGTCTCTCCGAGCTCTTCACCAACGGCAAAACGCAGCACTTCAACAGGATGGTCATTGGCGCTTCTACGCAGTTCTTCCAACAGTGAGTACAGGTCTTTCAGCACACGAAATCCACGAGTTCGGTCACTGACAGAAACAACATATGTATTGCATCCTGTCACCATCCACTTTGCCTTGACTTCTGCTGCCACGCCATTATTCTCGTTCTTTACGCGAAAAAGATTTACGGGATGTAACGCCGCGATCTATTACTCAACTGTGCTCTTCGAAACATCGCTGGGACAGTCAAGGAGGATGTCTTTGGTGTTGGGAGGTGTTTTCGCCACGGTTTACGCCCTTTCAACGATCCCTTCGTTCTTCACAGTCGAGAAGCTTGGCCGACGACCGCTGTTCCTCATCGGTGCCTCTGGACAAGGAATCTCGTTCATCATCACCATGGCATGCCTTGCTGCACCCGATACCCCGAACAACGCCAAGGGAGCTGCCGTAGGTCTGTACCTCTACATCTTCTTCTTTGCCTGGTCAGTGTTGCAGCTGCCGTGGGTCTATCCGCCCGAAATCTCGCCTCTGCGAACTCGTACAGCTGCGGTGTCGGTATCTACGTGCACCAACTGGATCTGCAACTTTGCGGTCGTCATGTTCACGCCGCTCTTCATCAGTTCAACGCGATGGGGAGCGTACCTCTTCTTCGCGCTGATGAACTTCATCTGGATCCCGATCATCTTCCTCTTCTATCCCGAGACCGCTGGCCGACGACTGGAAGAGATCGATCTCATCTTTGCCAAGGCGCACCTGGAGCACAAGCCGGCCTACCGAGTCGCCAAGGAGATGCCCAAACTCAGCGCCGCCGAGATCGAAGCCGAGGCCGAAAAGATTGGTCTGTTCGAGGCAATCATCGACACGGAAGCTGGATCTGCTTCTCCTGGTGAAGAGACATCGAGCAGCAGGAGCGGACATGCTTCGGACGCTGCGAGCGTTGCCAACAAGCCTCAGTGATTGGCAGCAAAAACCTGATCGTTGGAGAAGGACTCATCTGGATTGCCGCGATACATCATCAGACAGTGGCTCTGCTGCCGTTGGCGTTGTTGGACGTAAATCCTAAACTGTATTTCAAGGAAAATTCATTTTCTCTCCAACTCAATTATGCGGGATGTCGTGTGGCTTGATTACTGTCGGCGTAACTTGCCGGCGGCTATCTTCTCTCGGGTGTGCGTCATTGAAGGCCGTGCACATTGTTTTCCACTTCATTTCCATTGCCGCAACCCTTTTCTTCTCCCTGTCCCACCACCCCCGATCTCGACTGCATCACCACCAAGCTTTGCAGTCATGTGCTTCGAGAGCTGTGTGACCACCGACTCGGTCACGGGGTCCAAGCACATTCCTGCATCCGCTCGCGTCGATCCGAGCTCGCTCCCCTTTCACACCCTCGCAGACGCAGCTTCGGATGCCAAGGTGACGGTGACGCTCTTCCATCTCGGCACCATCAAGAGCTACCGTCAGGCATGGGCAGATGACACCTGGGACACGAATGTCAAGCGACGACTCGAGAAGGCAAAGCAACCGGTGGAACTTCCGATCCTGAGCGCACTCATCGAGCACGAGCCTACGGGCGAAAAGTGGCTCTGGGATCTGGGAATGTGCAACGTAAGTCGATTCATAACCTCTGCTGCAGGGATCTCAGTATACTGATCGGTACATCTTGGTTGAATGCTGCAGGACTTCTCTGTGCTGCCAAAAGTCTTTTCGAGCGGCACTGTCAAGTTCCTCGCTCCGGAACTGCACGACCATGGTCAACTGAAGAACGTCCTCTTGAAGAAGTTCAACGTCGACTCGATCCAGGCCATAGGTCTCTCCGGTATCATCATCAGCCACGCCCACATGGATCACTACGGCAACCTGTTGGACTTCCCCACTTCGCTTCCGGTGTTCGTCGGTCCCGGTACGATGGACTGGGTCGGAGGAGGTGAAGATGCTGCACTGAAAGGTGACAAGGGTCTCATGAGTTTCCCAACCAGCTTCCTCAAGGATCGCACTTTCGTCGAGATGGATCAAATCGCAACCAGTAGCGTCGGTGACAAGTTCAAGAGTCGAATCAAGGACGCAAAAGTAGGACCATTCGACAAAGCTTGGGATTTCTTTGGTGATGGGAGCGTGTACGTCGCTTCTGCTGAAGGTGTAAGTTGCTTTCTCCGAGGCGAAACCAAGTTATGCCGTTGAGCGCTGACCCTGAACTGATCATCTTTGTTCGACATAGCATTGTCACGGTCACATGGTCCTCATCGCCAAAACCACATCCGAGCCCAAACCGTCCTACGTGCTGCTCTCCGGCGACGCAGCTCACCAACAAGCGCTCTACCACCCACTCCCCCCGCCTCTCCAACTCGACGCCGAGTCCCTCAGCTCCTCAGCCGTCAAGTACGACGGCTCGTATTCCAGCGACACGGACAAACGCGCTACACCGGGCTACTTCGATCGAACCAGCGCACATGCCGTCACCGATCGCGCCATCCCGAACGACAACGTGTCTTGCATGCAAGACTTCCCGGATAAGTCGATGAGAACCCTCAGCGCGCTGACTCGCCTGGAAGCGTGCTCGGATGTCATGGTCGTGCTGTAAGTCTCTCTCTTCCTTTCCTTCATTCACCGTGCATCTGACAAGAAGATACTGACTTTCTCTCTACTGTTGCAACTCATACAGCGCGCACGAGATCGAATTCGTCAAAGCTACAGGAATGCAAGAGGGCGACGAGCTGATCGTCAACGACTGGCAGAAGAAAGGTATAAAGGATGCAAAGGTGGAGATCGGCAAGCAGAGGAGGGATGAGCTGGCGTCGTTGTGAGGAGTCGAAATGATGTTGTTCCCCTCTGGACGGCGCACTTAAATTGAAAGAAAGTCTTGGCTCTGCAACCGGTTCCCACCCGATGAGTGACTGCGTCTGAGCTCTCCGAGTCTGTGAGTGGGATAAAGATGCCGTTCGAGCCGCGGCTCAATTTGGAAGATGAAGGCCAAGCCTGCCGTGCGGCGTGTGGCACAGACTCTTTGTTCAATGAGACCCTGGATCTGCGAGGTTGTGTCTTTGGTGAACTCTCGGAAGTGAGTCAGGTGTGACAGGTCAGGCTGGTGAGATGAAGTTGTGTGGGACTGACGACTTGCTTTCAGCCTGCCTTCAAGGCTGGGTTAAAGTGACGCCACCAAAACAGTGTTGCGCGTATATATGGAGCTGCGATTTGCAAGTCTGCTGTGACCAGCTCACTCGCTCCCAGAATCTTCCCAAAGATGACCCTTCCAAGCAAAGCGGCCTTTCTTGCTGTGCTCATATGCATGAGCTGTCTTTGGACATCTCGTGCAGAGCGTATCGAGCAAGCGTCCATCAACACTGCCGACGTCAAGGCAGGCTACGAGCACCTAGCTGCACGATACGCATCGTGGGTGGAGCGTAAGAAAGAAGGACGTGGCAAGGCTGACGGCGTGTATGGACAACTAAAGCTGGCCGTTCCAGCCGCTCCAGCCGCTCGACCTCGACCTGTCCGTCACCGCGGTACGGTTTTACCCATGCACGCTGTCGGTGGGTATCCCAAGATGCTCGGTCAGACGTACAATGTGGTCGTCGGAATGGGAACGCCCGCCCAGCTCTTCAACTTGACTGCCGACACCGGCTCGATGCTCGCCTGGGCGGTCGACTCGTCGTGTTCCGAGAAAGATTGCCCTGGAGTGGCGACGAAGAAGTCCTACAACCCTGCCAAATCGACGACCAGCAAGAAGTTGCGAAGCGACCACGAAGCATATGGCGATGGAGAGATGGATCTCATGCTGTACACAGACGTGGTCAGCCTGGGCGAATTGACCATCAGAACGGCTACGATCGGAGGCGCCAACAAGACTTTTGAAAAGGATGGGCAGCTCGAGCATGATGGACTGCTGGGTCTAGGTCGCCAGGTGGATGCAGCACCAGAGCCGATTCTAGAAAGCTTGGGAAAGGCAGACCGCAGATTCGATCAGACGATCGCGCTCGACCTGGGCGAGAATGCCACGCTGGAGGTCGGCGGATTCGACTACATCAAGTATCCCAAGCTGCAGCAGATCAACGTCCAAGCGGACGACGGTTGGCTTCTGTCCGGCAGTAGCGTCACCGCTCCTAGCGCCCCCGCCACAGACCCCATAGACCTGCTTGTCGACACGGGCTCTTCCGTCTCGATGCTACCTGCAGCCCAAGTCGACACCATCATGAGTCGACCCGGTCTGCAGTTCAACAAAACCGCCGCCGAACCCATCGTCTACTCGATGCCGTGCAGCACCAAGCTCGGCGTGCAGATGATCCTGCCAGACGGCACAAAGGTCGGCGTCAAGGATTCGGATATACTGATGCAGAGCAACGATGTCACGATGCCGGGGTGTTTAAGTTTGCTGGTGGGGACTACGAATCCTTTCCTGCCGTCGGTGGCGGGAACACCGATGCTCAAGAGCGTTTACACGGTGTTGAGTAGGGGTAAGGGGGGAGATTGGATCGGGGTCGCGCCTTTGCTGCCACCGACTAGCGGGGGTAAGGTGGGAGGGCGCAGCGGAAAGGTCGGCTGATTGAGGCTTCGTTGGCATGATTGCTGCGTGAAGAAACTGCAACACGGCCAAATACGAAGGCATCAAATCACACTAGGCTGTTCGATCAAAACTGTGACTTCGGTATGCATGAGCTAATGCTAGAAGAGACTGACCACAGAGGGGATGAAGAGAAAGATGATCCGACTCGATGACGCGTGGGTGGTCAAACGAATGCCGTTGATCCGTAATTTGATGCCCATGAGACTGGACGATTGCAGTTGAGATCAAAGCAGCGCCGACCGAGTGCAATGCAGAAGGCAAGACTGACACCTCGGGTGATGTTTGCAAACGTCGCAATGAGGTCATGGAAGGCACATTCACAACCTACCTTGCTTCGATGTCTGCATGCTGGTAAGTTGACCGTGCAGAGAACGATCAAAGATAAGGCTCTGACCTCGATCAAGCCGCTGCTTATCGCGAATGATACTGTCTGAACGGCAAGGAGACGAGAGCTTTATATTCGAGCGATGTACAGCACAGCTATAGAATCGCACAGACTCACAACTGTCCTACTGTACTTTGAGTCGTCGATCCGCATTTCAAGGCGAGATGCGATTCATGGAGACACGAAGCGAGAATTCTCGCTAAGAACGCGCGTTTCGACGAAATCAAAGCGAATCGCGGGTGAGGAGTGGCGCTTGGCGGCTCACGCGTCTAGATTTCAGGCTGGCGCGTTACGTACCCTCGGCAGTGACGCCGAACCCAAGCCATGGGAACGTTGATGCCAAGTGAGATCATTTACCGCGGAAAGAGCACGGCAAACAAGGGCTCAGCGAGCAGAGCAAACAAGAAGGATAAAAAAGTGACCGAGCATCGGCTCATCCGGATAGACTCTGACAGCTGCCACACTTTTGTGACCGAGCTTTCTCTCTCTCGCATCACACCGATACCGCCATTCCGCTCGCTAGACATCACGTCCGAGGTGAGGCTCAGTCCATTCCTCGAGGAGCTCCACCATCACATCAGACCTAGAGCAACAGCGGTCCACTCAGCTCCACCTTCATCCTACTAGAAAACGAGAATCATCGGCACAACCCAATCCTACCTGGCCACATTCCCAGATGCTGCCATCATCGACACCATGATCGATCAGCAGCAGCAGCAGTCGCAACAAGCACAACAAGCGCCGGCCATGCAGGCGCTTCACAAAGCTGGCGCTCGAGCCGTTGCGCGACTTCCCTTCGAGGCCCATCGAACGCGCTTGCCGACGCTGCTCTACCTCTTCTCCTTCTGTCCGGCCATACCATCACCGTTTCAATCGCCGCATGCATTTTTGCGACATCCAGGCGTCCTGTACGCTATCGGGTTCGTCGCAGCTCTTTTGGCAGGATGCGGTATGCCCGCCCTCGATCTGCTCTACGGTGTCTACACCAACAGAGTCACACCAGGCTCGGCGAGCCCTCAGACGATCCGTGATACCTCTTCCTACATCGGCTGGATTTGCACCATTGTCGGCTTCAGCGAGTTCTTCCTGGCGTGGCTCTTTCTCGCGTGCTTCTCCACCGCTTCTCACGATCTCACGCAAAGACTCCGACACACCTACGTCGCCTCGGTCTTGGCTCAGGATGCCTCCCATTTTGATCTTCATGGCGCCGGTGAGATCGCCAACCGCGCCAGCAAGGACATCTCGGTCATTCGTGCAGGTTTTGGCGAAAAGCTTGGCTACTTTTGCTGGTCCGGTGCTACCTTGCTCGTCGCCGTCATCATCGGTTTCATCAAGTCGCCCAGGGTTGCTGGTGTTCTCTTCGCCCTGCTTCCTCTCACCATGATCATCTTCGCCATCCTTGGTAAAGCCACTGAGGCGGTTGGCGCTCCTGCCCTCCGCCTCGAGGCTCGAGCTTCAACCTTCCTCGAGCAGGTCCTCGGCTCGGTCCGCGTCGTTCAGTCCTTTGGCATGGATGCGCAGCTGCAAAGACACTTTGACAAGCTCATGCTCAAACCACTCGAGAAGCTCGGCATGCGCAAATCCGCCATTCGTGGTCTCGAAACCAGCGCGGTCTACTTCATGCTCAATCTCACCTACTCTCTTGCTTTCTGGTGGGGCGCCATCAACATCGCCGAGGGCAAGGTCCTCGTCGGCGATGTGCTCACCACCTTTTGGAACTATTTCAATTCTTTGTTCTCGCTCGCCAACATTGTTCCTCACATCGCCAGCATCTTTGACGCCTGGACCGCCCTCAAGCAAGTCAGGAGAGCCATCGAGCGCGAACCCAAGATCGACATCCGCCAAGAAACGGGCACCATTCCCACTTCTGACGCCAAGGATTGGTCGCCGAGCTTCGAGCTGGACCACGTCACCTTCTCTTACCCTTCGAGGCCCAACGTCGCCAGTCTCAAGCAAGTATCGATCCTCTTCGAGCCAGGTAAGGTCACAGCACTCGTTGGCCCCTCGGGCTCGGGCAAGTCTACCATCACCAGCCTTTTGCTCAGAGAGTACGACCCAGAGACTGCCAACATACCCCACCCACATGATGCCGAAGACGAACAAGCTGCCAAGGAGGACAAGGAAGCTGAAGCCGACAATGATCCCGCAGAAAAGCATACAAAGGACAAAGCGAAGAACAAAGGTCTATCATTCTTGACCCGATCAAGATCGTCGAAAGACTCTCCGATCAGCCAAGATGCGGAGACGTCGGACCCAGCCGCCGACGTCAAGGGTCGGATTCAGGGCTCAGGAACTGTACGCTTTGCCGGTCACGATGTTCGCGAACTCAACACTCGGTGGTTGCGATCGCAGATCGCTATTGTGCAACAGCATCCGCAGCTCTTCACCGCTTCTGTCTTTGAGAACGTCGCCACCGGTCTTACAGGGACCGAATGGGAGTACCTTCCTGACGTCGATGGAGATGCCAGTGCTCCTGGGCATGACGCTGCTCGAACTGCCGCCATCCGTGACAAGGTCATGTGCGCGCTTCAGAAAGCGGAGGCCTGGCATTTTGTCTCCAAGCTTCCTCAAGGCATGGACACGCCCGTCTCTGGCGGACGCACCGGTCTGCTCTCCGGAGGACAGCGTCAGCGTGTCGCCATCGCTCGTGCTCTCGTTCGGGAGCCTCGTCTGCTCTGCCTCGACGAAGGCACCTCGGCCTTGGACTCGGACACCGAGAGCAAGATCAAACTCGCTTTGCAGCGGGAACAGGAGGAACGCGGTATGACTACCATTCTCATCGCCCATCGTCTCAGCACAATCGAGCATGCGGACAGCATCGTGGTGCTCAAGAATGGCCGAGTCGTCGAGCAAGGTACCCACGATTCGCTGATGCAAAGCAAGGCAGCTGCCGAAGGGGGTGTCTATCGCAGCATGGTGATGCAGCAAAGGCATCTCGCCGATTACGAGGCTAGCAGTGAGGACAACGACTCAGACGTCAACAAGCTCGCCAAGCTCGCGGACGTCGATGCAAAGCCAGCATCGAAATCGTCGGGCGAGTCGTTGGATGCCCTTTCTAGTGACTCGGCCGAGCCGCTTGATGAGCTCCAGGAGCGCGACCGTTCGAGGTCCATGTACGCACTGTCAGATGACACGATGACGAGAGTCGACGGCGCTTCGACGGTTCGCTCTGCGTCCGTCGTGCCTGAACGACTCGAGCCTCGTCACGATGCTCGTCCAACGATGGCTCCTCGACCACACCGCAGCAGCCGGGCCTCAGACAAGCCTTACCGCACCTTCTCGGGGCGCACCGGTACCGCATTGGGGCTGCACGAACACGCTCAGGAAGCGACCGTCGGCGTCAACGATGCTCAGCTTGCCCTCCCCGCAGGTACTGCTGCTGGAGTCTTGCCAGCCAAGGCTGATCCCAAAGACGCAGATAGTCCTGCAGGGAGGAAAGAGAGCGACAATCGCAGCAAGGCTGCGCGCAAAGAGGAGAAGCGCCGCCTCCGCAAGACTTTCTTCCGCTACCTCAACGATCAAAAACTGTGGTTCGCCATTGGTGTTGCTGGCGCTGCTTTGACCGGTGGCAGCTTCCCGATCGCCGGATGGCTTACGGGAAATGCGGTCAATTCGCTTTCGATTGAAGGCGACAATGCGAGGCTCAAGAGCGAGACCAACCGCTGGGCGCTGTGGTTCCTCACTTTGGCACTTGCGGATCTCGTCATCGTCTTGGTCGGAAGCTTCTTCCTCGAGACTGCCTCTGAGCATGTCATGAGGAAGCTGAAGAAGGAAGGTCTCTCTTCTCTCATTCGACAAGAGATCGGCTTCTTTGACGCCGAGGAGCATGCCAGTGGCGCCATGAGTGCTGCTGTTTCTAGCCATCCAGCCAACGTCGCAGCAGCTACCGGTCTGGTCTTGGCGCAGGTGGTCATCGGCATCGTCAACCTCATTGGCTCCGTCATATTGGGTCTGGTGCTCTCGTGGAAAACGTCGGTGGTCTGCCTCGCTCCCATCTTTGTGCTCTTCTTCTCGGGTTGGCTCAACATCGCCATGCTGGAAAAGTACGAGGCTGTGGCTCAGAAACCAGCAGATCGTGCCGCTTCGTACGTCTCTGAGAACGTTGACGCCATCAAGACTGTCGCCGCCTTGGGCAGAGAGGCAGAGACGATGCGAATCTTTGACGAACGTGCACGAGCCGATCCAAAACGTACACGATATCTCGTCTTTGGCGCAGGAGGCTTTGCCGCTTCGCAAGCCATGGTCCTGCTGCTCTCGGCCCTCGTATTCTACTGGGGCGGCACGCTTCTTAGCAGGCAAGAAGTCAGTATCACGGCGCTCTATGCGTCATTCGAAGCTGTCATCATCGCCGCTTTCTCGGCTGGTCGTCTCTTCACTTTTGTGCCGGACTACGGTCGTGCTACCAACTCGTTCAAGACCATCTCTGGCTGGATCAATCGCAAACCGCTGGTTGCCGATCAAAGCGGCTTGCCCGAGCTCGACAAGGCTGCAAAGGCCAAAGTGCTCGATGGCAGCTATGCATCCGGCGACATCACGCTCACGTCCATCGAGCTTCGCTATCCTCAGCGACCGAACCATCCCGCGCTCAAGGAGCTCAGCATCACAATTCCTGCCGGAAAGAGCGTTGCCTTCTGTGGCACCTCCGGATCCGGGAAAAGCTCCATCCTAGCATTGCTGCAGCGCTTCTACGACCCATGCCAAGGCAACATTGAGTTCGGAGGCGTAGATGTGCGTCAGGTGCCCATCCATCTTCTCCGTCAGCAGATGGCCTACGTCTCGCAAGATCCGATCTTGTACGAAGGAACCATCCGCTGGAATCTCTCGCTCGGCTCGAATGACCCCGATTCCGTCACTCAGGAACAGCTGGAGAGGGCGTGCGAGGATGCCTACATCCTTGACTTTGTGCGGGGTCTCCCGAATGGTTTTGACACCGAGATCGGTTTCAAAGGTTCCCAGCTCTCTGGCGGTCAGAAGCAGCGCCTTTGCATAGCACGAGCACTCTTGCGTGATCCCAAGATTCTACTCCTCGATGAGGCGACATCAGCTCTCGATGCCGAGTCCGAAATTCAGGTGCAGCGTGCACTTGACCGTGCTGCTCTCAACAGGACCACTGTCACGATCGCGCATAGGCTGAGCAGTCTCAGGAAGTGCGATTGGATCTTTGTGGTCGAGGATGGCAACATTCGCGAGAGCGGCACGCACGCAGACCTCATCGCCCGAGGCGGCAGATATCGCGAGCTCATGGAGCAGCAGCTGTAGACGCTTGGCGGCTTCACTTTCTATTCCCAAAACCTCTTGTCGTGCTCTTCGCTCTTCACTTTGCATTTGTATAGATTCATATCATGAGGTCACGGAATTGCCATCGATGGTTGTCACTGCAGGGATTGTTATGTACGCGCGTTGATGATGCTCTTGTGAGTATGACGGCTTCGTCGGGGTGAACCCCTTCGCCAACGCCCTCTGTGAATTCGAATTGTGCTGTAGCAGGCAGGTCAGTGTCCGACTGACCGATGTCCCAGATCAGTCCGGCACCGAGACCGTTCCGTACAAAGACTTCGAAGAGGACGGTGCGATACCAGACCGCAGCCTTGACACCCATGTAGGTTCGTCATTCGAACTGACCTGGTCGGGCTTGATTCGACTCCTCTGAAGTGACTTAAGAGATCGGCTCGAAGGGCTTCGAAGTGCATACTTCGAGACTGGATCGTTGCGTTGCACCTGGTGAATGGCTTATGCCTCTGGCATTGCTCTCCCATTGTCCAGCGTCTCGTCACTTATACCAACTGAAGGATGCAGACATGCTCGCGAAGAACAAAGTCTAGTAATATTTTGCTGACTAGCGAAGTGTTTGGCAGTTTTCGCCACTCGAATGAAATTTCTTGGCCCTTTTGTCGCCAAAACATGTACCGTACAGCTGTGTAGAATTGTTTTCGCGCAACACAATTTGCTATAGCCCGCTGGATGACATTTACAGCCAATTTATGGAATCTGATCGAAAAAGTATAATGCATCTACGGCTCAAGAAAGAAAGTGGCGAGGGACGGGATTGTTTCTCAGCGTCATAGTGAATTTTGGTGAGCACCGCAAGACGATGGCTGTCGTCCAAATGCTTATGAGCATACCATAACTTGATAGCTGCGGTGACGGAGCCGGCAAAAAATTGCGACAGTCCAGATTTGATGACACTAGCGCATAACGTTGTGCGCGATTCTCGTCGAAACCCATCTTGCGACTTGGGGTCTCAAAGTATATCTGCGCATATTTTTATTTATGATCAGACGTGCTCATGCTGTTGCAATTTTGTCGAAACGATATGCTTTTTGTAAACATATGTAATCGATGAAGATGGTAATCTTCGCATGTTTAATCCGTCAGCGTGTACCTGACGGCACTATATTGTTTTTTTGTCTCAAGTGGGCACCACACCGTGACAAATCGTCGTGATTATTGGGCAATGCTGGCAGTAAATAAATTTCACTTCTTCATCGGATACCGTTGAGAGTCACAACGAGATTGACAAGGCGTTCACAAAATACAGGCCCCCAAAGCCCCGTCCACGAAGGGGGGAAAAACACTTTCCTACATACGGATGTACGAGTTGTAGCGTTTTGTAATTGCAACATGAACAAGAAATGGTCACCTTTGCTAGCCCGTTGCATTTAGGCAGCAAAATTTGCTTGCTTGTCGAGGCTCACCATTCAGCGCAAGCAAGCAAGTATGAAGGACTCCTTGTGATTTATTGTGATTTTGCAAGCACTCATCGAATGACCGTAACAATTTACAGGGAGATATTCTGCCGCGAGTGAATAAAATGTATCAGTCTATCCGCTTTCTTCGGTATGAATTTCCTATCACATAGCTTTGCGTTTTGTCGTCAGTTTTCCTAAACACAGCCGTGTAATGACTAGAAGCCTTGCGTCTTTTGCGACCCAAAAAAATGAGAGCGTCAATGGTCCCAAGAAACATTAGAAAAAGTCTTTAAGTAGAACGGTGCCTTGCTGAGGTTGACTGTTTCAATAAAGTGTTGCAAAATTCATAAGGCGTCGGTGACAGTTGTGTCCCGGGGCGTCATTCTCACGACGTCAGAGAACGACTTCGTAGGTTGATTGCACGGAGGCTGGCTGCGTTGGCATCGTCGATTTTGGGGATGGGTCAGCAACAGCAGCTTAGCGGCTTGGCTTGGTCCTGGTTGATCACCAGGGGTCGAGACACGGCGTGACTGGCTCTCGAGACGGCAGGGAGAGGGGCGCCAATGCCGAAGGGGCTCTTCGTTTGGTTCAGAGCAACACGACGAGGGAGAAGCTGCGCCAGATCGATTTCACTGTCGAACAGCTTTGCGGCTGCACGACTTGCGTCGAATGATGTCGTGCGCGAGTCAAGATACGAACCTTGACAAAATACAGCGCCACTTTCGAGTATCAGGTCATAGTCTTCGGAGACCTTCAAGCCGATTGGACCGCATTCTCAAGACAGCGATCAGCTCAACTCCAACGGAGCACACTGGGTCAAACGGCAGAAAGGTACGCGCCGGCGACCGCACACGAGACTGGACACAATGGCAATGTCAAAAGTGAATGAACAAATACAGATGTGGGAATGATCATGCAATGTGTGAAGACAATAAGAGACGCACTGGATGGCGGTGCGCTTTTGAGGTGGGGTGGGCGATAGATAGGATGGAGAGAGCGCTTTCAAGCACCTGCAGCAGCCCTGGCCTTCGAACGCTTGCCAGTTTGAGCTTGGAAACCGCTCTTGATGGCGGCAACGGAACGTTGGGAGCCACACTTTTCGCAGGTGACGAAGAAGATACGGTTTTCCTTGGTGAGCTTTGTCTCTGGACGCTTGCAGGTCTTGCAAATGACGTATTCGGTAATGTATCTTCGGAGTACGTTCTCGATCTGCTTGGGCTGGAAACGACCGCGAATGACGAGACGCTGAGAGCCGTCGACGGATCCGATGGTACCCAACTCGGCGAAGAGGAACTGGATGACGTGCTCTGGCTGACGGTGCATACGCTTGCAAATGTCGACGACGTTGGCGAAGACGGTCTTTTTGGAGCCGTCTCGGGCGACCTGAGGAGGGACCATGGTGAACTTCTTCTTGTCGCCAGAGAGAGCGGGGTTCTGTGCGCGGAGGGTCTTGAAAACACGACCGAGAAGCTCCTGATATGAGTAATCGCGGTCTGTGCCCTGCCATGCCTCGATCGAGTCGTCCTTTGAGGGTGCGTCGGCATCGTCTGCTGCGTCTTGTGCGAATGGGTTTTCGCCGAGTTCCTCGTCATCTGCGTCTGCGTATGCGTCGTTGGTGGTAGGCTCTGCTGCGTCGTCTTGTTGGTCGTCGGCCTCTCCGATCTCCTTTTCGAAAGCGTCGAGGTCGAGAGCAACCTTCTTTTTGGACTTTTTCTTCTTTTTCAACTCGCCAAACTGTGAAGGAGGGGAGCAGAGGTAGCAACAAGTGTCAGTGGCTGTTGAATGTCCCATTGGGCAAGCAAGGTAGGTTATGGAAAATACGTACGTTGAGCTCGTCATCCTCTGCGGCGGCTGCGTTGGACTGCTCTGCGTCTGCATCGGCAGCATCGTCCTTGTTGTCATCTTCATCGAGGTCGAGATCGAGGTCAAGCTTCTTCTTGTCCTTCTTTTTCTTCTTCATGCCTCCAAACAAGTCTGCCGAGTCGTTCTGCTGCTCTGCGGGTGCAGTGGAGGAAGCAGCATTCTGAAGTGCGTCAACGTCTGACATGGTGAAAGATGTCGGTGATCCAATCGATCCGGTCGTGAGTGTGAGGTATCCTCGAATGCGATGCGAGTCCGAGTGATGCCTGTGCGGGTGATAGGGTCGATTCGGACAAGGGTCGCAAGTGGTGATGGTGTTGAACGATGTGAGTCAACTTGACTCGAAGCACACACGAACTGAGCTTTGGCTGTGTGTCTAACAAGAAAAGCGCAAAAAAGACGCGCTCTGCCGAAACGCACCCAAATCCCTCTCTTCTTGTTTCCACTTTCTCGCGCGAGAGATGGCAAAAAGGGAAATTCGTGATCGACTTGGCGGTTGAAATCGCCTTTGACTGGGCTGCTGCCCTAAATCTTGAAAAGGCTAAAGCAGAGGAACAAGCCGGAACCGAGTCGAGCACGGTCAATGCAGGAGCCAAGGTGCAACGCCAGTATGTGCGCTGCAATCCCAGCCAAACACGAGAAGAAATCGGTCGCAGCTTCCGAACAGATCTACTGCCTCTGTGCAGTCACACTTTTTGGCACAAGGTCACGCACGATTCTCGAATTTGAGGTTTGTTCGTCGTCGTCGTCGTCGCCATCATCTTCCACTCCTCCGTCACCATCTCCTCATCACTCACCTTTCCCCCTACTCTTCGACCCGCTTCATCCATTCAAAATGGCGATGCTTCCTCGTGCTGCCCGTCCCGCCATGGCGGCGTTCAACTCGGCCGCCCCTGTCGCCATCGCTGCTCGTGCCGGCTTCCACTCTTCCTCGGCTCAGGCTGCTCCTCTTCGTGAGACCGAGCAGCGTATCAAGTCGGTCAAGAACATCGAAAAGATCACCAAGGTAGGTATTTCCCAAACGAAGTTCCGACACTCGCGCAACCAGCAATCACAATCGCACTTGCATATCAAACCCAATGTCTCGCATACAACCCTCCGACACTTGTACACATTCGATCGTCCATTGAACATACGGCCTATCATCATCGCACTCGCACGTCCACATTTCGAATAATCTTGTCTGACTCGACTCTCGATCCGTGCATCCACGGCTCCTCTGCTTTTCAACCACAGTCCATGAAGATGATTGCCTCCACCAAGCTCAACAAGGCTCAGCGTGCCATGGCTGCTGCCAAGGCGTACGGTGCTGCCAACACTGGTAAGTATCTTCAACAACGACGCAATTACCAGCAGCAGCATCAACTGAACAACTGTCCCACTGCTCCTTCTTCCGTCATTCACAGAAATCTTCACCAACTCGGAAGCCGTCGCTCCCGAGGGTGGTCGTCAGCTCTTTGTCGTCGTCTCTTCCGACAAGGGTCTTTGTGGTGGTATCCACTCGTCCGTCACCAAGCGTACCAAGGCCGAGTTCCTCAAGCTCGGCTCTTCCGCTGGTGATGCCGCCTCGTCCGAGGGCCCTGCCGTCATTGTTCTCGGTGAAAAGTCCAAGGCGCAGCTCGGTCGTGCCCTCCCCAAGAACATCGCGCTCTCCTTCAACCAGATCGGCAAGGATGTCCCCACCTTTGCCGACGCCTCGGCCATCGCTGATCAGATCATCAAGTCTGGCATCAAGTTCGACAAGGTCAACCTCATCTACAACAAGTACGTCTCGGCCCTCTCTTTCGAGTCGGATGTCATGCAGGTCTACTCGGAGGATGCGCTCCGAAACGCTCCTCAGTTCAAGCTGTACGAGCAGGAGGACGACGTCACCAAGGACCTCGCCGAGTTCTCCTTTGCCAACGCCATCTACGCCGCGCTCGTCGAGGGTCACGCTTCCGAGATCAACTCGAAGCGAAACGCCATGGACAACGCCTCCAAGAACGCAGGTGACATGATCTCGTCGCTCAACATGATCTACAACCGTGGTCGACAGGCCGCCATTACCAACGACTTGGTCGACATTATCACCGGTGCCTCGGCCCTTTAAGCTGACTTGTAGCAGCGAGCTAGTGTCTTTGTCGATAGATAACGTTGGCGCGTCATTGCCATGAAATGCAAAAACAGTAGTTGACAACGTGCCGTTTTGTGGGCGCAATGTGCCTGAACTGTCTCGAACACGGTCATCGCTTGGCTGTTGCGAGCGAGTGGACCCTGCCCAGCGACTTGTTACCAACTTCATGCGACCTCAAAGCGTGCCGCACATCGCCAGCGACGATCCTCCGTAGGTCGTACCTTGATTCAGGTCCTCTACACTACTCTATATATTGACAATCTGAGACCACGCCCAGCAACTGCTTCGTTAGCGTAGTTGGATTATCGCATCCGTCTAATACACGGTGCCTCAGAATCGACTCTGAGTTTTCTCATATTAACAACGGAAGGTCACTGGTTCGAGCCCAGTACGGAGCAAGTTTTTTTTTTGGTTCGTTTCTGATTGGCATTTCCCCCGACTGGCGCAAAATGATGTGTGAGAATGTGCGACGTTACGCAACGCAACCGACGCCTCAAGATGACTGATGCATGGCTTTTGGCGAGCGCATCTTCGACAGGGTCCACTCTTGTAGAAGTGTCACGCGACAGGCGGAACGGAGCAACATGAATGCCGATGCTGATGCCCCCGGTGGCTCAATCTGACGTGAGCAGACCTGCAGCCGCCGCCTCCGCTCTCTGTCACGCTCCCTCGCTAACGGTGTCCTTCCTTGCTTGTTGATCCCCTCTCTCTGCCTTGCCGAGTTTGCTTGTCATGCATGCGACAGGCAGGCAAGAACGCCCTCGTCATGCCGCTGTCGAGTGTGGAGGATTTCGTGCTTCAGCCCCTGCTAGACATTGCTGATGACCTGATATAATGAACCCATCTTCTGTCCGCACTTGCCCCCCTCTCTCCTTTGGCATTCGAACCCTTGACAATTGACTACAAGCAAGAGCACACAGCATGCTCTCTGGCTCCTTTCTTCCAACGATCCGTTTATCTGTATCACATTCACTTCGACACCGATCCACTGTTCCGACCGCAACCCTTCTGATCAGCAGACTGCCATCACATCGACCTCACCAGCACCGGGCATTCACAGCCATCATGCCAAGTCAAAACGCCAACAAGCGCGGCAATGGCGCAGACAAGAGCAACGGCGGTGCACAGCAGAGCAGCCAGGGTCACCAGATCATCGAACCTCCCAACAGTGAGCACAATAAACCATCTCTGTATTAGGCTTGATGCCGGCGCTCACGACGGTATACTGACATCTTTACAATCTGATACGAACCGTAGCCGGCTGGAAGGGGCCTATTCCTGCTAGCAAGGGTGGTCGCGAGGAGGGGTACCTATCCAAGGTGGGTTCGATTTCCGCGCCAAGAGCCGTGAATCGCAAGCTGGACTGACCAAACAACTCTCAACCTTTTGCTTGGTCGTACCAGCCACCTTACCTATGGGAGTCGAAGGAGTTCGAGGTCAAGTACAGTGCAAAGTGCTGGTGCGGCAAGCGTAAGTCGTTTTTACATTTCCTTCATCAACACTCGAGACACATCTGACCTTCAAGAACCTCTTTATCTCGCAGTCGAATTTGAATACCACGGAGACCCCATCGACGCCAAGCACTGTCACTGCACGCAGTGCCAACGTCTGCACGGTGCCCCTTTCCAATGGGCTGCGCTCTTCCACAAGACATCGGTCCGACTCGCAAAGCACTGCGATCCACTCAACTTGGACTTCTTTAGCACTCAGGAGGGTCACAGCGAGCACAGCGTTCCGTGCAAGATCAGCTGCAGGAACTGTCGAAGTCCCATGGCGTGAGTCATTCTTCATAGGCACAGAGCGTTCGAGTGGTAGATGCTGACAACCGCTTTTCGACATTGGCAGTGACGAGGGACGGAACATGGTCATGGCGTGAGTTCTGACATTGCTCTCTTTTCATCTCTTCGATATGGGATTCTCACTGACACTCGTCTTTGCTGGACCACTGCCTGGTACACAGCTATCCTTCCTCCTTTGTGTTCAAGGACCACGTCGTCCCCCCGGCATTCGCCCCAACCGCGCACATTTTCTACGGTGAACGTGTGATGGATCTCGACGACGACATTCCCAAGGTGAGCCTTTTTCTTGCTCCCGAATCCATCCGCAGTCTCGCAGTTGGGCAACACTGACACCCTGACCTCTTTTTCGGATAACAAACGACTCGTAGTGGGCAGGTCACAAGAACTCGTCGGAGCAGCTTCCACATGCACCCAAGGACAGCACGGATCGTACCATGGGCAAAGGTAAACGACACAAGGTCGAGCGAGAGTAGATGGGGTCAGGGTGATGTGGTCGAGGCGTTGCGGGGTGTGGGAGAGCGACGAAATTTTCAGGAGGTGGCAAGGAGATCAGGCGGTACTTTGATGGAGAGAAGGTGTCTGTACGATTTCAAGCCAGGCGTTGTTGCCAGACGCTTGATTCCAATTGCAAGCGCTTCCCGCCCGAACGAGACCAGGGAGAGCCATGTGAGGCTCGGGATGACGAGAGAGAGTCTATTTTTCCATTTCTTCATGCCAAAAGTCCTTGATGTTCTGAAGAGTTGTTGCGCATCCGAGAGTAGATCTTGCTTCAAGACAGCGCGGACCTGACGGCGGCCTGCTTGACGCTGTGGCTCAGTCGTCGGTGATCCCCCAGTGGTTCCTCAAGCGCTTGGTATTCGCTTGTTGGTTTTGCTCGAAGGGTCTGATGGCCGGATTCATTTGGGCGCGGCAAAAGTGCGAGTCCACCGTTCGTGACAAGCCATCGCAAAATCCATAGACCGGCGGAAGAAAAGACTTCATTTGTGGCTTTCCCGTCTTTTCTCGCAGAAAGTCTCCCGCAGCCATCGCGGTTGCCGCATCTCGCAGCGTTGGCTATGACTTCTGCTAGACTGCGTCGGCTGTCTAGCTTCGTTGCTGCTAGATCCCACCTTTCCCTTCACTACCGCTTCTGCTCCGCTCCATGCGTATAAACAATCCCGCACAACCACCCACCATAAAAACTCCCCCAGGTGCCCTTCTCTTTCCACGCATAATCCACCACCTCAAACCGCTCTCTCTCGAACCACTTGACCAGTGCATTGTGCTCGGGCGGCTGTATCAGTCCTCCTGGACCCTGATCCCACTGCGTGACTGTGTAGGCTTTGAGTGTAAAACGAGGGGATTGTTGTGCGAGGAACGCTTTGATACCGTCTAGGAGGATGGAGCCTGTTCCGGTGGTGATCGAGCCTAGAGCACCGAGCCAGTAGATCTTTCCCTGCGCGGGCAGTGGCGTGTAGTATGGGTTTGGGAAGACCACTTCGGAGGCACCGCCGTCCATACCCTCGCCGCCCAAGGTGACTTTTGCACCAGCAACAGCGATTCCAGTGGCAGAAACTAAGAGAAACATCCACCCACCTTCCCCACGGTTCAAATCATCGACCAGCTCAGCTGTCGAACTGTACCGCGATTTCGACCCAAAGTTGGCGCTGTGTATCGGCCCGCTGAACGCCGCATTGATGAGGTCGACGAACGTCTCGAGCGTCGATGTCGGGATTGGTGGCGAGGACGTATGTGGGTAGACTTGCAGCGATAGTTGCGAGAGATCGGAGGGTGAGAGGTGTACGTTGGGTTTTGTTTCGTCCGATGACACGGCGATGGTGCCGGCTGCCTCGAGCGTCATCTTGTAGCCTGATGATGGAGGTAGAAGGATCGGTAGCGAAAGAGAATTGGCACCATGTCTTCTTGGTTCTCAGCGGCTATCATCTCGGCCAATTTTTCCGCCGGAAGACTCTTTTCCGCACGCACACTCGGCACGTCAATTTCTCGATATTCAGGTGGACAACACAAGTTGCACCACGAGCCACGCTGATTCAAGGTATCCAAATGACTCGACGATGACTCTTCACTTTAATGGATGTAGAAAGTCGCTAAGTCGCTGCTGGATCGCTGCCGCAACTGAGGTGTACTCAAAGTGGTCTGGAAATGTGTGCTGTCGAGCGACGATTTGGCAGGCATGCGCAGACAAGGCTTTGTTCCTTTCCCACCTGCGATGTCGTCTTGATGAGCCTGGCTGCTGTCATCCACATTTTTGAACGGAGGGGTCAAGACGATGCGGAGCAAGCCATGACCATCACCAATGCAACGCTCGAGTCACAGCGTTGGGTTCCACACACAGACACAGCGTCAACCGAGTGCACGCTCGGGACAAAAGAAAGCAATGCAGTCACTCCCAAATGAAATCTTGAATCGCCAGATCTAGTCGTGCTTCCAGCCCTTGGTCCAGTCGACCTTCCTCCGCTGTTCCAGACCAGAAGATGATCGTGTCGGGTTGATGGGTGCGGACGACGTGAGCGGATCGATGTTCACCAGCGGTGCAGGTTGTCTCGCTTCATCAACCCTATCAACATGACTCCTCGTCGTCCCACTTCTCGTGCCCACCCTATCCCTTGTCTGCGCTGTCGATTTCCCGCCAAAACCCTCCACAACCCCCTCTAACGCAGCCTCGACACTGATCCTCCCCCTCACGGTGTCATCCAACAATCTGCCCAATCCACCTCTTCCTCCACTCTTCCTCTCCGCCATCCCTCCACCGTTCGGCAGCGAATCGCCAAACTGGATCGGCCTGGCCCACTTGCTCGCCGCACCTGTATTCGCTGGCAGACCCGCGGCTAGATCGTACAGCAATCGATGCGATTTCTGCGCCTGCCGCTTCTGATACGCTTTCCCCCCATCGTATGCCTTAGCCACGATCGCGGTGGCAGACGGTGGCGGCGCATCGTTCCAGCCTGCATACTTGCTGCTGCTGCTGGTCGAGTCCATTCCGATGGTGCTGGTAGAGCTGGTGCTGGGTTTGGAGGAAGAACCGAAGTGCCAGGTGTTGGGTTTCCACTCGTCTTCCTCGTCGTCGTCGTCATCATTGTTGAAGTAGCTGGACGCCGAGATGTTGCTGGTCGAAGTGTGACGCGACAAGTCTGGACGATCTGATTGCGCGGAGGAGCCATTTTGTTGTTGCTGGTGCTGCTGAAGAAGATCGTCGATACCGCTCTCCCCAGGTCGAAACTCGGCATCTCCCGGACCAGGATTGCGGCTCCCCAAGGCAGATGACTTGATGTCGCTGGCTGCAAAGAACCTCAGCTGGTCAGCTGGCACTTTTGCTACATGCAGAGGTTGACGTGGAGGCACGAAGCCGGAGCTGGCTGCTGAAGCGGAAGCTGCGATGCTGGGCGGATTCGAGCCACCTCCTACGCTGCTCGTCGGTCGTTTCCCACTCGAGCCGGCAGCATGGTTGAGCGTACGAAGCGCAGGAGTCAAACTGACCGGATACGCCGACTTGTGGCCATTGATTGAACCAGCTCGTGTGAGAGACGTGCCAAACGCAGGTGCGGTCGAATCCGTATATGCCTGGTTCGTGTCTGGCATAAAGTCGTTGACCGGATCGGAAACACGCATGGCTGCCAGACTGTCCGCGACGAACTCGGGTTGTGGGATCTCTGCGACCGGCGTGCCGGTGAGCAGATCCTCTTGATCCGCCTTGGAAACAAAGATGAGCGTGTTGGACGAGCTGGCGTTGGCATTACCAGCTTCGGTGGATGAGACAGCGCCTCCGGCGGTGGTCGGGACGACTTTGATCTCTGCGTTTGGCGGACGGTGTTTGCAGCTATCGACGGGAATGTAGATGAGTTTGCGGATCTGGACCGGATCTCCTGGCCAGAGCTTGTTGGATTTGCGGAGCACCTGAATGTCGGCACCGTAGTGGAGCGCTAATGACGAAAGCGTATCTGTCGGCGCAACGGGATGGATGAGGACGCGCACCTGGTCTTGGTGAGCTGCTGATGATGATGCTGAAGTAGTGGTGCGGCGTTGAGTAGGAGTGTAATTTTGGCGCTGCTGCTGCTCTTGCCCTTGTTTTAGACCGAACCAATCTTCCAAGCGATCCAGCGTTGTTTCGACAGTGTTGATAGGTCGACCCTTTCTCGCCTCATCGTCGTCGTCGTCATCGCCTGTAGTCACGAGTCTCGCTGTGCGGGATGAGGACTGTATGTGTGAAGATGATGGATCAGCGGGCCATTGATAGCTGGACGAGCTGGCGTTGGATGAAGAAGCACCAAAGAGACCAGCGAGGCCTGCACCGATGGCCTTCCACTCGGATGCGACTGCAGAAGGCCTCCTGGGAGCCGCGCCAGGACGTGCTGTCTGTTGAGATGGATGCGAGGGCGAAGGCGATCGCAAGGGATGTCGATCTACAAGCTCAGCGTTGGCAGCTAGATTCGACTTGCGACTGCGTAATTGTGGAGGCTGCGATGACGATGAAGATGTGGAAGGATGAAGGTAGTCTGAATCGATCGCCGACCATGGATCCATGAGGTTGGTGTCACCTGCGTTCGGCGAGGACCGCCATGTCGATGACGCCGACATGTTCCGTGGCTGCGATCGCGATCACAATCACGATGACCGAGCTGGCAGGGATACCATCGGAAGTGACGACAGCAGCGTCAGCGAGCGACGCGTTTGGCGACTGAGCAGTTTGACGGAGATCGGCGCTGTTGCCGATAGCGATATTCAGTCTACGGTCACTGATTGAGAACGGAAATGCCGATGTTGAGAGCGTGTGATGGATGTGATACGAAACAAGATCAGTCGGAATGCTTTCCGAGAGAGAGACACAGCCAGCGTTTCAGGCTGCAGTCCGAGCGTGCGAGCGTGGCACTGACCATAATTTCAGAGTGTCACAGTGCATTTCGCCAAATTAACACTTTTGTGTGAACCGCGTCCCGCCACCGCGTCTCGCCTGTGGACCAACACTCTCTGTCTATCGTCATCCGTCCCCGCTTCTCCGTGTCGTTGCGCTACATCGAACACAAATTGTCACACACCACCAACGCACCAACAAAGACACACTATTTGACATATCTGATTATCATTTTGCAAGACCGTGTCACTACCGCATCAGTCGTACTCGTTGAAGGTCTTGTCGAAAAATTGTTGCAGCGAGCAAGGGTCAATCCATGTGGCTGGCTGTGTTGGACAAGGCTTCTGTCGAGCGGCATTGAAGGGCGATGTCAGTCGATGCTCCTGGGCCACTGCCCTGAACACGTCCTCTTGGCTGTACTCCCGCACTTTCAAAGGCTCTACAAGGAGTGCTAGATTCTTGGAATTTTAAAGTTCCCTGAGGCGCTTGTAGGCCGGCATCCAAAGCGTATTGATAGCTTGTGACACTTCATGATCGTTCAGGGTCAAGATGAAGATAACCACATCCATAAGATGCTTCCATGATATCCAGAAAGCATGCCTAAGCACTGGCAACACGTCGCGCTCGAACCACTGCGACAGAGACACACCGGCACCCAAGAGACGAGGCTCATACCGCAGTCGACGAGAAACCAGCGTGATCGTGTCGAGACGGTCGTGATGTCTTCTGACGTGGGCCATTGCGTCGAGCCAAGCAGGATCGATGAGCAATTTGTCGTACCACAGCACAAGGGTGAGATGAGATAGAGCCGGACATGCAGTTATGAGGTTTGTGCACTCGGTCGACGACTTGTTGCATTGTGTCTCGTTGACTTGACCGTTGCAGAGCTCTCGCGGGATCAGGAAAAGATTGGCGTAATCCTTGACCGAGATTCCGCCATTGCCGTCCATCAGCAGCGCAGTCTTGAGACGCGGAAAGCACATTCCTTGTTCTTCAAATGCTTGCTTGAAGCGCGGGATAAGGTGTCGTTCCTCCTCGATGTCGATGTCGGCCAGAACTTGCAAAAGGTGGCTGTAAGTAAGGTCGAACTGCCAAGGTTTTGCCTTACTGTAGGACTTGTACGGATCAAGCTTGTAGAGATCCGTTGAATCATCATCATCAATCAGGACGAGGTCGCTCAACTCGAGCGTTTCAAGTTGACGAGAGGACATGGCAATGATGAGAAATGCGTGTCCGAGACGTGCTCGGTCAAGATGTGCTACGTCATGGCCCAGCCTGTCAAAATCGATGGAAAGGTGACGCAGCTGAGCGAGGAGTGCCGGGTACGACACAAGATCGGAAAGGGGAGTCTCGGACCCCGCATGCCTCGACCCCACCCTTCTGGAGGCAATACCGACGCAGGGAAGGAGTGCTGGCATCAAGAGTTGGTGGAAGAGACTGTGGACGTAAGGAAGCTGGAACTTGAACCAGTTGGCGAGGCGTTGACGATGTCGTTCACCACTCTTGTGGGGCATGTAGACGGCTTCCAGATACAGATGGTAGAAGATTCTGAGCACGATCTCCTGGGGAAGCCGAAGCAACGGAAAGATGGGCTTCTCTACCGTCGCTGCAAGCTTGCTCGGCGGATCGGCTCCTTCGGATACGCTGCTGGATGAGCGGTCAGGCTTTGTCCCAAGGGGATCGGATTCCGTATCAGTGGCTGCCATGGTGTACAGCGAGACCGAGTGATGGTTGCAAGCGATTGGTTTGCTTGAAAAGGCTGAGTGGATTGGCACGTAAAGAAAGAAGAGTAAACGACTGGACTCGACTTGAGTCCGCTCTGCGCAGCCTCGACTCAGCCATCTGCGCAAAGCTGACTGAGCCCCGAGCGCTAGCAGTTCCGACGTTTGAGCGTCCTGCTCATCTCTATGTATTAGACGTGATACTGTAAAATGAGAGAGACGGAAGAAGGCGGCCAGGTCACGTTTTTCCTGAAGTCACAATTCCTCGATGAGATCACATTCACGCCATCAAAAGGAACAAGAGCAGCGCGGCTGATCCGACACAAGCTGACGCCGAGCAAGCCACGCTTCCGAGTCGGCAATGGTGCTTGGAAGAGAATATCGGAACAGATTTTGACGACTTGTGGCGTTGCAGTGCCGATGCATTGATCGTCGATCGGCATAGCAACGAGTCATCTCAGCCCGATCAATCGAGGAGCGGCCAGATCTATAATGCGGCTTTGCTTCCATCGAGACCTCCCTCATCACCGATGCATGCCTTTCCAGTCGATCCACAACCTTCGACAATTGGCGAGCAGTCGGTGCCCGCGATGCATGCTAATGTCACGCTACAATGCGACGCAACTGTCGTACGACCTCGACCACAGCCCAGCCGCTCTCTGCAACGTAGCGCGGATATTGCGGAGATGCGGACCTTTGCTTCCGAGAGCAACAGTGTACAGCACAGTGTGGTTCACATGCTGTCACCACGCTCTTACCGTTACGAGCCCATCGAGGAGTAGTGTCGACGCGCACATGGTAACTGATTATCGTGCGAAAGCCGCGATCGCGCAAAGAGGAAGTCACGGCCATGTTGCAATCTTCGAGGGCTGCAGTGATCTGGTCATGCGCACAAGCTAGTGAGGCATGTCTCCAATCGGCTTCAGCGCAGCGTAACAGAGCTTGTCGACGCAACAGGGTCCGGAGATCCTACGGAATTGTGGCAACGTCGTTGGCGAATCGTGCAAGATGGCTCGAGCACATGCTCGGCTAGCCGGCTGTCAAGGCTTCAGCCGCACCTTGCATACGCGTCCCGTACCGTCTGGTTCTCGTCCTTGGAATGTTCGCCTAACTGTGGTACCGATTCGGTCTAGGCGCTGCACACTCGGGTTGTGACAGCTTGTCCTACGTGGTTGCCCCGCACTCTTTTCGGTTGATCTTTTTGCGGGGTTGAAATTCAGCCAGGCGCGGGGACCCTTGCGAAGACCCTTTCCCGAAGGGCTGTCAGCTAAGGCACTCCAAATCCACGGACCCAAACCTCCATTCTCTACTCGGCTCGCTGTCGTTAGAGGTGAATGTGCAAGCGAGCATGTCACGCGCATCCGACGGGTCCTGTTCGACCACCTACGTGAAAGCTGAAGCGGTGCTGCAGCCAATGGAAAACGCGGCAATGGCAATGATTGCTCCTGCGAGGCCATGCTGCTCCACGCATCAGACCTTTTGAGCCTCGATTGCTAGCAGTTGCTCGAGGAACGTATATAAGCGCGCCTGGTCGCGATCAGCCTGTCGCCTGGATCGTCGTCGACTCGCACCCTACACCAGAAGCTCCAGCCTTTGACACCCTGCTTGCCCACCATGGCGCCCACCGCAACTCAAGACCCTGTCCCTGTCCCCGTCCCTTCCTCCAAGGCGGCCTCGCACGGCTATGTCCATCCCAGCGACATACTCCCCTCTGGCTGGCCCACCGCGACCGATCTGTCCGGCGGCGCTCAGCCTCGCCGCTTCGAAGGTACCATCTTTGACGTCATGGTAAGAGGCACCATCCCAAAAGAGCTCTACGGTACTTTTTACCGAATCATGCCCGACTATGCCGAGGCTCCCACCTACTACAAGGGCGGCGAACTCAACGCACCCATCGACGGCGATGGCACCGTCGCCGCATTCCGCTTCAAAGACGGAAAGGTCGACTACCGTCAGCGTTTCGTCGAGACCGACAGGTTCAAGGTGGAGCGTCGTGCCAGGAAGAGCATGTACGGCCTCTACCGCAACCCGTACACCCACCATCCGTGTGTGAGGCAGACCGTCGACTCGACGGCCAATACCAACGTCGTCATGCACGCCGGTAGGTTCCTCGCCATGAAGGAGAACGGCAACGCCTACGAGCTCGATCCGCACACGCTCAAGACGCTCGGCTACAATCCCTTCAACCTTCCCTCCAAGACCATGACCGCGCACCCCAAGCAGTGTTCCGTCACCGGCAACCTCGTCGGCTTTGGCTACGAGGCCAAAGGCCTGGCCACCAAGGACGTCTACTACTTCGAAGTCGACCCCTCCGGCAAGGTCGTTCACGATCTGTGGCTCGAATCCCCCTGGTGTGCTTTCATTCATGACTGTGCTCTGACGCCCAACTACCTCGTCCTCATGCTGTGGCCTTTCGAGGCCAAGCTCGACAGGATGAAGGCTGGCGGACACCACTGGGCCTACGACTATGAAAAGCCCATCACCTGGATTACCATCCCTCGCGGTGCCAAGAGCAAGGACGAGGTCAAGTACTGGCACTGGAAGAACGGCATGCCCATCCACACCGCCTCTGGCTTTGAGGACGATCAGGGTCGTATCATCATCGACTCGTCGCTGGTGCATGGAAACGCGTTCCCCTTCTTCCCGCCGGACACGGAGGAGCAGAGGCAGAAGCAGCAGACCGCTGGAACGCCCAAAGCGCAGTTCGTGCGGTGGACCATCGACCCACGCAAGGACAACAACGTCCAACTCCCCGACCCGGAAGTCATCCTCGACACGCCCTCCGAATTCCCGCAGATCGACAACCGATTCATGGCCGTCGAGTACTCGAGCGCCTTCATCAACGTCTTCGTCCCCGATCGCAGCGATGGCAACAAAAACGTCTTCCAGGGTCTCAACGGTCTGGCGCACTACCGACGCAAAGAGGCGAGTGTGGAGTGGTACTATGCCGGCGACAACTGTTTGATCCAGGAGCCCGTGTTCAGTCCTCGTTCGGCGGATGCTCCTGAGGGCGATGGGTTTGTGATGGCTATCGTCGATCGACTCGATCTGAACCGCAGCGAGGTGGTGGTCATCGACACGAGAGACTTTACGAAAGCGGTGGCGGCGGTGCAGCTGCCCTTTGCCATTCGATCGGGCATTCACGGTCAATGGATCCCCGGTCAGGTCACGCCGGACTTTGACACCAAGGGTCTGGTGGATCTGCCCAAGGAGGAGCACTGGGCGCCCAAGTCTCAGAGCGCGTTCGATCCGAATGCGTGATGTTTTTTCTCAAACTGTCGATGGTTTTCACTGCTTTGTCGCCTAGCTTCTGTCATGTTGAAACGATACCAAGGTCGTAAAGGTGTGGATTGAGTGTGTGTGGTAGCGTTTCTGTCGTGTTGTGTTGCCGATGAGCACCGGATGCATGCTGATGAAAGAGTCGAAAGGTGGATCACTTCCCGTCGCTGCACATCTACGATTCGGACTCGAGCACTTGCGGTTCTACCGCAGGTTCCTCTGCTACATCCTTCACCGCCGGACTGTCGATGATCACATTCGGCCTTTGATCCTCACTCTCATCAACCGCATTCCTCTCCGCTCCATCGTCTGGTGCCTCTCTCAACCGCCTATCCTTCTCCACGCCCGCTCTGGCCTTTGCGATCAACTCGTCGAAGTGCGACTTGTTCGACTTGACCCAGCTGCCCTTCTGCCTATCCACTACGGCCGAGTGATCCTTCGCTGACGATTTTGTGCGTTCCCACGCGGCGAGCTCCCTTCTCAACTGCCCCGCGCTGCGCCTCGCTTTCGTCGAATCCAGATTGGCGTTCCAGAGGTTGATCCATTGACGATGACGTTCCACCAGCTTTTCTCGATCGCCCGAGGTGGGGAGACCTGCATCGTCGAGCAGCTTGCGCAGATCGCGGTCGGACTTGAGGTTGTACTGCGGTCGATGGAGTCGTTTCTCGTTCGCGGTATCCGAGCCGGCGATGGTGGTGGAGAGGGAGGACGAAGAGGTGATGCTGGGTTTGGTGAACCAGGACGAGGCGGGTTTGGCGGGTTTCGATGCTAGACCACGCTCTTCCGGTGATGGTTCTGGAAAACCGGGGTAGCAGCTTGCAGAGTCGAGATGACGGTTCAAGGCCGAGACGGTGAACTTGTGGCTGCAGATGGGACACTGGACCAGATCGTCCGCTTTGAGTTCTCGATCCGAGGACTTTGGCGGTGGATCTTCCCTGGCGCTGTGACTGCGTCGTTTGGAGGGCGAGGCGCGGGCACTTGCTGCTGCATCGACGTAGTCGTCATCGCGCTCGTTGTCGTCCTTGTCGTCGTCGGTGGCGTGGATGAAGTCGTCATCGTCGTCCGGGATGGTGAGGGGGGAAGAGCGCGAGCCTGTGTTTTGTTCAACTGCCGACGTGGAAACATCGGTCTTGATGCGCTTGGACCTGCGTGGTGGACTTGCAGCGCTCGGCGAGGAGGCACCATCGTCGACGACAACGTGATCCAGCTGCGCACGTTTGGACGAAGACGCTATTGGTGGAGGCGACGAGATCTGACGAGCCTTTTGCTCCGACTGTAGCCGAGCCAGGAAAGAACGTGATCTCTTCCACTCGAGCGCAGTGACCTCTAGGACGGGCTGCGGTATCAATTCGGAATCGTACGCCTTGGTCTGCCTGCACTTGGGACAGAAGCTGCCGCTGTTGCCGGACTGGTTGATGTGTGTGCGGATGCAGGTGGAGCAAAACGTGTGGTGGCAGCTCTTGATCGATACGGGCGAGGTGTAGATGTCCTGTTGACAAGTGTACGCGAGAAGCATGTCAGCACGATGGTTGAAATCAAAGGCAGAAGAAATGGCGAGGCATGGTCACTCACAAAGCAAAGATCGCATCGTAACGACGCATCGAGGTTTCTAAGAAGGGCAAAGCCGTCTTTCCAGTCGGAGGGGTCGGTGACATCGTCCATGAGGGTAGCCACCGACGACTGCATCACGGAATTAAATTGTCTCCGATGACGACGAGGACGGCAATGACAAGGGCGGAAGGGCAGGGCTCGACCGTGATCCGCTCGATGGGGAGAACGAAAGGCCAAACCAGCGCTATTGCAGTCGCGGGTGTGCGCACCTTGAGTTGCTGCGGGGGTTCAGCCGCCAAGTCGGTATCGATCGTCGGGATCCTGCCGAAAGCTTCGGATGCTGGTGGCAGTGGTGTGTTGTTGGTGATGATCATGACAATTGTGTGACGGCAAGTCCGCCACCTCCAGAAAGTGCCGAATACCTTGCCGGGCGTGTTGCTCTTCTTGATTGCTCAGCTTTGCGGCAAATTGACCGAAGTGCCGAATTTGTGCGTGCTGCACGACACAGCGAAATGCTGAGCGAGCAGAGACAAATATGCAATTTACGCGAAGCGGACCCTCCGACGTCACGCGTCTCAAATCTTCGGATCCAGCTTTCTGAGATAGAGGGGCAAGAAATAATGTATATATACACAATAAATTGTAGACCAAGTACGTACAGGTTTCTTGGCGCAGTTGGTTAGCGCGTCTCCTTAACAATTCTGATCCATCAGATCGTTAGGGCTTACGGAGGAGGTCGCCGGTTCGAACCCGGCAGAAATCATTTTTTTCTTCTGGACTTCGTCGTATAGCTCTCACACATGGTTGGCGGCGACGATCGCTACTGAGAGACAAAAGACGGACGTCGAGTTGGGTTGGACTGCAGCTTCACTTACGCCGATTCATTGCATGAGAGAAAGTCTGCTTCTCACATCCCACTCCTCTTGAGCTCGTCACGCTCTCTGTCCGAGGTCGACAGTTGCGACGACGCTCAGGTCGACTTCGGCTTGATTGCCGAAAGGAGCACCACCAACCTCAGGAAGCGACAACGCCTCGGCGCCGTGGCCATAGCGACGATGTGAAAAACAAAGAGGAGCACGGTCGTGCACGGGCTGGCTGCCGAGATCACCCACCACAATCACGAAAGACGAGCCTGCGATCATAGAGTAGAGCAAGTTGGCCTCGATTGGCTCGTCTTTTGCTCTGCGTTGCGGCCGATCTGTCGCTTGATCCACGGTAGACTTGGAAGACATCCGAACCGCCCACAAGAGCGCGAGAGAGAGAAAGAGAGCGATCGTCGTCGGTTCGACCTTTTGCGCGAGATTTTGGATTTTAGCACAGGTTGGGGCGTCAGAATCTCACACACATAGGCACAACACGCTCTGTTACAAGTTTAAGGCGTGGTGTCGGTTAATTCCTTCGTGAAGAAGAACGTCACGCACGAAGCACTTTGCCTTCTGGCTACAGCGACGGCTAACCGAAGTAGTCCACCCAAGCCAAGCCGAAACCCAAGCGAAGCGGCTCAATAGAGTCAAAAACCAAAAATCACGACACGAGAGCGCTTTGTGGTGAAGCAATGTGGAAATTGAAACGAATATTAGAGAAAAAGAAAAAACGAAAAGTGTGCCGTCGTCGTCCGGCACCGGTCAGCGTCGAGATGTCTGATCGCGACCGGAACCCTACCGCCTTTGTGCGTGTGCGTTGCAGAGACAGACGCAGGCGCGAGAAAATTCAACACGCTTTGCTTGGACGAACAGCACGCCGACGACGACACGCCCGCTCTCGCCGTCGCCCACCTTTCCATCGACAGCAGGCGAGCATGCAAGCAGGATCACACGCTTCTCTTCTCGCCGTCACCACCTCCTCTCTTCCATCGTTGATCAAGAGCCGTCAAACTTGCATTTTCACGTCACCACCACCAGAGGGCCTTCTCCTCAACCTTGTTCGACAGTGCATACCTCGAATCAGCCTGCACGTCACTTTCATTGCACGCAAGTCACTCGGTCACTCCGTCGTCGGTCTCTGCCTCTTTCGCCCTTTTGCTTCTAACAACCTCGGCTCGTCCCCGACATTCAACACTCCTCTAGCATCACGCGCCTCGCCTCGCCTCGCCTCGTCTCGTCTCGCTGCGCACAGCACCACTCGACAACATCGGCACACCCGCTCCTTTGCTCATCGAGGCTGAGTCAACTTGACCTTTCGGCTTTGTTCCGCACCGCTCTCGCTCATCATCACTTGCCAACAACGAGCAACATCATCTCGAACACAATGCTCCTCTAGCTCGGTCAGCCCATCTGCATCTCCGAATCCCACAGTACGCACGCACTACAATCACACAAGCAGCATATTGCACCTTGCTCAAACCCACGTCGGCCCTTCGCTGCCTCAGCATTCGCATACTCGTTTTCCTCGCTCCCTTCCATACGTTGAGCATTAGCAGCTCATCATGTCGGGTAAGTATCAGTCATGCAAACCATCGTGCCTAGCTCTGAAGGCGCGGCTATCCACTCGGTCGTTCAATCAGCGCTGACTCCGATAGCTCTTGCTTCCCAATCTGGCTCGCTTACAGCATCAGCAGACGCTGTCAAGCGCGAAGCTGACGCGCTTTCATCACCGCCGCCTACCGACGCATCTGCACTCAAGATGGACTCCAGCGCAGACTCGTCCTCAGGACCCATCAAGCCAGACGTCTCCGAGGAGCAGCCCAAACTGAGCCGCCCACGACGGGACTCTTCCCCCTTGTCAGACGTATCCCAAAAGGCAGAGTCTCGCTCCGCAAAGAAGGAGCTTTCCGACGATCGCGACGACACGGACGTCGACGACGACGCAGACCACTCCAAGCCCTACCACCACCAGCTCGACCGCGTCAAGGCCGGCTCTCCAGCTTCGTCCAGGAACAGCAGCCCCTCCCGTTCGTCCGTCAAGCCAGACCGCAAGCATCTCCTCGAAGCTGAGAACGATCCGGACCTCTACGGGCTAAGACGTTCCGGTCGCGCCAGCAGAAAGTCCTACACCGATCTCAACGACCAAGACGCCGACTCGGACGATGCAGACGCCTCCGTCTCGTCTCGGCGTCGACACCTCGTCAAAGGCGGCCGTGCTTCCGTTCGCAGCTCTGTCCAGGCCAGCGACGACGACGGCGCCGATGATGGTGCCGATGACAGCGACGACGACAGCGACGATGCTCAAGACGACGAGTTTGGCCCTGCCAAGTCCAAGAAGAAGCGCAAGCACAAGCGACTGCCAGCAGCCCCCCGTCTCTCTTCCGCTGACCTCGAAGCTTCTCGTATCTCGAGCAGGAACGGCAGACGCATTCCCAACTACACCGACGACTATGCCGACCTCGGTGACGATGATCCCTTCGAAGATGAAGCCGACATGCAGGCGCAAAGGCATGCACTCGATGCCGGCGACGTCGAAGAAGAGGACGTCATCGAAAGCATCGTCGGTCACGAGCGACACGAGGACCGTCTGGACGACAAGGAAGACGTCCCCACCCAAAACATGCGCTTCATCGTCAAGTGGAAAGGCTACTCACACCTCCACGATACCCACGAAACCTACGACTTTCTCCGACGCTATCGCGGCTTCAAGCGCGTCGACAACTACATCAAGGCCGTCTTCATGCGCGAAAAGGCGCTCCTCTCCGATCCCCACGCTTCCCGCGAAGACATTGAAGCGCTTCAGATCGAAAAGGAGAGGCAAGCCGAGCTCATCGAGAGCTTCAAGACCGTCGAGCGTATCATCGCCCAGCGCGACAACGACGCCAACAAGGACGTTCCGTATCCGCATCTCGCCTACCTCGTCAAGTGGAAGGGCCTGCCCTACGGCGATTGCACGTGGGAAGCTGAGGAGGAGATCAAGGAGATCGCACAGGATGCCATCAACGCCTACGTCGAACGTTCCGCCTCGGTGACGGTCCCATGGCGCTCGCAGAACTTTTCGCAGGGCCGTCCCAAGTACACACGCATGACCGAGCAGCCCGCCTACATCAGCGCAGGCACGCTCAAAGACTTTCAGATGACCGGTCTCAACTGGCTCGCCTACCTCTGGAGCAAGAACGAGAATGGCATCCTCGCCGACGAGATGGGTCTCGGCAAGACGGTGCAGACCGTCTCGTTCCTCTCGTACCTATTCCACTCGTGCTATCAGTACGGTCCCTTCCTCGTCGTCGTGCCACTTTCCACACTGCCCGCCTGGATGAACCAGTTCGAGCACTGGGCTCCCGACCTCAACGTCATTGCTTACATGGGCAACAGCGCCAGCCGAGACATGATCCGCGAGTACGAGTTCGGACCGCCCAAAAAGATGAAGTTCAACGTCCTTGTCACGACCTACGAATTCATCCTCAAGGATCGCGCCGAGCTTAGTCATATCAAGTGGCAGTTCTTGGCTGTCGACGAGGCGCATCGACTCAAGAACTCCGACGCGCAGCTCTACGAGGCGCTCAACAGCTTCCACGCCGCAGGCAAGTTGCTCATCACAGGCACACCTTTGCAAAACAACGTCAAGGAGCTCATCGCGCTCCTCCACTTCCTTCGACCCGACCAGTTCGATCTCGACGTCGACTTTGACATCAACGATGTCGATCAGACTGTCATCAAGGAGCTTCACGAGAAGCTCGACAACGTCATGCTTAGGCGTCTCAAGAAGGACGTCGTCAAGGAGCTCCCCACCAAGTCGGAGAAGATCCTCCGCGTCGAGATGTCGGCCATGCAACAGCGCATGTACAAGGCCATCCTCACCCGCAACTACTCGCTCCTCAGCGGCGCAACCACCGCCCAGTTCTCGCTGCTCAATGTCGCCATCGAGCTCAAAAAGGCCTCCAATCATCCGTACCTCTTCGACGGCACCGAGACCATCTCGGACAACCGCGAGGACACGCTCAAAGGCCTCGTGATGCACAGCGGCAAGATGGTGCTGCTCGATAAGCTCCTCGCCCGACTCAAAGCCGACGGTCACCGCGTGCTTATCTTCAGTCAGATGGTGCGCATGCTCGACATCCTCTCCGACTACATGTCGCTCCGCGGATACATCCACCAGAGGCTCGACGGCACCGTATCGTCCGAGGTGCGAAAGAAGGCCATCGAGCACTTCAACGCAGAGGGCTCGCCCGACTTTGCCTTCCTCCTCTCCACGCGTGCCGGTGGTCTCGGCATCAACTTGGAGACCGCCGACACGGTCATCATCTTCGACAGCGACTGGAATCCGCAGAACGATCTGCAGGCCATGGCTCGAGCCCATCGCCTCAACTCCAAGTTCCACGTCAGCGTGTTCCGCCTGCTCACCAAGGACACGGTGGAAGAAGACGTGCTGGAACGTGCCAAGCGCAAGATGGTGCTCGAGTACGCCATCATCCACCAGATGGACACCTCCGGTACCAATTTTGCGCCCAAAGCGGCCGCCAAAAACCAGCAGCAGTTCAGCAAGGAGGAGCTTGGTGCCATCCTCAAATTCGGTGCGCAAAACATGTTCAAGAGCGAGAACGAGGATGGCCAGCAAAAGAAGCTCGACGAGATGGACCTGGACGACATCCTGTCGCATGCCGAGGCGCATGAGACCGAGGTGGACCCTACCGGCAGCTCGGCCGGTGGTCAGGAGTTCCTCAAGTCATTTGCTCAGGTCCAAGACTTCAAGGCTGACCTCAGCTGGGACGACATTATCCCGCTAGAGGAGCGTCAGAAAGCCGAGGAGGAAGAGCGCAAGAAGGCTGTCGAGGAAGCCGCTGCAGCTGCTAGCTCTTCGCGTCGACGTGCTGCAGCCCAAGTCGCGCCTGGCGCTTACGACAACGGCGAGGGAGACGATCGGGCCACGTCTCCTGGGGCTTCCGCCAAGGACGCCGCCCGACGCTCGCGCAAGACGGCTGCTCAGCGCTCCGTCGAGATGAAGGAGCGCGACCTGCGTGTGCTGATCCGCGGCATCCAACGATGGGGTGACATTCGGTACAGAACGGACCCGATCATCAAGGAGGGCAAGCTGCAGGACAAGAATCGATCCGTGCTCTACCAGATCTCAGACGAGCTAGTCAAGACGTGCGAGGATGCGGTCGCCGAGCACCAAGCGTTCATGAAGGGCAAGCAGGAGCGCGGCGAAGAGATCTCGTCTGCGCTGCGTCAAAAGGCGGTGCTGGTGTCGTGCCGCGGCATCACGGGCATCAATGCCGAGACGGTGCTGATCCGACACTACGAGCTGCGTCTGCTCTCCGAGACGCTGGATAACGTGGAAGAGCCGCTCGACTGGCGCGTGCCGTCGGAGCACCTGAAAGCTACGCTCAACTGGGCCGGCGGTTGGGATGCCAAGGACGATGCGATGCTGCTGGTGGGTATCTGGAAGTACGGCTTCGGTGCCTGGGAGCAGATCGAAGCCGATCCCGACTTTGCCATGGCGGGCAAATTTTTCCTGGAAGAAGGCAAGAAGGCGAATCAGGAACCACACGCAGCCGAGAAGGACGCTCCTCGAAGCGGCACCTCGGGACCTCCTCAGGGCAAGCCACGCCCGATCCCGAACGCCATCCACCTGGTCCGCCGCGGCGATTATCTGCTCAAGGTGCTGCGCGAGTACGACGACAACGCCAAGGCGTATCAGAAGAGCCTGTCCGAGGGAGGCGCACCCAAGAGCAGCGGCAAAAAGGCACGAAAGAGCCCCTCGCCATCGACGAACTCGCCTGCACCGGCTGGCAAGTCTGGCAAAGGTGGCAGCGGCGGGGCTGCAGATAAGCGACGCCCTGCACCGGCGTACTCATCCGACTCTTCGGACGATAGCGAGTACGCGAGCATGGACGAGGCCGAATGCAAGGAGCTGATGCGACCATGCAAGAAACAGCTCAAGCGACTGAGGGACGGAACGGACCACCTGGAGCGCGACCAGAAGGTGTCGGTGCTGAAAGAGTGCCTTTCCGCCATCGGTGGACACATCGACCATCTGCTGGACACCAAGTTTGCCAGCTTGACGTCGAAGGAAAAGGATCGATGGTTCCACCACCTGTGGGCGTTCAGTGCGTTCTTCTGGCCCAAGAAGGTCAAGCCCTCGAAGTTGCGAGCCATCTTTAACAAGCTGGTGATGAACGGACCCGCAAGCTCGACACCAGCAGCATCAACGCCAACGATTGCTGCAGCGGCCAACAACGGCGAGTCGGGATCGCCGCCAGCAACAGCACCAGCAGCCGCATCAGCAGCAACACCATCGGGATCGGCTGGACGCGTCAAGTCGGAGTCTGTCGCGGCCGAAGGAGGGGGCGAGAATGGGGCCAGCCACACACCTAGCGCGGCAGCGAGCACGCCTTCGAGCGAATTCAAGCGGAAGGCCAACCCGCTGCAGGACGCACCAATCCCAAAGAAGCCACGCACGTCGATGGAGCCGTCTTTGAGCGGTGGAGGCGGGCGCGGAGGCTACGGAAATGGTTACGGTGCTTCGCCGGGTGGTGGAGCCAACCCGCCGTATCCACCTCCTTACTATCCAGCGTCATCGGCAAGCCACGGCTACGGCCATGGACACGGATACCATGGCGGTGCGCCTCTGCCGCCGCCACCGCCTGCTTCGCATCACTATGGAGGCGGACGCGAGCCGTACCCACCCGCCTATCCGGATCGACGTGATTCGCCGTATCGAGAGGGACGCGAGCGCGACTACCGAGACGGAAGGTACTCTCACCCACCTCCACCGCCACCTCCCGCCGGAGGATCTGGCTATGGAGGCTATCAGAACTACCAGCCGCCTCCGCCTCCTCCGCCTCAGCATGGATACGATTACCGCCGTTGATATCGCTTTGTGGACCGCAGCAGCCCATGAGCATCGAAATTTGAAACACCGTTTGAAATGCAAGACGAAAGTCAGTTTGTGGGATAACTGTGCGTCGGGCCACAAGCGCTCTCGATACAGTTGCCTGTGTATCGTTTCCGGTGAAATCGAGTACCACTGCCGTGCTGTGCAACTCATGCACCAGATGGTTGAGGAACCGACGATTCGCAATCAGCTCTGCGAATGGACGCAGGGACGCAACACGAGCATTGCAGTTCGCCATCTTCACTCTTCCAGAGAGGCGTTCACAGCGGCGTTGAGCGCAGGACCACCAACAAAGGATCAGGGGCTTCTTGCCAACGAGCAAGCGGACCACCATTCGGCATGGGAAAAAGAATAAAAGTCGATTGAGAATCAAGGCTTTTAAAAGATCGATTCTACTTGGCCGCAGCGATCACTGAGCCCAGAATTATGTGGGGGGAGAACAGCTGATTGATCGAATCCATCGCTGGCGGTTTGTAGGCTGTATACAAGTACACCTGTCAAAGAGGGAACACCATTGCTCTTCGACAAGCTAGGTGAGATCGCGGTCCACGCCTTGATGTGCGAAAGTTGCGCCCGAGGTGGATGAGCTTCGTCAAGCGTTAGCCGTCGCTCTGACCCGACATGCCACGAAAAGAAGCGCTTATCGCGGGTCAGGCGAGGACTCACAAGCTGCTATACGATCTGCTCAACGAGGTGGGCGAAGCTGGTGCTCTCAGAACTGTGATATCTGACGCGACGAGACCGTTGTATTCATCGTCCCTGCCATGTCCAAACTGACGACGGTGTTAAATGGTGGATGGTGTTGGCCCCCACGATCAACTATCGACATGCGGAGCGTCCTGTGCTTGAAATCATCCACATTCACTCCGCGTCTCCCAGAGGCGACAGATCCACGCCCTCCCTCACCACGCACCTAACCCTAAACGGCCTCGGTCTGACACTAAACCCCCTCCCGTCCTCCACCGCCGTCAGTGGATCAATCTCGAACTCGCCCTCCGGCTCGATCTCGAAAAAGTGGATCAAGAACACCAGTGTCGTGTAGATCTCCTGCAGCGCCAAGAACGCACCTGGGCACGATCTACGACCTACCCCGAACGAGTAGGTCTCGACGCCGTGCGACTGGAGGAACCGTTCCGGTCGGAATTCCATCGGTGAAGGGAAGCGCGAAGCGTCGAGGTTGCACGCCCACGAGTTGAGCAGGAACGTGGTTCCGCTGGGGATGGTCGTGTTGCCGTAGACGACCGAACGAACGTTGGTTCGCGGTAGAGAGATGCGGAATACTGTGAAGAGGCGAGATGCTTCTTTGGCTATGGCGTGGATGTAGGGGAATTGCGGGGGGGAGGAAACGTCCGGTAGTTGGTGGGAGGGGTTGTGGGTGACGAGCTCCGAGTGGGCTTTGTGTTGGATGGACGGGTGCTTGGCGAGGTACCCAATGGTCCAGATCATCGCTGTGAGTGAACAGAAAGGTCAGTGGGAGATCGGAGAGGATGCAGGGAGAAAATGACTCACTGTTTGCGAATGTGTCGAGACCAGCCGAGACCATCGAGAGGCAGATCGAGTCGATCTCCATGCGAGAGAGCTTCCTGCGCGATTCGGGGTCTTTGAGGATGTTTCCAGCTGGCAATTGACAAGTTGGAAGACGTCAGCTTCCTCCATCGAGACCTCTGCTCGATCTTCGTTCAAACTTACTGATGCAGATCTCGTCCTTTCCCTGGGCTATGCGCTGTTCCAGCTCGTCGTACAGCTTGTCCATGAACTTTTTGCGACGAAGACCGTACGAAGCTGCAGCCTGGGACTTTGCCGGAAAGTATCGCATGATGGGTACGTAGTCCTGCAACGAGCCGGTCACTGCTCGAACGCTTTGCGCCCAAAGAAACGATGGTCAGCACCTGGAGTGGTTGGGACAGCTTTGCTTAATGATGCTTACGACGCTACTTTGGCAATCACCTCTGCGATCTCCTCGAACAACCCATCGTCCCTCTCCTCCATCCTAAACCCATAATTGACCTGAAAATTGGTGTTCAGCGCAAGACGTTGAAAGTATGCATACGGAACGATGCCCTTCCTCCCACCCTCGCCATCTTTGAGGATCCGTCGGATGGCATCCAACGACTCCTGCCGTATGATGGGCAGGTAGGACTGTACAGCTGGACGGTTGAGAGCCGTAGCGGCGGCTTTGCGTTTGTTGGCTGTGCTTTCGTTCCAGGGTGAGGTGCCGATGGTGAAGGCGGATGATTTCGAGAGGACGCTGTGGAACGTGTGGAAGTACGGGCGCGAGATGAGGGACGAGCCTTGCTCGTTGAACAGCGTGTGGGCTGCGCGTGGCGAGTTGACGACGACTACGGTTCGATTGCCAATGTGAACCTTGAACACCTATGCACCCCCTCACCGGAAATCAAAGCACACAGTGTCAGCGCGGATCAGAAAAGTATAGATGGTTTCAAAGGATTGCCGCACATCACCGTATGTTTTGGCTGCCTGTCGAAAATGCTCGGCCCAGTTGTCGCCGAGGTCGAACCAGGATCCAAAGATGGGCCAGCCTCGAGGTCCGGGCAGGTCGATGCTGCGGTCTCCGGGTAGTATGCTCCTGACGAACAGGGCGGAGATGGCGATCACTGATAGAGCGATGAGCGCGTTCGGAATGGGTACTTCGAGGATAGTGGCAAGCATGTCTGGTCACTTCGAAGCTGGTTGCGGGAGCGCTCATTCACGAAAGTGTTTCATACTCGAAAAGGACCTCCGTTACAATTTCGGTTCCTGCTTCTTATAGCATGAGCCCAGCTGTCGCTGCATTTGGGGTATCAGTGTCAGAGACATCTCTTGGGTCTTCCTGGTACATCGACCCGAATCATCTTTAGCGCGTGATCGCAGCGTGATCTGCGCGAGCGGGTAACCTAGACTTGCATCCTTTAGCTGTGGTAAATGAGACTCGACGGTCGACATGCGTCTGCTCGAAGGTCGATACCCAAACCTATTTTGACCAGCAGATGGTCGCATTGAGGATGTCGAAAGCTCGTCCCTTCCACACACACCTCACGACCTCGATCGTCTCACCAACTACCGTTCATCATGTTTCGTTCCATCTTCCCAGCCAGGGTTGGCAATGCCCTCGTCTCTTCAGCACAACCGGTCGCGCCCAGCTTCTCTCCCATCTCTTTCGCCCAACGCCGCCATCTGACAATCAAGTCGCTGGACCACCTCGTCATGACGTGTCACAGCATCGATCAGACCATCTCGTTCTACACGCGACTCGGTATGCGATCCGTGCAGTTTTCGCAAGACCGCAAAGCGCTTTCGTTTGGGGATCAGAAGATCAACCTTCATCAGAGGGGAAAGGAGTTGTGAGTGTTTCTCTAGTTCGCAGAGTGAAAAAGGTACGTGGCACTGACTTGGGATGTTGCTTTGTGAAACAGTCTTCCAAGTAAGTGAACGTTGAAGGGGTGAAAGGAGTGTTGAGGGAAATGGAAACTGAAGAAGGATTGCGTTCTGCAGATGCGAGGCATGCGCAACCTGGAGTTCACGACTTGTGCTTTGTCATCGATGGAGGTATTGATGAAGCGATGGTGAGTATGCACGCGGGACGGACATCAGAAGACAAGTGTCGCAAGCACGTGCTAATATCCTTGCCCACCACACAGAGACATTTGAAGAAACAAGGGATTGCCATCGTCGAGGGCCCAATCAAGCGGACGGGCGCGGTGGGTCCGATCACGAGCGTGTACGCGAGGGATCCTGACGAGAATCTGATCGAGGTGAGTGGTTCCGGACAAGCACGACGAAGAGTAGCCAGACGAAGCTGACGGACATACATGCTGCTCAGCTCTCGTCGTATGATCATGTTTGAATGAGCGCCGCATGCAAGTTTTGAGCATCAAGCTCTCCAAGGCCGCCGTTTCCCGCACCTCAGAACGACGAAATGCAAACATTGTGACCTCCCAACTAGCATGAGAGACATTGACCTTAAGGTTCGTGTGACAATGACTTGGACAGGACACGATCGATCCACTGTCCACTCTGACCCAAGTAGTTCTTTGGATCGCAGAGCTCCTCCAGCTCCTCCCTGCTCGCTTTGCTCGCGATCTCTTCATTCTCCATCAACGCATCCACCAACGGTCTGTCCTCGACAAACGCCTTTCTGCAGCACTCGTACACCACATCGTGCGCGTACTGACGACCCATCTTGTCCCCCAACCCCATCATCACCGCTTCGCTGACCACCAATCCTTTGGAAATCTCGAGGTTCCTCTGCATTGCGTCGCCAAACACCTGCAAATCCTTGAGAATGAAATCGGCGTTGGCGAGCGCTGCGGAAGACCAGTTCATCATGAGTGGGAGTTGGACCCAGATGATCTCCCAGGGACCCGTGCCGCGTTCGTGGTCGGACTGCATGGCGTCGAGCATGGCGGAGGTGGAGGCGCGGACGTTGGCGGCGCACGCGTGGATGTAGACGCACGAGATCGGGTTGTTCTTCTGTGGCATGGTGGAGGAAGATCCGCGGTTGGCGAGGTACGGTTCAGAGACTTCGGCGATTTCCGTCTGAGACATGAGTTTGATGTCGGTGGCGAGTTTGGCTAGGGTTCCCGTCAAAAGGCCGAGGAAGGTGCCGACTTCGGCGAACCGATCGTGCTCTGTATGCCAGGCGATCTCGGCTGGTCGCAGATCGAGCGCGGTGGCGAGCGCATCGTGGGTAGCAATCCCCTTGTCGCCCAACGAAGAAAGGTTGCCGGCAGCTCCACCGAACTCCAACGTATAGACTCGCTGCTCCAGCTCAGCGAGTCGATCCTGATGTCGGCGAAACGTAGCCAAGAATCGCGCCATCTTGAACCCAAATGTGATGGGTACAGCTTGCTTGAGGTTGGACCTCCCCGCCATGGGTAAATCACGATGTTCCTCTGCGAGTCGCTCCAGACTGCTGATGATGCTATGCAGCTTTTGCTTGACGATCGTCATCGACTGTCGGATCTGCATGACAGTAGCCGTGTCGGTGATATCCTGCGTAGTCGCTCCCCAGTGGCAGTACTCGCCGAGCCCATCTTTGCAGTTGGCGACGAGCTGCTGGACGATGCCGAGGATGGGGTAGCCGATGAGTTCGGTCTTTTGCTTGTACAGCGCAAAATCGATCTCTTCTACCCGGCAGTGCGAGACGATCTCGGCGGCGGCGCGGTGTGGGATGATGTCAAGCTCGGCTTGGACCTGGGCCAGGGCGGCTTCGATTTGGAGGTAGCACGAGACACGGTTCTGATCGGACCAGATGGTGCGCATTTCGGGGGTGCCAAAGATGTCGCTGAATGTGCCTGATGTGTCCGAGAGGTCGGCCAGACCAGTCAGCTTGAGGTTTAAGGAGGTCGAGTAGCGCAGCTTGCCGGGTGCAGCGCCGGAAGCACTGCCAGCGTTGAGCGCTGAGCTATGGCCAAGCGAAGGGGCCATGTTGAGCTGATTGATTGTGAGCCTCGGTCGACTCCTCGCCAACAATGACGTGCAACGGGCGAGACGTGACATGGTGGGATGCGCTCTTTTATGCGTATGTTCCGTTGTGCGATGCTGCGTTGTCGAGTGATCTGCGTGAGGAAGGCGTGATCTGCGAGTGATGATCACGTTCAAGTCACGCTGGTCGTTTAAGGACAAGCTCGAGATGATCCTCCCGACCTTGACCTCATCATCTGCACAAACCATCCTACGCTCGCTCTATCGCTCGTCTGTCTCACAAAGCGTTGCGTAAATTCGACGCGGATAAGTCCCACGTGGCAATGGACAAGGGTCCATACAGCAGCTGATCACGGCGGAGTAATCGTGGAGCAAATGGGACCGTCATTGAGTGCGCTCGCCAGCAGCCGCCCATATCTCGCCATACAAGTAGATCAGGGCCTGACAAACCAGTCCGATGAAAAGCGTGAGAACCGCACCCACAGTAAATGTCCAGCCAGCTCCCACAGCCGCGATCATTGGCTGGACAACAGCCACCGCCCCCGCGCCCAGCACGCATCGTCCGAGGTTGACCGCGGCTGTGGCGCTGGCTGCTTTGCCCGGGTACAGGTCCACGATGAGCGTGTTGATGTTGGTAAAGTACATGATCGAGAAGAAGCCCACTTTTCCAGCACAAAGAAGGCAGGTCAGCACGATGCTCGATCGAGGCAAGCCAGCATGCTTTCCGTCAACTCACCTGCAAACTGGAATACGACAGGGAGCGCTATGTGAAGCTTCTCTCCCACACTCCAACCGTACGCCAGCAGCGACACCGAATAGCACGGCAGGTAGATCCACGCCGACTGCAGCCTCACCCGCGTCATCCTCACCGGCGTTGCACCTTTCGCTACAGCTCGTCGATAGTCCCAATCCAGGATCTTTCCCGCCAGCACTGTCCCCACCACACACCCAACACCGCTCGGAACAAAACTCACCCCGATCCACAGCTCGTCCAGCCCATACACCTTCTTGAACAGATACGGCAGAGATGCAGACGAGAGGTAGTAGCTGGCGTATACGATCGAGTACGCGATGATGGCTAGGGACGTCTCTGGTCGGGTGAAGACTAGAAATGGTTGGAGGAAACCGAATTGTTGCGGAGTGGAGAGTGGATGCTTCATCGGAGGTCGAGGTGAGTTTGCTACGGAGGAGACTGGTCTTGGCTGTAACAGCGGTCGATAGATGCCCCGGACCAAGGCGCTACCGTTGCCGACGATCGAACGAAGCGTCTCGACCAAGCACAGGACCATGAATATCAAAAATGGTCCGGACAGAGCGGTTAGGAAGAAAAACGTAGCATGGTAGTCCCAGCGTCGAGACAGAGCACCGCCGATCACCGGTCCAATCGCCAGTCCAGTGTACTGTGCCAGCGCGTAGTAGCCCATGTAGCTGCCTCGCTCGTTGGGTTCGGTCACGTCGGCAATCGTGCCCGCTCCAATTGCGATGGCGCTGCATGCACCGACTGCTTGGAAGACTCGCAGGACGAGCAGCACCGGGTACGAGGTTGTGAAGGACAGTCCGATGTTGGCCAGGACAAAGATTAAAAAGGTCGAAATGTAGATCGGTCTACGGCCATGCACCTGGTTTGGAGGCAAGGTCAGCATAGAGGTACGAGGAGGTTTGACCGGGATCAGGACTCACATCCGAGAGCGGAGCCCATACAACTGGCGATACACCCTGTGCCACCATAAACACGGTCACCGTGAGGTTGGCCGCCGCTGTTCAAACGACAATATGGAGTGAGAACAACCCGTTCTATATCAATTATGCGTTCTGTCGTGACTCACCTTCGGAAACATGTAGCGCACTGGCGATCTGAGGCAGCGCGGGGATGTAGATGTTGATCGTCAACGGTGAGAAGAATCCCACCATGGAAACGGTTGCCACGACGAAGTGTCTGTAGCGCGAGGTGAAGGCGCAGTACGGTTCTGCTTCGTCTTCGGAAGGCGGGTCGTTCATCTCTGGTGGACTAGACCCGCGGTTTCTGTCCCTCGAAGGGACGGCGGCGATCGAGTCTGGAGTCGATGCGGGCTTCGTTGCTGGTGAGGCTGTCATCGTGAGCTGCAATGGTGGTGGTGAAGAGCATCGACGTTTCTTAGGATGGACGGTTTGCCAAGGTTGATTAGCTCAAGTCAAGCTCTACGAACGTCGATTAGCTCGCTGAGTTCCAGAGTTGGGGAGTCACAACCGAATAGTCTTTCGGCGGTCGAGAAGCGGTTGACTGGAACCTTTTCATGTTTGCCCGCGTTGGTTTGGGCTGTGCTTGCCACGAGACTGAACGTATTCGTGCTCGAGACGGCGTGACTTGGCGTGACTACCGCGTGCATCACACGGGACGATGGGCGCGCTGATGGTAGTGCTCAGCGTGCCTGTCAACCGACATTAGTGTAGCAGAGCGTGCTTCCCAATGAGCCGATGATGCTTCAGCAGGCGACGTGACGGAACTGAGCATTGACAGACTGTCATGAGCATGCTTGTGTCAGTAGATATAATGCCAGTCACCTCCCAGCCTCCCTTGTCCCCATTCACCTCAGCCTCCATCGCTTCCAAAATGCAAAACTCCATCGACACCACCATCTATCGAGCCGGAACCAGCCGCGGAATCTACCTCCTCGCCAACGATCTACCATCCGATCCTGCACATCGTGATGCTGCGCTGCAATCCATCATGGGATCCGGACATCCGTTGCAAATCGACGGTGTGGGTGGGGGAAACTCGCTGACTTCCAAAGTGGCGCTCGTATCTGCCAGTTCCAAGAGCGACCATCACGATGTCGACTACCTGTTCTGTCAGGTTGGCGTCACCGAGCGTGTTGTGGATACGGCGCCGAATTGCGGCAACGTCATGGCTGGTGTCGGTGCGTTTGCGGTGGAAAGAGGGCTGGTTCAGCCGGATTTGCGGGACGAGACATGCGTAGTGCGAGTTTTGAACCTCAACTCTGGTCAATTATGTCAGCTCAGCATTCCTGTGCGACACGGTCGAGTGCACTATCACGATCTCGGGGAGAAATCGTACAATCGACCGTCGACACGAATCATGCTGCGATTCGAGGACACAACAGGTTCGTGCACGGGTAAACTCCTGCCGACATCGAACGCAGTCGACTGCATCGATCGACTTCGAGTCTCTGTTGTCGATGCTGCCGTACCTGTAGTGTTTGTTCGTCAGGTCGATGTCGGTATTACCGGTCAAGAGTCGCCTCAAGAGCTGAACGCTGATGTTGAGCTGTTGACGAGATTGGAGAGGGTGAGGATCGAGGCGGGGAGACGGATGGGGTTGGGGGATGTGAGTGGCAGCGTTATTCCAAAGGTCTCCCTTAACGGTCCAGGTGAGAATGGCAGTACATTCACGGCGCGATGTGAGTACGACTACCAGAAAGACATTTGTTCCGCAGCGTTCAAGACACTAACTTAACTGGGCCTCTGATGGAACAGACTTTACTCCCAAAACCTGCCACACGGCACACGCCGTCACAGGTGCGATATGCACAGCCAGAGCTGCCTTCATCTCGGGAACAGTGGTTTCAGACGTTTTCGCCGATCGCATATCGACAGCTGCTCAGTCGGCGCTACACCATCGTATTTCGATCGAGCACCCGAGCGGTGTTCTGGAGGTAGGACTGGAAGCAACTGGCAAAGAGGGAGAGCGAATGGTAGACGTCGTTGCAACTGTCGACCGCTCGGTGGCGCTTATTGCCCAGGCTCGAGTTTTCTACGTGGTATCTGACTGCTTTTCGGGAAAGGCGGGGCGGCCGGTTGAGATTAGCCGTCGTCGATGTTTGCAGGAGAACGGCAATCGGAACGACGAGTCCTCAGTCGACACCAAATGATTCGAAGCGTCAGGATCATCAGGTCCTTGTCATTCATCACGCTCGACATCGGGAAAACGGAATAGTGGTAACCCCTCCTTCTTACCGCAACGACAACGATATCGCCACCGAATCTAGCGACGACGTTTCTTGTTTCTCACTTGGACAGTCGCTTGCTCATCGCCTTCGCGCTCCTCCATCCGATGAGGAAGCTCAAGAAGCAGCGATAGGATCGCCTGTTGAAGCTCTGCGGCGTTGCGCGAAGGCGATGGACAGATGCTCGATGTGCTTGAGTCAGAGCATGCTAGAGGCCTGCGACCTTTCCTATGCGGCCTTGCTTCTTCTCGATTTTTTGGTCTAGCCCTGACCCTGGGACTTTTCGATTGATAATCGGCGAAATCGCTATCGCTCTTGCTCGAATCGGATCCACCATCGCTTGGGGCTACGCTGCTGCAATCGTCGCCGTCTTTAGATCGCTTGTCCGCGCGATCATCGTGTAAAGTTCTGGTTCTCGGAATGCTAGCTTCGCTCTTTGGAGATGTTTTCCCTTCCGATCCACGCGGCGACAACCTACTCCTGGAGATCGGCAAAACATCCTCGAGCCTGAGCCTTGAAATGATAGCGGTGCTGGCGTCGAGCTTTCTTCGCAGCTCCCTGATTTCGTCGCACGCCTGTTTTAGCAACACCGACTTGGAGATGGGCTTCGCTTGACAGTCGTCGTCGTTGTGCAGCACATTTTGCAACGACTTTGGGTTTTGCGGGCCACAAAGCAGGTCAGTCAGCGACGGGAGTCTGCTCGATTGAAGTAGAGGGACACTCACCGCAAAACCATCGGAAATGCTTCTCCGTCGATCTCGTTCCACTTCAGAATGCTTTCGCTTGCTCGACACTGATGATGAACGTTCGAGAGGGGTCGAGGCTACAGTGTTGCAAGATGCTACCCCGAGAGGTGTGGACAGCGTGACTTGAGCGGATGTAGCGAGCGGACTGGTGGATGGCAAGGCTTCTGTGTTGGTGCTGGAGAAGCAGGGCCCGTCGAACAATGGGGAGGAAATCATGTCGAATAAGTTGGCAAAGTCGTGGTGACCGCCGTCTTGGATGTTCGAGACGCTCATCTTCATTGGTCAGCTCTGTCGATGCAAATTGAACGAAAGAGGATGGGCGACGAGGTGCTCACATCTAAACCTTCCGGAACTATAAATGCTCGCTGTAGCCACAGTTCTCTACACGAAACAGCCCTATCTCTCTCTGCTGGGCTTTTCCGTTGGAAGGAGTTGGTGCGTTCCTTGACACCAGGAACACCGGTGCGCAGTCAAGGTTTGCCTTCCGACGACCGCCAAGACTTTTGAGGAATCACAGCCGTGGACTTGCTTCTACTTTGCGAATGACAAGGTAGGCTGGGACGGGTACGCTGCAGAAGTCGACAGTTCAGTTGGAAAAACCACGACAGAAACGAGCTTGGACATGATCCTTTTGGTGCTCTAGGATCGAGCGCCGTGGCTTGGGGGTCCCGCTTCGAGATCGCCATTCGATGCGACTCGAGTTCCTCTCACGAGCTGACATTATCTCAGAGCGCTGTAATAATGAGGTCTGGACTCGGATGCTAGTTAAGTGGAAGCAACTCTAACGTCCCACTCAGAAGAAGCTTCCAAATGACTTTCATCATGCGGTCCACCCGGTCCGTCGGTTTGTTTGCTATCGAACTTGATGAGGTAACAAAAACGTGGCAAGTCTAGCTCATGATTGCAATCTTCGAGTTGGTAAATTTGAGCTAGATTGTGATTGTACGTTGAGGCGACCGAACGACGCCGACGAGCGCCATTCGGACTGTGTCACTGCGCATACTCGGAGCGAAGGAAGCACGCACATTCCAAAGAGGGAAACAACGCTACACAGCATACATATAGGCTCGTGGCGACCAGGGGCAGACAGACATCGGAGAAGGACGATCAGTCTGCTTCGTCGTCGCAGTCTTCGCCATTACATATACGCTAATATGCCTTGAATCCCCTCGTGAAAGATGATGGGTAGATCGACGGCAAAGTGAGCTTCCAGCCGGAGCGTACCTTCAATTTCGAGTTGCGCTCCTTTGTAAGAGTCTGGATGGACGCCGACAATCATCATCAGCCGATCGTCGTGTGCTTTGTCGTCCAGAACAACGAACGACACATACGCAAAGTCCGAAGTTTCTTCGAAGAAATGGGGGAACACATGATCCCGAGCCAGCTCGAACGGAGTCCAGCCCTCGAAATCGCCTGGGATCCGTTCGAGTCGGATTCGCTCTTCAAGACCGTCGCAGCATTCAGCTGATCGCTCCGCTATGCTGCATTGTTCCTTGATCCATTCGTCTGAAAAAGGCGTTGACGAAGTGACAAAGAGCGCCACCTTGGTGGGATCGGACCAGGGACGAGTAGCTTCTGGCGTCATGCGGTCGAAGTAAGATCCTCTTGAGTATGCCGTGTCGATGATGGTTGAGCGACCCCCAGGCGGATGAGATCGATCGTTTCCCTCTTTGGCAAGCCTTGTGGGACGATGAACGGTTCAAAGAGATTTGGGCGGCAAGGAGATGCCGGAGCTGCGGAATCACGCTGCCGCTCCAGAATTTGAGCGTCTCTCGAGGAGACTTCAATTGAGCCGTTGTGCATTTCTCACTTGGACCCTTTCTTTCATTGTTCACTTTCGACGCTCTGCGACAAGCCCACTCAACGTTCAACCACGATTGCACCTGACGAGATATTCTTTTCGCGGCATATTCTGTTTCTCCTCGACCATTCGAGTTGTGAAAGCACGTTTGCGTCATTCCGAGCATCGTTGTTGAAGTCGAACATCCTTCGGCCACGGGTATCCTTTCATAGGCAGCGGAGCATCGCAGACGCCTATCATCGGAAACAACAATGATGTCGTCCATATCGAGACAGAGAGGCCAGCTTCGCTCGGCCTCAGACGCATATGGGACATCCTCGGGGATCTACGTGACATATTTGATGATCGCGATGAAGACTCTACTTTCAGATATGTTCTTGCTGCTAGCGATGGATAAGAGCGAAGGCAGCATCACTCGAAGAAGCATCCCTGGAGAGTCCATGCTTCCACCTCGAATGATTGCGACAGGCATCAAGGACCAATGCTACAATGTTGGCTCAATTCACGGCATGGTCAATGCGAGGCAAACTTCCCCCAAGCAAGCCATCCCAGAAAAGCTTGTGGACCCAGAATTCAAGTCGAACGACCGCGTCAGTTTTCGCAGATAATCGATTCCGCACTCCTCAAGTGCCCAGATTGGACGAGCTGCTCAATCGAGCCACAGAAACACACTTGGCGGACGCTTCGATGCATGGAACATTCAGTGCACATGCGCTTCGGATGCGTGGAACCGAGCAACAGGGCGTGGGATTCTTTTGGTTGGTCACGTAGCAAATTGCGTGCACGATTGTTGGGCGAATGGATCACCCGCGCATCAAGGTTACCTTTCCACCACCCATCAACATCGCATCGCCCATCACCTTTGCCTACATCATGACGAAAGCTACGACTCGCCCTTTTATCGACCCAACCAAGGTCGCTCTCTTCATCACTTCGTCCAAACCTTTTTCAGAGGACTGGGTGAAAAGTCAGTGTGAAATGGCCGAGCGATCCGCCGAAAGTGGGGAGGATCTGCATCTCGAAGTGATTCAGGGCGACTTTCAAGGTTGGTCTCCCTTCAAGCTCGCCCGTGACTATGTCTATCCTCGACTCTTTGAAGAGCCAACGACATTTGCATATGTATCTTTTGTTGTCCTCGACGATACATCCCATAAGGACAGAAAATTGGTGATTGTTGGAGTGCATCCCGACTCTTTCAAAGGGGCTTCACTCGAGATCGAGGCCACAAGCCGAATGGAAGCCAACTTCGCCATCGACCTGCCTCTCACCTTCCACTACGGCAACCAAGCCATCACTTCGTATCCTTGCGATCTCTACGATAATGAAGCAGAGCGAAACGCGGCCTGATCTTGTCATAGCAATGAAATGCAAGCTTGTGCGTGACATCGGGAGATTGTCGGCTAGTAGTCATCCGTAGCATCTTCCAGAGCCATGCAGCAAAGATTGCAGGCAATAGCCGTGCTAGCAGCATACGAAGCCAACAGACGCTTTTGACATCGAATTCCGCCGTCTTCAGAGTCGGTCATGATGACCTTTTTGTCGCGAGGAGACTCGTCATCGATGAACACCACCGTCATGGCTCCAAAAGGTTTGCCTTCGACATCTGCTTGTCGTGCGAGTCGGTCTATATCCTCCTGCGTCCCAGACCGCTCGTATGGCCAATCTACTGTCACAAGTCGGTCTTTGAATTCCTCCCCCTCAATCAACCCAACGATTTCTTGCCTCTCCTCCTGGGAAAGCTTGCTGGTGAGGAAGAAGACCAAAACGTCCCAGTCGCAATGGCGTGGTTGCTCGGTAGTCATGTCGGTCTCCTGGCTTGTGTCTTGTTCGGTACCTGCTCCAGGTGGAGGCGATTCGCCAAGGAGACGTAAGGACATTTCGAGCGGTGCTCGGCTCGGGTACCAACAATGACAAGAATGGTCAACGAGGTGCGAGTTGAAGGAGATGCGGCTCATCGATACGTGTCTTGAATCTTCACAAGTGATTCCTAAAGCTCAGTCTGTAACTCAGCCTCACGTCAATCGTCAACGACATCAGCCTTCAACCGTGCGCGAACGCTGAGTCGGAATAACCTGGGTAAGTCGACTCGAAATGGTCAACCAGCGGTTCGCTAAATCGCTATTTAATTCATGCGCACACTCTGTTTCCGCGGCAAAGGGCTCACAGGATTGTGTGAGGCTGAGTCGCACAGTGTGTTTCCACGACGCTGGACCCTTGGGGCAGCATGACGAGCTCAGATTCACTGAAGCCGCCGCGACTCGCTCATCATTGTCATCAACAACCCCAATCTCCAACCTCGCCGTACCTTTCTAGCTCGCCTGCCTCGAGAGCACAACTTTGCAACAATGTCGACTTGGGACAAGAAAGTCAGACTGACCATTGAGGATCTTTCCGGCGGGACCGCAGTAAAGAACCGCTTTCCACCCAACGACGACGCGTCGCAGTCATTGACTCAGATACTCGGGCGCCTCCAAAGAGGCGATGTGAGCTACGAATCCATCGCCATCCTCGTTACAGGTGTCTCGAGGGAACAAGTACCTGTGCTCATCACGGGCGGGGAAGAGACTGTGAGCGAACGGGATCAAGTCGCTTGACGCGCTCGCGTTTGTGCATGCAAGTTGCATTGGTGGATCTGATTATACATTTTACTCCGCTTGTTCGGCATCGTCAACATAAGGGTCGTTGGGGTACGAATAGATGCCTTGGATGCCATCGTGGAAGAGGACAGGTAGGTCCACAGCCGACTCGGGCTCTACCCTCATGGTCGCCTCGATCTCCAGGGGCATCTTTTGCTGTTCTTGAAAGCATTCTGTGCGGATGGCAACAATGCGAACCAGGTTATCGTCGTGCGACTTTTCATCCAACATGACGAAAGAAAGACAAGCAAAAGGCGAGTCGTCTGGAGTCAAGTTGAGCATCACGTAGTCCCGAGCCAATTGAAGCGGTGTCCATCTCGCAAAGTTGCCAGGGATGACGGTGAGACGAATGGGATCGTCGTCTGGAGAAGCTTCGGATGCATCCTCAGCTCGTTGGCAAATGCGTGCTATCACCTTGTCTGAGAAAGGAGTCGTTGCGGTGATGAACAGCGCCACATTGGTAACCGGAAAGCGATCGCTGCGAGATGGGAGCATCGTTGCGCCAGTGCAGATCAGATCGACGTAGAAAGGAAGGCGAACCTCAGATATTCCGCGGATACGTCGATATCTTGTTTCCGATTTTGTGTGAGTAGAAGCGCATTTACGCATTCGCTCCTCGTTCTTGCCTACCACCACCTTATCGACTCGAGCGAGCACATTAGCCACAATCCTGCTCATTCTCCAATCGCATGACCATGCAACATGCAAGTCTTGACCACCAACGCGCTCGTCAGCACGGCCTCTTTTCTTGCCATCGTTCTGCTTGCGGCAACCAAGTTCGAGTACCGCTCGGCGCCACGCTCTTCCACGACGAAAGGCAGTGTCGGGAGAAGAATAACGAATTTACAGTACCACGGGTCTACGTCCGTCGCTATCCCGGCACTTGTTGCGATGGCTGTCGCCTGGGCCCACTGCACCTCGCTGGCTATGTGCGTGTGGGTGAGCGCGCTTTGCTTGCTCCTGGTTGGCATGGCTTCCACGCAATTCACTTTCAGTGGTAGAGTTGTGCTGCAACCCTAACGAGACTCCGCGATTGCTGGCCTCCGGGTCACGGACTACAGCATCCCGGCGGACGTAGAATTAGTCAAACCACTCTTGCAGAAAATTGCCTGCATGGACACACGCATCATCACGCTGATTTGCAGTGCTCGCCAACATCACCACCCTCGCCGCCGCCGCCGCCGGAGTTCTTGGCGCCCGCCAAATCCTATTGGCCCGGGGGTTGAGCGAGCCTCCGGGTCGCCGGCAGGACGAGGTGCAATGGAGCTTTTGCAGAAACACGGTTTGTTCCACCGGCTGGCCTAAAACTCGCTTCAAAGCACGCTAAAAACGCAGCCGAGAGGGTTCTGCCGCAATTTTCCATAGAAGCGCGCACCTACTGAAGATGCGCTTTGCGTCGAACACGATCGACGAATTCCGACAAATTCCTTCGGCCTGCCACAAAGGGTCGGCTCATCGACGGCGTTTGCGAATCCAGTCCCCACACTAAATCCGCTTCGGTCAAGATCAGCCAGGATGGCACGCAGCTCCGACGCCGAGCCGTCGAGGGACTCGTACACCACACTCCGAGTGGAATCGTTCACGGATACGTCGACATCTCCCAGTTGACCACGGAACCACATCTCGTCGAACACAATGACCGATCCATTTGGGTCTCCAAGACCGTCTCGGGTCGAATTCAGGCATACGCTCCCTTCGACTCAACCAGTCCGGCCAAACGCAATCTGGACGATCCGGGAGAGGTCAACGGCGTCTACCTTTACTATGACACCATGGACACCCAAGGTGCCGACGACACCAATCTGTCCGACATCGCAAACCAGTTCGCGAATCAGATGGTCGACCAACAGCTCAGTTCGCTGTGCATTACCATCATCAACAGCAACTATCGCCAGGAGATGATTGGGACACTTGATCTGTATGGTAAAGATGGGAGCGTGGATGGAAACCGTTGCAATACGCCCCAATGATCCCGATGTTCCTTGCCTCCAAGAGGGATGAAAGAGCCAGCCCGGGCGAGGGGTGCACGGCTTTTGGGCGTGGCGGGCGACAAGGTGCGGTGCTCTGGGGTAGCGCGTTCCGGTGTGCAAAACTGGCTCGGGGTTCAAACGTTTGGCTGCTTTGGTGCTTGCCGACTCATTTGAAGGTTCATTCAAGTAGCACAACCGAACTGACGGAGCGAGTAAAATTTTCCTTTCATTCTTTCGGTTGCTTCTGTCGCTTGTGTCAGGTATTGCAGCCGGCAATCTAAGCGACATTTTCTTGCCTTACTTAGGGTATTGTTTTGTGAAACGAATAATGTAGTACCTTACGTACAAGACTTTATAAATGTATTCCCAGGCCAAAAGCAGAGGTTAGGTCTCGGCTAGTCATTCCCGACGCAAGCTGCCTCCATTCCGACGGGCTACCATACAGTGTGCGTAGATCAGTACCTCGGTGTATCCATCTTGGTAGCCGCGTGCTTTGACCCAAACGCGCAATGACTCGTCTAGGTGCAAACGATTCGAACCTCACCCACCGTGAAAGTCGGTTTCTATTGCTGTCTCTGCCTTTCAACCATTACCGCCACCTCTCTTGCCTTTCGTTCAAAAATTTCGGTGCGGCAACAAGCGAAGAAGCAACTGTCACCGTCGTTGCTCGCGTGACATTTCTCTCCACAGTGCCGCTATGTTTGATGTCGCTGAAGAGGGCGTCGACAACTATGTGTTGTGGACCTCGGAAGAAGAATTCAAATATGGACTCATGCAAGCAGTCACAGACGCCTTATCGACCCCCTCAACGAAACTCAGCCTGGTGCCGTGTGCCAAGAGAGGTCCATATTGGGAGCCCTCGGAGCCCGAAAGCAACCGCGGCATCGTCGTTTATGGCGTCCTCCTGATCTCGCCAGCCCTCGACACTGGATGTGCGGATTTCGATTTCATCGTAGAGACCATTGCACCAACAGCTTCGTCGTGCGAGATTCCTCAGCGACTCGAGTCGCATGGGCTGTGGTGGACACCTGTACCTCAATAGTGCTTTCTCTTACGTGCAAGCACACGGTGCCAGGAAGCAAAGTTTGGCAGATCGACCAGAACCGATGCATGTCTGGTTCACAGCGGTCGAGCTCGACAAAGATCCATGCTACGAACAAGGAGGCTAGTTCCTTCGCTCAGTCTGCAGGCGTGATCTGGTTACAAAAGGGCGCTTGACGTCAAAACATGGTTGCGAGGAGCAGGGACTAGAGCGCGTGATTCCGCGAAACAAACACTCGCTCCAAGGTAGGATCCAAGATGAAGACATGAGCATGCGTTGTTCAAACGAGCCGTTCAGGCCAACGTCGTCGCTGCGACGACAGGCAGGAGCAACTGTAAGCCGAGCAGTACCGCCATCGCCAGGGAAAAGAATTGATCGAAGGCTGTCATCTTGACCACGTTTGCTGCGTTCACAGAACCTCGTCCGTCGCCTTGACCGGTTTGAGAGGTGTTCGTGACGGCGCCTTGGATCGTGTCGTTTCTTCCAGTATCGCAAGTCCATTGCTTGCCTGCCTGGGAAGGCAGCAGCGGCTCGACGCAGCTCTTCCAGTTTGTCGGACGTCCATCATACTGCTCTGAGACCTGGCAGTAGACGATGCAGCCTTCGTACTTCCGTGCTGACGATGCCCCTGCTGCACTGCCATCGTACTGGCTGCCATTGAGAACCGGACCGACGCAGCACGACTGAATCGTGGAGCTACCAGAAGAAGAAGGAGCAAATCCGACGAAGCCGCAAAATGGACGTCCTGCGGGTATCTGAAAAGAGGTAGAGGTTGGAAGCGTTGTTCCGTTGCACGCTGTGGACGTGTTCATGCAGTGAGCTGTTGATGGCGAGTTGCAGGTGGTGGGGGTTAGCTACGAGGTGGGGAGAGGAGTCGAAACCATGGTCGTTTACATCTATGCTTGTTCAATTGCGTCTGAACTTGGCAGAACAAACGTCGCCAGTTGCAGAGCGGAACATCGAAGAGAGACACTGAGCAGACAACGAAGAGTCAGGAGGGGTGTCGTATCATATGACGCAGTGCCTTGGCGGTGGTCCCACGCTAAATAAAAATTCTTGGCGTGGTTCCATGCATGGAAGTCATGCCGTTAACGGTCACGGCGATCCGTCGCTCGATTACCGTCCGACATGTCCAAAACTGTCCTCAATTCTCTATCGTAGGGAGCCGCTTTTTTGACGTGTCGTTGCCCGCCTCGAATTACTGTACCCCACACTACATCGGTCTTGTTCACGCCCCGCACTCGACGCGCTCGGCAAGGCCAACTGCCTCTGGGCCCATTCTCCGGGTTCCTGATCGACTGTGATTGATACATACCCTCCATGCATCATCTCGGTCCATGGTTTCTTTCTTCCTCACCACGCTGATTTGGGACTGGGCTGAAGGCCGAAATGAATCTCGAGGCTTCATACCTGTCATGAAACTCGGTGCTGAAAGTCCAGGTCTCATCACATCGTCCTCGTCGTGTTATGGCCGACTCACCTTTGGCTCACGCGACACTAGAGCTGCACGAGGAGAACGAAACTCTTTTTACTAAATGATGCAGTTGCGGGCTAGAATCTGCTTATGAACATGTCTCTGATGCTTTCGAGAGCAGCTTTGCAAGTGCTGCATTGGTCTCCTTTGCATGATCGGCGTCGAACAGCGTTGCGTGCTGACCACTGACCTTGTCATTGAGGAAGAATTCTTGCGAAATCGCTTGGTCCCAGCCGTTGAAAGGACTCGTCTCTATCTCTTGAATCTGACGGGGACGCTGTTCCCAGCCATCCTGCAGCGCCGCCTTGACCAGGCAGATTTTGAAGGAATCTTCTGCCATTGCTGGCCAGTAATGCTTGCAGTGCTTTTCAGCCTTGTCCCGCTGAATAGCCAGCAGTCTTTCCCGCTCGTCTCGAGGTTCAGAGTTGAAGCTGTGCGCGAGCGGCTCGAGGCTGGGTGGCCACAAGAAGGTGTCAAGCATGACGACGGCTCGCAACCGGACAGGTAAACCGTGAGGTAAGCCAGCCAGCCTCAACACTTGCTCCGAGCTTGTCCGCCAGAGATATGCCATCTCGAAAGCCACCGTACCACCAAAGCTCCAACCTCCCAAGGTCAGATCGAGACCTCGACCATATTTAAGCATGAACCTCAGGGCTCCAATGAGGTAGGCCAATGCCAAGCTTCTCATGTCAGGGTACTGACTCGTGCGTGCGCCAATGTTGGGGTCCATGATGCTGCAGATATTGTAGGTACCGATCAATTCTTCGTTCTCTGCCAGCGTTGAGTACGCTTGTACGAAGCCAGAGTAGTCATGAACCATGAAGAGCCAGCGATCTTCCGTGCGGAGAGAGACGGGTATGTAGAACTCGGACGAGGGCACGTCGAACCCGGTCTCCTCCAGTGACGATTCCAGCGACGATGACAAGGCGCCAATTGAACTGGAACTAGATGGCACCCAGCACATGCTACCATTGACGCTTCCAGCCCTGCTGGCCGAATCAGGTTCAGAACTGTTGAGCATGGTTTCTCCGGAGTTCTCTTCGTGTGTGCGCTTCGAGTACCACAGTTCTTGACGATCAATAGCGGTTGCAAGCTGGGAGACGTCACTGAACTGCATCAACGTCTTGACGCTTACATCGAGGCCTCGTGTTCTCAGGTTCTTGGAGAGCCGCATGAGCGTCAGTGAGTCGGCACCGAGTCTAGCGAAATGCACATTGGCACCAATGTGTTCCGCTTTAAGCTGCAAGACCTTCGCTAGCTCAGAGCAGATGACTTCTTCGGTGTCGTTTATTGGTCTTGAGGTGTCGTGTTCTAATGTCGAAGTCGCTCGCAGCGCCACCCGCTCCAAATTCTCGGTGTTCATGAGCTCGAGCAGCTCGGTTCTCGTCGGTAGTTTGTGCAGGGGAATGAAGAAAGAGGGAAGCATCGGTGGCGGGAATCTTGCCAGACATGCCTCTTGGCAATCCAGGACAATCTTTAGAATGTCTGGATCTTTGATAAGACAGCCAGACGAGCAATCCTGCTCCTGCGCTGCAATAGCAACAGCAGCGACCAAGACCGTGCTGGCTCCCGAGTTTGCCGCGAAGACCAATGACTTGGCGACACCTGAACAAGAATCAATCACTTTCTCGATCCTCATGCCGTCGATTCTCTGCTCGTTGAGAACAATTCGAGGTATCTTTAGGCCAAGATACTCGATCCTCCCATCCGCACGCCGCCTGCCCAACTGACCTGTTGGGTGGATGTGATGCCCTGGCTGCCATGGATTGCTGACCGCATGGGTCGTCTTGGAAACGGTCGACTCCTTCGAGCATGCGGGTTCATGACCGTTTGAGATCGGGACAGACACAAATATCTGGCCTGCAACACCCAATGGGCAGAGTTGTCCCTCTGCGTCGAGAACAAGCTCCTGCGAGCTGTGAGGCGTCGAGGCAGCAATGGTCTCCAAACTGGCGCGCTCCTCCGAGTCCGCCAAGCAAGTCCGTCCAATGCGAACATTCTTACGATCCTCAGCAACCTGCTGCATCCATTCGAGACACGTGAGTACGTGGCGAAGCAAGACGGTTGCATCGGCAGAAGCTATGGCGTCCTCGTCATGAATGCACACCAAGCCAATGCGTCCGTTTTTTATGGATGCTTCGATGATACAAGGGATCTGCACATCGTACAGCCTCCTTGCCCTCTTGGCGTCGGAACTTTCGGTTGCAACCCGTTCCAAACAATTCGATCCCGAAAACTGTTCTTCTTCTTGATCGACAAATGCGAGCAGCACTGAGAACAGTCTGGCCAGAGTAGGAAAGGGCGAGGCACGGATGATGGTTCCTATATCCACGTAGTGAGAGCCGATTAGCTTGCTGAACTGCATGGTCGTGTGCTGCAGGAAGTCATGCAGCGACCTGCTAGGGTCCACATGACTTCGCAAAGGCACAGTCACCATGCAGGGCCCGACGATGTTTTCTATGCCCGGAAATTCAAGCATTCTGCCCGAAGCGACCAGTCCAAATAAGACATCGGTGTTGGCCTCGTCATGTTGCGACAGTACGATCGCCAACGCGGCCTGAAGCAGTACAGCAGGAGACGCCTGCAGTCTCGTTGCGAGATCGGTCAAGTTCAGGTCACTGGAAATGGTCTGCGATGATACCTTTTCACCCAGCGCTGATCCCATCTTGAACGTTTGCAAAGGAGCAGGGTAAAGACAAGGCCGAGCGCCGCGTAGATAATTGGCCCAAGCTTGAATAGCTTCTTGTTTGCGCTGAGGCAACAGGTAGTGCCGGGTAAAGTCCAAGTAGCTTGGCTGAAGCACTGACGTCTCTGCCGTGATATCTGAGTTGAGAGGCTCTTGCAAGAAACGAGAAAGTTCGGCGTCTAAGTCTTTCTCGATGATCGCCATGCTCCACCCATCGTAGCAAAGATGCGAAAGTCGCAAGGTGAAAGTCACCTGGGTCTCGACACAGATCGGTCGGTACCACTGATCGGCTGGCAATTGCAGCAACAAGACAGCATAAGCTTCTGCTTCGTCCCCATATGAAGTCTCTTTGTCCTCCAAGACAAATTGCGACGCTTGACCTTTGTGTCGTAGGACTTGAAGAAAGCCGATCTTTGCATCGGAGCATGGCACAAATAACACTCGCAGGATAGGATGGATTGCTAGCACCCTGCTCCAGGCTGTGCGCATTGCCATGTGGACGTCGACGCCTTGCTTGAAAACAACTTTGTACTCGAAAGACGAGCGATAGGCTTCTGCGTCTCGTTCCACGGCCGCGTAAAGGTTACGCTGTTGAAGCGAGGCAGGGGACACGTCCTCAACATCCTCCAACGCGATACCCGCCTGTGCTATGTCCAGCTCGTATTGGGACCAAGACGGGGCTGTCATGACTGGTGCCTCCAAAGAGGGAGCCTGATGGCCTTGGTGACCTACGGCGTTGTATGAGGTCGTGGATTTTGAACTCGAGGTCACAGTCGCAAACGAGGCAATAGTTGGATATGCAACCAGGAGTGAGACGGATGTGTGTAGCCCAGCTTCCCTCAACAGCGCGTTGAGCCGGATCAGCCCAAGGGAGTCAATACCGTATGAGCTGTATGTCGCCTCGACATAGATTCCTGCGGCCGGTCGGCACAACAGTTGTGCCCAGACTTTCCTGACGAGCTCTTCTATTGGAGTTGCAGTGAGGCGTTGTGTGCGTCCTTGACGTTCAGCGGAAGCCAGAGCTTCTACCACATTACTGTCAACGATGAGTTCAAGCGCCCGACGGTCAAGCTTGTTGCTTGCATTCCTTGGTAGAGAAGTCACCGGAACCCAAAGGCTGGGACACATGTAGCTGGGCAGTCTCGTTGCCACTTTCGTCCGCAACACGTCCATAGCCGGTAGGAGGGAAAGTAATGTTGCGCTTCCGACAACTCGTCCAGCTTCGCTAGCAGGCGCGGTCTGGTTGCCAGCTGGGTCTCTTTCGAAAGCAACAAAAGCCACCAGCCTTTGCTGCTCATGAATCGTGAGGACGTGTACGGTAGCCTCGCGAAGCTGGTCTTCCTTCCCGGCTTCGAGAATGACGCTGACTACAGATTCTGTCTCGATTCTCTGGCCGTGAAGCTTTACTTGGAAGTCTCGACGACCGAGACATTCAAAGCTTCCGTCACCGTGGAGCCGACCCAAGTCGCCCGTTCGATAAAGTCGCTTGCCAGAGACAAAGGGGCTCGGGACAAAGGCATCTTTGGAACCGCTTCGTAGGTAAGAAGCGACCTGGGTACCTGTTACCACGATCTCTCCGATGGCCCCGATGGGAAGCATCCGAAGTTCTTCATCCACAATGTGCAACCTAGTGTCTCCAAAAGATTTACCAATGGCAATGAACGGAGGCGATGTTCCTGGGACAAAGGAATGCGTTGTCACACCGACAGACGTTTCACTTGGTCCATAAGCATTCTGGGTCGTCGCTCCCGATTCGATCCAGCGCTTCCGCACGCTGGGCGTCACCTGTTCTCCAGTGATGAGGATCGATCGGAGCTTCGGCACGTTCTCTGGTGTCACCAGCATTGAGACAGTAGGGGTGAGATGTGTGTCGCTGACATCCATGGAATCCATGAGTCCTTCCAAGTCGGACATCAATGCGTCTTTTGAGGCAACGACCAACGTGGCGCCATGCACCAGGAGCGTCACAAAGATGTCTTGAAAGAACGCGTCAAAGGTTTGACTGGCATAAGCGAGGTTGCGCGAGGTCCACTTGAGCAAGAAAGCGTCTCTACCGCCCTCCAGGAAAGCCACAATGTTCGAGTGCGAAACTTGCACCGCCTTTGGGCGGCCGCTGGTCCCAGATGTGAGCCCGATGTAGCACGGTGAGCTCGGAGAGGCACGCGACACCATCGTTTTAACTCGATCACTCTCGAGAAGCCTTTTGCGACTGTTGCGATCGAGGTGTTCGGCTTTCTTGTCAAACATCAATTCCTTCAGCTGAATGGGTTCTGTCACCAGATCAGATATCCAACGCGCAGCATTGTCATCAATGATCGCAAACTTCGCCTGGAGAAGCTCATTGATGCTGTACTCTAAAAGGTCGCGGGGCGCTTCTAGAGAAAGATTGGAGAATGCTGCGCCAGTCAGAGTGACAGAAAAGATCGCAAAGTAAAGCTCCAGTCCCTTGTGCAAGAGCAAGGGTACGATCTGTCCTGGACCAACTCCTCTCTGGACCAGCGCTTCAGCACCTCTGAAAGATTTGCAGAAGAGTTCGCCATACGTGACATAGTCGTGCATCTCGTTGACGAGGGCAGTCTTGCACCACAGCGAGGAAGCCTGATTGAGCAGCATAGGAGGCAGCGCCGCAAAGGGAGTGTCCAGAGGCGTTTGAGGGGCGAACGAGGAGATGGTAGCGACCTCATCCTTTTGCAATAGCATTCTAGGTGCAAACTTTGATGTGGGAAGCCGGATGATAAGCTCCATAGCCGCTACGATGTGCTTGAGCAGCCAAAAAACGTCACGGTCGAGCAGGATTGCAGTGTCGTATTTGGCGGTGAGGCTGAGGGTTGACCCATTCAGGAACACCTCGAGAGTCAAAGAGTAAGGCTGCTCTGGTATAGCGAGCGATGTCTCCTCGCGCTCTCTAACCAGAACGTCATCTGGATCAGCCGTGCCTTCTTCCAAATTCACAAACGTCAGAAGGACATCAAAGATCTCCCTGGCATCCTTGTGCTGGCTCGAATTGATGATCTTTCGAAGCCCAAGGTGCTCGAAGGGAAGAGACTCGATGTGCTGCTGACGAACGTGTTTTACCAGCGAAGCAAGCGATTCGGTTTTCGCCAGGCTCACGGGTACGCGCAGTGGCACGGTTGCCAAGCAAGGACCCGATACTCTTGCAATACCGGCGAATGGAGCTGCCCGTCCAGAAGTAACAACACCCAGAAGAACATCTTCTGCATCGCATTTTGAAGCGATGGCAAGGCCAACAGCGGACCTGACAATGTCCGAGAGCGTGACACCATGACGTTTTGTGAAGCTCGTTGAGCTTGTAGTGTTCCACTGGATGCGCTCGCTTGAGAAGCTCTTGATGCCATCAGGTTGTTGGAAACCTGTTCCTTTGCCTGGATAGGGTGACAACGAGCTTGTCAAGAGGTAGCTACTCCAGTACTCGGTCGATCTGCTCTTGAGGGTCTCGTCAAGATTGAGAGCCGTGAAGCTGCTAAATGGGAGGAATCCCTGCCGCTTTTCGAAGATGTCCAGTCCCTTGCTGAGGGTCGAGAAACAGCTTTTCAGTTGCTCCTCAACAAGTGTCCAGCTCCAAGCATCGAAGAGAGAATGGTGGATACGTAGCGAAAGTGCTCTCTTTGTCGTGTCGAAAGATATGGAAAGCTCACCCGTACTCGGGAGGGTGCATGCTCTTGCTAATGCAGTTTCCGCGTCGAGCACCACCTGGAAGACTCTCCCGTGAAGGTACATCATCCTTGTGCGCAGAATAGCGTGAGTGTCCAAAACATGTTTCAACACCTCGGTGATCTGATGAGCCTGCAACTGGAGGTTCCAGCTCCAGGTGTAGCGAAAGCAATCAAAGTAGAGATCCATCAATTGCTCACCCACGACCCATAGACCAGTCTGCATTGGCGTGGCCGGCAATATGTCTTGTACGTTAGCCTGCTCGACCCCCATCTGCTTCTTTGCAGCCTCGAAAAGCTGTGAAAGCTGCGTCCTGTCGCCTATGATGGAGAATTGCGTATATCCTGTGGCAATCTGTTCGAGGTCATACAAGGAATGCAAGACTGGCTTGTGGCCTTTGTGGCCTTTCAAGAAGGTGCAGAGCATGTCAAAAGTATCGTGCGCCGCGAGGTCGGCAAAAGTGCATTTGCAACCGCTCGAGCTCAGCTCGCTCACCATCTTGATCATAGTGATGCTGTCGCCTCCGAGCTGTGCAATGGAAGCATCTTGGTCAAAGCTACGCTTCAGTCCGAGTAGCTTGACCCAGAGTCTCCGGACATTTTGTTGGACAGCGTCATCGGACGAGTCAACAACAAAAGCCAGCCTTCTTGAGGGTCTGAGAAGCTGAGCAAGGTTCTGCAAAGTACCCTTACGGTAGCAATCTCTGGCCAGAGCTCGAAGGGATCGAGTGTCGATCTTACCAGACGAAGTCTTTGGAATCCGAGTGAGCGCAAGCACCCAGGCGGGGACCGATGCAGCTTTCAACCTGCTCCGACAAGTTTCGAGTGCCGCCGTGGCAATCTGAAGCGCTTGCGAGTCCAGACGAAGAAGCTCCACACCGCAGGCGTTGGATCCACTTGCGTCGTTGCTTGGTCCTCCTTCGTTGACACTGTTTGAGAGTGCCATGAAGGCGATCAGTTTGACGTTGCTGTTATCGCGATCGAGCTCGTGAACCACATCGAAGAGGTCGACACATACAAAACTGATCGAGTCGCTGCTTGAGCTTATGGCTGATACAACTGCACTAGCATCAACTCTTTGCCCGCGAACCTTGAGTTCCGAGTCCTTGCGTCCCAAGCAGCAGATTGTTCCATCGCCGTTGAGAAAGGCGAGATCGCCCGTTCGATACAGACGTTTGCCCTTCCCAAGCTTTGGCGCGGAAACAGAGTGGAGGTAGCTTCCAACTTGTGGACCCATGATACAAAGTTCGCCAACCTGACCATTGCTCACAGGTTTGTCTTGATCGAGATCCATGATATGGATCGTATTGTACCCGAAGGCCCGACCGATGGTGATGTAGGGTTTGGGTTCCATAGTGACTGGGTGCATTGCGGCGATGACCGTACACTCGGTCGGACCATAGCAGTTGAAGAGTCGCAGTTGATCGGCCCATCTCCTTGCAAGCGGTGCAGTGAGGGCTTCACCACCCAAGATGAGGTCGGTCAGGAACGGTACGCTCGGGGGATGCAGCATGGAAGCAACTGTTGGTGTCAGTTGAGCGAAATTGGCTCGCAACATGGTTGCTGTCGCGTCCAGACGTGTAAGAGTACGATTCTCGTCAGCCATGCAGAGGCATGCACCGCTCCATAGGCAGACAAAGACTCTACGATTTTGAGTTTTGATGGCGAACAAATGTGACGTGTCATCAGTGAAGAGATCTTTACGAGAACAATCAGAACCCTTGGCAGACTTACTCGAGTATACTAGCATCAAATGTCCACGAAGATGACAGCAGCCACCTATGTGTGGGACGGCTTTGCAGTGCTGCGCTTGCGCCTTGTGCCATGTGCGCCAAGTTTGACTGCGTGATCGCAACTCCTTTTGGCGTACCAGTTGTTCCTGACGTGAACGCGTAGTAAAAGGCGCCATCAGGATCGCTCCGTCCGTCTTGATTTTCGGTCCGTCTTTCAAAAGGTTCCGCGCGCTCGCACAACTGTCGGAAGTCGAGAAACACGGGTGCTAGCTTCGGAAAAGCGTTTGCAACCTCTTCGCAGTGTTTCCGCGTGCTACACAGACATGCCAACGGCTTTGCTTGCATGGCCACGCTCTGCAGCATCTGTTTTGGCCATCTTGAGAAATCAACAAAGGCAAAAGGGATGCCCAGCTTACCAAAGGCCAGCATAGCAGCAATCACCTCTGGCTGTCTGCCGATTCTCGAGTCGATGAATATAGGAGGTGGATGGTTGACGCCTTCTGACTGTTCTGCCTTTGCAAGGTGGTATGTCTGAAGCGCCTCGTAGAAACCTTCCACCATCATGTGCAGCTCCAAGTAGGTCACAAAACGCGAAGACTCGAATTGGAGCGCGATCTTGGAGGGAGTGGCTTCCGCCTGGTATTCGAGTCGATGATGGACCATCAGCTGAGACGGCAATGGCAGGTGTTCACCAGCGTATTCACCAGCGTCAGAAGACTGTCTGTAAGTTTCCGAGTTCAAGTCGGTCGATACGAGCTCGTTAAACTCTGTGGCAGTTTCCGTACACAACTTTGACAGCAATCGCTTCCACGCTTCCATGAGAGCCGTTGCATCTTGCTGCGTCACACGCTGAGCATCGTAGCGACAACGAAGGTTCAAAGTGCTTGTTCCCAGCTCGCCTGAGGATGGTGATGCTTCAACGACCAACGCATAGCCTGTCAAGTTGTGCAGGCCAACGTTCTGCTGTCGGAATAGAACGTCTTGATCGTCACCAGGAAACGACTGCAGGCTGAACAGGACAGACGAGAGGCCCGAAGCTTGCCCGCGCTCGGTGTCGCCGGAATATGCAGAAAGTTGCTGACTTTGAGTCAAGAATGGTGCATGACGCTCGCCATCGAAGAGAAGCTGGGATACTCGCACAGCAAGTTTGAGAAGATCTCCCTTGTAGTCGTCCATAGCCTCCAAATGAACCAGAGCAGTCGAAAGTGTGGGTCCGACAATGTCGTCGATACCTTCCAAGTCGAGCCTGCGTCCCGAACACAAGGTCCCGTAAATTGCTCTGTCTTCATGTGCTACCTCTGATAATGCAGAAGCAAAACAAGCCTGAAGGAGCGCAGAAGAACCGATGGGCAAGGAATTCGCTTCTCGAGTGATCATGGCCGCACAATTGCGCTCAAGTTTGGCGAGTGAAAGCTGTATTGAGGTGTCGACGACATGATCAGGTCTTGCAGCTTTCCGCGCGTATTCTGGAAGGAGATGTGGCTCATATCGAGGATAGGTCATGCGTTGACATCTTGAGACAATCCTTTCGAAAAATCGCTTCGCTTGCCCTTTTGCCTCTTGGTCTTCGACGAAATTAGTGAAAGCCCGATACCGATGCGGTTGTGACCAGCTATCGTTGACGTCGGAACTAACAGCGCCGGTGGCTGCCACTACAAACCTTCGGAGATCGCGAAGAAGAATGGAAAGAGAGAATCCATCGTAAACGGCGTGGCTGAGGTGAAGCTCGACCGTCTGAGCACGTCCTTGCTTGTCTTTCTTGGTGGAAATCCTAGCGCAAGGCTGGTAAAGAATTGCCGCGCTGGTATCTTCCCGCCTTTCCAACAGACTAAGATATGCGCTTGCCTGCAAGGTTACCTGAGCCAGTGGATACTGATCGTCAGCGTCGTAAGGAACGAATAGTGTCCTGAGCACAGAGTGACGATTGACAAGTCTGCCGAATGCTTCGTGGTAAGCAAGCACGTCAGGAGTGTAGTCGGTGCAACTGACATCCAGTTCGAACACAAGGTGGTCGAATGCCCCGGTCGGATCAAGGTCATCTCGTAGCTGGGAAGCGATGATATCGAGTTGAATCGGACTGCAGGTCTGAACAAATTCGATGTCATCGGGCTGGATACCTTGCCCTTGCAAATGCTGCAGTACTTCCGGAGACAGGCTCAGAGGGGTAATACTGGCAGACTCTGCTGCGTCGTCCGCAACGCTGCTCCTTGATATAGATTGTATCGTTTCGGCCAGGTCTTTGAGAGAGGTGTCAGAGCTGATGATCTGAGACCTGGCTTTCCTCGCTCTGCTGCCAAATTCTTGACAGAGTATCGCACCGACTCGAATGCGTCCAAGTGAGTCGACGCCGAATGAGGACAACGGCTCTTGCGAGCGAGAAAGAACTTCGGCCATCCTGTCGTCCACATCCGTGCCCTCGTCCTCACACAGCCACTTAAGAACGCCCGCTTGCAGAAGAGCACTCGCCGCGCGATTAAGGAGAACTCGTGTTTCGTCTCTCTGCTCCTTGCTCTGCTGTTGCCCGGCAACCTTCTGTTGAGCTTGCATAGGCATCGCGCATCGAGATAGCGCTTTGGGTGCGAGCGTGGAGAACATGGTCTCCAAGCGTCTGAAGTCGGCTTTACCGGTCTGAGCGAGCGGCATTGTACTGAGAGGAATCAAATACTGGGGTACCATGTAGCTCGGCAACGTCTTGACCAACTCTGACCAGATTTGACCCAGTACTTCTTGTGCTAATCCAATGATGGATGTCGAGGTGTGCTGCGTTCTTGAGTCATGCTTTGAGGTTTGAAGCACTGTGAGATCGACCGCAGATCGGTCGAGCGAGAGAAAAGTGACGAGGCTCTTCTTGCCATCATCTTCGTCCTTGTAGGTGGAGATCAATGTGTGTGCAGCAGTCACAAGTGGGTGAAGAGAAACTTTCGAGTTGATCTCCTCGAGTTCGAGTCTAAGTCCGTTGTGTTTGACGTAAGAGGCGACCGAGTTGTTCGCATAGCGACAATGGAACTCCACAGCACCATCTTCGACACGAATCATGCGTACCAAATCTCCGGTACGATACCATTTGCTTCCCGAAATTGCATCGAATCGGAAGGCGTTTGATGTGAGCTCATCCTGGCCGAGGTATCGATTCATGACTTGCGGACCAGCCACCCAAAGCTCGCCAAGCTCGCCCACAGAAACCGGCTGTTCGATCTCTGGGTCGATTACTGCATACATACAAGTGGGAAGAGGTGGGCCGAGATCCTTCGCGCTTGTAGCAGCCGTTTGGAGGAATCCGGTATCTCGATGGATCGAGGAGGCGTCGAGAGGGCGTAGAGAGGTGAAGAATGTTTCACTTGGACCGTAACCTCCCCACAGCTCCGTCTGGCTGTGGCCTTGCTCTCTCGCCTTCACCCACCGCTCCACCAAGGCGGTCGGAATGGCTTCGCCGCTGCAAGCCAGAAATGCCAGGGACCCGACGTCACGCGGATTGACAAGCGCAGCCACGGTGGGAGTGAGACAGGCGTGAGTGCATCCAGTAGCCCGAAGAAACAGCGTGAGATCTTGGAGCATCAAGTGGTAGGGAGCTGTTACTAAAGCGCATGGAGTTTCCTGAGACGAGATCGAAGAAGGGCCGAAGCAGTAGAATAGCTCGAGAAGGGAGACGTCGAAATGGATAGGGGAGAATTGGAGCATCTTGTTGGATCGATGCTCAACACGAGGAAGCAGCCTGGTCAAGGACTGAATCCCAGCCGATAGGGCAAGTCGAGACATGACAATACCCTTTGATGTGCCCGTGCTTCCCGAGGTGAAGATGACGTACGCAGGGGCCTCGGGGTGGATTGGCGCAATGTTGAGATGGTGCTCAGCCTCAAGACGAGGTTGTCCGCTAGCTTGAATCGCATCGTCAAGGAGATCCTCCAAGACGAGGATGCGTAGAGACAGCGAGATCTGGCTGGGCTGAGTTGCCGAGTATGCTTTGAAGCTGTCGCGGTCCATCAGGGTTAGCAAAGGTCGAACACCAAGGGCAGTGTTGGTGCTGTTGTCGTTGGTCTTGTTAGTGGTGAGGGCGATTTGCGAGAGAATAGAAACTTGCCTCGCAACAGGGATAGTCTGAGGGTCGAGAGGCGCAAACGCGAGTCCGAGCTTGAGAGTGGCCATCATGGCAACGTAGGCTGCTGGATGCTTGGACGAGATTATGGGCACCACTTGATGACGAGTTCCGTCGAAAAGGTCCTGGCCTTGCATAGCCCTAGCAAAGCTGTCACAAGCAGTATCGATCTGGCCAAAAGAGAGAATGACCCTGTTACAGTAGGGCCAACAATGCGGTGCAGAGGCAAAAGACGTCAGCTGAGATGCACCGCACATAACTTCGGAACGTCGCAATTAGCGACTCTGACGTACGACGGGTGAAGAGCGCCACTGTCAAGATCAGCGGTGTAATGCTCGATGGCAACGTGGTTGGCAAAGCGGAGGGCATGGGCACGAAGCGTACAGACGATATCGTCGACTTCGTAGGCTGCACCGGTGCCGGTAAGGGCTCCGGGCGAAAAAGATGCACCTTCGTTCTCGACAAAAAGCGCCACCCGTCCTTGTGGCAGGTCAAAGGGTTGAAGTTTGGAGAAATTCATGATGGTGGTCATTGTCGAGTACGGTCGAGGGTGTGCCTCTGTTAGGATGTTGGCGAGCAAGTGCAGGTGTGATCGTCAAAGGCAAGGGACGCAAGTAGACATGATCGGTCGACGAGTCTATAGTGGCTATATACTATCAGTGCGGGACGTGGCGCATGCTACCGAAAAAGCAGGACAGCGAGTTGTGCTTCACATGTTCGAGCTTAAGCCCTGCATCACAAAGCGCAAGTAGGCTCGACAGCTCTCCGACGAGGTCGTTGCAGGGCTTTGTCCGTGCACTGTAGATTCGAGGCCCACCTGCCGAAGAAACCCGTCCGGCGAGGCTATCGTTGTGGCGATGGAGTTACGCAAAAGCGAAAGAGCAGTCTCGGACGAATTTTGCCAGGAGATGGTGCAATCCAGTCGGAACAGGTCAGCTTAGATTGCCATCGGTCGAGCTCAACGAAGAGGCATGTCGACACACATTGGCTGTCGTCGAAGAGCTTGACTTTGATGTGAGAACAGCCTGTTGCTGGTGAAGCACGTGCAGAACCAAGCAGCAGGGATTTATCGACCTAGGCATAGTCGACAATCCCAAAGCGGGCCGCTGGAAGTTCGATTCTTCGAAGATGCAGGTTTTGGACAACTCGGCTGTCATGTCAAACAAAAGCATGAAAACCCAGATAAACGATCAAAGTTACTCTGCAGCTGTGAGTGATTATTTCAGGGTGTCTCTCAACCCACTTCCGACGGATGCAAGTGACGAGAAAGATAAGCCGACGGTGGGAACCTTCCAGGGAAGCGGCGGGCGGCACATGGCAGGCCAAGTGCACAGCCTAAAGCGTACAACAATCTTTGCGCAATCACAACAGCAAATGATATTGCAAGACCCTTGCCAAGACTTTGCCCGCAGGAAGCGTGAGTACATCGGAAGAGCTCGCGCCGAAATCAATTTTAAACCATGGCTCGGTTTCGAATTTAAAATGATTTGGATCTTGTAGTATCTAAGAAGCGATTGACCGTCTCACGAGATACTCTGAGCTTATTCGTGGGGTGGAATTGGGCCTGGCTCAGTATCAGCTTCGTTTCCGCTGGTTCGCTGTCAAACATGGCGAATACGAGTCAAAAAGTTGTTCGCTTGGCAACCTGATTGGGCCTGTAGTGGCTGCTGCTCTTGTCCACCGGACCAGTGGGGCACCGCGTTGCTCTTCTCTCGTTTACTATCTTCTTCAACGCGCAGATGATCGCCTACTACTCTCCCTCTTATAGCGTAATACGATCAAACAATCTTCATGTCCATCATAATCCCGACCTCATCTCGTCCACCAGGGCTTTGCTTGAGTTCAAAATATAGCTGTCAAGACCTTTGGGACAGGCCTCAATCGACTTGACCGTTTGCCTCGCATTCACTGTTGCTGTCGCTGCTGCAGAAAAGTCGTCAAGCATGCGCCTCTGCGATCAGGATGGAAACATCCTGCCCGCGGCCCCCGCTTCACTCTGTCGCAGCGCCGATTTCACCTTTGCGTTCCAACTTGTTTTCCTCCAGCTTCTGCCCGCACTGCTCTACATCGCTCTGGGGTCTTTCGACGTCGTTTTCGCCTGGAGCAGGAAGCCTAGGTACCTCTCAACCGCAGCAGGCTCAAACAAGAACATCTGCGCTCGAAGCACGCTGCTCAGGCTTGCAGCGCCGTGTCTCCTTGCCATCGTCGAACTTGTGCGCCTCATCGTCTTTTTGACGACAGACTCTGTCCAGAACGCGCTCGAGCCGGTGCACAGCTTAGTCGTTCCGGCCCTCGCTGCAAAACTTATTGCTTCAATCCTTCTCACTTCGCGCGCACACGTCCTGTGGCGCCGTCAATCACGTCCCAGTACCACGAACGTGGTTTTCTTGACCGTCTGCCTCATCTTCGATGCAGTTTGGGTTCGGAGTCTAGCGACATCTGGGTTTGTCTCAACAGCAGCTTTCGTCGTGTCGGTCATCGGCGTCGTCGTCTTGCTTGCTTGCCTGGCGGTGGAGTGCCTGTCAAAACGAGAGCTGCTCATCGACACTTGGACGCAAGGTCGGATTGACTCGACAAAAGACAAAGACGGCTTCGCCCACCAACACATTCAGCTGTCCGACGTCAAGCCGTCCCGAGCCCTCACTGCCAACGTCCTTTCGCGTGCTGCTCATTTCTGGCTCCTACCCACCATCTGGCGTGGCCACAACACGGAGTTGACCTTGGACCACTTGGAGCAGCCCGACGATCCAGCCCAAGTGCAAAATGACATCGGAGACTTCCAACGCAGATGGCAGCATGTCTGCGACAAAAGCGTTGGCGGTCCGGGATCCAATGCTCTAGCTTGGACGATCCTCTACACGTTTCGAGCAACATTTCTTCGACCTGTACTGCCCAAGCTGCTATTCATTGCTGTATCATTTGCGCAGCCTTTTTTGATCGAACGCACAACATCTTACCTTCGTAGCACGACCCAGCCGCAGATAGCCGAACCAGGTTACCACGGCTGGGGGCTTGTTGCGGCCTATGCCTTGGTATACTCTCTAACAGCCCTGCTTACAGCTCACTACCAGTCGATTGTCGACGATTCGGCGTGTAGGGTCCGTCGAACACTCGTTTCGATCATCTATCAGAAATTCTTGCGACTCAATCACGATGCTGCACATTCGACGGGTGCCGGAGGTGCAACTACGCTCATCAGCGCCGACATGGAACGCGTATGCAACGGCCTCGTATTGATCCACGAATTCTGGGCATCTCTGCTTCAGATCGGCATCGCTCTTTGGCTAGCATACGATCAAATCTCGTATGCTTTCCTCGTTCCCGTTGTCATGACCGTGATCAGCATCGGGGTCACCACCTACATCAGTAATCGGATGCGTTCCATTGTCGTGCGATGGACAAAAGCCATGCAGATTCGCGTCAAGACCGTCACACACGTCATGAACAACATCACTTCGATCAAGCTCTCGTCCAGGTTCTCCACTATCACTCGTCAACTGTCTATGCTCAGAAAGGCTGAGTTGGCTGCGTTCAAAGCCGCAATGTGGGTGGCGACGCTATTGGTGGTATCGGCCAACGATTTGGAGAATTACACGACGCTGCTGACGCTGGTCGCTTACTCGGCCATCGCCCAGAGCAAGGCTGGACAACAGACACTGGATACCACCAAGCTGTTCACCGTCATTTCGGTGCTGACGCTGTTGCGTAATCCGCTGTTCCTGCTGGCGCAGTATGGGCCCATGATCCTAGCTGCGTTGGGCGCTTCAGTCGGCATTGGAGACTTCCTGCTGAAACCCGAGCTGCAACAGCGGCACAATTGCGACGCTGACGGTAATTCGGCAAACCCTACAAGCTCAATAGCTGTAGCGAAGAACCTCACCCTCCATGCTCCTGGCGGTGGTGGCAAGCAGCTCCTTTCCAACGTCGACCTTGTCATCAACCGTGGTCAATTGGCTTGCATCACCGGTGCAACAGGCACGGGTAAGACTACACTCCTTCTTGCCCTCCTCGGCGAAGTCTCTCCACTCAGCTCAGCCGATATCACTGTCCAACGCGATCCTCTACACGGAATAGCATACTGCGCACAATCGGCCTGGCTACAAGATGCGTCGATTCGTGACAACATCCTATTCCACTCGCCCTTTGACGCCATCCGCTACAAAGCAGTCCAGTGGTGTTTGGACCTCGAGCATGATCTCGCCGTCATGCCCGACGGTGACGCTACTTCTGTTGGTCCACAAGGCAGCAAACTGTCGGGAGGTCAAAGAAGTCGAGTTGCGCTGGCAAGGGCCTTGTATAGCAAGAGTCCGCTGGTGATGCTTGATGATCCTTTGGCAGCACTGGACGCCTCGACAAGCGTCAAGGTTGTTTCTCGCCTCTTTGTGCGTCGGCCCGTTGGACAGCAGGTGGAAGCGACAACGTCGGCGGCAACGTTGCTGTTGGGCGGTAGGACGGTCCTACTGGCCTGCCACAAGCTTCCTCCAGGTTTGCAGCCAGACGTGTCCATCCAGCTCAGCTTTAACAAGAAGACAAGTGAAAGCTTGTCGAAGGTCAATGTGGAATATGCCAACGAGGGTCAGAGCATCACGTTCCCCCCATTCATATCGGCAGTCGGGTATGACGAAAGCACCTCCCCTCGTCTGCTCGAGAAAGCTTCGAGCGACGATCGCATCAACGACAACACCGAGACGGTCAAAGAGGATGCATCTCATCCACGATCGCAACTTCAGCCGTGGGCAGCATTCAAGTTCTACTGTCGCACTGCCGGGTATGGACGTGTCATTATCTACCTCGGCTTTAGCATCTTCGCTGCCGTCTCTCTGGCAGCGATCAACCTCTATCTCTACTTCTGGTCCAACACCAACGATCGACATCCCAATTCCAAGCTCTGGGCGTGGATCGGAGGATACGCCGCAGTGGTGACGCTCAATTCGTTGGCCTTGACAGGACAGATCTACTACCTTTTCGTACGCGTCGCACAATCGTGTGCCGACAGGATGCACTCTTCGCTTCTTTCTTCAACTCTGGCTGCACCGCTGTCGTACTTCCTCAACACCTCAGCGGGCAGTATTGTGAACCGATTGAGTCAGGACCTGTTTGTTTCAGACAACGATATGACCAAGGCCATCTTCAACGTATCTTCCAACCTCGGCGTTGTGCTGGGAAGCGTGATGCTGCTCTCGTTGGCTTCGCCTTGGTTCCTGCTCATCCTACCCATCTTGCTACCAGCGCTCTGGCTGATCAAGAGCTTCTACTTGCGAACCTCGGGGCAGATCCGAAAGCTGGACTTGGAGTCCAAGAGTCCGCTGTACACGCTGTTTGGCGAAACGATCGACGGCATCGTGACGATTCGTGCCTTTGCAGGTCACAGGGTCTTTACCAGGTTGAACGAGGTGTTGGTGTCTCGCAGTCAAAGGGCATTCTTCTTGAATCTGTCGTTGATGCGTTGGTTAACCTTGGTATCTGGCTTGATCGTCGCGGGTATCTCGACTGCATTTTGTTCTCTCAGCGTTGGACTAGCACAGCGCAGTGCGCGAGAGGGAGGCTCAAGTCAGTCTACTGTGGGCTGGGTCGCGGTCGGATTGACACAGTTGATGATGCTGACTGCGGCAATCACAATGCTTACCAAGGCGTGGACACAACTCGAACTGTGCCTGGTCGCTATCGAGCGTCTGCAGCAGGTGGCAACGCTCGAGGCCGAGGCAGACCCCTACAAGGCCCAGTCGACAACGTCTTCAACTGCGTGCTCACTTGGAGCCAAAGTCGTCGCCCGATCCATCTGCGTCGATCACGTTCATCCTGAAACGGGCCTCGCCACCAAGGTTCTACGTAATCTTTCCTTCACCTTGCTTCCCGGTGAAAAAGTTGCCGTGGTCGGTCGAACTGCCAGTGGCAAATCGTCGCTCATCTCGGCGCTGTTGCGGTTCACACCTCTTTCCGCAGGCAATATATGCCTTGATGGAGACGATGCAAGCCAATTCGGCTTGGCTGGATGGAGGCAGCGCGTACTGGTGCTACCTCAACAGGCAGTGGTGGTCCCCAGCTGTACGTTGCGTCAGAACTTGTGTTTGCTTGTCGATGAGGCTCGAACGCAACCCGCAGACTCGGATCTCTGGCAAGCTCTCAAACGCGTCTCGTTGGACGACCTGGCCCTCAAGCTCGGCGGCTTGGAGATACCTCTCGACCAAGCACAGAATGGCGAGACTCAACTCAGCAACGGTCAAAAACAACTGCTTGCCCTCGCCCAGCTTTTGATCGCATGCCAAGCGATTCGAGCGAGCCACGACGGCCAAAACGGCACACTGTTGATTTTGGATGAACCAACAGCTTCCCTAGACGAGGCAGGCGATGCACTGTTACGCCAACTTTTGCACGATGTCACTGCCTTTGGAGGGTTCACTACATTGATGGTTTCTCATCGCTTCGGTCCTGTTTTGTGTTGCGACAAGGTCTTGCTCTTGCGCAAACACAGCAATGCCAACGAAGAGAATGAAGAGTCGTTCGAGTTTGGACAACCAGAACAGCTATTCAGGGACAACAACTCGGCGTTTGGTGCTCTTGCTCGTGACGCCGGCGTTGTCGATTGGAAGCAACACTGTATTTGAATTCCAGCACCGCGCGTTATCCCCAAATCTTTCCCAAGATCATAGATGGGACTTGGTTCTTTTAACAAGAATATTTCCCCCGGTCTCCAGCCGCAAAGTGATGAGGCCCGCTGGCTCTTCAACTTGACTCTCCGACTTTGTGAAAAATTGTTCGCCTCAATTATCTTCGCCCTTTTTTTGTTCCCACAACTTGTTTTCTTTTCGCCAGCAATTTTATGAGCTCTTCTGCCTTGCATAGCTACAACTTTACGCCTTTACCCATCAGCCCACGAATGAAGCTGGGCTGCAATTTCGATCTAAGAGGTGCGCGTGTTGAGTGATCTGTGAGAACAATAGAGGTGAATCCGAGGAGGGTAGCGATGTGGGTCGCACACGCGGAGCCCGGACAGTATGTACATGTGTTGGAAGCTCGCAGGCAACTTCTCAGACCGAAATTGCGGCCGAAAGGTGCTCTTCATTCTGACGATATACATACTTCAACGGATCGACAACTTGTATAGACCATCACTTTGTCAGGGCGATACGTTTGCGCATGTTGGTATCAAGCTTCGTCAAAAGGTCTTGCAAGCCTGCCCCGACCTCAACTCCAGAGCCTGCGGTCATCGGCTTCCGCTCCGGAAGGTTCAAATCTTCATAGTAGAGCGCCTTTTTGATGTGGCCCAATCTCCACATCTTGAGTGCTTGCAGAAGCTCGCCGAGGCTCTTGCTGGCGTGGGGAAGTGCGGCGGTGCGTTGGCGTAAGTTTTGTGAACGAAGATGTTGAAGAAAGTTTCTTTGCGGGCCAGAGAGGTGCGTCGGGTCTGAGGATGGAGGGATCGAGAGCAGCGCGTCCAAGGTGCGAATAATCATGGCTTGATCACCACTAACGCCCTCGTCTCCTCCCCAACCCCAACCGTGGAAGCCCTGAGCATGGCTCATCCAAACGGCTTTGGGAACCACGCTTTCTTGCAGATTGCGGTAGAAAAACTTGAAAGCAGCTCGAATCGAGTCAACACCTTCCTTGAGCGCCTCACTGTCCTTACCCTGATCGATTTCTTCAGCAAAGAGAAGCACGGAACGATAGAAAGGCGACGCCAAATGTTCAAGTTCAACAAAGAGGCGCGCGTTCCACGTCTCTGCCAAGGTGTAAGGAGATCCAAGGCTTGCAGTCGTGCTGAATGTCAAAGCAAGCAGATCAGAACGGTAGTTGCAGTAGGTCATCGTAGTCATGGTACCCCCGCTCGTCTTTAGTCCAAGACGGCTGTTGACATAGGCGAACGAAGTCTGGAGTGTTGACGGCAGCTCTGAGGCAATGTCTTCTTGCGCAACTGCAATCACAGGTACGATCCCCCAACTGCAACAAATCGATGTTTTGAGACATGTAGGCAATGGGGACAAGGGTCAGAAACGGCAGGCACTTGCTTCGCAGAAGGCGATCATCTCCTTACCGATATAGATGAGAAAGGAAAGCGATACAGCTCGCAGCTCCCAAGAACTTCCTCTGGTTGAGGCCACGCAAGGCGTGCAGAACATCATTGGCATGCGGCAGATGCCGGTCGATGAACGTGCGATTCCGTTGAATGTCTATCTCGCCTAGACCTTCGACATCCTTCCGGCTAACTAACGACGAGGCTTCAACAGCCAGCTTTGCCAATTGGATAAGGACGGGTTCATTCAGATCAAAGTCTGGGGAGGGTGGCCAAGCTCCTCCTGAATGCTCCAACAAAGTACGCCACAGCGAGCGCAGCGACTCGGTCTTGGCTTGAATACAAGTCATGAAGGAGCAAGGCTGTAAGATCTTGTGAGGAGGTGTATCAGAAATCTTTCGACGAGGGGCAGGAAGTGACTAGGGGGCGAGTATTGATAAATGTGCTCGAAACCTTAAGAATCTTCCGAAGAGGGAGCAGACAAGAGCAACCACAAGTCATCTCAAAGCTCTTTCGAGCCTTTCCAGCATCGGCGACGCAGACTCTGTCCTCGATCTCGAACGCCACAAGGTCAGTCGTAGCAAGTTTCACACTTTGAACGACATTCCGATGGAAGCAAGCAAATCACTCAAACTGTTGGCCGCGGATTGCGAAGCTGCAAACAGGCTGCTGTCTGCTTGCTGTCCGACCCCAGGCGCTTCGACTATAAACGTTCGTGAGCGAAACTCGCGAAGTTTGAGAAGCTCAAAAGCCGGGAAAGAGAGGTACCTGCGAGTAGGAAGCGCCAGCTTCTTGCAACAGAATTTGGACGCACAAGTCGAAAGCGATGTTATCGACCATTGCGTGATTCCCACGGACGCATGATTAGTTCTCACGCAGGCAAGCATCGTTTTTCTTGCATGTACAGTACTGTGGGAACAATTTGGTAGCAGCAAGGGGGGAGCAT